ACCAGCAACCGTGTTACTATCTGTCCAAGTAGCGAATTCCTATCTCTGACCCCTTCGCAGCTTCATTGCGTATACAAGTAAGCCATTGCACGCCTGCACTAATTCCCGTGCCAGACCGCTGGACACAAACACTCTGCGAACTGTGGCGAGTGCAGCGGGAAGGATTCGGTCAACGAACAAGGGGTGCTTCGGCGCTTACTGACAAAACCCGAGCGTGGCGTACGACATACCATATCTGTCATAACTATTGTTGAAAATTTTCGCAGACTTCGCAAGCAAGCCAAGACTGAAAAGGATGACATGGTGTTGTTGTGATTTTCGCCATTATAGCTCCGAGAAGGAGTGTGGAGAAGAAAGTTCATGCCCCGCGATAGTGATCAACAAAGTTGTCTATGGCTGGCTACATCCCTGTCGACGTCGGAGCGAGCCAGAGGGGCAGAGTTTCTGCGTCAACAGAAAGTGAGGCTAAGACGTGATAGGACTAGTGCATGAGGCTGCGATATTCTTAGCAACTCGCACGAATCCGTTTTCCATCACCAATTCACACCATAGGTTGCCATGATGAAGCATCGCTACAATGCGTTGCACGTTTCACTTTTCGCAACATTACAAATCAGATCCGACGTCGGCAGACAGAAGCAACATGACACACCAAGCTATCTTAACGCTAAGCAAGCACCCCAGATATGTACGATATCAGTCGAATGAGAATCTCACCGTTGTTGAGCCGCAACGGTGTGTATGTGGCTTACCCTATCATCAACACATCCTTGCCTTGGCTACAACATTTTCCGAGGCGGCAAAATCCCAACAAACAAACCATTGCGCTTATCCCCCCACCACTTCTTTCGTGTTCACATTCGCTGAGCCATGCGCAATGCGTCAGCCACCGCCTAGTCAGATGAGCGTCTAGCCAGCAGTAGTTGTCGGTAGCATGGGCGGCTGTAGGTCATCCAGGCAGGGTCCACGGAGCCTCCATTCCCTTTCTCACTGCGAAAATCAGGGTCTAGGTGTTTTTTGGAGTATACTCCGGATTCCGGTGGCGCTTTCATTGGGTCTCGAGGGAAGTGCGATGTGGTGTGTTGGGAGATTGCGTGCTAGACGATGCTAGATGACGGGTGAGCTTATTCTGCGGGCCGTTGGGATGCTACTATGGGAGCTCGTGTGGAGAGAGAGGGAGGGTTGAGATTGATTCTCCGTGGAGGATAGGTCGGAGGTGGTCACTACTTGCAGATTTGGTTGTTGGTCGAGGATGTTGTGCGTCTGGAGCAAGAGACGCGGAGGTCTGTTGATTGCGGGGAGCGAGCGGTGAAAAGATCCACGGTACGCGATGATAGCTTCACCATTGTCTCGAGCGTTGATCATCGCAAGCTCTGCGCATGTCAGCACTCAGGTATATCGGATCTTCACTGAACGGACGATAAGCAAGAACCTCGACCGCGTTCGAAATCAGCATTGTCTTCTCTACATCCGCGGTCCGAATACAACATTCCCAAAAGTCCGAAAAACGCCATCGCATGTCCGTACCACGGAACCTCGTGTATTGCAGCATCAATGGACCCTGCGGCTCAACTCTATCCGAAAAAAAGAAGGGTCCAAATTTCCGTCCAAACCTACAGGGTCCGATCAACGCTTGAATCCTGACACATGCAACCTATCTCACCCACCGGAACTGCTGCATGTAATGGAATTTGAAGTACGACCTTTGAAGTCTGTCGGACGTCTCCGAGTATGACATCAAAGCTTGTGATTTCGACCCACTATGCACACTACCAGTTTTACTACTCCATTCTCCACATGGTGGCATACGGCCAGCACAGGACACTCAGTTGACAGTTACTCTCTGCACTCCAGTCTCCACACATGGTAGCGAGAAATCCGACGTGAGACATCATCTCCTTTGCGTGGGTGAGCGAGCCCCGCATCGGGCGTGGACTAGATGTTTAGCACAACTTATCTGCAAACTCGAACTGTTGAGAGTGGGTCTCCCATCTCATCACGTCCCCCCATCCCGTCCACCCCTTATTTACCCTATCCCACCACTTCATGTTCAAACGAGGTCAAGCCTTGTTCTGTACCCATAATGGCTGTTCCGACTTTTCGCTTGGGAACCAATGAGGATGTGGGGGTGTGAAGCACTACGCTTTGAAGCGCTTTGCTCAGCTCCGCGGAGAGTCATATTGAGCCTGCGGTTATAGGAAAGGCCGATGATGCAGACCGGTTTCTTATGGACCTAGGACGTAAGTTGGGTGGGAGTTGTGGGGACAGAGATGGGAGTCATTCGGCGGAAGCTAGGGCTGCGTGAGGAAGGCTTCCGATATTTACGGTCGGATTCGCGGAATGGAGAGGATTCTTGTCGAGCGCGATGGACGCAATGGGATGAGTGGATATGAGGTGGGACGTTTCGTGGTGGTGAAGATCTTGACGAAAGTGTTGAACACAGTGCACTAGAGATGGGCCGAAGTGACACATTGGAAAAGAGCTATTGCGCATTCGGGTTTCTACGGTTTCAGCGGTACGCAGAATGTATTGCTCGCATTTGGATGGCACATGATGATGTGTCATGCGAGTAGCTTTATCTGACTCTACGACGTTGCGAACCATCTACACTCTGGCACATAAACCTCAGGCACTTCATAGACACTTCTGTTTCCGCGCCTGCCTACAACGATAGTCTTGGAAATGTCACATTTGCAGTCGGCAAGACTGGCAAAGTGAAGTTCGCAGTCAGCGTTCCAGTGAGAATGGGAGTGCTTGTTAGAATAGGAGGGTTGGGGCCAAGTTCACACGGGTGAGGTCCGGGACGAGGGGTAGGTTTGAAAAGATTGCTACACTATGAGATGTCATTACAAGTGCTTAGCCTCCGAGGCGAAAGAGCTACTTACGATACGTGTTGGTGTTGGACATCCACCCACAGCTTGCATGTAACAACCATACGAGAAGTTCTCTTCGAAGTGACAGCTCTGGTGCTTGTGTTAGAGTCACTTCGCGTAGTGTTTGGTAGATTCGATGCTCCATCTATGGTCCAAACTGACTTACCTGTAGTGCATCGGTAGCCCAGCATGGATACCTAGCTGTCGCCAATTGGCACTGGCATGGCTTCGTGAAGATTGGAATTGGCTCCCAATGAGGATTTTTCTTCGACGAGCTGGACTCTGGATCTTCGTCGTCTTCTGGGTCTGGGTCAGGTGTTGATACCGATGTGATCGAAATGTCTAGCGATGTCGAATCCGGGGATGTAGCAGTTGGACTTGGTAAGATTGCTGAAAGCGAGATAAGAGTTGCACCCGGTGCGATTGACGTTTCTGTTGCCTGAGGGTATGGCACCGCAATCACTAACGCCGTCAAGACGCTGACTAGGAGAAAGGTCTGCATTCTACTACTGTTGGACGTTGTCAATTGTGGAAGTCACAGGCGCGCGCCGAGGCTGTGAAGTCAGTTGTTTGTACCGCTCAAGGTCTTTACTCTATCTAAATGCCGCAGCGTTTCGGCACCTCCCATCAAATTCATATTGGTTTACGATGCTCTTGAGATTGTGATTTCCAGGAACTGCCTAGGAGTACTATATTGTTGCCCAGATTGAGGATTCTTCCATCAACTTGCGACAAGAATTGTAGTCGCGCACGCAGTGAGGCTATACATAGCAGCGCAAGCTATACCCAGATTTGCCAAAGCGCTTTCCATGCTATATCTACTCTACTGTTATTGTGAGTGCCGGAGTGGATGGAGCTGATTGGCTGCCTTTTACATGTCTTAATCTGGACTTGATATATCCCCCACACAAGGCTAAACTGCCTAAATTGGAGAGCCCATGGGGGGGGGGGGTTGCGCCGAGGACAGATTTCTGGCGGCACGACCATTGCCATAGTTTTAGACCGCAAGTTCAATGCGAAATACCCAGCCGTCCATACACAAATATTGTCAATACAAATCCCGTCGCGGGGGACTCAGACAGTCCACAACGCGTCATTTCGCTGCAGTATGAGCTCTTCTTGCGTCTCAAAGGCGCCCGCCGGTTCGATATGACGAAAGACGAGCTTGTCCCCTCAATCGGTTGAACGAATCCTTGATAAGCCGGACGGCACAGCCCATGTATGTGGCGTACACCTCATGCAGAGCTTGGCTCAAACCAGTCTCCTGGCTTGCGACGGCCCGTTTAGGACGTCCTGATGGAGGCCTGGTGCTTGATTGCGATCTCAACCCTGTCCTCAACATGTGAAAGTCTGCGTGTCAAGCTGCACTCCGCTGATCAGGGTCCGAACGGTCTCGGCCGCTTGTGTCTTGGAAAAGAGGGGTCCAGGTCCGTCGCTTGGTTATTGTGTTCCTAAAACCTATGTAAGCTTGTGAGGTGTGGACTGGTGTGCTGAGGTGCTGTGACATGCACTCCGCCATCAGCATGAAGCGGAGAAGAACTGTGGAGACGCGCCCACCGTTCAATGTTGTAAGTACGCCTGGTGGAGTGATGTGCGGATCTGTAAACCTTCAGCGTTGCGCTTTGCTAATAGAAACTGCTATCGGAGCAAAGCAATGATAGACGATATAAGAGGTACATGGAGGTACTTTGAAGTTTTGGTGGGTCCGTGTCCATGATGGCAACCTACCCCAGCATATCTTGTGCGACGATGGCCTCGCGCCGATTAGCTTAGTATGCCGTATATTGCCACTTTCTGTTGAGATCGAGAAGAGTCGACCATTGATGCCACGAGTAGGACTTGACATCTCCCGAAGTTGGACAGACTGAGGTTTTGTGAAGCTGTGGCTATACTGTGGACACAGCATCCCAGTGTTACTTAGTAATCGCGGCATGTGATTTGGCGGCAGACGCTCGGACCTATGACGGAGTTCGCGATGGGGAACTCGACGATTTGTCACGACGTTCAGGTCATCGCGTTAACCACCACACAGAGTCCCGTAAGCGTATTACTGTCAAATTGCAGAACCAATGCAGATCATGGTAGGCAGTAGCTAACAGCGGTATCACAGAAGCTTATACCGCGATAATGGCACCGTCAAGAGCCGTCCTTCTTCGCCGCATAGCCTCCGCAGCCGCAACACCATGCTTACGACCGACGTCGCGTCTACTCGCCACATCTTCATATGCATTATGTAGAACACAACAGTCATCACCTCTACGTCCGGGCCTGTTGCAGCAGTCAAGGTTCCCCACATTGTGCACACGATTATATTCGCAGTCAGCCAGCGCAGCGCCTGAAGCACCGGATTACCTCAACGAGGCAGAATTGCACGTCTTCAATAAAATAAAATCGGAGTTGGAGCCCGTGAAACTGGAGGTATGTAATGTTTCCCCGCTTTCTCGTCTTTGGAGATTACACATGTGCGGAGGTGGACGTTTTCTGCGTTGACTTCACCGGTCGCGCAACCGACTACTGCATCGCGAGCATGCACGTCATATCGGCATTGCGGGGTACATTTCAAGCTGTGATATAAGTCAAATCCCTGGACAAAAGCAATACAGTCGCACACAAGGAATGTGCGTCTATTAGTCTTTAAGCGGATGCTAACAGGTCTGGTACAGGTCCAAGACATCAGCGGCGGCTGTGGGTCCATGTACGCGATCCAGGTCGAATCCCCCAAGTTCAAAGGCTTGACGGTCATCAAGCAACACAAACTGGTCAACGAGGTGTTAAAGGATGAAATCAAGAGCTGGCACGGCGTGCAGCTACGGACAAAGGCTGCTTGAGCGCAGCTTGATTACAACTCGTGTATATACTGTACGACTAATGTATACTTGGTAGGTATGAAATGAACCTTTATCGACTTGAGACTGGCGAAGCACTATCAGCCGACTGCCTGAGACCGTAATTCGGCCGCGTCAACAACACTACCATGTCTGCTTTCTCTTAAAGCGTACTATGAGTTTACATCATACCTGCGGGCTACACTTGGTCGCAGCTGATGGTGATTGCACGTGATACCACTTTCAGCTTGATCAGTTGTAGCCTCTGTCGGCGAGCAGCGACCTGGTTATCTGCCTGGCACAACGTGTCGCAGTCGACTATCTGACAGAGGACAACGTTCAAATCGTGTTGGTCGTTCCGTCTACTTACTCGACAGCTACTTTCCTTGATGCGCATACAAAGCGCTCATTGTTCTCCTCGTAGCTGAGAAATATGTTTGCTCCTAACTTTAGCGAGTAGCTTGGCTTTTGAACAACCCGCCTGATGGTGATTGTAGCCTTGGCAGGCCTGGTAAACAACCCAGTCAGGAGCCTGTCTCCTCTCACGTATAGCATGTTACAAAAATGATACTACTTAGTCCGATCTGATCGCCTTCTGCATTTGCTGCCTTGGGTCGTGAGCTTAAAGAAGACCGGGTTACGGATGACTGAGAGAGATGAGGCGTTTACTGTGTACCGACTCTTCGGAGATCTTCAATCTGGGATACTGCTTCAAAAACAATAAGGGCTACGAGTTTTGAAAGAGAAATTACGAGCGACAGAGCGCAGTTTCTGAGATAGACAGTAGTACTCCATGTTACCGTGAGCTGTTCGGCACCCAAGCTACAGAGCATGATGGAATACTGGACAACATTGAGAGGGCTGCATGCTCACATGGTACCGCACCATATCCAAACGACTTCTGGTGTGTAACTGAACTTTGTAGCGCAAATTCTCACTGGAGCTCGGCATACGAGATCTTTCGAAAGGCATCTGGCAGTGAGCATCGGAGCGTCCGACAGTCTTTGCAAAACCGCAATTACGGTGGCATGGAAGAAGCAACTTGGATCGAAAACAAGGAAAAAACCATCATCCTTCGTCCTGGGCAATATCATCCATGACTTGGGAAGGTTTCTGGGAAACTCATGCTGTGTCATTAGAAGCTTATTGACTTGATCTTTTCACCTAAGGTATTTCTCATTGATTTATGAAGCAGCCACAAAAGCCGAACTTACTTCTTCAGGTCGGAGCGGCATTCAAATACAGACTTGTTATTATATTGCCTATTTTCCTACGAAGCCGGAGGAAGGCGGCTATGAGCAACTCAAACATGCCTGATAGACTGTCAATGGGTGGAAACAAGTAGCTTGTTGATGTATGCAGTAAGAAGTTGGGAATACGAGATTGGCGGCTGAGTCAAGGTAGGCTCGGCCGTGACAAAGCACCAGGCCTCATTTTGGGCGATTGCGAAAGCGTTTGTTCGTCCTCGAGATGAGTTGCATCACATCACGTCTGACCGTACTCAGCGCTTGGTTTGGCGCAAAACAGCGCAGTATAAATTGAGGATATATTTTGAAAAATAATCATACATTCCACATACGATCATAGGACACTGAAAATTAGGCTTCCCGTCCGCTCAGCCATATACAAGCAGTGTACCGGCGGATTAGTAGTTAGGTGGGTGACCACTAGCGAATCCCCGCTGTTGTATGTTTTTGCAATTTTAGTATTCTTTTTGCTTCGCCGTCGTGTTGGATGTGTTCACATGTTGAGGAAGGTACATGCTGACCTGTCGTGCGTGGTGTGAATAGCAAAGGCTCATAGGCGCAAAACTATCGTAAGGCAAACTCTTGATAATCACAATCGACTAACATCACCTCTTCATCCATTAGGCCGTGTAAATAACTTTCGGCATAGAAATCCCACTCATTCATATCCTGGATACTTTTGTTAAGCTCTTGCCCATGTGGCCTTGGCATCAACGGAGTGTCCCCTCTTTCCATTATGACGATGATGTCTCCTTCCTTCATGGTACATAATGTGATTCCCATATAACAGTCCTGAGTCCTGGAAACGGGGCGAAGTCTCGTAAGACTACTTACGTGGTTGATTTCCAGTCAGTCTCGCGATCTTGGTTGAAGTGCCACCACGCAATTTGTCCACGCTCATCCAACCATCACCATTTCTTGTGTAACACGACATCTATAGCGATTTAGTAAATCTTCTAGACACATCGTTCGTGGATGTATAGAAGGACAGCTTCTAAACCGCCACTATCCACCATGAGACAAGATGGACGGTCTGCTCCGTCTTGAAAGAAGAAATGCAGGAACAGTCGCGAACTCAGACTAAGTGTGTCAAAAGCTAATGCAACTGAGCACGCAGCCTTCCCTGCTTGTTCTCGTCGAACTTTGCCAACAACCGAACATAACCCTTGACTTCCGTCCCCCACAATGTAGAGATCCAAACGTATAATTGCGAGCCGAGCTGCATGAGTAGCAGCGCTCCTCCAATGATACCATCAATGAAAAGCCTATGTGGCAGATTAAGAAGAATAGCTGCCGCGGCAAGAAAAGTCACCCGCTTGTAGAGAAGCGAGGCGATTTTTAGAGGAACTCCTTTGCCCTTCATTTTGTTTTCAGCCTCAAGACAGGTTTTGATGTCTTTTAGTAGCTGCTCTTTGCGAATGAGGATGACTCTCATTTCTTGATCCGTCTTGGTGTTTGTGTGCTGCATTTTCACTTCTTCCACTTCCCGATAAAAGTATCTTTTGACGTTGCCTATCTCATTGTCCTATTCGCGTCTTTGTTCTTCTGATTGGACCAAACGAGGATCGTTAACATCAGCGGATGAGGTCACTCGGAGGGTCGGCATTCGATCGACTCGCATTGGTGATACGGCTGAACTTGGTTCGCTGATCATTACGGTATTAGACGTGAACGACTTCGTGCTCGGTGGGGAGGCCGATCTGGATTCTATGGTTTTGTCAACTAATGAGGTTGAGGAAAAAGCTCAAGACCTACCTTGATATATCTCGGCTGCAGCAAGAAAAGGCAGTGCAAGTAGTATTAGTGGGATAATCCGTCCAAAAACAATGGATGTGTCGACTTCAATGGCTTTGTAGTCACCCAACTCCCAACAGAAGAGTATCATCTGGGCAAGACCAAAGACAAGCATGAACGTCATTGGTGGTACCAGTGGAAGTATTGAATACCAATATCTATATTCGGCATAATTCCATGCGTTGGCTAGTTCGGTTATAAAGGCAGGGTCCTTACTTTTGAGTACGAGATCCATGAGAAGACGTTGACGACGCCCAGCAAAAAGCTCCTCGGCGGCTTCCTTCCGGACGTAGTTCCACTGATCAGGTTCCATAATTGGTAGTTGCATTTCTTTCGGATATCTCCACCGGCTCGAGAGAGATAGCACATTCTTTGAGTAGCGTCCTAAGCCAATGAAGTCGTTCGACCCATATAAGTACGTGCGGAGGAGCTTGGATTTGTATGCAAATATAATGATAAGGGCAGTCATCGCCCAGGGCCAGAAGTAGGTCGAGAGAGTGACCTCATCCTTATACGTTCTGACCCAGCCTTGGACATGGCATTGAACCGAAACGATGTTATCGGGACTATTTTCCATGACCGATACAACAATGAAGCAATAGAGGAACAAGACGATGAAGGTGAGAATACCAAATACTCGCACATTTCGTAGAGTCTTGTGTTTCCTGAAATACTGCCGTAAACTGTCAAGTGTCGCCAGATGTGTAGGAGTTGAGAACCATGCTAATGAGAACGCAATTAGAAATTCAGGGGGTGAAAGCGTACATTGGTTTGCGATGGCAGCTATCAGAATCGCCAAGCCAGTCGCAAGCTATTGGTCGCTCAAGGACAATATGAAGCGGTCGAATGCTTCCACACGTTTCTCCCGACTGAGCTTTCCCTGTCGTTCAGTAGGTGGTGGACGTAACTTGGCGGGCAAAAGGCGGAATGGCAGATTCTTCTTGATACGCTGGAACTCTTTGATGAAGGCCTCGTCCGTTTTGCTAAGGTACTTTTCGGGCATTGAATCCGAAAGATACGCACATATCACAGCTCCGACTGTAAGCAGAGCCGAGAGTACAAACGACACAAGAACCTGAACGAGCTTGATATCAGCGAGAAGACAAGAACAACAATGGTAGCCATGATGAAATGAGCAGAAGCACATACTCCATAGCCTGCAACGTCGTGATTTGCTAGTATGGCAGTGTTCCGCGCGTCGCAGATGAGCTTGCGGCCACAAACCATGGCCGTAATCGCAAGGGCGAAGTGAAGATATCGGTACAACAGTGAACAACACACGAGTAAATGTATGAGAGGATATGAAAAGACGACGTCGCTCGATGATGCTCTCAGCTTACCTGCGACAGACAACAAGGCTGAGAGTATCTGAGTGTCTGTCTGCACCCCTGCAAGCCATAAACATCTTACGCGCCTGCCATTGGTAACAGCCTGTCCGTATGCGCAAAAGCTCGCATACCCTGTAAGCTACGTGGAATACTACCGTAGTCACTCGCCCATTCAGTGTCCAATGTCATGGCCTCACTTACGAGCGTTGACTTATTCGTGGTGAAGATGTTATCTAGATAGTCCTGGGGTCCGTCTTACTGTATATCAGCGAATGCAACATAATCGATCACACTGACAAGTTCTGTCAAGGCTGATGTCAGTGGCTTCGGGGTGGGGATGAGTCGAACCTTAGAAGATTCCGATGTTCGTTCATTAATGCGTAAGGTCGCGTGTTTCGAAAATCGTTCCTCGGGCATAGATCGCCTGATGCTGCTGGCTCGCCACAGGTATAAACTGTAAATCACTGATCCACAAAATCAATCAATATGTGATGCGCATTTTGTTGATAGCTTTCAGAAATGTCTGCGTGTATGTACAAGAATTCTAGCCATGAGGCCTTTTCGACACCTTAAAGAGCCATCGTTCAAGGACCCTCAACAGTGATGCTAGCAGAGCCAGAGCTCTGGTAACCCTCAGTAGCGAGGATCTGGTAGTTGTGGGTACCAAGCTTCTGTCCGTACTTGGCCCAAGCATCGAAGTGGTTCTTGACAGTGATAGTACCACCGACACGCTTGCTAGTCCTAACCGACCAGAACTGCTGGAAGGTAGCAGTGCCGTCGATAGAAGGCTGGTTGGTGCGGGTAGTCTGGAGGATATCGTATGTACCGCCGTCAGAGGTGACGGAGCCCTTCTTCTGAGCAGCAGAAGAGGGGTTGTATGAGCCGTAGGACTCGACTATGTAGTACTCAATGAGTGGGTTGCGAGTCCATCCGTAGAGCGAAATGTAAGAGTTGACGTTGGCGGCGTTCCAGGTACCAGAGTACGTGACTACACGCTCAGAGCCAGGGTTCCTGAAGAAGAGAGTTAGTATGATCGTGTGTAGAGGTGATGAGAGCAACCTACCATCCCTTGCCAGCAACAAAGTTACCAACGTTGGACCACTGAACATCGTACTTTCCAGCGGCGCCATTGTTGTAAGTAACCTGACCCTGACCATCGGTCCAGAAAGAGTAGAAGAAGCCATTGTTCATGCCAGTGCCAGCGGGGGTGGCGCGTGCAGTCAGGTTGGCAGACTCTTCCTGAGCTTGAGCCTCTAGGATGAGGTTGAGGGGCGAGGCGAGAGCCGCTGTGGCGCTGCCGAGGGCGAGGAGGATAGAGGAGAAAGCAACCATGGTGTCTGTTCAAATTGGAGATGCTTGGTGTCTTTCGCTCATGGACATCAGAGACTCTTATATATCAATGGAGGCATTGCAACGTACTGATCAGCATCAGGGATCGCCGGTGAACAATGGCTACGCATCGGCTTGAAGGAGGCTTTCCAAATTGGAGGACAGCGGTCGTGAGAGCATGCCTGGCTAGTGGCGTATAACAGCCGCTGTAACTGTGGGGTGCATGGCTACGACCCGTCGCCATGTGTGGAGCCGTGTCCTGAAAACAAGGTCAGACCACCGGTTATTCAGGGACCAAAAATGCTGGTTGGATAAGTGTTGGAGAGCGAAGTTTTGAAACTTGAAACAGTTCATTTCCGATGGAGATGGGTTTGGTGTTCACCTGTCATGCTATAGGCCCGGACACACTGTAGTGCGACAAGAGTGGAGCGAGAACACCTTCGTTCAGAACCACCCTGACTCGTTGCACTTGTTCTCCATTCTTAACGGCTTCAGAGCCCGATCCCATCGCACTTGTATACCTAATTGTGTACATGTTGATATTGCACAAGCTTTCGGGGCCTGATCAAGCTCACTCAAGCACTATGCCAACCCATGAAGCATGCAGTCAAGCCACTCTATCTTCGCATCGTTAGCTTGTCTACAATTTATCCATCTCGGCATGCGACACGACCAGATGACCATACGTGATATATCCACCGATGGCGTTGGCAAAAGCATTTTGGTCCAAGACCAAGCATTTAGCCGGTTCCTTAGCATTGCAAGCGCCAGCATAGTGAAGATCGTCATGCTTAACTACATCAGCCCAGTTGCTTCGTCATGAATACAGTGCGCCAAGATTCTTGGAAGCCGGAGATTAAGTTTGTCAATGTACGGTGACCTGGTGCCAAGAAAGGAGGTGACGGAGTAGTACGATTGATATTAACTCGCTGCCGAGACCGATAGCCGCTAGTGGGTATGCCGGTAAACGGATGCTGCTGCCTTGTTGTGGGTATCTCGAAGTAAAGACAATATTAACGTGGCAATGCGAACGTATGAGTGGTAAAGGCACATTCCAATCAGCGTCGCTCGTTCCATAGCCGATCGATGACCTGGAAAACCGCCGTGACTTGCCTCATCATATCGCCATCAATGTGCTGTCCGAACCGCTGCTGCATCTTGTCAGGGTGCCAGCGCACTCGTTCCGCCTTCAGTAGTGCCACCGAATCCTCTTTCCACGTCTTTGCGCTCCTCAAGAAGCGTTCAATCTCTTCCTCTGACACATGCTTTGCCTTGCCAGAAATTACAGGCCATGGCATGAGCTCACGCACGTTCGTATCTGTCTCTCCATCCAGACGTTGATCATTCTTCAAACTGCCCCATTTGGTCGTATAATTCTCCCATGCAGCCTCCGCCTCCTTGGCCTTCTTGCGCTCTTCGCCTCGGCGTAGGCTCTCTTCCATACGGCGCCGAATACTATCTCTTTCGGCCTCTTCCTGCTCGACCTCATTGTCAAGCTGACAGCGTTGTGCCTTCCGCTGCTGACGTGCGCGCTCCTTCGCCTCGCGCTCTTCAACGATGTGCTGATGACTCTTCTCCCACATCTTCGTCCGCACGTAGTCTGCATACTCGTCCTCTGTCATGCGTTCCAGCTTGCCATCGGGGCCAGGCTTTGTATCAGGGTATATGTGTACAGGCTGGCCATAGACGCCCTCCCAATATGCTGCGCCTTCGTCATCGGCTAGCGCGTCGAACAGCGACTCGCGGAAGGCCTCGTCGGGAGCTGGGCCTGGACCGGGAGAGCCTGCGCCCGATTCGTCTAGATTATCGAATAATGATTCGCGATGACGATAGTCAGGGTCGTAGTATGCGCCATCTCGTGTAGACGTGGGGTGACGATCCTCGTGAGAGGAACGATGCTTGTGCTTGTGTCTGCGTCTTGAATCGCGGTGGCTGCGGCGCTCTTGACTGTTGCGATCCGACCTGTGTCTCCTTGAAGTTTGGTCTTCGGTGCTTTCGTCTCTGCCTTCGCGTTCGTGCCGCTTTGAGCGACGTTTGGAGCCGGATTTGAAGTGGAACCTTGAAGCTTTAGCCTTGGTGTAGAGGTCCTCCGCTGTCGCGTCGCTAGCCTGCTCCTCCATGATGAGGACTATGATGATTCAGGAGCCAGTCATGCATGAGTAAGATGTGCAAGAAGGTACGGGGGTGAAATGCCCACGGTCATCCCAAGGTTGAGAGTGGAGGAGTGTGAGTTGCGGAGAAGGCGCGGAGGTGCTGATGATTTCACTGGTTGCGCGAGCGTCTTGGCATGCGACATGTCAACTCGCGACCGCGACTCTAACACAACTCCGACACTAAACCCAACATGTCGTTCAAATTCGGCCTCAATGTCAAAAACAAGGGCGCAAATCCACTCGCCAAGGCTGCTGCTAAACCTGCCTTGGGAAAGAAGAAGAAGCCGCTATTCGATGACGAAGAGGAAGATGTAAAGGGCAAATCCAAAACAGCGGATGGCGTCCAGGAGATTGGCGAGCTTAGCTTCGAAGACACGCTTGCCTCTGCCTCATCGGGGCCCTCAAAACCAGCGCCGCAGAAGCTGAAGAAAGGCCAACCTCCAGCTCCTCCGTCCAAGAGACCTAAACCGAAAGAAGATGATCCCACCACCATCGCATACTCTGCCAGCGCCGCAGAAGCCGAGAAACGCGCACAAGAGGCACTGGAAGCCGATGCCACATTATACGACTACGACGCTGCCTATGATGCGCTTCACGCAGTGAACGCCGCAAAGAAGGCTGCTGAACGCGACAACGCTGCGGAACGGAAACCGAAGTACATGGACGCGCTCTTCGAATCCGCCGAGCAGCGTAAGAAAGACCAATTACGAGCCCGCGATAAACTCATCCAACGCGAGCGCGAAGCCGAGGGCGATGAATTCGCCGACAAGGAGAAGTTCGTAACAGGCGCATACAAGGCTCAACAAGAGGAGACGCGAAGAGCGGAGGAGGAAGAGAAGAAGCGGCAAGAAGCAGAAGAAGAGAAAAAGAAGAAGTTTGGTATGCAAGGATTCCACAAGCAGATGCTTGCAGATCAGGAGCGACGGCATCAGGAGGCTATGGAGGCAGCCGCGAGAGCACTGAAGGAGGGCATTAAACTTCCTATCGACGAAGCCGAGAAGGAGAAGACAGACGCTGAAATTGTGGAAGAGTTGCGTCAGCAGGGAAAGAATGTCATACTCAACGAAGAAGGTCAGGTAGCAGACAAAAGTCAGCTCCTCTCAGCAGGACTCAACATCATCGCGAAACCTAAGCCCGCTTCTTCCACATCTACTTCCACTGCCGCTGCAGACCAACCACAGTCAGCATGGACGAAGCCCAAATCCGGTAGGAACGCGCAACGCGAACGGCAGACACAGATGGTCGTCGAACAAATCGAAGCGGCGAACAAGCGAAAAGCAGATGAAGAAGCTGAGGAACAGGCGAGGCTGGAACATGCACGCAAGAGTCAGAAAACAGAAAAGGACATCAGCAGTGCCAAGGAGAGGTATCTGCAGAGGAAGAAGGAGAAGGAGGCTGCCGCTAAAGCTGCAGCTGGGAAGCAAACGTAATGATGATACCCAATACTCTACATATACATCAATATTGAGATTTCTACAGCATAGCCAAAAGTGACTCGTAGCACTGTGCAAGTTCATATATCACCCATAAACCAGGATGTTCTCCATGAACCTTCGTACGGCATTCGAGATCTGAATCTAACCCGAATTCCTCCCAGACCCCTCATTCCTCCACGAGCACAACCCACAGAACACCCCAACTCCATCAGCCTCCACTCATAATCTCAAATTCTCCCTGTCATAACAGCCCGCGTGAAAGCGAGCACGAAGGCGAAGTGTGGCGATGGCATCGTCGACCTTGCCGCTACCCTTGTTGAGCTCCTCAACCTCAAACGCCCTTTTGTGCTGCTTGATCTGCAGCCATGCCACGTCCTTATACACGGGTCGAACGAACAGGTCGATATTTTGGAGTTGGCTGGCAATATGAGTCGGTACTGTGGTTAGGTATATCCGCGGTTGACTAATTGGTCATCAGTGAATGCGTGAGGTCAAGTCGGATTACAGACTGTTGGCATCAAAAGATTGCATTAGAATTCCGATAGCTCAAGAGAAAAACAGAAGCGGAGTCAACAGTATCACAAGATATATGCGACCTTGGTGTATAACAGGCAAACTCATAGTGACAGTGACTCGACAAAGAAACACAGTCAACCTGAGTCACCTATGGCCTAACTCACTGAGAGGCATAAGAACGGGAAGCACTGGACGCAGAGATCAGAAGAAGCAAGGAGTAATATACTTAGCCCTTAGACCCACAATTGGCAGCTAGGTCCAAATGGGCAATAGCAGAAGCATAATTCGTACCTGAAGTCTGTATGATAGCGCCAACGCCTTCCCTAAGTCAGAGATTCCCCGATTCTGGCCGTGGCCCCGGAGGTTTTCCTCCACAAAGATTAGCATGCCTCATACTATTACCAGCCATACCGATTGCCTGCTTCTCTCTTATTTCGAGCACCAGCAGCGAAGTGATCCTCCAGTGCATCCTTCTGGGTGGTCGCGACGTTTACCAGACTTCGGAGGCTATTCTTTCCAGTACCAGATATAGATTTGAGTGGATTATGCTGCACTGCTTCACCCTGTTGCCGTAGCTTCTCGTTATGGGCATACTCCATGTCTGTGTTGAAGTCCTTGATCGTGGCACCAGAAAAGTCTGGTCCACCGCGTCCTTTCTTACCGAATAGTTGGCGGCGCTCTGCTTCCGATAGGTTCAACTCAGAAGCAATGTTGGTTAGGTCATGAGGGTTAGATCCACTCGTAGATGAAGGAGCATACTGTGCCACCTCAGGTGCTGGTGGCATGTAGTATGCTCCCTCCGTCATAGCAACATCTCTTTCCTCTTCTCCGTCGTAGAGAAGTGGTTGATACTGGCCGTCGGATGTCTCCTTGGGCGCAGACTCTGCTTCGTTCGAGACGCTAAATAGAGAGACCTTCGGCTTCCGCGCCTTGGTCTCAAGAGGCGGCTGTTGCGTTTGTGATGTGGATGCATCCGTGTTTGTGTTTTTCGCAGTGCTCGTCTCGTTGGATGCTACTGTTGGTCGAGGAGCCACAGGCTTCTTCTTCTTTCCTTTGCCGACAGACATAGGTACAAAACGTGGGGCAAAAGGCTTGGGCACCTGCTGTGGCTGTGGCTGTGGCTCTGTTTCTTGTGTCGGCATTTCTGACCTTACTTCTGCTTTAATCGCAGACTTGGGTGTTGGTAGGTTTAGCATAGCCCTGAAATCTTCCCTCGACTTAGGCTCCTTCTTGATCGGGTTGCCGGTCTCGTCGTACTCCTCCGCCTCCACCTTTGACTCCCTCTTGAACGCAGGCTCCGCGCCAGTCTTCAGGTTGACACCAGAAGCGAGTCCCTTCCCTAATCCTCTGCCTCCTGTCTTAGAACCTTCGGATGCTGAAATGGCATTTACGTTTGGCTTCTTCGGCGCAGGCAGCATTGCGTTGAAGCCACCGAACGACGAACCTCCACCCAGGCGCGCCTTTTTTGCCGGCGGCGCATGATCCTGGATATCGTCTTTGTCGGATCGCGACTGTAACGCGCCGGGAAGGTTGACCTTGATGCGCCCTGGATTCGAGCGATCGACGACCTTCTGGAAGGCTGGCTTCGCGGATGGCTTCGCGACTACTTTTGGCGCGGGCGGCGCTTCGCCGTCAGACTCTGAGTCGGAATACCCGGCGAGTAGATTCATGGTGGTCTTGGCGCGTTTGTTCAGGGGCGGGTGTCTGGCGCAGGAATTCAGAAAGTTGACGATGAGATCACTGCACGCGCGCCGCGACAAGGGCCGATGCCAAGCCAGGGTCCAAGGTACACATTCACATCCCCACATGCTTCACTGCATCTGCCCTTTATGGCTTCATGATACCCTTTCAGCTGGTCTGAGCATACCTTTCTACTACGAGACTATGATACCTTGACCTTCCAACTATGTCGCTCCTTCAGAACGAAGAGTAAGCCCATGTTACTTGCGCGACATACTTGTCAGCTAACCTGAGCAGCTTTGTGCTATACCAGCTTCGAACTGCCTACCTCTCCTCGATTAAAGACGGCGTCGGCGAACGCTTGATCAATGTCGACTCCAGCGTCCTGAACAGCCCCGCCTTCCGCGCTGCAGGCTGGGTTCCCAACGCCGCCGACATCAAGCGCACCTATTCCCCACCAATACCCACGGCCATCACCTCGGAATACTTTCAGGCCCCGCGCTCAGCTGGCCTGAAGTCGCCAGAAGGATTCGGTGAAGATGAGGAGGAGGGGGGCATGGTCACTGGAGGGGGAAGCAACGATACGGTGGGCCCTACACTGAACGCGAAACGGAGGCGGAGGAAGGAACAGCTGGAGGAGGATGATAGCAGTGACCTTAGCGACGAGAGCGATGAAGATGACGACTCGCAAAGGTAGGCGACCGTCGTACGCCACGTGAACTGAATTGACAAATTGCCAGACCGGCCAACCAAATCAAATTCACCAAGATGCCACTACGGACGCGCTCCGGATCGTCGCCCATGCCTGGATCAGCCCTACGCAATGAGTTGGCAGAAGCTGGAGAAGGACCTTCGCTCATGATCACATCCCCATCCCGGCCACCTGACGATGCATTGCGGCGAGGGTCGTTGGATGCTGTAGATGCGGGCAAAGGCAGACCAAGAAGAGACACCATAACGAGCAGTGAGATGTCCTCGGAGAATGAGTTTGATAATTCGTCGTTCAGAAAGAGGAGGGTAAATCCTCGCAAAGCCGCTGGCGCAAGCCAGTTGCTGTCCAAGCGTATTGAGGAAGACACAGCAGGGGCTGTCGGCGCACGCGCACGCCTTGAAGCTCTACACGAAGGCGATGAATCAGACGACTCCCTCACATCCGAGTTCTCTGGATCCGACGATAGCGCATCTCTTATCGGTGCAGGTGGTGACCCGTTGGACTCCTCTCCCGCAGGTGGTGACCTTCCCACAATGCCAGGCTTGACACCTTTCCAAAACCTATCACCGAAAAAGAAGAAAGAACCCATTGCGCCAACACTGCAAGCACTGCCTCCACCACGGCCAATCAGCTTTGTACTGCCAGTAAGCGCGTTGACTCAAGCACTTCGAGCCAAAGAGCAGAAGCCATCGAATCCGCTACAGCGCTTTGCTATGTGGAATGCTGCTAGCGAAGCTCAACAGAACCCTCTGTACATCAAACTCTACTGCCCATTCTCGTCTAAGCCTTCGAAACCTGTAGAGCTGCTCATCCGAAAGTTCAACGACAAAGGTGAAGGCCCCACTGTCGCGGAAGCGATCGGATACGCATTGCATCGTTATCAAGAGGAGAAACTTGAACCGCCACTTTCTCCTGAACAGATGAATGTGAACCGCTGGGTCATGCGCATGTATGATGATGGCGAGGTTGATGACGAGTTCCCGCCTTTGACTAGGAACAAGCCGTTGAAAGACTTTGCTTCAAACAATGCTCGTGGTATGCGCCCTCGAGCGCGAGATAAGCCATGGGACGAGTTCGCACTCGTCGAGGCATCTCAACGAGAATTTGGCGAGAACGAGAAGCTCACGCCGATCTATAGTCAAGAGGCAGCCAGTGCTGTCGCATCGCAAATCGACGGTCCCGACGAGAAAGAGGAGAAAAAGCCCCTGAAGCCCCTTCCAAGCCGTGCAAAGAGCTTCAGAAACCCCATTACCGGACCTTCATTTGCGCCGACAGCGACGCGCAAGGATACCAGCAATCTTGCTGACGTACCAAAGGTACCTCAAACACATGCTGCTAGCCGCACAGGCGCCCCCAAAACAGTCAACGTCCACTTCACCGACGAGAATTTCAACACGAAACATTTTAACATTCCCTGCACTACAGACACTTACATTGCTGATATATTCGATCAAGTATGTCACGACTTACGCTTGGAGAAAGCTTTGTACATCCTTAAAGTGAGTGGCAGCACTACAGTAGCGCCACCTGACCGCACTGTGGAGGCTCTCGACACACGAATGGATCTGGATCTCGTGCGTCGACGCTTCGTGGGTGACGGCGTCTATGGGCTTGCAGGATCGCCTGGATCATCATCACCCAATGCACCTCTCATCATCAGTACCGGCGGTGCGCCAAAGAAGACAAAGAAGGGTGACCGAACAAATGCAGCTGTCTCCGGCCAAGGTCTCATCCATCCACTCGCCAGAAATGGCGATTCTGGTGCTCTGGCCCTTACTGCGACGAATTACTACCGCCGTTATGCTGTTCTCCGCAAACAACCCATGTCCTTTGCCTCTTCGACATCGCGGATCATCGCTCTTGATAACGAGTATATACACATCATGCCTGGCGAGTCTAAGACTGGGGCGCGTGGTGGTTTTGGTATTGAAGGCCAAGGCAAGACGACGACTGTGCATTTCAGCAGTGTAGTTGGTAGCAAGGTCAGCAAAAAGCACCCAAAGATGTTCCGAGTCATTGTTTTCAAAGAGAGGGAGACGAAGAGATATGACTTTGAAGCTCAGAGCACCAACGAGGCAGTGGAGATTGTGAGAGAGATCAAGAATGGCGTGGAGAGGTTCTCGCAAGGTATTGTGTAAGGAACACAACACGCAAACTGGTGACAGGATGTATGGCTCTGGGGCTGTCGGCATGGCGTTATCATCATTACGGAACTCTGATCACGGGCGGTTTCAAAACGGCGTTCGATTTGCAGTAGCGACTTCGGTCATCTTTTAGGGAAGATACCTTCGACACAGCGATATCCTGTTGATGTATATACGAAAATCAACTCCAGCACACGATGGATCTGATGCTTTTTACAGAAACGACTCAACACAACGTCGCGTTTTCGAGTCTTCGCTTCGCTGTGAGGCGCACACTAGGCTCTCATGTCCCAGTCAAGGACTCGTTCTGGAAACTCCAAATCCTTCCGTACGAACACGCCTTTTTGGTGATCGATCAGCGAGCAGAAATCTAAGTCTGGTTTTAACACCAAACCTGGCCTTTACATGTGACTACGTAATCTTGTTCTAGGCGCGGCTCACTAGGCGTCATCCTCGTTCTCTGTAATCGCATTACGTCCATTACCGTGACTTTGAGGAGGAATTGAGTGGAGGTAAAGAGGTGATTTTGAGCCGAAGAACCGTAAATCAGCACATGTAGCGAGTATCTAACATATTTGGGTGCTTAGAGATACTTTTCCAAACCTTGGTCTTCAAGCCAGTGTTCGTCTGAATTCGCCAATATTAAAGTCAAATAGAAGATGGTATGTGGTTGCGTGCCTGAACTTGCCTTGTGAGACGCCGCAGGGTCTCGCAGCAGACGTATACGGAGAGCGACGTGACATCTCCTTGCGCACGATATTGGTATCAGAGTTCAAGTTACGAGTACTTCCCGTGTGACCTAAAACATTGAGTACAAAGCTTACGTCAATTACGTATATGTTCATAAAAAACTCATGTCGGCTAACGCATGATCGTACTAGCACGTTTCGATATATATTTCCAAAACCCAATAGTCACTGCAGTATGGCTTCCTCCGCCGTATTACATGCCCCAACTGAACTCATCCGCACCATTCGCCCACATGCCAAAAATTTGAATGGGGAATTTATCCGCAATGTACTGGTATCCGGCAGGATTAGGATGAAGATAATCTCCAGAATCATACAATGGGTTGAGTTGACTCGGTATTGTGGGATCGGCCAGGAACTTATCAAAGTCAACGACAGCATCAAAAACACCGGAGGTGCGGATGAAAGTATTGACCCGCTGACGTGTCTTCTCGCGCTCAGGATCAGAGTAAGGTTGTTGAGTGAAATTGGCTGGTGCAGAGAAAGGTGTGATAGTAGCGCCGAAAACAGGGATGCCGTGGGCGTGAATAAGGGTGACCATCTGCTCGTACGCCTGAATCAGTCCTTGATAAATCTGCTCTTGCGCTTCGGGTGTTGTAGGTGCACTTCCGATATCATTTACACCCTCGAAGATCATGGCATACTTTACACCAGGATGCGCCAGGACGTCGCGATCAATACGGCCGAACGCATTGGGGCCGAGACCGTCTGCTAAGATACGGTTTCCACCTGCAGCCAGGTTACCCGCGGAAATGTACTTGGTTAAGGGGTTCTTTTGAAGGCGCGCAAGGAGCAGGTCGGGCCATCTGTTGTTTTGATTGGTTGTGGATCCACGGCCGTCAGTGATAGAGTCGCCAACAATGAGCAGGGAGCCAACACGCGGTTCAACCCAGGCTTCGATGGAGGAAAGAAAGTACCAATGTGCTGCGGACTGTGTGGTAGAGTTGCTGATGTCGAGACTAGCTGAGGAGACTGCGTTGCCGAATTGCCACCAACTTGTGGTTCTGGAGCCAGGATGGCTGGTGATGCTGTTTGTCGTCTGTCCGCTTGCAAGGTACATGGTTACGGTAACGATCTGCTGTGCCTTGATCTTAAAATTTATCGGGTCGGACACTGCGAGGGCACCGTTCGGTACACTGATGCCATCTTTTCCTCCAAAGGTAACCTTTTGAACAGTTTGGGGTTGGACTTGGTAGATACCGGCGGTTTGGTTCACAGGGAGGGCAACCGTGACGGCGGTGATGGGAAGGTTCGAACCGCCAAAGACGTTGGAGAATTTGAGGCGAATTTGGTGGGCTGAGGTGGTCATGTACAAAGTTTGTCGGATCGTAGAGTTGACAAAGACAGCGCCTGTTTGATTCTGGTACGTGGTGTTAGTACAAATTCGATAGTGCGTGAGCAACGTAGCATACGAATGGAGCAGGCGGCAAATTTGCTGGCTCTGTGAGCTGAGGCATCGATGCCCACGCATCGACCCAGTGGCCGTTGGTAGGGTTGGGGCGAAATTTGCCAGAGGCTCTCGACTCGATCTCAATTGCATGGCCCTGTACTGACACTGCAACACCCACTAGGAGCACTGCTAACCTCGAGAAGATCATACTGGCTCAACCGTTCTTCGATTGACAGCTTGAGAGTATGACGATGCCACGACCAACAAAAACACCGGGTATCCGCATGTTTAATACCCTGCCGCTGCCACGGTCCCCAAATTACGGATGTAGGGAAGGAAATGAGGCTAAGCATAGACACGAGCATACATCTGGGATGGCGCAGGAACCGATCTACGGCCTGTTCCTGAAAGAGTATCTGGGGTGCCGTTAACTTGTGGGGATCTGCGGAGATGGGCGGATAAATTGCGCGGACCGAGAAAACCTGGTTGGTGGGCGCGTTCTTTTGCTCGCAACGCTGTTTATCCATCGGCTACACACCGCGTAAACTGCGATTGTGACGCTTGCGCTGTATTCGGACCGCGGACACAATTGTTCCGTTAGCGACACGACTGGGCGAAGAAGCACCGAGTGAGAAGAATCATGTATCCGTATTCATTGGTATCGTAATCCATGCAATAACAAAACAACGCCGCCCATGCAATGTCCCGGAATAGTTAACGCCTTGACTGCCAGAAGCGTCATCTATAAACGTCGTGACTGGCCGTAATCTGTGGCCACCAAGATATATGACCACACAACGCAAAGGTATGGCGATAATCCACAAGGTACTGGTACCAGTATTTCGAATCCACGCCCAGTTGGAGTGTCAGAAGGTTGGACTTTGGCCACATGAACAGTGTGCAGTCTTCTGGCAGTTGTCACAGACCGCGCGGAGGTGGCCAGCAGTAATATCGTCGCCTGGAATGTGCACAGTAAGAGCTCAGCATGAGCATACAAAGACATAGGAAGAAGGGCTATAGGCCCATGGCGAGTTGCCGACGTCCGACTCAGAAATCATCGTCACTTTCCGCCTTTTTCTTTTTCCGGCTTGAAGTCTTCTTCTTCTTGCCATCCACATCCATGTCGCCCTCGTTCTTCTCCGGCGCATCGGCAACCTTGGAGACGATCTCGTTGAGGAAGTCGAAGCGGTCGGTTTTGGTGATGGCTTGCTTTAGGTGGATGGAGCCGACGCGCTTGGAGTTGCGCGCCTTGGCTTCGGCGGCGGCTTTGGTGACGAGGGAAATCATAAAAAGCTCGAGCGCTTTGGCTGTAAAGTGTTAGACAAGTGCGTGTGCGGATACAATGTTGAGTACGTACAAACAACGACAGGCGTGACTTGGGCGACCTTTCCGACATCGTCGTCGGCCTGCATGATGCGCTTTATGCGCGCGACCGGGAAGTGGTTCTTGATGGTGATGTGGTCGGTGTTGGGCGTGTCTGCCCCGCCGAGGCCGCTGCCCGCGTCTGCCATGATGGCGGGCACCGACGCGTCAGGCATGTAGTCTGCATCTTGCATGCTCTCCTCCTTCTTGACGCCGCGAGGCATAAAAGGCTGTGGCGCAGGGTTGGCCTGCAGTGTCGGAGCAGGATGTGTCGGAGCAAAGGGCGGCGCGACGTGGGAAATGGAGCCTCTGTAACCTGTATGCTGGGGATGAGTAGGCTGCTCAGCGGAGTAGTAGTAGGAAGATAAATCTGGCGACTGTGGGGCCCAGTTGCTGTCCATTGGCTGGTGCTTGGAGGACAGGGACCTTGGAGAGATGACGCGGTAATTGGGTCTTGTAGCGAGCCTGGGTGACGCTATGAAGCTGCTTCGGTCTTGGTGTGGTGCGGGCGGTGAAAGCATCTGCCACTGTCGAAGAGCGGGACACGCAGGTTTTATCTACTTTCTCGCCCGCGCCTGGGGCCCGTGCCCTACGCGCCCTCCCGACAAAACCGTGAATCCGGATTTGGGCTTGGACTCTTCAGCCTCGTCACCTTCATCGTTCCTGCCCAAGGTCCGCCTTGGAAAGGTCTCGGTGAGGGCGCGGAGCCAGCAGTGGATGACGACACGAGCACGCCAGAGACACATCCGCCATGTCCAAACAGCATGGCGGTGCCTGCTTCTGTTCGCAATGACGAAACCCCCTCGGTCGCCTGAGGTTGTGGTTGATCGGCGCGCAGAGACGGGAGTCGTTGATGGTGTAATTACTTGATCTAATCTGACACTCCGCCGCGCTTCCAAGTTGACGAGGCGTCTGCCTGGCATCCTCTATAGCAGTCTACATTGCAGTCGCATATACATGCACAATACAATATGCCCTTCAAGCGCCTCATGTGTCTTTTGTGATGCTGCCATCTTCCTTGCGACCCTCTCTACCCGGGCCTTCTCTCAACCATGTCTCTGCGAGGCTGTTCTTGGGGTCATCTTCAGGGTATCCGCGCTGCCGCCTAACGTCCAGTACTGCCTGCCGCATCCGTCGCGTGCATTCCTTGCGTATGCTGACAGCCTCTGGAGAGTATTTGAGCTTTTCATTTAGCACACCGACCTCGAGTTGGCCCTCCTTCCGCTCCTCAGTTGCGCGCATCTGTTTCCAGCGTGCGCGCAAATCGCCAAACACCTCTTCAGCATCCAGTTTCTCGCCAAATGTCACCCGAACGTTTTTAAACGGCCGTGGTATGAAGCGTGGGAATGTGCGCGTCTCATGCATGATATTGTCGAAACCTTCAATGAAGATGGGAACGATGTCTGGCATCGGGTCGCTCTCCAGTATCAGTCGAGATACTCCCCATTTGAAGTAGCGCATAATCCGGTCTTCACTTTGGTGGATCATGCCTTCTGGGAAGATGTGTACCCATGCATGCCGCCGGCTGAGATATGCTGAGGGCGCAGGAAACGTGTCCTGTCCATTTGTAGAGAATGTGAGGTGGCCGTCAGTGAAGGGGTCGATCAGATCAGGGCTCTTGAGAGACGTTGTAGGCTTTACTGGTCCGTCTTGCTCGTAGAACGGCCCGCGCGAGAGGAGACGGATCGCTTGCGTTATGGTAGGCTGGAAGAGGCCGCCGAATTGAGAATGCGCCGATCGGTGTGTAGGGAGAACCTGCCCGAAGGTGAAGAAGGTTGACAGTCCTCTGGTATGGCGTTAGTTGACCATGTTGCAATGTTATTAGAGGGAACATACTTGTTGGTAAAGCACAAGTCGTAGCTGCCCAGTCCCCAGCGCAGGTTGTCCGGGTTGAACATGTAGCTGAGAGGCAGTATGCCCCATAATATCGGATCATCCATTCTGTCCAAATTGTATAAGCGGAATCCATGGTTTGCGAGTGCGAGATTACGGCAAACGTACGTACACGGAGATGTGGTTCGAGACTGAGCATTCATTAGTACCTGTTGCATTCTACCTGCTTTGCAATGGCATACCAGTAATCAGGCCCCTCTCTCTACTCGCCGGGTCCTCCCTCTCGTCCAGCAGCTTCAAGAAGCCCTCCATTCCGTGCGTCTCCACCTTGCTCAGCCCGGTCAGGAAACCTTTGCACAAGAGGCCGACAGCGCCCATGGTGAAGACGGACGCCGCGCGCCATGGCCCGCTGGGAGCCTCCGGCTGCTCCTCTGGTCGCATTGGGGTTGTCGTGGGGTTGACGGCGACATGTGAAGATTTCGCGCCCAATAGCTGGCTGCTGCGACCAACCAACGTCACCGCCGCCAGGGAGTGGGAATTCTGCGACAGGGATTAGCGGCGTTGCGGCCTGCACGTGCGCCGAGTGGCTGGCTCTTCCGCCTTCAGCACTCACTCTTCCATCACTACAACACGAGCCCAATACCTTACAACACTAGACGTGCACATCATCAAGTCTGGTGCACGCCATCGTGTGATTGAGCCTGGCACTATCACCCGGATTGCCGTCTCTATTGATTGCATCACGAAAAGTCGCGTCTAAACTTCGCATTCTGCGACTCGCGACTCTATCACATTAGACTTGGCTCAACATGCCGCCTCCAAAGACCATCTTCACGTCTTACGAGCGGAATGCCCTCAAAGATAGGTGGGGCTCGCAGGCAACACGTCTCACTCGTGACTCTTTTCTACCGTTTGGCTCATGCCAGCTATGTCTCCTTCCTTCAGTAGACCCAGTATGCTGTTCACAGGGCGATTTATTCTGCCGCGAGTGTGCCATGACCAATCTTTTGGCTCAACGGAAAGAAATGAAAAGGCTAGAAAAAATCAACGAACGCCAAAAGCTAGAGGATGAGGATCTAAAGCTTCGAGAAGAAGAGGAAGCGCGGTTGCGGGCAGTCGAGGAATTCGAGGCTGTTCAGATGGGGCTTTCCGTCAAAGCAGGCGCATCAGCAAGAGTCATTGGAAGGCAGGGCGGCAAGATCATAGTAGAAGAGGAGCAGGATGCAAAGGCTGGAGAGACCAGAGGCACGAAACGTAAATTCGAAATCGACGAAGAAGAGCTCAAGCGCATCGCAGACGAAGAGCAAAGCAAGGCGAAACGTACATTAGACGCCGAACGTAAAGCAGCAAAGGGTCATTTACCCAGCTTCTGGGTCCCAGGCGAGACCCCCGATCAACACCACACAAGCGCGGAGAAGGCGAGGCAGACACCTATATGCCCGTCTAGCCACCCTGACCAACCGCACAGCCTGTCGTTAAAAAGCCTGACGAGCGTCAACTTCCGCGAAGAGAAGTCAGCCGATACCGGAAAGTCTGTCCGCACATGTCCCAGCTGCCAGAAAGCGCTCTCGAATAGCACAAAAGCCATGCTAGCTATACCATGCGGCCACGTCCTCTGCAAGCCATGTGTTGACAAGTTTCTCAAGCCAGAACATCGCCATCAGAGAGATGCACACGACGACGGACCTGACCCGGAGACTGTACACTGTTATGTTTGTGATGCGGATCTCACTACAGTCCCGGACGCTAAGGATGGCAAGAAGAAGAAGAAGGACAAAGAAAAGGAGAAGGCGCCCAGACCTGGACTTGTGGAGATCCGGAGTGAGGGTACTGGATTTGCAAGTGGTGGAAAGGCCATGGTAAAGAGAGAAGGCGTTGCGTTCCAAGTATAGCGAGTTTGTGAACATATAGAAGCAATGCACGAACCATTGCTCACAAAATGTACACATATGTCGTATGCTCCAGCTTTGTTGAGTCCTATCAGAATTCGAAGCTATTCGACACCTCATCTCTGCATCTCGAACCGATGTGTATCTACTTAGACGATGCCACCATTCGGTCACGGACGGTCCCCTCCGTTATCCTGTTTTCTAGTAGACCGCAATTCTGGAACACATGTTGCTGAAGAACGTCAGTTGACAAGTAAAAATCGTGATGACCTAAGTGTGATCTGGCGCGTACGTGAACATCATCCAGCTTATGCCAGTGCAAGTGTTAGTGGATGGCAGATGTCTGAGACGCGTCGGAGTAGAACGGCGCGCTAGCACGTCATTACAGTCGTGAATGCTGTGACTCAGCATTGTTCCTTTCTTCATCGCAGCAACTAGACCAAAAATGTACTGCACTCTGTCAACTATGCCCAGGCATGGCGTTGGATCATCTTATTGGACCAGTTATCGTGTGCTGCCTACTTGTCTATAGAGAAAACGAAACCGGCATGAGCTATCGTGAATACTAAGTATCTTCGATGCGCTCTCGTTCAAAGTACAGCTTGTTATACTGGCCTATGCCGACGTCCGGATCCTTTTCTGTCTCCGCCGTGTGAGGAAGCATGGTGTGAGCACGAATTCTGTTGCCTAGTGCAAGCTCTGCAAGGAGCAGGCGAAGATGCGTATGTCATATCTAATTGGCTTTTCACCTTACGATTACTTGCACTTCGCCACTTTATGTATTACTGAAGCCATTCAGGGTCACTTCGTTCCTATCCCATTTCGGTAAAACATCACTAAAGTTGTATTTGGGTTTACCATAATGTACCACGAAATTGAACATCTTAATCTGCATTAAAACTCTACAGGAAATTAGTAGCTTCTGCCTTCGGGGTTTTTTGTCTGTCAATGTGGGACAAATTTAATTCAGAATAAGTTTTATCGACCTGGTACATTACAGAAGTACAATCATCGATATATTATCGACATACTTCCCTAACCGTTACTCAATCGAACACGCTACCACGGCTCCACTTACTTGACCGCCTGATCCGTTTCCCGTATATGTAGAACACAAAAGGCACTGGGATAAGCAGTGCTGCGAAACCACCGGTAATGCTACTTGCGGGACCAACTCCAATGTTATGATATAATGGCGTGACAACCAATGGAAAAGCGCCTGCAAAAGCGCTTCGAAGAAAGGTGTTCGCCGCTACTGCACTCGCTGCATACAATGTAAAAGTGTCAACTAAGTAGTTTAGAGCAGCTTGGAAGATGGTGAAGAAACCGGTTCCCATCAACACGAGACCGATGACAGGAGCGATCCAAGGATACTGTGGATCCGCAGTCCATCCCATGATGAATTGACCAGCGGAGAAGAGTACAGATCCAAGCATCATCGGCGGCAAACGTGCTTCAGGCACCGCGCGATCTCCAGCTGCATGGTAGACCTTGTTGTACAGAATCTGATTATAGGCATTGATGCTGCAACCGATTATCGCGCCGACTAAGATGCCCAGGAATGGCAGTGTCGCGCTTACAGCTGGCCAGCCTCTTATTTCCCCAAAAATAATCGGAATGCCACCTGCAAAAAAGAAGATACAAAGTCAGTGTATGTCTCGCATATGTTTCTTACGCCCTGGGCTCACCTAGTTGCATGTAAAGGATGCCATAGCAGAAGCTGGCGTAAAGTGCTACGAGAAAACAGATGGGTGTCATGAGAAGTTGTATCGGTCGTAGAAGGAACTTCTTAGACAACTCTTTGATGCTAACATCCCACTCTTCGAACTTGGTGTGGAGCGCCCAGTTTCCTGTCTCATGGCGCAGGCGACGCGCTTTGTAGACGAGAAGTTTTGGTGGGTAGCATTCGTCAATGAAGAGAACGTCGATGACGAGAATAGTTGCTTGAAGAATTCCGGTAAAGTACTCGGTCCATCGCCAGCCTAATGAAGGATTGGCGACAAAGGCCGCCGATACGATAGGTCCCAGACATGGACCTCCGACCACTGCCATCGCACTGCAGATTTGAAAATACGAAGTCAGTGTATGTCTCACATGCATTTCGTATAGGCACAACTTACTAGCCGGCCATCGCCAAAGCTCTCCATGCGGGACTGTAAAGATCTCCCAAGACACCACCAGTATTTGTGACTGGTGCGCTAGCAAAGAAGGCACCGAAGAATCGAGTAATCATTAGCGTCTGGAAGTCTTTTGCTACTGCGCTACCAAAACTAAAGCAGATCGCGACAAGCATAGGCGTCAAGACTGCTAGTCGTCTCCCATAGACTTCGGAGAGTGGCGCCCACAATAGCGGACCAAGGCCGAATCCGAAGAGGAAGAGCGTAGTACCCAACACAGCTACCTGATTTCCAACATTGAACTCGGCTGCTATCTGTCGTGTGCCAGCCGAATATGCAGAAGATGCCCATGTCGCGCTCATAGTCGTAAAGCCGTACATCAGCGTCGTAGTCACCTTCTTCTTAGTAGGCCAATTCATCGGTCGGTATGGGTCGTCATCGCCATCGAAGTCTACCAGCACATCTGCTTTCGTCTGTTGATGTGCTAGAGGATGGGAGAATGGTGCAACATTCGGTCGTGTACGAATTCGTGAAAGTATTGTGTCGCGCCTGGAAATTGTGTCGCCCAATGGCTGGTTCATACCACTCGCGGTCGCTGTTACTGTCCTGTCTCGTGCTAAGCTCCGTGTGCTGCGTGAGCGCGAGATGCTTTCATGAAGCTCTCTCCGCGATGGACGGTGACCGTCATGATGAAGATCCTTCTCTTCTTCTTCATAATCCGAGGATGATTCAGACGTCGATTTGCTTCGCTGCCTTGGCCTTGATCGCCTTCCATTTTCGAGATCTACATCTGCATTCGATGTTGATGGAGGGGTTGTGTTGTCTTCCGAAACCATGATACTAGCCACTAGTCTCTTGCCGCGTAATTCAAAAGGGACTTGCAATTGCTCAAAATTGACTCAGTTCTCCTAGTAATGTGTGGTTCAAACAATGAGATGATGATGTGAAGTTACGACAGGTAGCAGGCATCCATATAGGTTCGACATCAAATCCGCAAGGAAAAACAGAGGAAAAAGACCATGAAACGCATAATAGTCTGGAAACAGAGGCCACCCACGATTGCTGTTGGACATCTCCGGTCAATGTGACGTAGATTTTGCGTGCTAATCAGCTGCACTAACCCAGCATGGCAAAGTACGTTCATTACTCGGCATCCTCGAGCTTTTATTCTCAGAAGAACCGGAGATTTTTCCGGCTGACAGATCGCGAAACAAGTACGTTCGCACGAAGATGAAGAGGGTGGCTAGTGAGTCAAGGAAAAGACGCGTGTGCACTGTGAAAGCGACAGGTTTGGAAACGAGACTGTAATGACGTGACGATCTTCGTACCGCGGCAGTTGCCTCCCGTCTCAATCGGCAAACATCGCATTGAAACTTGGTTAGCACGTCACCCACGAAAGAAGAGTGGATATTATAAAATATTCGTCAACATTATCTGATCTAATACTGCTCTTCACAAGGCTCCAGGGGTGTTCTTAACAGCCTGCGCAGCCTCCTCACAGTCCTCCCCTAGCGGAATAACAGCGCCATAGCCTACGGTCTGCGCACAGGCAGTGAAGCCATAAACTTTCTGGTAAAAGCCCGAACCATCCGGACTGGCCTTTTGTAAAGTAGCAGTGAGTACATCAACACCTGCCGAAGGACCTAGCGTTACGTTACCAGAGCGGAAAGTCGGTTGTGCCGTGGCGTTATTGAAAAACTGGGTGTTGCGCTGGCACTTGGGGGTAAGGAGGCTACCAACGCTGCCGAGCATGAGAGGTTGGTTCAACATGCTCTTCCACATATCGAGAGAGTACTTGGGCATGGCTTGATTGGGCTCGCTGACGAACTTGAGATCAATAGCCTCGGCGTACAGACCTGGGCCGCTAAGAGAGTTGGGTAGTTGTGCCCACTTTGAATTGATGCCGAAAGAGCCGTCGCTGTATGTCTGGAGCGGTGCGTTTAGTGGGAGGAAAGCGCCGATCCTAGTGAGAAGGCCGCCTATGGTCGCTATACAATTGAGCATTAGCTATGATGGACTGATATCAGTACACGAATGTCGTTTACTTACCAACCAGAGAAGGTATGAGACCGAATACATAGCCTTGCGTCACCGGGTCTACGCCTGCCAGGAGAGATACAAGCGGTGCATTGAGTGGCGTCTGGGAGTTGCCGATGCCGACATATGGTATCATGGAGCTGGCAGTCATCAACCCTGTGGCAAGCTGGAGACCACCCTGACGGATGTCGGTATTTGCTCCAGCATTGACAATGACGGGGTGCATGCCAGCCGGGAAGTTCAGTTCTGCCGGGAGAGATAGCAGGTTCAGTCCTTGTAGGTTGACCAAACTCGAGAACGATTCCTTTAGAGCCTTCTTCACAGCGTCCTTCGGGACAGGAACTAGGAACCAACCTGTGGCATATGTTAGTACACGGTCTTGTTTGCTTTCGATAAAGACTATACTGACTGCTAATCGTGCTCATGGTACGGTCTTGCTGATTGTAGATAGCAACCTCATTTGGACATGTTGTGCTTTGACCAGCGACGAGACTCGCGGCAGCAAGTAGTACTTGGAGGAAGAGACGTGCCATGATAAAGGGAATATTGTGAGTTGGGTACTTGAGTGTGGTCTGGTCTTACGATGGGACAACAGTGTTATATACAAAGGTGCGCTCTTTCCAAGCTCATCATTACAAGCTAGCGCGGTACTATTCGTCATCACGTTAATTTTGTAGTTCAGTCAACACCTTGTACTCAAGCCTGAAGGTGTTACCTAAAGCGAATGGTGCGTTCTTGGATATTGAGATCTGCTGTGAGCAGCCCAATGCTCATTCGTTGGGATCTACATCATTGCTCCTGTCTTGCGCGCTAGTTATCAATTAGCTTTTTGCTCGCCTCGTTTCGGGCTTTTGTGAGTCCACTTTGTATCAAGGCTAACCTTATAGCAGCTCTTAAACACATTTGCGATCGACGACAGTGGTGGTTCCGGCCCGCTCCAACCCCTTCGGAGAAGAATCTCAGATAGTACGGCTATGGAGTTCCCGAACACCGCCATCTGTATACGGGCTGACCAAAACATGCGGTAAAGCCGAGCATCCTGTTATACAACTGTACATAATGATCATTGTACGATTGTGCCAAACTGTTGAGGTCGTGATTTATTTAAATGAGCTCTTTTTAGTGCTTATATATCGCTGTTGGGAGACGAGGTTGTGAAGCATTTAAAGTTTTTCGATCGAGGACAAGGCATTCTAGGGAGTAGGGAAAAGCTGGCAGACGCTTCACTCTACACTCAAGCAATATTCAGGCACCAGTTTGCAAATCGAGGTTGTCGCTTTGCTGGAAGGCAATCATACCTAGTAGACGTGTGCGTAATATGTAACCGTCTTAGTGCAAGAATCAAGATAACTGAATAGAGCCATGTCATGCGATCTTTCGAGATGTGTAGAGCCAATGTCTTAGATCTCGTATGACTCGCGCATATGTTCGAGCAAGTCTTCCTTGCTCTAGCCCTCGCCCCTCGCACGGCCAGGTGTAGAGTCGTCACCGTTTCGAAACATACAATATGCGGTCCTTCTCCTCCGGCACGAGAAGTTGAGCGCGAACACAGGAAAAAGGACAGAATGCAACGATCGCTCGGTTAATGCAACCCTCTCGCAGGTGGCGCGCGGGATGTTGATGTACGCCAAGCCACTAGCGACTACCTGGAACGGACGCGAACTTCAATGAAGCGTGACGTTCGCGGCCACTTAGCCTTGTCGCATCTTCTCACTCTCCTTTACCTAGCATTGTTTTATCGAATGGATCAGCGCATAGACTTCAGTGCGTCTATGCGACTGTCACTTTGTTATTCTTACCACAATTGAGTGCATAATTCGACCATGGCAGACTACAGCAAGCAGACGGTCGCGCAATTGCGGCAGCTGTTGAAGGATCGTAGTATACCGAGTACCGGCCTGACACGAAAAGCGCAGATTATCGAGAAGTTGCAAGAGGCAGACGGTGCTGAAGCCTCGAGTTCTGCTCAAATTTCCAATGCGCACCACGCGATTACCGAGAACGCAGACGCGCCGCCCGATCCGGTGGAGCAGGTCAAGGAAGAAGTTGGTCATGGCGACACTGCTGGCAGAGAGAATGCTCCGGGACCCGCGCTTTCTGAGGCTGGAGGTATGCGCAGGAATGCAACATGGTTAGCCTCGAATTACTGACCGATCTGTAGAACCAGAGCAACTGAACCACGAAAACGAGTCGAAACCACCACCCGTACCTGCAGCGACTACCGAACCCCTCCCTGAGACAATCTCGCACATTGACAGCAACATTCCTCCGCCAGACCAGATCAAGGCAATAGAGGAGCCTATGGAAGACGCCACCAATATGGACGAGCCCGGTTCGATACAACCCGCGAGAGTCTTCAACGCGCCGCCCGCGGATCCCGTTGGCCCAACCGTTACAGAGCCTACAGACGCGGAAGTCGAGGACGTAAAACAGGTCCAGGTTGCAGGGGACGAGCTGCCAGATGCTCCTGGGCCGGCTGCTGAGGCGTTGCGAATGGTGCAGCCACCATCTGGACTTGCCGAAGACTTGCAAGATGCAACAGCGGACGAGAAGATGGCTTCAATCGCATCGGATGAACAGCAATCAGTAGAGAAGCCAGACACACTTGCGGTTCCAGGGTCGCCGATGATCGACACATCGAGGCTGAACACAGAGGAGCTAGATGCAGATTCAAAGAAGAGAAAAAGAAGGAGTGGCACACCGGAGATGGCAGCCGAGGACATCAAGGCAAAGAAACACAAGCCAGCTCAAGAACCGGTTCCTGAAATCCACTTGCACGAAGATGAAGACACAGTCATGGAGCAAAGAAGACCGGAGGAAGAGGCCGACAGCCCAACAGACGTCAAGTCACACGAAACGAACGGAAATTGCACCCCGTCAGTCGAAGAGCAGCCACCAGCCATGGAAGCAGATACCAAGCGCGAGAAAAAGGAGAAGGCTGCTCGATACAAAGACCTGGTCAAGTCCAGCGCAGACGACACTCCCCAGGAAGCCTTAATTGACGACAGGCCTACAGTACCCGCACTTCACCCTGTAACATCTGCTTTGTACATTCGCAACTTTATGCGCCCTCTACGTCCGGAGCCACTGCGAGCACACTTGATTTCTCTTGCCTCGCCACCATCTAGCTCACCGGACCCTACCATAGTTGAGGATCTTTTCCTAGATTCGCTGAAGACGCATGCTCTCGTACTGCTTAGTACTAAGACCGCTGCATCACGAGTACGAGCGTCGCTCCATGGCTCCATCTGGCCGCCAGAGGGCAACAGGAAAGAGTTATGGGTAGATTTCGTTCCGGACGAGACGGTAAAAGACTGGATCAGAGAGGAAGAGGACGCGTTGGCTGCAGAGAAAGAGGCCCGTGCAAACAAACTGCCGACTAACCCGAAGCGATTCGAGGTTGTGTATTCCGAATCGAGCAATGGTTCAGTCACAGCCGTGTTTCAAGAAGTCGGATCGAGCGCTCCTGCAAATGCACCACGAGGCCCACGCGCAAGCATTGACGCACGAAGGCCATCCATACAACAACCACTCACACCGTCACTTTCGACCGCTCCATCAAAAGACACACGGCAAGATACTGAAGCCTCGTTCAAAACACTCCACGACCTGTTCAGCGCTACAGAAGCGAAACCTCAACTTTTTTACTTGCCTGTTTCAGATGAGATCTCCGAACTGAGACTGAAGGAATTGGAAGCCGAGACAAGTAGAGACTGGTCACCTGGCGAGACTAGGAAAGGACGGGGTATCAAGGCTGAGATGAAGTACAAATACAGTTTCGATGAAGACGACAGGATCATCGAGGTTGGTGAAGAACGCGACGAGGGCTATAGAGGTGGTAGAGGTGGCGGTGGCTTCAGAGGGCGAGGGCGAGGTGGATACAGAGGAAGAAGAGGAGACGTATGGAGAGGATGAGCTACGTGAAGGGATAAAAGTTTTGCACGAAGAACTTTAGGAGCCGAGATGACGGGCTGGGCTTCCTCCGATGTTATTCCGACAAGTTTACCCTTCCTCGTGCCATCCTGGCGGAAAACGGTCACCGAGCTATGTCAGGCAGGAGTGGATGGTACATGCTCATTGCGACTTCTTAACATTCCATGCTGCTGCTGCATCAACCTTTTGTCTCGAGAAGGAGATACCTTGGCGTATAGTATACTAACATGAATCCGTCGGTCTACACAGGTCATTACTGTCCTTCACCATGGCTGGTTCATGTGGAAATGACCATCCTCAAGCTCTGGTACTCAAAGAGCCTCTACCCTTCAGCGATGAGGACGTCACATTCCGTCTTCTTTCTCTCAACGTTTGCTGTACTCTAGCTTCATTAGCCGTTGGCCTCTCCGTCTTCCACATCATGCAACACGCGCTGCACTGCCTTCGCTCATGGGAACAAAAACACATCATACGCATCCTCGCTGTCATCCCTGTCTATTCTTGGACCACGTTCTTCTCCTACCTTTTCCTCGGCGGTGCGGTTTACTGGGAACTTATCCGTGAATGCTACGCCGCCTACGCTACTGTGAGCTTCTTCACGCTTATGTGTCACTACATAGCACCCAATCTTCATGAGCAGAAAAATTATTTTCGCAGTGCCGAGCCGAAGAACTGGGGCTGGCCATTGAATTGGGTCCAGAAGCTGAGTGGTGGTGAATATAAAGGCTGGCTGAGGAAGCCCAGATGCGGCGTCACTTGGTTCAACGTTAGCGCCGGCGCCGCCCGCATTTTTCAAATGTTCGCTGATGTATCTATAGATCAACTATATCGGCATCTTCCAATACGTTGTCCTTCGAACCATCGTAACCATCGTATCCGGCGTCACGCAATTATTCGGTCGGCTTTGCAAAGAGGAACACAATCCACGATACGCATCCACATGGACAGCCATATTCGACGCCGTTTCTATCCTTGCAGCCATGTATTGCATGCACCAAGTCTACGACCAGCTCAAAGAAGATCTCGCGCCCAACAAACCTGTTCTCAAGATGGTATGCGTCAAGCTGATTGTCTTCCTTACTTATTGGCAAACATGGCTTATTTCCCTGCTCATCCGGTTTCGTGTACTACACGAAACGCGATTCATTTCGCTGTCCGATATTCATCTTGGCATCCCGTGTCTGCTTACATGCGCTGAGACTTTGGTGTTTGCTATCTTACACTACTGGGCGTTTCCGTGGAGGCAATACGACATTGAGCGCCTTCCAAAATTTCCGGAGCAAGTGTACGAGTGTGGACCTAACGAAGCGCTGCTCGAGGCGGCCAGTCCTTGGGATTACTGCTGCGCCACCGCCCGTGGCTTCCGCTGGCTATTATATGGTATTCATTTTCGCAATGCTAGCCTATTTTATGAGCCCAACTACGAAGCCCAGGGTATCACTACAAGAGTTCGAGACGGTACGCAGTCAGATCCTATATATGAAGTTCCGAAGGGCGTTGGTAAGCATGATGCGAGAAAGAACAGAAAAACAGCATAACGGCTTGTGTTCTGGGAGAATGGGAAGAAGACAGGGCGGTGCTATCAGAGGCCGGGCTTGATGTAGGCTAAAGGTCTTGAGGCCATCAGAGTCGCGTATAGTACGTTAGAGTAACAGCACAACACAGTAGGTTTATCCTAGAGACTGAATACATGTTACAGCATATCGCTAGTTTCGATCTTTCGTCCAGGTTTAGGGTGTCTCCATCTGATAGGCCGCGACCACCGCTTACATAACACCAACAAGGCTCGGGACGATCTTCATCCGCGTCATACCCACGACACCCGCACCCCGTGCTTCAGCATCTCGTATCTGCCAATGCATCCAGGGTTCCCCGCAGCAAATGCCTCTGATGGCGACGGGCATGTGGAGCTTCTGCCAATGTTAGCACGCAACTGCGGCTAGCTTCCGCGTGCCTGGTATTTCAGTTCGCCTGCCCGCATCGAGCTGCCTCGCTCGAGACGACCAGTTCGCACACTGCCCTTCAGCCCCAGCGCAGATCAATATGCCCTCCAAATCACGTGGACTGAGGACTTCGACAGGCTGGTAAGTCACAAACTTCCTGATCGTCAGTGTTTTGTGAAGGCAGGTGCCAGGCTGCCTTAACGCAACGCATCATGAGCGCAATGCTAACGAGTGGAACAGCTTGACATGCCGCAAGCGCAAAGTCAAGTGCGATGAGAGTCATCCGAATTGCAAGAATTGCGAGAGAGTCCACCGCGAGTGTGTATATGCTGAAAAAGCTCCTACACCCCGACGGCCACGAGCATTAAGCGCGTATAAACCCGACGACATTTCAGCTACCACAGATTCTGTGACAGGAAATAATGAGACCGAGCCAAGATCTGCAGGCGTCTCAGCGCTAAGTGCAGAGCCCGTAGAACCGATACAATCGTGGGGACCTTTCCCCGCAGAACAGCCAGGGCTCTCCGAGAGCGTGATACCCAACGACGACTTCTTCCTTGACGACAGTCTTTTTAATTTCGGGGATAGTCTGACCCCCAACTTTGGACCGGTCGAATGGTGATGCCAACTTGTTTATGAAAGCTACTAGAAACTAAGACTTGATAGGTATGATCTACTCGCCGAAGACGCCATCAACAATATGCAAGGACAAACGCATAGCAATCGCTGGAATTTCGACATTGCTAGCCTTTCAAGAAGACAATCACCTCGACAGTCTGTTGCTCTAGAAGCGAATGATAACCCTTTCAGCAACGTCGATGTGCATACTATTGCGATACCTGAGCAACCATGGAACACAGAGACGAAGATTGAGCTGAAACGACAAGAATTGGTGTACTTCGAACACTACGTCAGCGTGGTAGCACCAATACTGGACTTGTTCGACCCGGTGAAGCATTTCGCTAATGTTGTGCCTCATCTTGCCTTGCATAATGTAGGGTTGCTGAAGTCTTTATTGGCAGTGGGTGCCTGTCACATGGCGCTATTCCAGGATCAGGATGTAAACAACGATGTTGCGTCACAAGCGCCGCCTGGCACACCCGCTTCATCTGCCAGTGCATCGCCGACAATTCGAACGGTTGCTGAGCAATTCTATTACGAAACACTGCAATACCTATCCCAGAATCTACTGTATCAGTCGTATACGAAATCTCGCGAAATACTCGTCACTGCTATCATGATCTCGACATATGGTACGTATTGCCTTTGTACGAGCAGCGGGAGTGATATTTGCTCAGTATACTAACAGAGACAAAGAAATGTTTGGGACAGCTAGCACCTCGGATCATAGTAACTGGGATCGCCATCTGAGGGGAGCATTCTGGATACAACGAAATTCTGACACAAGCGGCGAGTCTAACGATGGCTTGCAACGAGCAGTCTGGTGGGCATGGCTACGGCAAGACGTCTGGGCGGCTTTCCGTACTGGGCGGCCGGCACTGACAATACACCAGCCTAGAGTGCCGATGGGTGAACTTACATCAGAAGGACTGGCTACACGTATTATATACATCGCAGCAAAATGCGTACAATTTGCTGCAACACCTAAGCAGGGTGATATCGCCGGATACATCGAAGCAGGAGAAACGTTATTGCGGATGCTAGACGCATGGAAGAGTCTCCTACCGCCAAGCTTTGAGCCCATACCCATTCAATCTGGACATCATGCATCTTCACCGAACCCAGCGCTCGAAGCGAATCTGACGCCAATATGGATACATCCTCCTGCGCATGCCGCTGCTATTCAGATGTACCATTTTGCACGAATCATAATGGTACTCAATCAGCCATCTACCGGAGGTCTTAACATGTATCAGACACGCTTCAAGCTCCTACGCGAAAGCACTTCGACAATTTGCGGTATAGCATTAGCACAGCAATCGCAAAACTCACCCTCGGCTTTTGTTTGCTTCCAGGCTATCTATGCAGGTTTGTTCACCCAATCCCGTGTATACTATGCCAACTGAATCGGTATCAGCGGCACTGTGCACGGAGACAAAAGATCGCCAGGCAGAAATACTCGGAATTCTTAGGTCGGTCTTGAGTATCAGCAAGTTTCCATCGATCACAATACTAGATGATCTAGTAAACGTCTGGGGTGGCAACACAAATTCATAATACACTCGAAACTCCTGGAATCGTCTTACAAATGTGTACATGAATGGTTATGGCGTTGAGTGACGCATTTCAAGTAACGCATATTGGAGAGTGACGCCCATCTACAGTGTAAGCAGTTCTTCAAATGCACGGAGCTTCTCATTCCAGAAGCCATCATGCTAGTTATTAGGATTCAACACAGCCTGTCTATCGCATACCCCAGGTTCGCGATTCTGGGGCCCCGCTTCCGTGAGACCTTGAGGAAACTTGGTAGCTGCGACACCTCGCATCGAGCTCCAATCGGATTCTAGCCAAGCTAGCTTTGACTGCGCTAGCGCACCGAATTGCCTATTCGGGTTTCTCTGGTGATTACTATCACGCTCTTGTACCGCAGAGCTTCAATGGAGTACCCAACGATCTTACAGCGACCGGTACGGCCACAAGGAAGTGCTCGAATCGATCTCGTCGCGATGAAGCCCGCTTGCAACGGCCTCTTGGGCAGTCGTAATCGACAACGACGATGACATTTAAAGACTGAATCTCCTGCTGATGATGTTGTACAGCATACATTCTCTACTCTCACTTCCATTGCATCCGCCATGTCACCATCACTCGAATTTTACGACAAGGTCTCAAATGATCTTCCTATCAAACCAGTAGCAACCAAGATTCATGATGTGACTGGCATTGCTGCTGTGGAGCTCGATCAGTCGGATAAACACGATCTTGTACTCAAATATTTCCGCGTATACATCGCAGATCTCTGCCAACAGTTCAATGGTGGACATCCAGGGTAAGATGCTCCAGTTACACTCATATTTGGTTCGAACCTGACACAAAGTCTTATAGCTCTGCCATGGGCATGGCTGCTATCGGTGTCGCCCTATACAAGTATGTTATGAGATTCTCACCGAAAAACGGCAACTACTTCAACCGCGATCGTTTCGTTCTATCAAATGGTATGTGCATCCTTGTTGCGGCTTTCGAATGCTACAAACGAGCGGTTGGAACGGAGCATGTGAGCTAACGCTTAAACAGGCCATGCTTGCCTGTGGCAATATCTGTTCATGCACCTCGTCGGAGTTGAAAGCATGACAACAGAGCAATTGAAGTCCTATCACAGCTCTCGATATGACTCAATTTGCCCGGGGCACCCCGAGATCGAGAACGAGGGAGTCGAAGTCACAACTGGACCTCTTGGTCAAGGCGTTGCTAATGCCGTCGGTCTCGCCATGGCTACGAAGAACCTTGCTGCCACATACAATCGGGATGGCTACACAGTTGTCGACAACATGACCTGGTGCATGATTGGTGATGCATGCCTTCAAGAAGGTGTGGGTCTCGAAGCAGTGTCGCTAGCCGGTCACTGGAAGCTCAACAATCTTTGTATCATTTATGATAACAACAATATTACGTGCGATGGCACCGCCGATGTCGCAAATGCTGGGGAAGACATGAACGAAAAGATGAAGGCAACTGGTTGGAATGTTGTCGATATCCTTGATGGCCATTCGAACGTTAGCAGCATCGTTCATGCGCTCCTGAACGCCCGAAGTAGCGACAAGCCTACGTTCATCAACATTCGCACCGTCATTGGGTTTGGCTCGGGCAAGGCAGGAACACCAGCGACCCACGGTGCTGCGCTCGGGCTCGACGACATTGTGAACATCAAGAAGTCATTCGGTCTGAACCCAGATGAACATTACGTTCTCCCATCGGCCATGTACAGCTTCTTTGAAGACGTGGCGCCTCGTGGCAAGCAGCTTGAAGCTGACTGGACTGCCACTGTTAGCGACTATGAGAAGAAGTACCCGGAGCTGGCTGCGGAGTTTAAGCTCCGTGTTGCGGGCAAGATGCCTGTTGATTGGACAAAGTACATACCGCAGAAGGGGGAATTTCCTAGTGAGCCGACCGCGACACGTAAGTCGGCTGGATTGGTTGGTAACCCTCTCGGTGAGAGCATGGGCAACTTTCTTGTTGGCACTGCGGACCTTACCCCGTCTTGCAATGTTGCATATCAGAAGAAGGTGGACTTCCAGTCGGTAAGAGTCAATCTCTAGTCAATCAAGCTCTGATCGTGTTACTGACTTCATTCAGCCTGAGCTGAAGACCGCATGCGGCCTGAACGGAGACTACACTGGGCGATACATACATTATGGCATTCGCGAACATGCTATGTGTGCCATATCCAATGGTCTTGCAGCTTTCAACAAAGGCACCTTCCTTCCAATCACATCGTCTTTCTTCATGTTCTACCTTTACGCAGCACCGGCTGTTCGTATGGGCGCGTTGCAAGGTTTACAGCAAATCCATATCGCGACGCACGACTCAATCGGTACTGGAGAGGACGGACCTACACATCAGCCTATTGCTCTCGCCGCGCTTTACCGCGCTATGCCCAATCTGCTATACATGCGTCCTTGCGATTCTGAGGAGGTAGCCGGTGCATTTGAGGTTGCTATCAGGGCCACTGAGACGCCCAGCATCATTTCTCTATCTCGTCAAGCCTTACCTCAGTGGAACCAGTCATCGCGGTCGGGTTTTGCTAAAGGAGCCTACGTCTTTGTGGAAGAGGAGGAGTTCGACGTTACCCTGATCAGTACTGGATCCGAAATGGTCTTCGCTATGCAAACGCGCGATCTTCTCAAGTCTGAACATGGCATAACAGCCCGTGTCGTATCTTTCCCTTGCCCACGCTTGTTCGAACAGCAGACTCGTGACTACAAACAGTCTGTACTGAAGCCAAAAGCTGGCAAGCCTAATGTCGTTATCGAAGCTTACGCGGCGAACGGCTGGGAGCGCTATGCCGACGCTGCTATCTCAATGCGCCGCTTTGGCAAGAGCTTGCCGAGCAAGACGGCTTATGAATATTTCGGTTTCCAGCCATCTGTCATGACACCGAAAATCAAGGACTTAGTTGAAGAAGTCAAGCGTAATGGAATTGAGACATTGAGGGGCGACTTCCGGGACCTCAATGGTGCACTGGGTATCGGTTTCGAGCATTGAGCGAACAGGAACTATTCTACTTTCTTACCGCATTCAAGGGGTTTTGGTATTGGTCATCTTCCACGTAGCATCAACTATATTGCTTGTCAATGGCGCGTTTCTGGGTCATTCTTGTCGAGTTTCTCCTGTCGCAACCTCCTGCAACCCATCAGCAGTCTGAGCAACAGGGACTGCATTAAGCAATTTCACATCTACTCACGTACAACTAGCAACACAGCCTAAAGGCACCCATACTACTTTATGCATAGAGAAGCAGTTACCTTATTGATTTGCCTTCATTCGTCATGTTTCACGTTGCTGACGAACACAGCCGGTGCTACACAGCGTCAGCACCTTAAGCAAGGGACTGCATACCCTCTTTTTCCCGGGTCCCCCACAGCTTTTTTCATGCTCATATTGATGCAGCAGTCCCATACGAACGGGGTCGCCTCTGCATATGCGCGACCAAAGCACACTGGTCTTGTAGATATCGGGCTTCCGGGTGACACAAGCCAAAATTAAATGAGTATTAGCTAATCGTACCTCTGATTGTTGCCACCTAGATTCTTCTCCTATCGCGTACGTCCTACCGACCCTCCTAAATATCGCCAAATATCACCGTGGCTTGGTTTCGATATAGCGAACGCTAGGTCTACACAGCGAACCCCCTCAGTTCACCGATATAGCAATATAGAATTGCATGTATGATGATGTAGGGTAATTTACTCATTGAATTGCGGGTGGTATCCAAAAGATTGTTCGAAATCGTGACGGCAGACTCCCCCGGGTCTCACCTAGGTATACAAGCTGAGAAAGTCAAATACGCAAGTATAAAGACTGACGAAATGACCTCCGGGAGCAAGTAACTCTCCACAAAGAACCGCTTCTAGTGCATTTGCATATCCTACGTACATCAAGTGCCAATCTCTGCGATGAGATTCGCAAACACAGTCGTGGCTCTTGTTGGCCTCACAACAGCTCTTGGTCAATCCAACCCTCTTCGTATCCTCCCCCCAAATTGGTCTTTTACCATCTCGTCTATACGCGGTCCGGGCTGTCCTGACTCGGGCAAAAATGGCACGGTCTCACGCGCCACGCGCCTAACTTTCGGTTCCAACACCGTCGATGGTAGTGAAATCTACTATTGGTTTATCGCATACCCATGGATGCGTGTTGACCTTCAGGCTGGCCCCCGCCATACATGGTGCGAGGCGACTTTATTATACAAGGAATACAAAGATGTAAACAAGACTGCTGAGGCGGAGAAGTATAAGCTGAGGCTGCACAAGAATGGGACGAAGGAAATCATGACATACGAATTGGATGAGGGAGTAAAGGTTTACTGGGACTTTGCTTACTACGTGGGTGAGGGGAGTGGGAGAGCAGAGGTACGCTGTACGTAGAACATCTTGCCACTTCACTGACATCTCAAACAGGTCGCAGATACAATTGCATTGGCTGGTCCTGCGTCATCTGGTCAGTACGCTCAAGAGCACTATTCTAACATTAGTTACCCGCCTGAGCTCATTGCCCAGTCTAACTGCGGAAGTGGGACATTTTCGTTCCGCACTGAGATGTGGGTTGAAGGAAAAGACGGTCAGAAAGGCGTCGTAGATAGTGAGCACTCGTATAGTGAGGAGCTTGGAAACCAGTATTATGGTGCGCAGCAGGGGTTTAGCTACGACTGGGAGCAGTGTGAGTAGGGGATGCAAGGTCGGAACTTGCTTCAATGGCTTAAAGAGTTGACCAACCACCTCATACGATGCATTCTGAGAATGTGCATATGCGTAGTCAAGCAGAGTTCATGGTTGTGCTAATCGCAGTGTCCTCCATCGGAGATACTATACATAATGCTACACGAATTGCAACAAGCCACCCACTTTCAATGTGAGACTCTAGAGTACATCATGTCGTAGACGCCAATCATCGCTCTGCCAGCATGTTCTTAATCTGTCGCCAGTAGCTGCCATCCACCTCCTTTTGCAATTCGTCCTTGGCCAACCATTTGAAGTCCTGGAGGCCAAGCTTGTTTTCCTTGAGATTGACTTGTCCAGCCATGATGCGTGCCTTGAGGAAGAAAGTCTTTGCGCCGTACTCCTTGAGGTCTCCTGCAGATCTGGGCTCGCGGTAGTCTACTTGGTGGTGGCCAACTGGCACGTGGCCGACGAGCCAAGTGTTCATGTTGACGCCACCAGTGTGTGTGATAATACGGTTTGCCGCCTAATCAACGTCAGCATCTCAGTAGACTTTGGAGGGACATGGTACTACGTACACCGTGTAGGTTCTCCTCGTTTAGGCGATCCTGTGGGAACTGCCATTGCCCCTCCTTGTTCTTGACAAGCAGGTATAGTGTTCTCTGCAGTGCGCGGTTCAAGCTCTTGGTGTCGTTCTTCTGATCCGCCTCTGTTATCCTCGGCATCGGCTTCTCTACGGGCTCGCGCTCCATCTTTTTTGCGCCAGTGGTATCTGGAGCGTCCTCCAGGCCAGACTGCTCAGCGTCTTCTATAAGCTTTCCGACCTGGTGTTCGAAATCACTTTCTTGTGCTCCCACGAGAACTTCGTCGTTCCAGGCTTCCTCTCCGTAGCCTTGGTATCGTCCGATATCGCGGGCGGGGGTCAGCCGTTGTTTCATTTTTCGTTTCCATTCTAGATCTGCAGGTGTTCGTTTCTTGACGTAGAAATATCTTGTAAAAGGCAGCGCAAGTCGTTCGTTCAGACGTCTTTGGTAGAGAAAGAAGGCGGCTTCGAATGGGTGGAGGTCGCGTGTTATTTGTGGGGGGCGGGACAGGACAACACCGGCGTTGACAGCGTAAGAGGCTGACGGCGAAGCCTGGGCAACGGGGGGGATATGTTGGGCAGCTTGGTCGTCGGTCTGGATGGCTGCAGCAGCGGCGGATGCGTATGTGCGGGTGATGGTGTCTCTACATGAACGGCATATTGATTGACCTTGATTCGTCAGCACTCGAAATGCCTCGCATACCAATTGCAATGTATACCAGCTCTTGAGGCCAGTCGCCTCGTTGTCTGCTGTCCGGCGTTCATTTCTCCCGATGCCCTCCGCAGTATCACGGTGCAGCCGCTGCCATCTCGAGGATCTCAGAAAAGTTCGGGGAACGGAGGTGCTTTGGGTCTAGCGGCATTACCTAAGCAGCTATTCCAAGTTAACTTTTCTTCGGCGCAAACAGCCTCTCTTCTTCTTTACGGCACCTCCTTATCCCCAGCATACTCGTACTGTCATGAGATCCTGGTCATTTAACGGTGCCCAGAGGAAGTTGAGCAGTCTTTTTCGCTAGCGGTACCTTCACAAATCCTAAGGTGTACGGCTAGATAGATTTTGCTCACATTATTGCACACTCGACGAGTTTGTTATATGCCCACGGGCTCGATGATGCATACGGCAGAACAACGTCTGAAGGACAGTTCAGCGAATAGTCGATGCGCTGATGCTTAACCATGCGCATCTGCGAAACTCACAAGTGAGGTGCCTATTGCGTGAAGCCTGAATTCAATTTAGTGACTGGCAACCTTGCACCCTACGGCCGAGCTCATGCTTTGAGATGACGCACGGCTGTGATATCGGGTGCTTTAGCCAGGCTACACATGTCTCCATGATATACAGCATCTGATGATCTGCTCTTGAGACTACTGCTCGTGAATGGTCGGTATTTCCTTCCCCCGATGTCCAAGTCTTGGCATCGAAATTTGGGACTGGACGCGTTCTCGCCGCGCAGAGCTTAGACTCAGGTACACCACCACAACCAAGATACCCCTCACACACCGCCAACATGTCTCTCTCAATACCCAACGCCCCTAATGCCGGCTTGTTCAAGCAAGGCTACCAGAAGTACGGCCTTCTACAACCCCGCAATCACAATAAATACTCGACTAACCACCCCGCAACAGCTACGACGCTGAGGATGGCGCTGTTATTCGCAACATCGATGCCTGCCGGACTATTGCCCAGACCGTTCAGACCTCTCTCGGACCCTACGGCCGCAACAAGATCGTCATAAACCACCTTCAAAAGATGATCTTGACCTCAGACGCCGCGACCATATTGCGAGAACTCGAGGTTGTACACCCTGCGGCGAAGCTCCTTGTAATGGCCAGCCAGCAACAAGAGGCTGAGATGGGCGACGCGACAAACCTGGTTATTGTTCTGGCCGGTGAGCTACTGAAGAAGGCCGAGGAGTTAATACGGATGGGCCTGAAGACAAGTGACATTGTCTTGGGTTACGAGAAGGCACAACTTGCGGCTCTGCAGACACTGGAGGGTATGCTACACGTTTATCTGGCTGAGACCGAACAGAGGCTAATCCAAAACAGAGCTGGTATGTGACAAGGTTGAAGACATCCGCTCGCAGCAGGAACTCAGCAAAGCCATCCGCACTGTAGTCGCAGCCAAGCAGTCCGGCAGCGAAGACTTTCTCGCTGACCTGGTTGCCGAAGCCGTCCTCGCAGTCCTCCCCAAGAACCCCGTCAACTTCAATGTCGACAATGTCCGCGTGGTCAAGATTATGGGTGGCGCCCTAGAGCAGAGCAAGGTCGTCAAGGGCATGGTCTTTGCAAGGCAGCCAGACGGTACTGTCACAAAGGCGACAAAGGCCAAGGTCGGTGTCTTCTCATGTCCAGTGGACATTTCACAGACCGAGACCAAGGGCACGGTACTGCTGCACAACGCAAAAGAGATGATGGATTTCACAAAGGGCGAGGAGCAGCAAGTGGAGCAGATCGTCAAAGAGCTCCACGACTCTGGAATGAGGGTTGTTGTCGCTGGCTCGACCGTCGGAGAGCTGGCCCTCCACTACCTCAACCGCTACAACATTCTTGTCATCAAGGTTCTTTCCAAGTTCGAGCTTCGACGGTTATGCAGGGTTGTCGGTGCTACTCCACTTGCTCGTCTTGGTGCACCTATGCCAGATGAGATGGGTACCATTGACGTCGTTGAGACCATGGAAATTGGCGGTGACCGCGTCACAGTATTCAGACAGGAAAACGAACAGACACGGACGGCGACCTTGGTCCTCCGTGGTGCTACTCAAAACCACCTCGACGACGTAGAGCGAGCAATCGACGACGGTGTAAATGTAGTCAAGGCCATCACTCGCGACCCCCGGCTGGTACCAGGTGCGGGAGCAACAGAGATGCAGCTGGTCGAAAAGATCAAGGCCATTGCAGACAAGACATCAGGTTTGGCACAATACTCTATCCGCAAGTACGCCGAAGCTTTCGAGGTCATCCCACGAACGCTCGCTGAGTCAGCCGGTCTGGACGCAACTGAAGTTCTCGCTAAGCTTTATGTCGCACACGCTGCACAGAAGGGCAGAAAAGATGACGAGTGGACAGTCGGTGTCGACATCGAGAACGACGACAATACTGGTACTCTCGATGCCAAGGAAGAGGGCATTTTGGATCTTTGGGTCAGCAAGATGTGGGCCATCAAACTCGCGACCGAGGCCGCGAGGACGGTTCTAAGCGTCGACCAGATCATTGTTGCAAGGCAAGCTGGTGGACCCAAGATGCCTGGAAAGGCGCAGCCTGGCAATTGGGACCAGGATGATTAGATTCCACTGATGGTATGAGGGATAGTGTATAATGACATCGACTAGACGCTGTTGAAGCATCAGACGAATGATACCTTCAATATACCTTCTCATGTTCAACTTCTTGCGTGTCGCAAATACCATGAACTTTGGTTGTCAGCTTCAAGGTTTCTTCTGGCCGAATATATCCAATATTGTAGCGGCTGTGGTCATCTCTCCAGCGTTTAGGATTCTCACGTGTTTGGGCTTTGGGCTATCTTTGTCTTGTCAACGCAATCTAGTGTTAGGTCGTTCGTCCATCAGTTGCTATTGGATAAAGACATAACGTTTCTTTTTTGTTGTCGGCTCAGATCTGAGCTCACAAACGGGCCTTGTGCGGAAATCAGCAGCGGTCTTATCTCGAGCAAGGGTTGGATAGGGACTGGCAGTTTGCAAAGTGATTTGATCACTCTTCCTCGCGAGAGCGGCTCCGTGCACTGCATATTAGTTTTTAACGCCATTATTCAGCCAAGAACATGCACAGGTCATCGATATTTGATTAGCACTGCAGCCATCTTAATCCTTATTCCACCCCGTTCCAGGGCCTGGTTAGTACGTACGATTGATGTTGCTACCCGAGATGCATCGGGCCCCCGCTGCTTCCACAGATCGTGCGGTCTGTGTTTGCGCTTGGCTCGAATAGGACAAGATCCGCAATTGTGTTTCGCTTCCCCTCATGCCTACCTGAACATTTTCAGGAGACGCGTATCCTGGCTTGGCATCTGGTCAAGTATAAAAAGCCATATATTTATTATGCTCCATTTGTCTGTTCATTTCCATCGTTACCTCGGGCACTGATCTTGGTTCAGTCATCGTGCATGCAACGAGACCTCGGGACAATGGACATCGAACACGTCGTTGAGTCGGGCATGATCGTCAAACGGTGTTGTTACCTTTGACTAATGGCTTAATAGTCTTTGAGAATATCATTGACGCTGTGCATGGGGACATCATCCAAGTCATCGCCGTGCTCGATCTCGTAAGTCTCACTCCTGCACAAAATCAACACAATCCCAAACAGCCGGTCAGCGCCTGTACGCCTGCGCGCCTTTGGTGCGAGAAGAATAATTGTGCTTCTTCTGGAAAATCTATAGATGCAACGTTATCCAGACTTCGACAGGATATCGTCCAAGCCTTTACGAAGAGGCGGGACGAGAAACACATGTCTGTCGATCGGTCGGGGACTTGCAGATGTCGCCATGGCAGGTTTATTTCGACTTCTTTGCCATCGATCCGTATATGCAATGCGTTGATCGAAACACGAGAAGACGAGGACTAATCGCGTTTCCTGCCAACATTGGTTGCTCTACCAATGGTACCAATTGATCTTTTAAAGATCACTCAATGAACTCAACGATGTTCTTGTTACAATCGGCACGATGATCAATGTCGTCAACGTTATCAACGTTGCACATATTGTAGACGTATGACACATACGGTATACGTACGCAAGAGGTGGTAGTGTCTCGCTCTTTGACCGGCAGCGAAGCATAACCAACTCGAGCACAAAAAACGTCTGCATTCTTGTACGACTCACAAACGTTTGAAGAGAGTCGACTGACTGATACAGATTGCCCGGTGTGTGGTCTATAACTACTTCTTTGCTCTCAAAGCTGACTATGTACAGAAAACTTCTTTCACGCTGCCACAGAAATCAACATGGCAAAGCCCTATCCCCCAGTCTGGTACGGACCGCGGCCTCGGCCATAGCAATTCAATTAGCTATTCTAAGACTCGAGTGAGGGCGACGCGTTCAGTCAATCCTTCTTACGGTGGTAGTGGTGTCCAGAAGCGCGGGAAAACTTCCATGCAGAATCAGACGCTCAAGTCAACGTGTCCGTTGGATATTACTATCGATCACCTCAACGCGCCCAGAAAAGCAAGGCGTGTACAATTGAAATACGTTGGCGGTGGTTCCGGACATGAAGGCTGTGTTGTTTGTCCCTTTCACAAGTATGATCCGAAAACCTACCGGATGTCTTCGTGTAAAGGGAAGGGATTCAATGAGCTTGCCAAGATGAAGGATCATCTCAAACAAATTCATGGCTCATCACAAGAGGTTCACGATGCCGACCTCAATTTCAAGAAGAAGTAATATAGTAGTCTGGACACTCTAGGGGCTAAGTGGAGATTGGTCTATAAGCGTCTTTTTCCTCACGTGACCTTGATACCATCTCCTTACGCCAACGAACAAGAAGATTCTGATGCCTTTCTGCACAGAGTTGCCAAAAAGGTGGCCTCGATAAGGAATGACTACAGTCTTGAAGAGCTCATCATCAAAATCGCGCGAGACCTCAAAGAGAATCGATCTGAAAGGTCAGCATCGATCGACTCGGCGGTAGGATTCGAGTTGGAAGATTTGAGGGTCACAAAGGTGGACGAGCCTATAACGCCACCACCCGTGCCCTACGAAGGCTCCTCTCGGATTTTCGTTGATGAGGCGTACAGTGAGCAAAGTCCCGAATTTACACAGAAAGCTATTGGGGAGCCTCATGCGCACTCACAATCAGCAGCCCTCGTGGCCGTACCAGTGGGGCTGTACAGGAATGACTCCTGCGGACGACAGGACACGAGACAATGGATTTCAGCCTTCGCAGGCTATTCCTGAAGCTAGCTTCACGCCGTCAGAAAATGACTCATATTTTGATCTATCGCACGAACATACACCTCAGTCCGGTTCGGATACCGTCACAGTCAGCGCGCCATTCGCAAGCCAAGGAGACGCTCTACATCATCTGAACAATGACCTATTTGCCATATTCAGTCACCAGACCAACGACGATTTTGTATACCATGGTTCTACTAGTGCACCGATGGCTCACAATCTATCCAAAGAGAGTTTGGAGATGCTGCCAGTGACCTGTCCCAGCCTTGAAGAGCAAAGCCAAGTATGGTCATCAATTACAAACGAGTACCTCAACGGTCTCAACGAAGGGTTCGGCACAGAAGACTGGGTTCAGATGAGCATGCTTGGCGAGGAGGTAGGGAGTTATCAAGATCAGGAGGTCTTTACTGGCGCATGAAGGCTGCTTGTGTTGGACATGGCGTTCATGGGTGTTAGAAAAGCTTACTTACTGGCAACATGTTCGCCGTAAATTCGGGCTAGGCCGACGCATGCAGTCTTCGTATCGGCTCTTCTATTTTTCGCTAGGGCTAAGAGGTGATGAAGGTTGCAAACGACGAAGGCGAAAGCGGCATTCTTCCACGTGCTCAAGATCAGTGATGTGCGTGCTGTTTACTAGCGCGGACTGATTCCTTGCTCCTAGCCATTCGGATACCAACTTCAATGTTATTACTTAGCCATCATTCCTGCCTCGTTTGGCGTATCATCATGCCACTAGAACTCACTCAATATTGAGTCCGTCTTCGAACCATCGCATCGTTCTTGTGGTTGTCGATTGCACCTTTACACGTCACATTTGCTGGAGCACATCACCCACATTAGCAGCAGATATACCGAACCTGGCAACCGTAAGAATCAATATGGGAGCCAGCCGTCCAAATCGGATATGCCTCAATCTTGCCTTGAATATCTATGCCTCCGTGATTTTGTCGAGCCGTGGCTGCGAAACTTGGCGAACCCAATCGTCACCTGCGCACTCTTGCGGCCACTCGAGAATTTCCTTCGATAGACCAGGAATGAGAGAATCAGGAGTCCTGTCTGGAGTTTCCTACGTGAGAAACTGTGTGGCGCTATGTCGAACGTGGTGTTGCACTTTTGGCAAAATCTGACCCTGTCCTGATAACGCCATACAACAATGAAGGCATGAGATGATAAGAGCTGGGTGAATTACAATTTCGGTCTCATTTCTGTATCGCCGAACAGCGGAAATGTAGCGTCCCTAACGACTTTGGCCAATGAGAACCCTCGGCACCTTGGCACCTTGCTTACGAACTTTGCGGTACCGCGGATCTTCAGATATCCGGCCGGGGGTCGGTCCTTCCTAGCATTACAAACCTCGCTTTCTTGCTGTCGCGACGCCGCTACGGACAATACAACGAAAGCATCTTTGGAAGTTTCTACACTAGTGTGGTTGAATCTCAATGTTTCAGTACAGGGCTACGTAGAGATTTGGTCCGTTGTCTGTATGATCGCAGGCGCTCGGTGTCCATACGGTGGAAATGGCGAGTATATGTAGACCAAGGCGGCCTCGTCATTTAGCTCATCAAACACATGATATCCAAACATTCCTTTCTTGGTTACCAGTAGACATATCTAAAGCCGACATCTAGCACCGCATCATTTCACTCTTCCCAATACCATACACAATCGGACCAGCAATGTCAGAACAACGCAATATCGTCGTTATCGGCGCGTCAGGCGCTGGCCTCCAGGCAACGCATTACATCCTCAAGCATATTCTGCCTGCTTTGAAGGCCAGGAATGATGCCAAGTACCATGTCTACAACATCTCGCCATCTTCGCAATGGTACTTCAGGGTTGCCTCACCACGTGTGGCAACTTCCACTGAGCGCATGTCGACGGACAGGGTCTTGCTTGACCTACACGAGGGCTTCAAGCAATACTCCAAGGATGACTTTACATTCATCGAAGCCTCTGCCACTGGTCTCGAGCCATCAGCGCGGCGTGTGCTGTTTCGCAGCAACAAGGGACTAGATGATGAATCGTTGAGCTACCATGCCCTCGTTGTTGCTACAGGAAGTAAGACATACTTCCAAGCCTTCTCTATGAGTGCCGATGCTCGAAGCACCCTAGACGCGATCAGTTCGACGAACAATCAGATCAAGGCAGCGAAGGAGATTGTGATCGTCGGTGGTGGTCCAACAGGGGTTGAGTTCGCAGGCGAAGTTGCTGAGCATCGTAACGGCAAGCCAGGATGGTTCAGCAAGGTGCAGCCAAACGTCAACGTTACCTTGATCACGTCGGACAAGCAGCTTCTTCCAGGTCTTCGCCCTGCAATCGCCAAAACAGCAGAGCGAAAGCTCAACGCGCTTGGTGTAAAGGTAGTGTATAACACGCGAGTCACCGACTCAACACAGACGGAAGACGGCCACACATCGCTCACTCTGAAGAACGGTGATAAGCTTGAAGCAGATCTCTACGTTCCCGCATATGGTGTTCAACCAAACTCTACTTGGCTCCCAGAACAACTCCTCAACGAAAAAGGTTACTTGGTTACTAATAACTCCACCCTTCGCGTCGACATGGCAGGCCCTCGCGTCTATGGTTTCGGCGATATTGCATCGTACTCGCGCAACAACTTCTGGGACATCAACATGGCTCTGCCGATTCTGGCCACCAACCTCAAGCGCGACCTGCTCTCCTTCAACCCCCTCCTCCCTGAAGAGAAGCCGAAGGGTAAAGACAGATTGTACACGCCTGCTACAACAGAGGGCATGATTGTTCCAATCGGAAGTGGAGGCGGTGTTGGCGCTATCATGGGATGGAAGGTACCGTCATTCTTTGTGTGGATGCTCAAGGGCAGAGACTTTATGTTAGGAATGAGTGGCCTGCCGACGCTGCATGGTGAGAATGTCAAGAAGGAGGTCAAATGGACGAAGGAAGAGGCTGCTATCTGATGAGCAGTGTTGTTGTTGTTGTTGTTGGAATCTTCTTCTTATGTCACATAGCCTGCGATGCTTCTCGTCTGTGTGATGTCTTCGTCTACAGGATACTAGTAATATAATTAAGACTTGCTACGATGACGCCTTTTTGATATGTCCAAGACAGAAACTCGCTGGTGGATTCGGGTTTAGCACATGGCGTCATGTCATGTTGACGTGGAGAAGGGCTGGCGCAAAGAGGGTGATGGTCTCTGGACTGCGGAGAAGGATGCAACGCGATTGGTTTCGAGCTCGCTCCACGACGGCGCGCTCCGCGTCGACATCACTCCTTTCCACCCTTGCACCCCCCCCCACGTACACGGCCCAAATGCGGGGTGAGTGAGAGATCAAATGGATTTCGTACGTCTCTGCACGGCTCTAGGCGCGATATCAGGACTGACTGCAGCCAGTGGGTGAGGTTACTCGGCGGCTCGTCCCAGAAGAAGAAGCAGGCCGCCCCCAACAACCCCCAACAGCGGCTGGCACGCTTCCGGCAGCGATACAATCAGATACTGGTAGGGCTGCATCACTACCAAGAGTTGCCTGGCATCTGACACGCTGCAGCAAACATGGCAAAAGTCGACCAACCTCGCCAACGACCGCGAAGCCCTGGGCAACATCCGGCGCGGCTTCCAGGCCCTCACAGCGATACTCAGCGACGAGTCCCGTTCCCCGGCGCCGCACATGTGCCTCCAGTTCTCTGCCGCCCAGCAGATATACACGGCAATCTCCAAGATAGCTGCGACGGCACACGATGAGGGTACAGTTAGGGACGCCGTGGCCTTCTACAATGCGCTCATCGACAGCGAAGAGGAGGACTTTCTCGAAAACGACGTCTTTGCCGTGTCGCTGATGAACTTCATCGACCGCACAATTGGGTCAGGAAGCATGGGCATAGGAGAAGATATCGAGGCCGACATCGTAGAGCTGCTGTTTGGCATCGCGGCCAAGATCAGGTTGCAGCCCGAGATTCTGCATGTCTGGTTCACCACTACATCTGCAGATAACGAGGGACGGCTGCTGAACCAAAAGACCGACTTCGCCGGCGTCACGCAGAAAGAGGACTTTCCGTTGTGTTATCAGCTCATTGATCATGTCCACCACGAAGGTCGTATCGGAGACTTTGCACGCACCGGGTTGCTCTACATATTCGAGTCTGCATCTAGGTCAATGGATCTGGAACAATGGATTGTCAACAGTGATCTGCCTACGCTCATGGCGACTGGATTGGGAGCGCTATATAGTCAGATGAGCAGGCATGACACCATCCATATACATGACCACAGAGCTAACATTGACTAGAAAATTGTCAATACTCCACCCTGCGCATAACCTGCCCCCTGTCCTACTACTCTCCGACTACACCGAGATGCAGTCCAACCCGCAAGCAGAGAACTTCTTTACTCCCGATTTCCAGAGTCATCTTCTGACGTTCCTGTCATACCTTGCTTTCTGGCAAGATGTGCTTGAGCACTGCAGATCCCTCGACGTAAGGGTTACGTTGATCGATCACTTCCAGGCTTTATTCCTTCAGCAGCTTCTGTGCGTCTGGCTAGCATAACCTCAGTACGTACATAGCTGACCCCGTCCAGATATCCTTCGCTACTTGAGTCGTCTGACGCCGATGGCGGCTCGTCTGTGGCAGTACTCACATATCTTCGTCATATCCTAGATGCGCTGGATCATCCAGAGCTTGTCCATATGATGCTCCAGTATCTACTTGCCCTCCAGGACTACGCATCCTCAAAGACACCACGGTCACCTGCGGCTGTCAAACGGCGCCAGTCGCTTATGCTCCTTACCGCCTCCGACAAGGACGACGATAAGCTGAACCCATCCTTGTTCAACCTCGTCGATCTCGTGTTAGGAAGCACAGCGTCGCGCAATGCACAGACAGTCATTGCAGCATTGAAGCTGACCAATGTTATATTGAGCAAAAGCCATGGATACGCTCTCGGATCTCTGGTCAAGGTAATGAACTTGCATCATAAAGAGCATAACAGAACCATCGGATCCCTGAACAAGGAGCTTGAGTTGTATCTGAACCTCGCTATTGACCTCGCTGGCATGGACGGTGTTGATGAGGCGTATGAGAGCTACTTGAAAGATACTCTGAGCCTACTGGAGACGCATCCTTGCTCGTTGAAGACCATCGCCTTACCCGCGACGTCTTCGAAGACTCCAGGGTACTTTGACTCAACTGAAGCCGCAACAAGAGAGGTTGATCCGCACCAACTGCTTCCGGAAGATCCGCTCTTCCAGTCTCTCATGGAATTATTGCTGAGATTCTTGACGAACGACGTCGAGACAAATCTAGCACTTACTGAGGCAATCATCACGCTTGGCACCTGCTCCCAGTTACGCCTAGAAGGATGGTTATCCGTTGATCCCGCCGACTACCATTTTGAAAGCGACGATCCTGAAGTCGCGTCGTTCACGAATGATAATCTGCGCGCCATGTTCATGGCTGAGAGGTTCCCGACATGGGAATCTTCTGCTACCCCTCAGCTATTCGCATGCCTGAGACAACTCCAGGCGCAAGTCTATGCCCTGCGTAGTGACATCAAGGATTGGGATGAGCACGTTGCTAGTCGGAAGAACGCTTTCCGCTTTCACCAAGACGTCGTGGAAGAATCGAAAATGTCAACACCGCAGTCGAAGCCCGCGCGAGGTCCCTCGGATATCCCAGCTGGTTCATGGACACCGCAGATACCACAACATGTACGCAACCAGCCGACGACACCTCTAAGGGCGCAGTCTCCCAGAGGCAGGAAAGAAACGCTGTCCGAAGCCAGAAATACCCCAGGCGCATCGCCCGCACCATCAAGATACGGAGGCCAGACACTTGTCGGTTCACCTGCCCGTGCCTCGTCCCCTATGTCATCAACATACGCGGTTCAACAGCCTTCGTTGATGTCAGATGTCGACGCTAGCATATCACAGATCAGGATGAGCCAGTTCGGCAAGAGGCGTATCCGCTTCCGCCGACCGGCTGGATCAAAGGAGGTTGAAGTCATGTTATCGAAGTTTCAGCCGCCACCCAAGGAGCCCTCCGACGACGCGGTAGCTGGCGCTGAGAGTACTGAAGAAGATGATATTCGAGAAGCGAGTTTACTACACATTATTACGAACGTAGTCATACTGCAGAACTTTGTACTGGAGCTTGTCGCATTGATGCAGGTTAGGTCGAGTTTGTTTAACGAGGTCAGATTTATCTGATTGTAGGTTACGGCCAGGGGGCGTGGATGTAGTACGAATATACCCATTTCATCTGTCTTTCAACGCATCCCGGATAACACAGGATAGAAGAGTGATTCGTTACCTAGGCACGTTCCGAGGCATCTTCGCACACGTGCAGGTCGGCCGCTCTCGGAAGGGACCTGCAGCGGAGAGTTTCCGACAGCCCCTCCAACGTCATCTTCCACACTTTCACATGTCGATCATTCCACCCCTCATCCACGAACAGATGCCTACCTACGCGAGCTTGTGAAAGCGTGAACCCGGAATCACACGAGACTTGAACTTTGACACAAACGCAGTATTTCATGTGCTATCATCCCAAGCAGGTCATGATGAACGGCCAAATGCTTGGACAACTGGGCAACTGTGGCTCGGTAACGTAATTCCACCAGCCGATCGCCGGCCGAACGACATCAGCGCATCGTAACTTCCGCTCGTCCACCCAAGGCAAAATCCGGGGTATGCCAAGGTACCCCGATATTCGCCAGGTGCCAGACAGACGCGTGCCAGTTCACACTAATGACACGCGGTCTGGGCTCACGCAAGGGCCGAGGCTGGCGGAGCAAATGAGTGTTTGTCCTCACACCCGCGGGTAGACAGGTTTCTGATCAGCGATGGTTTGAATATGACTGACGAATTTCCTTGCGCCCATCTTTTGCTTTGCTTTCCTAACTTCCTTTCAAGTCTTCTTCTTGATACCCATTACACGGTTGTTGCTTTTGAATAGCGCTCGTCCTCTGTCGTCATATCGAAAAGCCGAGGTTTTGACCACGCGCTGTAGCTCCCATTTCAAAACTAGGGTAAAGCTCAGGATTGCTCCTTCAGCGTCATAACTTCGTGTAACCCCACGTGCTCAAGTTCTCGGTCCTCTTGGTCTCCATCTCGCGCAACTCCAATCTTCCTGATCTCTTGAGCTACAACACTACACAGCATGTCTGCAAAGTCGGTGCAAGGGCCTGGCGGCAAGAAGCCCGCGTCGGCGGCCACAAACTTGATCGGTAAGCTTCTGGAAATGAATTCGGAGGGCATGTGTCCGCAATAGAATGCTGACCTTAGTACGAAGCCGGTGGTGGTGCTGGAATGATGGAGGCACTCGCGTGCCATCCGCTAGGTACGTTTCTAATCCTTTGTGCCAGCAACGCAGGTGCCCTGAGACTAATCTGGGACTAGACACAATCAAAGTCCGAATGCAACTGTCAAGACGAGCTCGTGCACCAGGAGTACGTTCAGACTCATACCTTCGCCATTAACATGCGCTATTCAGAATATCACTGACCTAATCATGTCATAGGCGAAGAAACGTGGTTTCATCACGACCGGAGCCGAGATCGTAAAGAGGGAAACAGCATTGGGTCTATATAAGGGATTAGGCGCCGTGCTCACAGGCATTGTTCCAAAAATGGCTATACGATTTACGAGTTACGAGTGGTATAAGCAGCTGTTGGCAGACAAGGAGGGTAATGTCGCGTCGAAATCAACATTCATGGGTACGTGTACGATCTTGGAAAGCGCACGGCGCATGCAGACGCATTGTTCCAGGAGAGACCCAGCTGAAACAAGACTACATTCTAACAATCTACAGCTGGTCTCGCTGCTGGTATCACGGAAGCCGTCCTTGTCGTCACACCAATGGAGGTTGTCAAGATCCGTTTACAAGCACAGCACCACTCGATGGCTGATCCGCTTGATATACCGAAGTACCGAAACGCCGCCCATGCCATGTACACTGTCATAAAGGAGGAAGGTGCTGGCGCATTATGGCGGGGTGTCTCGCTCACAGCATTGCGTCAGGGAACGAACCAAGCGGCAAACTTCACTGCATACTCGGAACTGAGGGCGCAATTGCAAAAGTACCACGGCACTACGGACCTACCAGGTTATGAGACGAGTCTGATTGGGTTGATCAGTGGTGCTGTTGGTCCGTTCACAAATGCGCCGATCGACACTATCAAGACGAGGTTACAGAAGACACCGGCGGAAGCGGGTCAAAGTGCTGTCCAGAGGATAGTAAACATCGGAAAGTAAGTCTCGAATGAATCTAAGTTCATGGGAATTGGCTGACCATCGATAGCGACATGTGGAAACAGGAAGGCGTACGCAGTTTCTACAAGGGCATCACACCGCGTGTCATGCGAGTTGCTCCCGGCCAAGCCGTTACATTTACCGTGTACGAGTATCTGAAGGGTGTGTTGGAGAAAGGAAGAGAGATGCTCCCTGGTGGGGCATACGAGGAGTGAGCGCTGATTGCATCTTTTGGTCCATTAGAAAGTGCCTCACGATATCCACGTGCTCTTTTGGATAACATAGTTCAGCCTGTAAATGCATATGAAGTTTCACAACAAGTACAATTCAAAGGTACAAGATGTGAAATTGCGCATGACGATACAAGCAGGGCTGCCAAGGTGCATCCGCCTTCCAGCCCACTTGCCCCACTATAGTACAACATCACCGCTGGTTCAACGTCAGTGTAAACATTCAAATCCGACCTTTCAACAATACTGCAACCCCTACTTTGAACTACTACAACAGCCACACAAGACATTGTAGTAGAGACTTGCAAAGATGCAGTCCGGTATCTCCGGTAGAGATCACGCGTCCAAACCTCACAACCCCACTAACAACGCCTCATAGCTTCCCAAGAGCTCAAGTCTGCCCTCGGCAGCCTCGTAACGTCGACATCACAACGCGGTATCATAGCCACAATCCAGAACGAAACCATTGTCCCCAGCGGCACAATACCCTCGTCATCATCCACTTTCAATGCCGACCTCTCGAACCTCCAGTCCCACATCCAACCCAATGCCGCCCTCTACATCCTCCTCCGCCGCGCCGACTCGCTCGCTTCACCCGACAAGTCCCTCGTGGCCGTAACCTACGTCCCCAATGCTGCGCCTGTACGTCAAAAAATGCTCTTCGCGTCCACACGCCTCACACTCGTGCGTGAGCTGGGCGGAGAACACTTCGCAGAGAGCGTCTTCACAACCGAAGCTTCAGAGCTCACGTCGGAAGGCTGGGAGAAGCACATTGCGCATACGGAATCGGAAAACCCGCTGACGGCGGAAGAACAATCGTTGCAAGATATCAAGGCTGCTGAGGCGCTGGAGAGTAGAGGGACGCGCGGTCAGGGCCTAGCCCAAGGAGGCAGGATTGCCATTCGTGCCAGCGATGAGATTGGCGGTGCGCTGAAGAAGTTGGGTCAAGGTGGGACCGATAATCTTGTGCAGCTGCGCATGAACGGCTCGAATGAGACCCTCGAGCTAGTTTCTTCGTCGTCCGCAACGCCTTCTACCATCGCCCAGGCTATTGATGCAAAGGAGCCACGGTATTCGTTCTACCGCCACGATGACTCTGCGGCGAGTATCGTCTTCATATCGACGTGTCCTAGTGGAGCGAAGATCAGGGAGAGGATGTTGTACGCGGCAAGTAGGGGTAACGTGGTCAGTCTGGCGCAGAACGAAGGTGGGTTGAAGGTGGAGAAGAAGATCGAGGCGACAGATCCTGAAGAGATCACTGAGCAGGTTATCATGGATGAGTTTAAGGTGGAAAAGAAGGAGGAAAGTAAAGGCTTCGCGAAGCCCAAGAGGCCTGGAAGGCGGTAAATAGCATAACAGGGATATAGAGTAGGAGAACGAGAGACGAAAAAATGTCCGTCATCCAAGGCATACATGTCGAAAGACACTGGATGTCTTTTGCATACGATTAAAGCTCAACTGATAATACACTGTCGTCTAGTCATCACCGTTTCTCAAGAAACCCCGGCTAGCATGCGGCCTCCTCTCCATCTTCTTCCCGAACCTAACGCCAGGCTTCACGCGCGTCTTCTCCACTTCACGACCCTTTAACCAGTGTTCGCGTACATTCTTTGTATTCCTGTTGACCTTGGGTGGTAGCACCCTGTTCTGCTGAGCCAACACCGCTACACTGAGCTTGCCCTTCTTTACGTCCTTTGCCGGCTTGTCAACACGCTCGAGGAACTTGATATGATGGTTGAGCTTCTCCTTCCTGAGCTCTTCTTCGGTCTTTCCGCGACGCTCGGGCGGCGGTGTGGGAGGGCGTTGGTCGTCGATGGTTTCGAGGAGGGACGTGGGTAGTAGACCATTGGTTATATCAATGTCCATTCGCGACATGGGCTCAGATCCTTCAACGTCCGAGTCGGCATTGGTCTTTGCTTCCCTGGCAGCCTTCTTTGCTAGTTTCTTTGCCTTCTTCTCCTCACGCTCGCGCTTTGCAGCTTGTTGGGCGGCGATGAGTTCTTCGCGCGCTTGTCGCTTGGCCCGTTCTTTTTCTTGCTGGGCTTTTTGTGCGCGATCAGCTTCGGCTTGCACAGCTTGTGCCTTGGAACTTGCAGCGGCTGTTGTGACTACCTCAGGCGCTTCGTCGTCCGAGTCGCTAGCTTCGTCTTCATCTACTTGATTCATTTGGGTAGTAGGCTCTTCGTGTCGCTTATCGCTCTGCTCGTTCACGACGAGCGACTCTTGCGCTTGTGCAAGCTCCTCACTACCAAAGCGCTTGTGCGCTTTCTTGGGTTGTGCAGAAGGAAGAACGTGATCTTGCGAGGGTATCGGAGCAGCGTTACTTTCGTATGAGGACGTTGGGATCTCGTCGGGGAACTTGGATGGTGTTTCTGCGACCTTCTTGGGGCGCCCCTTGCCCTTCTTCGCTGACGTCGATGCGGGTGTCTGACGATTTGCCGTCTTGGCCTTCGGTGTAGGTGATCCTTCAGGCTGCTGTTTGAATGTTGTAGCCGGTGTCGCATATACAGAGCCAGAGCCAGGCTGCTGTGCGGGTGTGTAGAAAGACGGGTTCTGTGAAGTTGCCGGGGCCTCGTCTTTGCTCTCCCCGAAGCTGTCTGTGGCCGTAGAGTCGTCCGGCGACTTCCTGCTGACTACAACGTGAGGGCTGGATCGATGTCCGAGTGGTGCAAGGTCATCCTTTTTTGGTGTCTGGGGGTCTTCTGTTGCAGACGCGTTGAGGGCGACGGTGTCAGAGGTGTTGTCTGCAGACTCTTGCGAAGGCGCGTCCGCCTCAGACGCCTTTTGAGTAGTTCTCTTCTTGGACGAGGGTGTAGACGCAGACTTCCGCTGCCTCTTTGCTTGTGTCGGGGTTTCTAGCGACTCGAGTTCTCGCTTTCCTGCTGCTTTCCTCGTCGAGCTGCGTGGTGTTGGTGTCGGCGTCGGCGCGCCTGGCGTTTCCGTTCCGCCTCGTGTAGTGACCATTGCGATTCTATTTCTGTGGGCTTGGATGCGTTGTGTACGAACCGCGATTGTGCTCGTCGTTGCTGGGTTGTGGATCGTTCGCGACATGCAAAAAGATTCTGGCGTGCCAAGATTTCGCGGTCATTGCGGACCTCCGAGGCTAACGGCGGCCACCATGTGGTGCACTCAATCTCCCACCACACAACTCTATCGACTGGACACAGAGTCACCATGGCGGCTTCCCGAATAGCCTTGCGCTCAGCCAGAGCAATTGCGAGGTTGGAACCTTGCATCATGTGTCAATCCCATCAGCTCGCTCTGGCCATTCGTCGCAATGCCACGAGATATCCAACATCTTCGTGCGACTTTGCAACAAGCATGCGAGTCCAGAACTATGCCACCAAGCAAAAACTTGACGCTCCGAGATTGCGCGCTGATGTCGATGCACGCGGTCGACTTGGCTTCTACACTTTGACGAAGCATGAAGGAATACACAAAATAGAGCCTCGTACTGCCATGAGCATCTATGATGATTTCGTTGCGCACAAGAACACCATGTCCCACGGCAAAAACGTCTTGCGCATAGTGAACAGTGGGTGTTATCCCCCATACATACACTCGTAGATGTTACTAACACAAGCAGAATACAACGTGCCGCTGAACGATGTAGCATCTCTTGCAATCGTCACTTTCAAGATACCTGATATTGGCGATGCCGCCAAAAGAGCTCAATTGCCTCCAAGTCAACACAAGAATACCGCTGGACTGCTGCTTCAGGGATGTGCGCAAAGTGGAGACCCTCTAGCGATAACACACATCCTGACCGCCGTCTATCTTGGCGGCTCAGGCCATAGTTTTGCTCAAGAGATCACGAGACTATTTCCAAAGCAAGAAATAGCCCAGTATCGTCTGTCTTTCGACGCGATCGACCTACAGTCTCTGGAAAAGGATCCTGGCTTGGTTCTGGAAATCTCAACTATACGAGGACTCTTCCTGGAGCAAGCAGGACAAAAGCAGGAAGCTAAGAAAGCATATCAACAAGTCATCACAACTGCAGCTCTCAAATATCAGCCTGGACAATCAGCGCATGCAATGAAATTGCCTCTCATAGCACCATGGAATGCGCTTGGCTATCTTCTCAAAGCAGACAAAGACCCCAAAGTACAAGCAGAAGCCAAATTTTACTTTCAAAAGGGCGCTCTTGAAGGCGATGATCCACTGTCATACTATGAGCTTGCAGCGTTTGAGCCGAGGACAAGTGAGAAGTGGTTGCGATATACCAGCAAAGCAGCAGCATCCGGCCATCAACAAGCAATACTAAATCTTACCGACTTCTACCAAGAAGTGGCGACAGTAGAATCTACTATTCTGAAGAGCGACAGCATACGAAAAGCGCTCAACTGGGTGCTAAGCTGGAGACGAGGCAGTACTGCGGCGTTGGCGCGAGAGTGGCAACAAGTCGCGTCTGTCATCGGCCACAAACCTTCAATGCTGCAGCTTGCGGATTACTACGACTCCATCGGCAACAACGAACGAGCCAGGAGATATTTGCATCAGATAATCGAGACTCCGAGCACGACCAATCAGAAAGAAGGGTCGTCGCAGCTCCTTCAAGTCGCGAGGAAGCGACTTGCTGGATTCCGGTAACACCGTATCCTAGCTCAATCTTAATATATGTCTAGGGATACAGATATGCATGTAGAAATACCTCTTGGTCATATTCTCTACAAAACGACTATCTCGGATCTACACCGAACTACCCCGCCTCGGCAGATGAGATACTGGCCTTCCTTATCCGGCACTCTGATAGTGGCCACACCATTTGATGACTGTTTGAAGACTTATATCATTGCTGGTTTTCCCAGTACCTATTGAACATGAGTCTCGAAACCTACTGTCACGTTGCATAGGTTTCAACGCTTAGAATCAATACCGATCGCCCAAACCTATCATTTCGGCAATTGCCGCGACCATGTCTTCTACAATACCAACAGAACCACATCGCAAAGCCTTGATAGGCTCGCCTTCGAACTTTTGGTCACACTCTTCCAAAAATGGGTTTGATCTCACCCATCCGTCAGTACATTCGTCGCCAGTTACTGGTCCTACACATATCATACAGACATCAACTGAACCCATTACGATCGATCCGTCAAAGTCCGCCCTTATCATTATTGATATGCAAAACTTCTTTCTCTCCGAAGCCTTTGGTCGCGACCAGAAAGGTCCGGGACACGCTGCTTGTGAACAGTTGGCCGCACATGCCATACCAGCGGCACGGAAAGCCAGCATCAGAGTAATATGGGTGAACTGGGGGCTTACGGAAGAGGAAGTTGAAGATATGCCACCAGCAGTGAAGCGCGCTTTCGGTTTCTTTTCCATCCCCGCAGACATCGACTTCAAAGCTGACGACGCTTTCGGGCATCACGAAGAGAGTATCAGCGTGGATCGTCATGGCAAGGAAAATCAGTCCTTCTATCGTGGAATTGGGGCAGACTGCGGGACTCTCAAGTTTCCAGATGGGAAAACTGTAGAGGGAGGTAAACTACTTATGCGCGATTCCTGGAACGCTGCACTCCAACCTCCACTCGACGCCATATTCGACGAAGGCAGCAAGTTAGAAAGTAAACCTGATGTCTGGATACATAAGAACAGAATGAGTGGAATGTGGGGTTCAACGACGCCTCTCAAAGAGTTTTTGGATAAAGAGGGCATTCAAACGTTATTCTTTACTGGTGTCAACACGGATCAGGTAAGTTGTGCCTGTACGGAACGCATATGAGGCATACACTGACTGCGTATCTTCACATCTTCAGTGTGTGGGAGGTACGTTGACGGATGCCTTTAGCAATGGATATGATTGTGTACTTCTAGGTGATGGCTGCGGGACCACGACGCCAGAATATGCGCAACAGTGTTGGGAGTACAACGCCGCTAGAACTTTTGGATTTTGTGCGAGTTGTAAGCAGTTTGCCGAGGGGGTAACTGGTTCTTGAACATATACTCGATGTTTTCTCGTTGGTAACAACTTCGAGGAAGGGCGCTTTTGTCTGCACAGCTGGTGCTAGGTTCGCAGTGCGCAACATGTTGAGAGTGGTGTCTTCGAATGTTCGTGACACGTGGATCGCTGCTCGTTGATACAATTGAGAGGGCCGTCAGAGGATATTACCAACAGCGTGCGAGTATGATCTGCAAGCATCATGATGAGAATGTGAAGCACGAAGTAGCGAGTTGTATGAACGACACTCTGGTTGTCCTCCGTGTATTCTAGATGTATTTCGCGTGCGCCACCATATGACGACGATCCCCGCCAAGGCCGATGCGGACATCGGAAAAAGCCTCGGCTAAGTATCGCGAACTCAAGGACGAGCTCCGATGCTATCCCCCACCCTGGTTCTTCTACATCATCACCTGTGATACCCCAGAACATTGCGCTGCCAGGTGTTGAAGACGCAAAACAAACACAATGTCGGGATTGAGGATATTAGTACCCGTGAAGCGGGTCATTGACTATGCGGTACGTTCATTGGCCCAACTTTTAGACATGACGCTCGAGTGTTCAGCTTGGGTGTCTGAAAGATGGTATTCGAAGACAAGATGCTCAAGACGATGAGCACACAAGCCCCCATTCCAGCTAGTATACTGACACCATGAAAAGGTCAAGCCCCGCGTAAACCGCGCCCATACCGCCGTGGAAACCGCAAACGTAAAACATTCAATGAACCCCTTCGACGAACTCTCCATCGAAGAAGCAGTCCGCATGCGCGAAAAGAAGGCCCACCATGCAAACGCCCCCAACGTAGAAGAGATTGTCGCTTTCTCTGCGGGAGTTCCCAAGTCTCAAGATATTCTCCGCACAGCCATGGCCATGGGCGCAGACCGAGGCATACACGTAGTCGTAGAAGAAAAGGACGCCCTGGAACCCCTTAGTGTCGCGAAGCTTCTGCGAAAAGTAGTAGATGAGCAAAAGAGCAATTTGGTCATCCTAGGGAAACAAGCCATTGACGACGATGCCGGCCAAACAGGACAAATGCTCGCAGGCCTGCTGAACTGGCCCCAAGCAACCCAAGCGTCCAAAGTCACAATCAACGACCAAACTGTCGAGGTAGTACAAGAAGTCGATGGTGGTGTTCAAACTATCAAGGCCAAGCTGCCCATGGTTATCACTACGGATCTGCGCCTCAACGAACCCCGGTATGCCAGTTTACCCAACATTATGAAGGCGAAGAAGAAGAAGCTGGACAAGAAGAGTCTGAGCGACTACGGGCTGGACACTGAGATCAGGTTGACGACGGTCAAGGTTACCGAGCCACCGCCACGGAAGGGTGGTGTCAAGGTTGAAGATGTAGACGGTATGATCAGCAAACTCAAGGAATTGGGTGCCTTGTGAGAAGTCCGAATATTCAAAAACGATACGAAAAGAGACAAGATACAATCCAAAAAAAAACGCAATCCGAACAGTGTTCGAGGCACGACCCCGAGCCACTCGGCCCTATGATTATGTCATCATCCACTTCCAGTTCCACATACCTCTTTTCCCTATGTCTCTCATCCTGGCCGTCGCTATCGCTAGTCGGCACAAACTCAATCTAGATACACTCCTCCACCCCTTTGCTTTCCTCCTCCCTCTTCCTTACATACCTCACAACTTCCTCTAAACCGTCCTTTGCAACAACTAAGTATCCCAAGCCCATGTGCAACCCGTCTAGCTCATTTGATTCCGACTGAGTAAGCCCCTGGCTTCTCATCTTCATCGAGAGGATACCAATTCTTTTCGAGGCCTCCAGATGAGACGAACGGGCTTTCTCGCGCCACGACACGTCATACGTATTTTCGTGTTCAAGATTGACACGGATGATCTCATACCAGTGGGACGTCTTGGCTTGGGATGTTGACTCGTCAAAATTCGTCTGGGTTGACTTGATGCGGCAGAATGCGGTGAAGTTCCCGTCTAGAGAAGTTTCCAACGTCACTCGTACTTTCTGCTAATCGTCATTTCCCTCCGCTGTACATTGCTCATGTGCATTATTGTTATCCAGTAAGCTGTTTGTCAACTTCTCTGCAGCGGCTTCTAGCGTATTGTACCAGCCGACGATTTCGATGTCTTGCTGAACATAGTGTTCGAGCTCGACCTTCCACTCTTCTCCGAGCCTAGTCCCGGAAGTTATGACGCGAACATCGGTGTATTTATGGTTGCCATGGTCGTGACTGGTGAAGCGAGCATGGAGGTTGGACAATTCGGTAACAACGCGAAAACAGGGTTTATCTCTTGGGTTTGTAAGGGTTATGGACAAAGTTATAGCGAGACCTTGGATTGAGCAAGCTTCATTCTGCGAGCCTTCGATGAGAACAAACTAATACGAGCCACCTGAAAGAATATTTCAGCATTTGCTAATATCTAGCATTCAGGTTATTTGCCTATATCCCCAAACTTACAACAACCACGTCCCACCAATACCTAGTCATGGTGATCCTAGTCCCATCACCGAGCATCACCGGCTTGTGTACAATGTAGAAGATACTATCAAATAAGTCATCATTGGGTTCCTCGTCATTCCATAGAGACTTTGGAGCTCCCATTACCGTGATCTCTGCTTCTTTGAGCTCGTCTATATGCTTCCTAGCTTCTTCCATCCGGTGCTGCAGAGCGACCTCTTTGATATGGCTGTGACCAGCGATACGAACGTCCTCCTCACAAGAAGTGCTATGGACTAGCTTGGTCTTCCATCGTGAGCCATCTGCAGCTTCTAGTTCTACCACCTCGTATGTGCTGCCTGACTCTTCGGGCTGGAGGAAAGCATTGTTCTGTGCCGTCTTCTCCGTCCAGCTATATTTGGGTTTTTTGAATTTCCCACCGTCCTGTTTCTGCTGAGCAGTGCGAAGGTGGAGCTGGCATCTAACAACTATGTAGATGATGTTAGTAGCCATTGTTTTGCAAAGTTGAAAGAAGATAAAGAAGATTCAAGAAGCGATTCTACGTGGCTCATAGGAGGTTTCGTATTCAATGTTAGCTATCAACGAACCCGCTGATGCTAGTCGCGTGGGTAAGCCACACTCATGAGAATGCCCAAGCTCACGAGGACTGTGCAGCAAAGAAGCTCAAGAAGCTTCCCGTGGTGAGACCACCAACTAGTGACAATGACATAAAGCTCCCTGCTGCCTCAAGTTCTTCCGGCTCAACCCACTCTGCGAAACCCATCATGCAGTTGCTCCCCAAGTAGCCATTTGTCATGCCAAAGAGTAATTGTAAAACAAACAAGTAAAAGAAATCGGAGTTGATAGCGGCGCCCCTTCCACCGATATTACAGAGAAAGTACAAGGGTATGAAGAATACTCGCGCAATAGACAAGACGAATAGGAGGCGCGGGCGATGCGTAAGACGTAGGGCAGGTAGAGCGGGTCCTACTCGGCCCATAAGGTCACCAAGGTTCCAGAAGAAGAAGCCTAGAGGTATGAAAGTCGCCGGCTGAAAAAGACGAGGTGCAGTTGAAGGGTCGCGCACGCTCAGCACTTGTGGCGTGAAGACTGGGAAGAACATGGTGATTGTGAAAGTGAGAAAGACAGCGCCGGCGAGCCAAAAGAGCTTCCTGAGCAATCTTGTTAGTGGTATGCTCTTGCGCTCGCTGTGAGCCGGGTCGTATTCTGGTCCTTGATTGAGTGAAGGGTGCGATAAGCGCTGCTTGGAGCTAGCCCGAGAAAGGAGGTAGAAGAATGCTACCAGGGTTACAGCAGAAACAGCAGTAGCGGTTAGGAAGTAGATGAAAGCAGACGTGCTTGACTCTTGCGGTGCTCCGTGGGCGTGCTGCTTTTTGGGCACGGATAGGACGGATATGATCTGGGTAATGGAAGGCAGGACGCCAGCGATGCCCTGGCCAGACATGATTCCTTGTGTATACTCTTCTCTTCCGAATCCCGATACGTATGCAAAGACACCGTTCTGACAGAGCCCTGTCGCTAGGCTAGCGCTCAAGACCATGAGCATGAGGAAGGCGAAGTAGACACCAACGGATAGGTTCAAGAAGAACTTTGTGGATATAGCGAGCAAGGTGAAGACAAGGGCGTTGAGGGCGAGGGATGCGATGATACGCTTGGGGTAGTTGGCACGGGCCTGGAGCTTGGTCAAGACCATCATGGAGCCTAGGTTGCCTACGGTGGAGACGCATAGAATGGAAGACTGGAAGTTGCGGAGCAGATTATCGCTGGACTCGAAGCGTCGCTGGAAGTACGGGGCTGCTGCCAGGAACATGTTCCTAGTGCAATTAGTATCATGTACGCCGTCATGTCTGGGTTACCAACCAAGCCCATAGCATAGAGACGCCCAGCAGCGTGAAGACGGCATAGTCGGTCCATGAGAATGCGTGTTCCTCTGCTTGGATGTGCTCGCCATCTGGCCGCTCAGAGCCCCCCTGTAGCGGTTCATACGCGGCTGAGGAGTCCTCGCGCTCGAATATCTGCCGCACCCGATCCATGAGAGCAGGCGTCGTCGCGTTTGAGCTGTGCTCGGGGATGTATTACGGAATTGCGGGTATAACTGTACGGGTGAGCACAGGCAGACACGTTCCAGCCGTGTGGGAACAAGTAAGACTCATGATCATGTCGCGTGGGTGAGCTCGAGGCGTGACACGCGGGTGTAGATCGCGCTAGTGCACTGGGGCTCTGCGCGGCTTCTGGAATGCTTTGATGTCACCTCCCCGCGCTGCCCCTCCGATTCGCTGGACCCGTTCACCACCAGGATATCTATACCAAATATCGATCCAGGCTGGGACTACTCATCTGCTATCGCGTCTCTCTCCACCATCGCCACAATGTCGTCACAACAACTTCCACCCAACACAATCTCTATCAAACGAAAGCGCACCGATACCCCCGTCGACTCCCTTAGGATCGAGCACGGCGAAAAGGAAATCAAGCGGCAGAGGAGTAGCAACTTCGCATACAGGCGTCTCACAAAGCCGGGCGACGACGTCCAACAGACATCATCAGCACCGCCAACACCGACGCTCGCCCGACGATTTCGCCTCGACCCCGTTTCAAGAATTGGTGCAAAACGGCATTTCGTGGAAGAACAAGAAGTCACCAAGAAGGAAGACATACCGACAGGTGGACAAGTGCAAGCACCAGTACCAGAAGCTTTACCAGAGCGACCACGAAAGCGACCAGGTGCAGGCAGCGCACTCCACCACTCAGCGAAGCCTTCCATACACCGGAAACCCCCTGTCACCGAACCCTCAGAAAATGATGTCCGCAACCTGGAGGCTCTGTCAAAAGAGGTAGAAAAAGTAGACAACCTCCAAATTCCTATCCCCTCTCCTTCAAAACACAAGCCCAAAGCTCCAGCAAAACGCTTTGCAGAACGACATCCAGACAAGGCTGCAGCTCTCGCTGCCCAAGACAATTCAACCGTCCATGGCGATGCAATGGACATTGATAGCGAATACGTATACGACCATTACGTCCGCGAACCCGTTCTACCAGACGCCCCAGCACCAACAGGCACAGTCGGTCTCTTGGTCATCAGCGAAGAGGACGCAGACTGGTGGGATAACGAAGAGACTAGCGACCGAGAATTTGATACCGACGATGAAGATGAGAATGCCGAAGATTACTACGCCAATGACTATCCCGAAGATGAGATGAGCGACGACGATGAGTTTGATCGGAATCTGTATCAGTCCAAATATCGTCATGGAAGTGACGACGAAGAGTACAACATTGAAGACGACGATGACAATGCGCTAGGAAGTGGCGAGGACGAGGATGATTTGCACTTCAAGATGACGGTACCAAAACCACAGAGAGCAGGATATTGGGGTGTGCAAGGCGAGTCGTAGTCTTTCTGTCTCGGGATGATTATAATCTGCTCTCGCAGTGTATGGGTCATCCTATTCCCTTGTTACCTTTCAAACTTTTCATAGTCTCAATCTCGGCAGACCACGGCTTCGCGACGAATCATGAGAACTATACGAAATCCAAGTGACAAAATCACATTACCATTGTCTACTCTAGACGGTCTCCTAGTGAACGTAAAAACAAAGAGGGTATCATGTCAAACTCCCAACCCCAGATAGTAATACAGGAACCAAATCCCAAGAAGCCTTTCCTGACCCATACAAGGATCATCATGTAATCGTCATATCCCATCCGTGAGCGTGACTACATCTGTACTCCGTCCACCCTCCAGCCATAGTTGGGAGAAGAAGAAAAACGGTTAGTTAACTCTGATGGCCGTCTGATTCGTGGTCCTTGCCCCTGTACAAGAGCGCCTTTAGTAGCATATCCTCCTAGGTAGCGCCAACACTCGCCATGCTGCCCTTCCGTTGTTGTCCAGGACCTGGTAGTTGACCGGGCAGTATTTGCCGAGGCCCACCAGCACCAATAGCGCTTGGTCTCCTGCTTCCTGCTCCGCTGTCCAGACCAGCGCTCAGTGGTGCACCGAATCCAGCGCTTTGTGGGAAGTGCTCGTTGGTTGCGCTAAGTGGTGCGCCCATCATGCCGAGAGCCATGCCACGACCGGTACTCATGTTGTCACCGCCTGAAAACATGGATCCACCTCCGCCTGGAGGTGCGCCAAGCGCTGAGCGGATCATGCCTTTCATGCGGATGTATTGGTACTTCGAGCGTTGCGAGGTATGCGTGTACGTTGCCATGGGTCGCGGTCGGTGTCGGGCGAGGGCAGCCATTATAGAGTCTTTTTCTTCGTCGGAATCGACAGCGCCTGATGGCTCGAGATCTTCCGGAAGGGGCGCGTTTGCGTCGATAAGAGATCCTGAAATGCGTCAGCACACGATATGCGGCGGCTAGAGACAGTGTGATACATACGTTGGATCTTAGCCTGGTTCTTCTTCTGATACTGCGCCAGCAACATGTCGTACGGCAGACTTCGTCCTGGGACAGCCCGCTTGAGACCCATGCTGTGGCTCTTACAGGTCAGACTTCTTGCACAGTATCCACCGTTTGGCAGAGAAACACCACACTGCCTCTCGACATCGACCGGGCCCTTGAGCTTTGCTCCCTTCTGCTTGGGTTCATCCTTCTTCTTTTTCTTAGCGTTAGGTGCTTTCTCTGCATCTCCATCAAGCTTCCGCTTCTTGCCCTTCTTTGCGCCATCGCCGTCTATCGAAGCACCCTTGATGGCTGACTTGCGTGATTTGCCGCCCTCGTCGTCTTCGCCTTTCTCTTTCCTGAGAGCTGCGTCTTTAGCCTCCTTGGCCTCTTTCTTCTTCTTGAGCTTCTCTTGCTTCTTGTTCAAGCAGTCGCGAATGTGTGCAGCCGAAGATGCACGGAGAACAGGTCGACGACAGTGCTTGCACTGTACTGTGTCTACCTTGTCGTCTAGGGGCAGGCCGCTGGGAAAACCAGCTATAGTTTTCTCGTCAAGAGGGTTGATTACTGGCGAAGTAGTCGATGGTGCGGTCGCTTTGTTCTCAACATCTAGTACCACGTCAGATAGTCCCATAGACTCATGCGCATGTACGCATACAGCGCGTTACGGCAGACGTACTTGTCGCATCGCTTTCTTTCCAATTCCCAGGGATCGATGGCTTCGGGACCGGCTTCTTGATCTTCAACTTGATTCTTGGTTTCTCCGATTTGACGACATCTTTTACTGCGCTTGTTTCCAGTAGGCTGGAGCTCCCTCCGGAATCTGTGGCTGAGGATGCTGCGGTACGTTAGTCCCGTTCGTAGCGGAGCCGGGGAGGGGTGCGGAGTTGAGCTCACCCTTTCGCGCGCCATTCGTAGCCATGTTGGCAACTCTGTGAAGCCTGCGGAATGCTTCGGCGTGCCTCTGATCCCTTCGAGGGATCTTTCTAGATGCGGTGCAAACGTTCCAGATGCGGAAATGTCTCTTGTTGATGGGATGCGACGGGTCTGGAGGCATGCGCCGCTGATGGGCTCCGGTCGCGTGAAGCTGCCGCGCATCGCGTACTAACCCGAAATGGCCAGCCGGTCAGCTGCTATCAATCAAACATCAACAGTCGGTGAACTGAAGTAAAGCATGGATTGCAATGGTAAGACTGATAAAACTGTAGAATTCCCAGTGACATCGAACACCAATTATCTTGTATGATGATTATTCATCGTGCACAAACACGTCTTCGTCACTTCGTCTCAAGGTTAACTTTCACCATGTTCTCAGGCATCACATTGCATGCGATAATTATATTGAAACTTTTTTCTGGCATTTTCAATTGTATTAACAATACGCTTATAATACATGCTAAGTGCTACACATTTACTCGAGATGCTCCTACTAGAAACAGCATCTGGATATCAAGTTCGGCAAATCGCCAAACACGGACACTCACAAAGGACCGGCCGCAGTCAGTTATTTGGGATTCTGCTGAATCAAACCTCCCAGCAAGCCACCTCACCGCAGTGACAGTCGGCTACGCACCTCTCCGAACGCCTGGAAATGCACGATATGTACTTTGAGTGCCTATGCTCATGGTATCGAAACTCCGTAAATCGCCAAAATATGCTGAATCATCATTCGTGAATATGCTCCGGTATCTCAACTCTTCTCTGTAGCTCCTCTGAGTTGGCGAGTTTTTGAGGCATTGCTGCCCCGTAAGCTCATATGTAGAGCAAGCCGGTGGTCGTCTCCGTTATGCTTCGCCTCTTGTGTGAGCTTGTGGCACCAAGAGACTGCGTTAGCGTCCTCGGCCCTTAGCCTTGGTTGCCTTTACTGTCTTCGCCTTGCCCTTCTTCGGTGGTTCGTACTCTTCGACATGGTTATGTCCGAACTCCTCACGCATAATGCTGTTGGTCCAAAGCAAGCAGCGATCCTTGGGAACATCCTTATCGGCGTTGGTCTTATTGCGCGTCGACACTCGAGTCTTATTGTCATCCTCTTCCTCTTCCTGGGGCTTGTTGGAATCTTCTAGGTGCTTCTGCATCTTGAGCATGTACTCAGCGATACGGTCACGGAACGCTTGTAGCTCCTTACGCAAAACACGCTCTCGGTGACCTCGCTCGTCGAGCCACACAAGCAGCTTGTCGATGTCTTCTGGGTCGTCGTAGTATGCCCACTGGTTGGAGTTCGATAGGTGGGTTGGGCCTTCTTCTCGCTCTTTGCGCTGCGGAACAGTGTAGCCAAAACGCTGCATATCTTGGGAGAGGGCAGGCTCTTCTAGGTTCGGTCCAAGTTCATGTTCGCTGGGTCCCTGTACCCAAATGCGACCATTGGCATATCCGTATTCGGCAGTAGAGCTGTTAGGAACACCGCCGAAGGGCATGCCGTTGTGCTCGAACCAGTAGTACTTGTTCAAGAACCGGTCCTTGCCAAGAATCTTGCTACGGTGTACCAGAGTCTCGCGCAGATCATCGTCGAGTTCATTGATGTTGTCCTCGCAATCTTTGAGTTCATCCTTCTTCTTCTCGATCGCCTGCAGTAGCTTCTCCCACTCCTTCTGCTTCTTGGTCTTCTCTGCTTCCGCCTTAGCCTTCTTGGCTTTCTCTTTACGAGCTTCCTCAGCAGCTGCCTTGCGCTTGTTCTTATTAGCTGGGCGGGTCCTGCCCTTCGATGCTGTCACCTCGTCGCCACCGTTTGTTTCAGTATCTGCTTCCTTGGAAGCATCATTGACACTAGCCATAGACACATCAGCATCTTCGGCCATCTTGGTATCCGTAGGCGAGGCGGGTGTGTTTGCTGGAAGATGAATCTTGCGCTCCAAGTCCAACTTGAATAGCTCATCGGCCAGCTCCTTACGTTTGCGTTGATACTCAATCTTTTCCTTGCGCAGACGTGTCATCTCTTGAGCGGCAGCAACAAGCTGATCGCGGAAGTTCTCAGTGACGACAGTCAAGCTTAGAATCATTTCAAGTGCCGAGATGCGTAGGTTTACATCAAGCGTAGTGTAATTACTGGCAATGGTGGCCATGGTAGGCTCCTCCTCAGGTGGACACAGCTCAGCAAGAACTTCATCGCAAGCTTCCTTTCTAGCAGAGTCGAATGATAGGCGATAAAGGATTGCAACAACGATTGCTTGCCATCCTCCATCAGCGAAATTGCGAATCTTACACTGCTCAACCCAGTCGAAGTCAGTGACGAACTCCTCAGCCTTGTGGAGTTCCTTTGGAGGCTCAGGCGTTGGTGTGCGTGGCTTGACCACAAGTTGCGCTGCGCCCGACTTCCTCAAGCTACTACGAGTAGTTCGAACTGACGGTTCAGGCTCAGGGGTAGGCGTTGACTCCTCACTCGACTCTTCGTCTGACGAATCTTCATCGGTTAGGTTGGGTAGGTTGGTCTGAATCTTACCAGAGCCGTTGACGATCTGCTTTAGAATTGCACAATGCATTTCTACAAACAACTCACACTCGACAGTCTCATGCGTGAATCGCATAGCATCGACAAAGTCATCGAAAGTGAAGGAGTCTAGCATGTAGATGGTGTCGTGAACGTTGAGAGTCTCCCAAATACAGAGTAATGGGCCGATACTCTTCATCAAGATACCCGTCTTTTTCTGTTCTGCAGGCGGCTCAACTCCCTCGGGTACGTCGTCGGAGAAGAATTTAAGCGGCGGCCGGTTGACCTGAAGACGAGGTTGCTTGATCTCTAGATCTTCGCATGGATATTTAATATACTCCACTGGACGGGGCGGTGGAGGTGCCTGTTGAGGCTGCGGAACATTTGTCGGACGGGGACCTTGATGGTGATTGAAGCTGGTCTGGAACGGAAAGTTGATGGGCGGGCCATGACCATGGGGAGGCATCTGCATTAATTGCGCAGCAAGGTGAGGCTGCAGCTGAGCCAAGATGTGTGGTGGTGGCTGAACATTCGCAATGGGTGGAGGCCCACTATTGTAAATTGGAGGACCGTTGATAAAATATGCCGGGCGATTAGTAGCGTTAGCAGCTGCCCATGGAGGCATGACGCCTTGCTGCTGCGCATAGGGTGGAGGGCCGCTGGCCGAGAAGTTGACAAAGGCTGGCTGACCTTGCCCATGTGGCAAAGGCTGTCTGTGACCATTCATATGTGGGCCATGACCGTTTGGCAGCTGCTGTGGATATTGCTGTTGAACAGGTTGGGTCACGCCGTTCGGTACAGCATTCGCAGCCCGCTTAGCGGCTAGTAGAGCGTCTCTAGTCTTCTTGTCAGGAAGTTTGGTTGAGATGTCGTATCGCTTTGCTAAACTGTCCTTGACCATCCATGGCGCACCGATCCACGACTCGCGCTTGAGCGCATTGCGCAGAAAAGCTTTCAAGATGAGCTTGGAGTAGGTTTTTCGATCCCGCTGAAGTTCCGAGGCCTTGTATTTGGTGACAGTTTCACCCCCTTCTTCCATAGTGACAACGTAGGTGTAAGAACGGATGCTATCGTCCATCGATTGACCAGTAAACATGCTATGTAATCGGCTATTGTCCGTGATTTCAGTGATCTTGCCGAAGCGGCGTGAGTGATCGCCTTCGACGGAAACCCGATCGCCTAGCATGAACTGTTCCTTGAAATGCTGCAATAACATGTCAGTATGGCATTCTCGTGTGAAGATTTGAATCCACTTTGTGTACATACATCGTAGACATCATTTACTGTATAAGTGATTAGCAAGATTCATGGACTAAGCAAAACGGTATTGACCTACCCAAATCATCCATCCGATGATGATCTTGGAACTGGACATAGTGAAGAACAGGAGACCTCAAGCCATCTGGGAAAATGCTGTTGATCTCCTTGGTGGCTTCCGTCTGCACGGATGTTACCTCCTCATCGGCCTTGACGAGTATTGACGTGGAGCCTACCTCGCTCTCCTGGGCCTCGAAATACGTGTAGCCTGAATGGCCAGTGGCCTGGCATGTGAAGCTCCGTTGCTGATAGAAGTCATATCTATTCTTCATCAGATATGTCCTCATGCCTGACGTCATTCCATATGTTTTCTTACCGCTCAAGGAACCGCTCATAGTCTGTGAAGACCTCTCCAGTCTGTTCGATATGCCACACCTATCCAGCAACTTTAGCAAATACGTTCTGTGGTTCGGCATAGTATGTGGCGTACCTCAGTGCTGTCGTCGAGGTTCTTGGGTAAGGATTCATGTTTGACGGGCTTGCGCTTGTAGAGAACCTGGAGCCTTCTTAGTATGTGTTCGTGTATAGACCGCGACCCGACACATACCATTTTGGCTCGGACTCTGGCTCATGTAGCCTTCTTGGTGTTTGCTGTACCGCGTCGCAAACTTCGGAAGTGTCGCGACGATCCAAACGCGCCGAATACCTTCTCTAGAGGTACTTTGAGCGAAGAGAAGGGGGCAATGGCCCCTCCGTAGGCGTCAGGGCGAAGACCTGTCTTTACGCGCCAGACAAAGGTCTCTCGAAATTGTCGTCGCAGTCTTCGGTGGTCCGAGTAGCGTTCCGAGACGCGTCTGTTGGTTCCGAAAGCGCGTCTAAGCGACTTGCAAGTAAGTTCGTGGATGTCGAGGGCGTGATAGTTGCGAAGGTGGAAGGTAGGGTGGAGAGGATTAGTCGAAGAGTAGTCAATGGGGGAGAAAAGCGAGCGGAGGGTAGTAGAAGATGCCCGTAGTCCCTTGGCACTAGATACCATACTTGATCCGGCAAGGACTGCGTTCGCACCCTACCACCTACGCATCAAAGCTACGCACCCCACTACCATCAAAATATCAACGTGTTTGGACTCTCTGAAACCCTCAAAACGAGTTCTTTCAGACTGCGATACGTATGCATCGTTTTGTTTTGCTGTCATGACCCTTTTGTTTTATCAAGATCAAGTGAAGGTTGGCCATGAGAAGCCCATGCCTTGAGCCACCCCGAGCAAACCCTTGGGGCAGCCTGACCCACTTGCTCAGACACAGCAAGTCACCAACTTTACACCCACCTCGAGCCGCACGCCAGAGGCCATGATTCCAGGTACAGATTCAGGCATCAGTCGCGATATCTTTGCAATATCAAGTCTGCTCCGGGGTGTTTGTTTGGCCTCTACTTCTGACTGATGTTGTCCTGTCTCTCCTTTGCTAAACAGCAGTCAAGCATACGATCCGACTTGATTCTCCGAAGTATCCGCTATGCTCCTGAGCGTGATCTGGCAATCACAATTCAGCTACTTTCCACATACCATCATCCAATTCTGTGCCATTGCACATGAGACGAAAGCTGAGTCAACGACAAGATAACATCGCAGGCATGATAGCCTTTAGTGAGAGGTCGTTGACCTGAAATGATTGGTGTTGGAAGAGCTGTGTTGGAGGTATAGTTGAGATGAGTATATCTACAAGTCGAAGTACACTACCAAAAAGCCGACCCAGCTGCCTACCACACCAACTGCTGAGTACGAACTCGTAAACATGAGCGGCAGGAACTCGTATCGAGAGCCAAACACTATCCCGTGAATCAAGGAGCAGTATGCAATCAGTGGAATTGAAAGGGTGATATAGAGAAGAGAGAAGCGATCAAGCAAGAAGATCCTGGGTTTGGGCGAACTGTGGCATGTCAGTGTATGATCGAACATGACTGGACACCACCTACGCAGGAGCTAGCCTATCGAACGCGATAAGGAAGAGTACAAGCCAGAAGATAGTGTAGACTGTCTTCACAGGAAACTCAGCTGCCGTGTACAGTAGAGGAAAAAGCGATACGTGACCGGCAACAGCTAGGGGTCGGAAAGCGCCGAAGTATCTTCGATCCTGGAGTGCTATCAGACTGAATGGGATTATGACGAGCAGGATCGCCTTCTCATGAACATGCCAGCCGAACAAGAAAGATGCATAGCCGCAAAGTGTCACAGCACCTATAAAGGCCTCCCAGGTGGGTTTGTATAGGAGGCGGAGGAGAACAGGCTGAGGGAGGTTAGTGCGATCAATCTCCTGCTCCGCAAGTATACGTACTATCTGTGTGCCAAGTGTAAGAAGAAAGCAGATCAAAGGGCTAATATCTGGTAGCACTGCGAAGGACGTGTCCCCAACAAGACCTCGAGTGACACTGTTTACTGCCTCTTGATCAACGCGTAACCCAAGGCGCGGGGCAACTGCATGTGTTAGCTCGATACACCAGGATGGTGGAGTTTTGCATACGGTAAATCAAAACTCGATCAGAGAACGAATACATCGCCCAGACGTTTGGCGCCCAGTACGCATGGCATAGACCCCGCGAGAATGGGAACAAGCGACTGAACACTTGTGGTATTTGCTCCCATATGGCGAATGGACCGAACGCGGCTGCGAAGACAGCAACGATACCTACTCCCAACTTGACGCAGTTGAAGAACCGAATAATAAAGTACGGGAAGGACGACCGCTGCCCTAAGCAGTAAGCGCGCAAAAGGTAAACGAAGTAAGCAGGTGCGAGGTACAAGTATATGTGCTTGAGGCACAGCAGAGCTGCAAAGAGCAGACCAGACAATAAGAGTGTCGAGTTGTTTCGGGCCAGGACCATAGACAGTATGAGAATGCCGTAGAGGAAACCATTGTACTGAAAGTGGATATGGTCGATGATCAGGAGTCCTGGAGACAGCAAGACGGAGAGTGCAGCGGCATGGGCAGTCACCTTGGACTTTGATGTCTTCACGTAGCTGGTAAGCATTTAGCAATGGCAATGTCATGCAGGGTGGCATATAAGTACAGATGCAAAGCGTATACCAAGACAAGCTCGGTAACGATGACTGTAGTACGCTGAAAGTATATAGTCTGCCAGCTGTCATATCCCAGATCTTTGACGTTAAGTAGACCCGGGTCGACATATGCTGCGGCTTGAGACATAAGCCACTCAAAGTAGGCGAAAAAGGGCGGATAGTCCAGAGTCCATTCTGAGGTTCTCTGTGGACAGGGTTAGACTGAACTACTTGACTGGTGTTGATGGCCTGGGTGTCTGACTTCATAGTACCACTGTTTAATGGGCAGGGAATGCGTTAGAGCGAGCCAGTTGCGATGAACTTCGAAGTCGGTCGACTTGCTGCCGGATATGGTCAGCATGGACGAAGGATCAAACATGGACATTATGCAAGTAAACGTACTAAGCAGGAAATAGCAGCACCTTGAGCGCTGTAGCCACAACAGCGCAATGCGCAATGGACGGATACAGTTCTGCCATGGGAGAATTGACAGCGGGTGGATGCACGATCGTCGGAAAGCACAGATTGACCAGTCGCTCGTAGTTCGACATCACGTGTTCGCTTAGAATTAATCCCTGTACCCAGGTCGCTGAAGCGTCTACGTATGGCATGTACAGAACGCGTCAAACGAACGCGCAAACGTCATTCTAGAAGTCAGCAAACTCAGGGGTTGGCAGGCATGACACACGTGGAGGTTTCGCATAATCACGTTTGACATCTGATACCCATAATGGGGAGGGCTCCATGTTTGTTGCACACACGGCGACGGTGCACGGTAGTATACCGCCGGAAACAGACCATGTGGAAACGTTATGTATCTATCGATTGCTGAGACGAGGCGATGGGCAGGCTGGCACTAAGGGCCATCCTTACGTCTGGAACTGGAGCCGCCGCAATACGATCTGGACCCTTTCGTGTTCGCCCGACAAAGGAAAAAGGGACCCGTGTTAAGAGCAGCACTATTAGGCGGCTCATCTAGTCAGGGACGGAGTGTGCATATCTGCAATTACCCGTCGTCGGCATCCGCTGGACGGCTCCGAGCTGCACCGCCGGTAGCACAACACCCTCTTTGCCAGGCACTGGGGCGCGTCGCTGCACGAAATACTACGCCGCCTCGCACAGGCGTCTACGGGTCCAGAGAACTGCAGGGCAGCGGTTGGTGTCGACGGTGGTTTGCACGATTCAGACGTGGTCTGCGCGTTTAAAATAAGCGGTGCGCTAGCTGTCCGCTTTGGGCTGCCTCATTTGCGCCTGCCTCCTAATGTGCCCTGCTAGTTAGCATTTCTCACCGACCTCTTTCTTCGTTCCTCCACTCCGACTTCAGGTCGCATCCCTCTTCTTCGATCCCCTTCGTTCATTACCTCCTCTTCTCCCCGCATCGAGGCTCCCGGCAAAGCTTGCTTCTTTGCACTTCATTCTTATTGTTCGCTCTTTTAGTGCACGCATCCTCAAACAAGCCACGCGAGTTTGTTCTTCGGCAACTCTGGCACACTGCATTTAATTGCGTCCCCGCTGCGTTGACTATTCAAGCCCGCGACAGTACCCTTTTGGACGTCTGTACCTGGATCATTTGGGCTGCAATTGCCTGTGTTGGGAGCCTGTCTTGTATTGTTAGACCTGCAAACAACCCGTTGCCATTGTGCTTTTGCATGTACGTCTCCGCAGCCATGTCTTTTGCACTGTGAGATCGGACTAACACTTCCAGACCGCTCTACATCTTGTAATACAGCAGCATCTTCGCAAGCCTAGCGACCACCCTGCAACCGGTTGCAACTTCACCTTCTGCAGTACATATTTCGCCGTCCGGTCCAACGAGTCCCGGACGCAATAATACACCTTCACCACGGCGGTTCTATCTCACAGCGCGCGGGACAGCTTCAGTCTGCCTCCGCATCTTCTCGGTATGCAGCAACACGAGGGCGCCACCAACGCTCCTAGCGGGCCCCGTCTCCAGTCGAGCTTCCACAGGCAGATGAACGGCGGTGGTCACCACGGCTTTTCCCACGGCGCCTTTGCGACCAACCAGCCCGGCTATGGCGACCGACACCCAGAGAGGGCAAACAACATGTCCATCAATACTGGAAGACTCAACCCGGGCAACCAGAACGGTAACGACCTGCAAACCCCGGGCACCGGCTTCGACATGAACTTCACTCCTCTGCTTCCGTCCCAGCTGCTTCTTGGTAGCCCCTTCCAGCCAGGCTCGCCCTCCGCTTTCGCTTCCCCGCAGTTCCAGAACTTTGCACAATTCGCCGGTCAGAACCAATCGCAGCAGCAGAACCACCAGTCCAACCATGTTGGCAGCCCCTTGCAGCAGCCTCTCTCACCGCAGCTTTACCAGAACATGGTGTCTCCCACCAGCGGTTTCTTCGGTGGTCCGCAGTCGCCTACCGGAGGTTTCCCTGGTTACGGCGCACAGGGTCTTGGTGGACTCGGCTCCTCCATGCCGATCGCGCCTGGTCTCGTCTCCGGAACTAGCAGGACCGTATACTTGGGCAACATTCCTCCTGAGACTTCCGCAGAGGAGATCCTTGGCCACGTACGCAGTGGCCAAATCGAGTCCGTCAGGCTTCTGCCAGACAAGAACTGTGCCTTCATCTCCTTCCTCGACAGCAGCTCCGCCACCCACTTCCACTCTGACGCAATCCTCAAAAAGCTATCAATCAGAGGCCAGGATATTAAGATTGGATGGGGTAAACCGTCGCAGGTTCCCACATCTGTGGCCTTGGCAGTACAGCAGTCGGGCGCTTCCCGCAACGTATACCTGGGCAACTTGTCCGAGGATGTTTCAGAGGATGAACTTCGCGAAGACCTCAGCAAATTTGGCCCAATCGACACTGTCAAGATCGTCCGGGAGAAGGCCATCGGTTTTGTTCACTTTTTGTCAATTGGCAATGCCATCAAGGCTGTTTCTCAGCTTCCCCAAGAGCCCAAGTGGCAGGCTCCCAGGCGCGTCTACTATGGCAAGGACCGATGTGCATACGTTTCCAAGACCCAGCAACAGAATGCTGCGCAATACCTTGGCATCGCTCCCGGATACGCCCATGTTCTGAACGGTGCCGACCGCGATATGATCTCCAATGCGCTTGCTCAGCAATCCGTAGCTGCTGCCGCTGTCGCGACGTCTGCTGGAGGAGTCAATAACTTGGGCAACCGAACAGTGTACCTTGGGAACATCCACCCGGAGACTACCATCGAAGAGATCTGCAACGTTGTTCGTGGTGGTCTCCTTCATCACATTAGGTACATCCCGGACAAGCATATCTGCTTCGTTACTTTCATCGACCCAACATCAGCCGCATCGTTTTATGCCCTCAGCAACCTGCAGGGACTGATGATCCATAACCGTCGCTTGAAGATTGGTTGGGGTAAACACTCTGGTGCTCTCCCCCCAGCGATTGCCCTTGCTGTCAGTGGTGGTGCTTCCCGTAATGTATACATTGGCAACCTGGATGAGTCCTGGACAGAGGACCGTCTGAGGCAGGATTTCTCCGAGTATGGCGAAATCGAGCTGGTCAACACTCTGCGTGAGAAGAGCTGTGCATTTGTCAACTTCACTAACATTGCCAATGCTATCAAGGCAATCGAAGCAATCCGTGGTCGTGATGAATACAAGCGATTCAAGGTCAACTTCGGAAAGGACCGATGCGGTAACCCTCCCCGCCAGATGAACAGCCAGCAGGCTCAGGCCCAGCAAGCTGGTAGCGACGGCCTTCAGTCACCATCGCCGATCAACGGACTACACCCTAACCGTGCTGTTGCCTCAGTCTCGCCGACTGGCTCTGGCGCCCCGGGCTCTGGCCAAAGCACCAACGGACAGTTTCCCTCTGTTCAAGCACCTGCTTCAGGTAACATCATGAACTCTGGCAATAACAATCCCCTCATGATGTACCTGCAAGCTCAGCAACAGCAGCAGCAGCAACAACAGGTTGAGGCCAGCATGCAACAACAACAGCAGCAGCAGCAGCAGAATCAGCAGCAACAGCAGCAGCAATCGTTCCAGTCGCCGCAAGCTGCATTCTACGGCGCTGACTTGAACACCCCTCAGCCACACCACTCTCACAGCTCCCATCAGAGCACCTCGAGCTTCAGCCTGATTAACGGTACCTCAGCTGGTGGCTCTGGTACTACTACTGTTGGTGGTCTCCTTGCGCCCTCGAACCTCAACTCTCGTGGTCAACACTCCCGTGCCGTCAGCCTTCCTGCTTTCACTCAAGGTCCCTTCAACCACTCTATGCAGCAAACTCAAGCACCCCAGCAGGGCTCCTTTGGCAGCCTGAGCTCCGGCATCGGTGGCTTCGGCAGTGGTAACGGTGGTTACGGTCTTGCCATCCAGGGTGACGGTGGTCTTCCTGGCTGGGCCGAAGAGGAGGTCGGTGCGCAGTAAGCGTATCGTAGATGTTGTGTATCTTCTTCATTGTCCGATACTTTCCACTCATCTACTGGTTGTTACTACTACCTTCATCTTCGCACAAATTTTCTTTTGCATATGTCCGGTCTGGGGTTTATGGCGCGCAGCTGATCCAGCTTTAGGGATCGATTCTCAACTATTTGTTGTAATCTGAATGTGCGCGAAACGTTGCCTTAATACTTGACCTTACCACCTTCGCTTTCTTCTCTTTCTTCATTCGCTTTTTCTTTTTACGTTGTTGTAGTTTAGATACCTGTAGGGATACCTAGGGAATTGGTAGGAGGGAATGAGACTAGACGGTCTTACGAGTGTCTGGGTAGGGTAGGCCTGGCATAGTCTGTCGAACTGCAAAGCTATCCATTGTCCACGTCTACTTGCATGTGTCACGAGTTGATTTCACGTTGCGACTGACCCTCGGTCTGTATCTTAATGCATTGGGTATCTGGTAATAAATAAGATGAAAACGAGATTGTGTCGACATGCTCAACCGCGCATGCGTAGAGCTTCACACCACATGCGTACTATTGCCTCCTGCTCCCGACCCTTGTTGTTTGTTGTAACTGGAGCCATCATGAGTTCCCTAACCTCTGACCGGCCCAGATCCCGCCCTTCTTTCATCGTACTCCAGCAGTCACGTACTAGAGTCTGCGCATATTCGATATCGACTTCTTCTTCGTCCACATCCATTGCCGTACCGTTTCCCATTGTGTCGTAACCTGAGTTCATGCTGTTGTCTGCATCCTCAGCGCCCGTTGGTGTGCTGATGCAGACCACGATACCCGGTGAAGACACAGCGCCTGATTGCGGTCCTTCGCGTGTTGCTCGTAGTTCCCCAATCTGTATCGTACATAAACCTGCACTATACGACGTCCCTTCGCGCACAGCGAGTATATGTCTCGGCGTCCACAGAGCGGAGCATTGGTACCGCAGTATCGAAGCATGCGCATCTTGTTGTCGCAGCGGTATCGACGTGATCATTTCTTGTTGCGCTAGCGGTTGCGCGAAAATATATGTACGGTTCGGCGAAAGGCTCGAGAGATGGAGCAGGTGCTGGTATGAATGTGTATATGGCTTGGGTTTACCGTCTGCGCCCGTAGGTGGTTGGTAGCCTGGAGGTATGGTATCGCGAAATGCGCGGTAGGAGAGCGACCATGGTGTTTGCTGACGCGTGGCGTTTTGGAAGCTGGTCTCGATGCCTTGAATGAGGGTGTTCACGGTGGAAAGGGAGGCGTCGATGTTGGTAGACGGATTAGAAACGAAGTACAGCCTGTCGTGTTAGCTCCGGCATGTACGGAGAATTATGGTGAGTGAAAAGTTACCCGCTATATTTCATATTGTCTATTCGGTGGAGGTAGGCTGTCACAGCTGGCTGGAGTAAGAGAGCTATGTGTAGAAATGGCCGACCTTGGGCGCTAACAGCTACCACAACGTGTCGCAGCTTTACGAGTGGGAGTGAAAGAATCTAGAGCGAAAGTCGAACATTATCATTTCCGTGGTTGTGGGGTCGTTATGTTCTAAGGTTAGAACAGAGACGCGACGGGGAAAGTACGAGTGCCACGGGCGCTGGTGGGGAACGTCTTAGCGTGTTTGCGACTTCAGCTCGTTCTTGTAGATATGTATTTACGTACCTCTCACAACAATGCAGCGTAGAGATGCTCACTCTACTCTATCCATTAACATGCTACCAATCCCATGCAGAGGGCATACCTTCACGTTCCGTTGTGGTGGCAATCCCACCCCGCTCATCTCGAAGGAAGTGTACTTTGAACGTATGACCAGCAGAGCTACGCACAATGACAACGCGTGCGTGTTCATCAATGTTAAACCCAACAATATTACCAATAACTCTCTCATAAATCCAGAGTAATTCGTTCCGGAAGTACAATACCGGCCCTGGACTCAAATCTGTACCTTGGACATTGATATAAGTCGTCGAATTGCCGTCAATTGCTGTACAATCGTGAGAACCTTCGTTGACTACCTGACCTGCTGTATTAGTCTCCTTCCAATGGGCAACAGTAGCGTTTGCGAAGTAACGGGGGATTTCGAGTTCGTACCGCACTTTGTGGCGGTCATTGATGTGATCCAACCAAGCAGTAGCTGTGGAAGTTCCGAAATCTGTCGAACGGGACGCATCACGCCCAACTCGATTCCGTGCTCTAAGTATATGGACCCATTGTGTCGGTGTCATCAGCGCCCACTGCGTCTTGATAAATAGTGACATTACCAGAAACTCAACCGTGAGCCGGTCGTTGAGGTTGAGCGCCAATATAGACATCCAACTTTCGTGAGAACTCGGCGAGATTCGACTTTCGGCGACGACTGTAGAGACAGTATGACGCATAGCCCGAAGGAAGCGCGAAGGATCCTCCGAGCATTCGAGGTCAATACCGAACCGCGCCCAGATTGTATCGAGACTCAGGAGCGGCCTAACTATGCCGTCGATATGTGTAGCTATGGCATCAAAGGTATCATTACTTGCGTAGTTCGAATCAGCCCAGAGCTCGGAATTGAAATCGAAGTCGACATGGTAGACTTCCTGTTCTGAATGGTTTGGAAAGCACACTGCACGACAGCTTGGACATGTGTTTGGACAGGCTTCACTGCCAATTCCATATAACCATCTCGTTAGACAATAGTGATGGAAGGTATGGCGGCATATAGTCTGAACAATGGCAGAGGTGTCGGGATTCCAATCATCGAAACAAATTGGACATACTGGATCGTCGGAAGGTCCTGAAGGTTTGACGTGGGTTATAAAATATTGCTCACGCGACTGTGCAGGTAAGTATGCCATTTCCAGAAGAATCTGACATTTTATTTTCAACCTGACCGGGAAGTTATATACGCTACATGTAAATGTATATTAAGCTAACTGCATCTCGACACTGTGAATTTGCGGCGCAATTGAAACCCCTTTATGTCACCATGTAGTCTTCACACATCGTACACAAATAACACCGTATAGCGTAAGCACGAGCGTCGTTTCAATGCGACCGACAGGCAAACCAAATTTCTTTGTTTCGATCTGATACCTTACTCTTGCTAGCTGTATACAACAAGCTATTGCTATAACGAGCTACTGAAATCCTGGATTCAGATCGAGAATGCTGTGCTGGAGGTTTCACCGCGAGTACCTTGGTACCTAAGATATTGAATCTAAGGCCGTGTCAATCTATACTTGTTCATCTAAGACTGGGAACCTACAGCTCGGACTGCGACGGATCTGAGCGTCAGTCTGAACATCAAAGCTTATTGTGTTTTCATACATTGTCGCAAGCCGGAAATGTAATGTCGTCATCTCGAGAGAGAGATATCGCCGTTTGGTTTTTGCGGAGTTAGTGCCATTCCCTTGGTCGAGCGTTACTACATTCTACCAGCCACACGAATGCATTGCATCTCCGTCATGACTCATGGATGCCCGAACGACCAAGTCGCTTTCGGCAACTGATATCGCAAGAGCGGGGATGAATGTTCAAATTGTTGATAGGACGAAGCGGCCCCTCGCAGTTCGCGCCTGCCTCTTCCAGCGTAGCGAAGTCGACTAGCGTCGCGAGGCCCAAGGCGTGTAAAGCTTCAGCAACTCCACGAAGCTTCAATCGGCGTTACAACGGTGGGCAATTCAACTTTCTAAGTGGCTTTTGCGTGTAAAGCAGGGTCGCAGTATTACCATTGCATCTCTTCCGATTCCAAGCTCCTACCATCAGTCAATCAAGGTAACCCTGGGGTACATATATGACTTTTCTCCGAACCGCGATGCCGTTCCGGAGGCGATCGTCAATCGCTCAGAGTACCAAGCATACCACGGCCTTCCTTTTTGAGCAACCATGCATGCATGCAAGGCCTGTTGCTCTTAATCTAGTTCCTATCACATCCGCCTCGCTGATTCGCCAGAGCACTGTTCGCCTCGTTCTACACGGGTCTAGCGATGGCAAGTACAGGGTAGCACCTGCAGCTATGATGTCTATTGCCTTTTGAACGCGCAAGTTTGCTACCAGGTCCGTGGGACAGGCTGTGCAGGTATAAAGTGGTTGAGGTCGTTCAATTGACGAGACGGCACGGTGAGCTTGGAATCAGCTTTTTGAGCTGTTTGTCGTGTTGTTTGGGTTGTAATCATGGCTTCCTTTTTCAATGCCGTCGCGGGCCTCTCGCTGGCCTCAGTTGCGCTTTCCTCGCCAGTTGCACCTCACGTCCATGCGCGACAATACAATGCGACAAGTCCTTGTGCCCAAGTTGGCGCTGCGATTGCCGGCAAGAACGTTACTGCAGGTACTGCCACTGTACCTGCTGAGCTTGCATGGGATTGTATCAACTCTGTCCCCTTCAACCAGAGCGCTGCTCTCGCCCTGGTAGACGGCGTTGTTCCTTACTTCAGATGGCAGAGTAACACGGTCTGGCTGAAGGACCCTCCAGCCGAGTATGCCGAGAAGGTGCAGCCACCAGTCGACATCTGGGGCGAGCTCGAGGACATCAGAGCCAAGGTTACTTCTGGAGCGTATGAGAATGAGTACGAGGTAAGTTTCTGTTCACGATCTGATATCAAGAGTATGAGCTAATCCAGGATAGTTCGGGTTTGAGCTCTACACTCTCTTGCAAAGCACCCACGATGGTCACTTTGTGTACGTCCCTGACGTTGTAGGCACAGTCTTCAACTTCGCCCGTCCAGTGCCTCTTGTATCTGTGTCCAGCGACGGAAAGGAGCTTCCTCAGCCTTATGTATATGCAGACGTACTGGCCGAGTCACTCGGCAGCGCCACTTTCACACCCTCACCCATCACACATATTGATGGCGAGGACGCCAAAGACTTCCTGGAGAACTGGGCTCAGTACGGATCTCTCCAAGACCGAGATGCGTTGTACAACAACGTCTTCTACGAGCTCGCGACCGTGTCTCTTGGCCCTGTCGGATCTGGTATCGGTACCTTTGCAGGTTCTGGCCGTGGTCGCTGGATTTACCCAGGTCCCACTACCGAGCTTACATTCGAGAACGGTACCAGCCGTACTTACGACAACTTTGCTAAAGTTTTGATCCCATTTGATGGTATCACCGACGGAGAGAGCCTATACAAGCTCTGGTTTACTGGCCCAACCCAAACTGAGGAGCCAACGCCTTCCAACTCGACCTCAGCCACCCCTACACCTTCCGCTACTACTTCAGCTACACCGGTGCCCACTATCCCCGCACCTGGATATCCACCACCAGTTTTCCGCGAAGCTCACAACTTGATTGGCGGTTACTTCCTCGAGGACGACTACTCCGATGTTGCTGTACTCTCGGTGCCATCTTTCGTCGGTATCGACGCACAGGAGGAATTCCAAGCTACTGCTGCCAACTTCCTCGCCGCGGCCAAGTCTGCCGGAAAGAAGAAGCTCGTTATAGATGTTTCTGCTAACGGAGGTGGGACCATTCTGCTCGGCTACGACTTGTATAAACTTCTTTTTCCACAAGACATCGACCACGCGGCTGCTGATCGTTACCGTGCTTTCGAGGCCACCGAGATTCTGAACCGCAAGTTCTCTGAAGCTGCTGAGGGTGTACCGCGCGTGCTCGACAGCCAGAACGAAACACTTGCTGAGCTGGTTGATGGTGTGGTTTCGTCTGTCTTCAACTACCGATCTGATCTTGATGTCAACAGCGAGAACTTCGAGAGCTGGCAGGACAAGTTTGGCCCTGGTCTTGAGCAAAAAGGGGACAATTTCACCAACCTCTTCCGGTGGAACCTCAGCGATACACTCATCCCGCTAAACTCGGGTGGTATCTACGTCCACGGTTATGGTCCACTTTCAAACTACACCCAGGCTCCTTTCGCCGCCGAGGACGTTGTCGTCGTTACCGATGGGTACTGCGCGTCAACCTGTACCATCTTCTCGGAACTCATGCGTCAACGTGCCGGCGTCAAGTATATCTCTCTCGGTGGTCGCTCACGTGAGGGTATCACCCAAGCCGTCGGTGGTGTCAAGGGAACGAACAACTTCCCCTGGACCTACATCCAATCTCTCGCCCAGTACACTGTCGAGGAGCTCTCCACACCCGAAGAGGGCGCTCAACTTAACACGACTGAACTAGGCGAGTACTATGACAATACAGTTTTCTACCGCTCTTCCAACAACGCTATCAACGTCAACTTCCGTGACGGTATCCGCGATGGAGACGAGACAAACACTCCTCTCCAGTTCGTCTACGAGCCTTCTGACTGCCGCATCCTGTATACCAAAGCTATGACAGTTGATGTGACTGCTATTTGGAAGGCTGTGGCTGACTCGACCTGGGGTGGCGTAAGTCACTGTGTCGCTGGAGACCTTGGTGGTTACTCAACATCCCGCATGGCCAAACGTGAGCTGAGCGTGTCCGAGAGGGCGCACAGCAAGAGGATGCAGTCCTGGAGGAGAGAACTCAAGACGGCTGACTACCCGCTTGATGTCAGGACTGACCTCAGCGGAGTTAGCTTCGATGGAAACGGCATCATGTGGCCATAGATAACGAGCGCTATATGTACGGTGAACGTGGTCTAGCATTCATATGACGAATGGACGTTATGTTCCTAGCGTATCTAATACAATTTCTACAGTCTGCAACCGTCGTTCGTCAGCTCTCATAGAATTAGAGATAACATTGCGTGATGCTCGTGACGATGACAAGGCCTTGTCGGATTGGTGCATATCCAGTCTGACTGACTATATTCTTGGCAGCCAGCGTCCAGCCAGAGAGTGGATCAGATCGACGAACAGCTCGAAGCGAAGAGATTGCAAGGACGTTCAGTCTGCTCGACGCAAGGTGCATCGATCGATCTCACCAAGAGCGTTGCGGCTCACGCGTCGGGATAAAAACTATCCGCAACAAAAATAACATGTTGTTTAGCATATGTACATTTGTTCTGGGAACGATGTCAATCCTTCGGGTTGTCATAGCTACCCGCTTGCTGTGCTCATTAGCTAGTGTTCGCGATGGTATTCTTTTTGCCGTTCCTTCTGTTCATCGCGCACAGAGCGCTTTGAGAAGAAAGCATATCCGAATGTCCGAGTAGCACGATCTCCAGCAGAATTCTCCGATGCAGCGAAGAGAACGGACATGTGCTTTTTTACTCCGGTGTTACAGAGGTGAAAAGAAGAGAAAATTGCTAGCGTGGGGAACTGGACGTCGACATTGCAAGCTACATTGACAGCATCGATCGATCTTGCTGCACTACGCCATGAAAATACATCGTGTGTTTTTTCCCCTGGCAATGGAATAGGAGTCGGCGAAGTGGGTGGGTGACTGCAGGCTTTTTTCTTCCCCATAATACCTAGTCTTCCGGTATATCGCGATATGACGCTGCACGGCATCGAGCACACGCAACTCACATGCCGTGTCCCGGTGTTTACTGCTGCCTTCCCGCAGTAACATGGTCCATAGACACCAGAAACAGGTGATCCTCAGGTGTCGAACCGATCGCACGCGACAGCGCGCGAGAGTAGCCCACTATATAGCGCAGAATGCAAGCGCTTACGTCAAGCTACCCGGCAGGGTCTGAAGGGTCTAGACGCAGCGGAGCGGCCAGAAAGCAGGTTCTTTCTGCAAGGTTTCATGGCGCAACGGTTATAGCGGAGTCAGTTTTTCTCCGTGTGCACGGATGGCATGTGTCGGCTAGCTCCCTCTCGTCATCCTGGTTGGCTTTCACAGCGTGCAATGCTTTTCGAAGCATTGCGCATTCCGCGGAAGAAGGGAGAACGGGATGACACACGTTGGACAAGATGATCTGTCCTGATGATTTGCCCGTCATCGTCGATGCTCCCACAACGAACCCGCGGGTGCGTTACCCGCAGGCGACTGATCTACCCAGATATTTACGTTGACCATCGCTCATGCCACGCTGATCCGATGCTGGTCCACAGAAAACAACGCGAGTAGCACATTCAACCACCAAGGGCGTGCAGGAAAGTGCACGGTGGACGGGAGAAAGCTTGCAAACTGCATCATGCACGGGAGATCTTCGATGTCATGCCAGCATCGTCGATGCATGCCAGACGTTATGTGTAGCTAGTGCCGACGCTAAGAGGAACAAGGCCGATGCGGCGTTGGATCGCGGGAATACGAGGTGTGTGACCTGATGGATGTTCCTTGGAGCAAAGCGGCACGATTGGCAATGCGAAACGGTGTTCCGCTAGGTGTGCGAAGAGATCATCACGATGATGTTCCCGTAGCGGGAAATAGGCAGGATGATGCTGGAGGAAACGTCGCAGGCATCACTCCTCGCTCTCCATAGTCGATAAGTTGATAACTGATACTGATAACGAACCTCATTGCCGGACCAAAGACGACGCAGCCACACGCATATGTCAAACAGTCCAGGAACCTTGGGTCCGTAAACTTCAGATTTCACCCAGCCAACAGAATCCAGCGGCCTTCGACCCGGTTTACCCCGTAAAACGGTTCTTTTGCATGCGCGTTCACGATCTCTCGATCCTCAAGGTATGGCTCTGGGGCCCCCCCACGTATTCTTTTCTCCTGATTAATGTGCGACAAAACCACCGGGCGACCACTTGAGAAGAAAGCAGACGCTATTGACCGGTCAATGACAAGCTCTCCGTGCATCACCCGTCTGGCGCGCCATCGACCGCCAATGGCATTTCCAACGAAACCCATACCCACAATTACAGCCATGGGGATCAGCGTGCCCTGCATCGTGCCTGGCGCATGGCATCGAGCGATGTCATCCCGCCCCTTTGACTCCCCTACTGCAAATAGAATAGTGCTGACGTGGAAAAAGAGGAGACTGGTAGATCCCCAGAAAGATCCGACGTGAACATTGCAAAATCGCATGTCGACTGAGTAAGTCATCCACACGCCTGGATGACAGCGGGGGGTCGTGCACCGCTGAGGACAGATTGGAAAGGGACAAGTGGATCCCGAGGCTGCATCTTGACTCTGCGCAATGTTTGACTTTTGCTAGCATGTGCGACAATACGAAAAATGTGTGTTTTACATGGAGGTTATTGTTATCCGCGTTGGGTAGTGAATTCCTAAGACAGGATGTCACAAGACCGCGCGCTCGACAGACGAGGATCAGATTAACAGTTCACGCTATACGTGATTGGGAGCTAGCAAACAACGGATTGTGTGCACGCGGGGTTTTGCATTTTCCGAAGATCGTCGGATCGTACTGCGCAGTTTGCTGTATATTGAGAGAGCCTTGGCGAGCATGAAAACGTGCCTTAAACAGCCTAGGGCTATGTTGGTCAGAAGACTATAGTCCGAAAGGTCGAAGGGAAACTGAAGCGGCAGATAAACGATCACGATGCATAGCGTGGAATGCTGTGGGTGCGAAAAATCGTATTTGCTATTAGCGCATTGCGCGACTGATGCTAGGATATTGTACAAATGGGGTATCATATGCTCAAATCGCCGCCCAGGCCAGCTGTTGCAGCGTGGTAACCTAAAGGCCAGCTTCATGATTATCTCCTCATGGTGCGATTGACTATGCCAGTTATTGGCCGATATCCTCGAGACGTCGGCAACTCGGGCAAGGCGAACAGTGGGCCCATCAGGGTCTTCAGCGAGATGTGCCAAAGGGCAATCTTGCAGGTACATTTCCCCGTGGCTCCTGTGGAGCTTCCGGCCGCGGCGTGAAAGCAAAACGGCGATAGAGGCGAGGGATGACAGCGGATGTCTATGTATGCGTGTAATGGTTTGCGCGACGGGAGTGGTTGTCGGTAGTCGCGGTTATTGGCTAGGCAATAATAGTGTAGAGAGAGTAGATAGGAGGCTGGGTGGTGGGTTTCAGCCAGCGCTGTAGCCGGTCATCCGTGCGCAGTGGCTGCAGTAGTAGCGGTTGGTGCCGATCTGGTACATGTTCGCCAGGCACTCGCGGCGACAGCGGCAGCAGGAGAGAGTTGAGGGTGAGCCAAGACCCATGCTGAAGGTGGAGCTGTTTGAGCTGGAAGATGAGGTGCTCGAGGTGCGCTGTTGCTGGATGGGCTCAGGGGCCGGGCGGTGGGCGGCCTGGGTTTGCAGCTGCAGAAGACGCGATGCGTCTGAAGGGCTCGTCATGTAGAGAGGTGGTGCTGGGCGGAAGGCCAGCAGCGGATGGGTGGGGTCCGAGGGAGTGTAGGGTTGGTAGTCGGAGATGGGGCTGTGAGAGGGAGTCTCGAGAGAGAAGTGGACGGCCGGCAGGATGCTGAAGTAGCAGGAAGGAGCAGTGGGGAGAACTTCGGGTGTTGGGTGATCTGCGCTCATGATAGGGCTTGTAGGTGACTTTGAGTAGGATGACCGGGTGTCTGAATCACTGCTGGGTATGTGGAATCGCCGTCGCCTATATGCTCGTACGGCCATCGAGCGATGCAAGATCGGCCAGTTGCAGGCCCTTTGCTGGGCGGGGCAGTGCGCCGGGCTGATTGGCGCATGGCTTGGGCCGTGGACGTGAGTTCAATCACCCAAGACGCTGGGTCCGAAGGCTTTGCAGGCCTTGCCCGAGCTGAGACAGTCAGTTTGCGATCTGCCACTGGGTCCCGATCGTGGCTGCCCTTGCCCCCCCCGCACACGAGCCAATCCTGCCCACCCACAGCATAGCGACCGCCACCTATCGAGATCACACTGATAACTAACATTCTCATCGCTCGATGAAACCACATAGCTGCAACATGGCATTTTTCCCTCTTGCACTTGCCTTTGCCTTTGCCGTTGCATGAGCTCACACGAGGTGCCTACTGCCTGCCGAGCCTCGCACGCGTCGTCACCGGCGCTGACTGTGTGCGTGTCGCCTAGCAACAGCTCCTGCCCTGCACAGCCTCTCTTTCCGCTGCAATCACTGTTTGTGACTGTGTCGTGTCACGTGTTCACCCGCCAGCCTCCCCGGAGCTCGCGGCCTCCTGCCATGCATGCATCATCATCCGGTTGCCGAGCACCGGCTTCGTTACCTATCCATCACCATGCCATCACGATCCCTTCACGCCCCTCATCCAACAACCACCCCAATGCGGTAGTTTCTGCAATAATCCGTTGAAAGTAGTTCGCGACCGCGGACTTTGCAACCGCAATCCTCGCAGCCTGTTGCTGCCCATCGTCGATGTCAAGCGGGCCGAACCGTTGGGCTGGCGGTCTAGATCAAGGCCATGAACACCCCGTCAACCTGGGGGAACCACCGCGCCAACTTCATAGGACCCTGTAACCTTTGATACTGACTTCCAGAGCCCTGCAGCCACGACAATGAAACGCTGCTGTTGCAAACTCTACTAATAAACTCTTCTGTTCTCGTCTCGACTACAGCACCCTCTTGCCAGACTAATGTACCTTTTCGCAAACGACGACGACGCACGACGATGCACAACAACGCAAACAATGTGCTCGTCGCACGAGAATCGCCGGACAGATACACTCCCGTTTCAAAAAGTCTACAATCACAGTGCGGCGCCGCTGACTCCGTCCAACAAGCGCTTACGTTGCGTTCCGGAGAGTTCCATCATCCCCAGCGCCAGCATACAGTCGTGGACCTGCATACATGTGCTACCATCTTCCGACCCAGGTCACAGCAAACGCTCTCGGTAAACATTGCGAAGACAAGAGCCGGATTCGCTGCATCTTACACAACGCACCAGCCCTGCATTACACCGTTGTGCACACAAGATCCCGCTGGGGGGCGGTCTAGAACCAAATGGCCGTAGCTGAATGACACCCAAAGAGTCCAGGCCGCGACCATGTTGCACCCGGTGACTAGATAATCGCCACCCCAATTGTGGGCCAAAGAGTCGAAGATTCTGATGGACTTTTTTTCTCTTAAAGATTGGGGCGGCCGGGTTTGGTGAGGGTTTATCGTGCAAAAGAAACGTGGTTCTTCTGAACTTCGTCTAGTCCGCTAATACTATGGTTCTGTAGAGAACCAACCAGTTACACAACCCGGAGCTCCACCGTCGGTATAGTCAGCTGAGCTGCCTGGCCAGTGTGCGTTCCGGGCCTCCATTCAGGCAGCAGCAAAGCCTCGGGCAATGAAGTTACCGACGTGTACTGCATAAAGCAGGGCCACGTATATGACCAGGGCCAGGCTACCATCGCCGACAAAGAGAACCGATTTTTCAACACATGGAAGGAAAAAGCAACACATTCTCATGGCCCTGCTCGCTCGACGCTGCGCGACGGACACTGAGCTTCGAAGCCAGACACACCCATCAGTATCGTAACGTGACAAATGGCGTCTTTCAAGCGCATAAGAATGGTTCTCTGGGAATGAAATACCGAGTGATTTGCGGGTTTGCGCAGAAAACATTGGTCGTAGCCATGACGCCGCGCGTGTACTAGTGATCAACTTGATATGGGACCCAGAATTGAAAACCTGCTCAGATCGATCGTGTTCGATTCCAAGACACACTCGTACGAGAAATCAGGCATAGCTCCTGCAAGTCGCATTGGCTTAGTAGTACTATAACAATTCGAAGCAAGTGGCCAAAATAACCTTAAGAAGGAGTTCGGCTATGCTAAGCTGTGCCCTGAAGCATATCTTACAGCGTCCAATAGCGCTCTTGACACGAAATAGCGCAAACACCTCCAGGTGCTTTGCTAAATCTACCTAGGAATGATCGGCTCTTTGGCATCCATAGGTTTGTCCTACAAGATCCGATTGCAGGCCTAGAATATGGAGAAATGCAAAACCGGTTTAGCAATTACTAGAACAGTCAATTCCACGATTGCAACTGGCTCAACGAAGGTTGAATGCGATCTCAAGATGGTAAACTTCTTGTTTCGAGATGGGTGCGCAGCTGATACATACGTGGGTGATTTATCCACATCTAGATCAGCACTTATGGTTCTGTTGCCGTCCAGACAACGTCATTGGTCACTTTGATAGCGACGGTCATGTGCAGTGCACGCAGGCTGAATGTGCGTGAACACATAACTACTGTGGATATCGTTCCTTTTCTTCGTCAATAACCCTATGATACCATGTCCTGATGCCATGCACCATTCCTCAGCATGGCGCAGACTCCAGGCCAGACGAGCAAGGTGACATCTGCGTTGGAGCTGCACAGTTGGCTCAAAATGGACGCGGTATCGAGGCCCGATCGCCCATGAGAATGATCCCATAGGCAGCCTTAGCCGCCATCTGTTCATTTCGTCCTGCGCAATTTTTTACAAAGGTCGCACCGCCGCGCAAAAGCTGCTCACGTCACTATCGTGGCAATCGTCACCGGCCCGCTGTCGAACGAAACAACGGCACATCGCTAGGGAGCCCCACCTCTCCGAACCCCTCCATCGCGCTCCTACAATCTTCACCACACCTACCAAGTACACACATCAACACCATGGGCAAGCCTCCGAACCTATACGCTTTTCAAAGCGCTGCTGAGCTCGCCCCGAGCCTGCGCACCTACGTTCTCGACGCCCAAAACGCTGCGCTCGAGCGCCACCAAGTTTTCCGTGTTGCCGTCTCCGGCGGCTCCCTGCCCAAGACGCTTGCGCAAGCGCTTCTCAAGGAAACCAATGGCGAGGGAAAGGTACAATTCGACAAGTGGGAGATCTTCTACGCCGACGAGCGCGCCGTGCCCCTCGATCATGAGGACAGCAACCACAGGCTGGTCAAGGAAGAGCTTCTCGACAAGATACCGTCTGAGTTGGGAACGCCCAAGGTGTACCCAATCGACGTCAAGTACCTCGATGACGTACAAGAACTGGCGGACCAGTACGAAAAGACGCTCGTCAGTGTCTTCGCTGCGCGCGATAGCGTAAAGCTGCCACTATTCGACCTGCTCCTGCTTGGCTGCGGACCGGACGGGCACACATGCAGTCTGTTTCCCGGCTCTGATCTCCTGCGCGAATCGGAGGCGTGGGTACTTTCCATCTCCGACTCTCCAAAGCCACCCCCGAAGCGCATTACCATCTCCCTTCCTGTTGCGCAACACGGACTTAAGATTGGCTTTGTTGCAACTGGCGGGGGAAAGAAGGACATCATGCGTCAAATTTTCGATACCGACGAGGGTCAACAACTACCATGCGGTCTGGTGAACCACAAGGGTGGAGACCGAGTTAGCTGGTTTGTCGACTATGCTGCTATCGAGGGTGTTTCTTTCCCAGCGCGCCGCGGTAGCTTGTGAGGACATTGGAGAAAGTAGCAATTCTGCCCTTCGATCGTTTGCGCTTTCGTGTTGAATGGAATTACAAAGCCATTTCTCCAAGTATGCATTGGATCACTCACTCAGCTTAGATACACTAGATAACGAACTCTGACGACATTCCTCTTTCCATATTGTGCCAGACATGCTCTTGCCATATGTCAGGGTTCTAGCCATATGTGGTGTTAGCGCAATGGTCCGCGCTCATGGCGGGAAGTAAACACCCGATGTTTTGTGTGTTTGTGCATACCTAACAACACCAAACCAAGCTACCAACGCGCGTCTACAATCAAGCCGCGACCTGCATCAAAGATGAACGCAAAGCCACGCTCGCAGATAGGAAGGATCGGCCATGCGCCGGCACGAACCCGGGTAAGCCTAGCCTCCATACTATTGCAAGCAACGTCTAACAGAAGGTAGACCGCTGCATCTATCACTCCAGCTGAGAACGATCAACAAGCAACAAGACAGGGCACGAGTAGTATCGTGCGTCCTTCACCGAGTAAACTACCGTCGTTCCAAGGTGACACGGAGACTCGTCGTAGCTTACTGTGGGTGACCCTAGGCACACGATGTTTCCGGCTTCACTAACCATCTCCCAACCCAGTCCCCAACCTGGTCAACATAGATACAATACTCGGTCGAGTATACTCCCAGAAGTGTCTGATCAAGATGTTGGCTCTGAAGATACGGGAGACAACTTACATGAGGCGCAAGATCAACCCGAAGCTGCATCAACAACACAAGAAATCCAGGCCCCTATTGCAGTACCGGGACGTCTTCGACCCCGATCAATGTATCAAACTGGCACTCCATCATCTCAGCGCACCGAAAATACGGAAAAAACGAGTGCTGCTCGTTCTATGCGACCCCCAACTTCAATAAGCAAGCTTGTGGGGCCACAGGCAGGACTGAGCCGATCGCAATCTTTGCGAAAACCAGCTGCTACATCACGACCAGCTCATCCATCAGGTCTTTCCGGTCATTCTCGGACGCAATCGACGAGTACCATATCAGCTCCACGACAAAATGTTGCTAGGTCAAACACAGTTTCCGAACGACCAAAGTCGCTACAGATAGCACCAAGTCGTACCACCAAGACCAACAGCACAACCTCAGATGCGCTCCCTGGTGCCACCAGGACATCAATACGTAGCGCCGGTATTAGTCGCACTGCCAGTACTCGGACCAAACCAGCAACATCAAGTAGTCTACCAAGTAGCGGTCCTACACCTAGGGCGGAAGAGCCTCTTGCAACACAGTCGAGACGTAAAGAAGCTGGACCAGAAGAGCCGAAGAAGACTAATCGACCAGCTTTCAGCACGCTTCAACAGCACTTTACACCGCGAAAGGTAGGGAAGGCCCCAACTGCCACTTTTATCAACCCTGCGCCCCAAGCGCCATCGTACTCGCTTTCACCAGAGACAGTCAGTCTTCAATCAGAGCTATTCCAACTTCATCTCCTGCATGAATCGTCGGTGCAGGTGTGCAGACACTGGGAGATCAGCGCGAAGCGTAGCTTGCACACAAAATTTGAAGAGGTGGCTAGCTTATATGGAGTCATGTTAGAGAATGAACGTGCAGCACAGGAGCAGAAGAATCTTCAGTCTTTGTTAGAGTGGAGTGCTGGCGGCTCATCGCTAGGAATCGTTGAGCACATACAGATTCTCTCGGAGCCTCTTCACGAACTGCCGTCATTGGTCGAATCCGGTGGTCGACTGCAACGTCTAGTGGGTGAATTTGAACACTGGCTTCTTTGGGTCCAGGATGTTCGGTCCGCTCGACAAGACCATGGTAGAGCCAAGCCGGCGTTTGGTACGATTGAAGGTCTTGGGGATGCGTGGAAAGCCGAAAACGCTACGCTATCTCGAAAATTGACTGCCCTCGCCCGTGACCTGAACAGACTAGCTTCACCAACACCCGGATCAAGCATAGCATGCATGATCGAAGCATGCACATCAATCCTACACGGGGTCTTGGATGAGTTGCAAATAATGCAAAAAATTGAGACCGAAGTGGTGTCAAGGGAGAAAGATTGGGTCGAGGATCGGCTTCGAGTGATTGCGCAGGATGTCGAGACACAGTGGGTGGATGTTGATGAACAGAATGCTGCTTGGCGGATGTGAAATAAGAAAGTTGCCAGAGCAGACTTGGAAGCACGGCACTTAGCGTTGACGCAGCGACAAAAGATTGTTGGATTCCTGTCTGGGTGAGCTAGACTTACTGTGTACGTCAACATGGGTTGCGTATAGCAGCACACATCGACATATGCTCCGAGGACTCTACTTTGGTCTGAACACCACGACACTTCCGCAACCGGGCTCTTCATTAGTATGATACGAGGTTCTCTATAGCCTCTGCTCAAGTCTTCATTCACGTTGGCCTTTTCCACTTTCTAAATTCCAATAAGTTGCCCTGTGGAACTGCAAGCGCATGACGATCACACGACATGAGATATGTCCAGTCTAGCTTCCGCAGATGGTGTGACAGAGAGCTTCGCACGGTCTATGCTGACTGACCACGCTAATCTCGGATGAGTTCCGCTCACTATTACCAATAATCAACTATCCGTCTTACTCAGCCTTTGTCCTCCCACATGATTCCCTTGTTGCTGGCTGTAAGTCGTCCATGCCAATTCTTCGCGAAGGTTCCTGGCTTCCCGTCCACGGATCGGCATTTCGGCTCCGACGCCGCCATCGAAGTACTGCATCAACCCGCGCCTGATGTTACCAGAGCATTGATAGTACGTCTTCCTGTTGGTTCCTTAGCTTGCAACTTGGCTTTCACTTGGCATGGCCATCAAGCACGAAGAGGCGTCAATGTAGCAATGGCGCTGACTGACTGTTGGTACTACCGACGGAGTATTTCGTATGCATTGACATACTACATTGCTGACCTTCGGTCTCTTTAATACGCCTCTTTCCAAAGAGCCACCGGATACTTTGTGGGCATTACGCCTGCTTGTCCATCCGTTGTTTTTGTCTCAGAAGCGGAACCACTGGAAGCAAGATCTTGAAATCACGGCAGATCTCAAAGTGGTCGCGCTCACGAATGTTACCCAGCGCCATTTCGTATCACGTCTGTCGCTTTCTCTGGCCGCTGAGTATGTCCTCTAGGACACACGATTCGAGCACTCATTCAAAACACTGCTAATACAACAGTCCATGGTTCCGAATGGCGGACACCAACGTCGGCACTCGGTCTTTGAAGTCAAACTTCACCTATGGACTCTCGCACGAACAGGAAACGACCTTGGGAGGATGGAAACGCCATTGATGTGCAGCCCAAGCGCGCCGGCCCGAATGTTACAGCCTTCATCAATCAGCACCCATCCCCGCTCCCGCCACGAGCCGGCCACTATACTCACGGCGATTACGTCCTGGACCAACAAATATTGCTGCCGCGCCCTGTTTCGTCCGGAAACACGTTAGCAGAGCTTGTAATTTCGAATTTTACGCAGCAATTGCCGTCCGTACGGGCAGTCGTGTCGCTAGGCATACTGAAACCCAGAGCCCGGTCTTTCTATGATGTTTTCCAACACCGGCATAGGAAAATCCCGCCATCGAGTCACGCAGGTATGACAACTCTCTTAGCTTTGACCTGTCTGGCGCGTTAAGCGGAAGCGCGGTGCCCGACATACAGCCGGCGCATGATGCTCCCATTTCATTGGTGTGTGGGAATGCCAATACTCACTTTCCAAGACAGTCTTCGTAACTGAGCCGATTATAGAAGATCATTCAATTCATTGCCGAGATACTGAACGGGTCAGTCTCCCGCATAGCGGTTTGGGCTTGCGTCTCGGTCACGGGCCTGAGCTGGCGCATGCAGCAGGGACAATTACTTGCTGCTCACCGGACTGCCAGGAACAAGCATGTACAAACTTGTGCTCATCACCCCAAAAGGTTGCCGCAGACTTGAGAAGGCTGGCCAATAGAGTCCGAAAGTTGACGCGTATAGAGCATGACCTACCCACTTCAGTAAGTTGTTCGTTCTATCTCGCTCTCCTTTTACCGCTGGGTTTTAGCACCCGCGTCCTCTATCTACAAGGCCAAAGCTGATATTTTCTAATAGCCGCCTGGAACTGAACGTCCTCAGAGTGAAGAGCCACTGCAACGGGCGCTTCGCTCATTGCATGAGGGTAGTTTTCGACCGCAAAGGCACATAGAGCACCGATCGTCGCATCACCCAAGATCACCGTCGCCACCTTACAACGCTTCCAACATGAGAAGAGCTCGAGACTACCTAGAGGGCTATGAAGAACAATCATTATCATCTAGGCAACATTCGACGCCCCACGGATATGACGAATTTAGTAGTCCCCGGACAACGTCGTACGGGGGGAACTCTTCACAGAACACCACGCTGTCTTCAGGGCCGACACATCCGCCTCCACAATCCCCGATGCAGGTAGCGCAACCTGCATCCTCGATTATTCTACCTTCTCCGGCTTCACTTAAATTTCCTAGTTCGCAAAGCCTCCCACCGGTGTCACCACCTACAACGTCGCAGACATCAATACAAAATGCGGACTTGCAGGACCTCCAACATCAGGTCAGTGTCAAGACGTTTGAATTTCAGACTCTGCAGCGCGAGTACGACGCTTTACTCCAGAATCTCGAGAGACAGAAGACTAAATGCGCCACGTTCGAGAAGAAGCTTGAAGTTAGCGGCATAGAGATAAGTAGCCTGAAAGAAGAGAAAGAAAGGCTGCTTGCGCAAATTTTGACAGTCGAAGGTCAGATCGAAGAGCTACAGCAGAGTAGGGACGAGGCTCGGCGGCAGTTGGTTGCTAATGGAGCACAATACGTGCGGATCATGGACATGGCAAACCGGCTCCAGTCACAAAGTGCCGAGGCCAAAAAGATATGGGAGCTGGAGAAGGCAGGGCTAGAACAAAGGATTCGGTTACTAGAAGAAGCGATGGTGGCAGGTACCCCGAAGCCTACCCCGACAGTAGTCGCGGAACAGCAACCTGGTATCAATTCAGTCCCGTCGTCTGTCGACTCGACAGATACCATCAACACCCCAATGCCATCGCAGATAGAGATCATCAATGTCCTCCGTTCCGAAATCAGTCGCCTTCGCTTCAGGACACATACACTCGAGTCGACAGTGCAGAACATGCGACGCGAAAGCTTTTCTATCCAGACAGCGGCACGAAAAATACTTGATTCAGGCGACAAAATAGGGAACATTGCAAAAGAAGTAGTGGGTGAAAATGAATGAGAATTTCTTGTATGTACGACAGGCACTCACGTCACAGGACTGGGAACGTGTGGTGGTCATATTGCTCGTTGGGATTCTCTCCAGTCTAGAAGTTGGGACAAGGTTTTGCGGAAAAAAGAATAGAGGTGGATTTGGATTTCTCTTACTTATACCCTAGTGAAGCGCATCAGATGAAAATGAAGTCGGAGTGTATGGATCTGCGCATATCTCAAGTATGCTAGAGTTAGGAATGTCATCACATATCGCTCTGGATGTTATGTGATAGTGGTGCTATGCCTTCGCGTTCAGTTGTATCTTGGTAATACTGCCATCCACTTCCTCATTTCTTCCAACAAGAATCACCGAGGATGCCATCTAAACACTGCAGAGTATGCGGATGCGGTCGAAAGCTAGGACCTATCTCACTATCAATGGCCCGGAATCTCCGGTTGGTTAGATCGCATCGACCGGTCGATATGCAATTGGGCCACTTCAGGGCTGATGCATCCCCTTGCTGTTGGTGTGGAGCCTGTATTAGCGGTTTGCTGCGGACGATGGTCGCCACCGCTTTGTGTGGCCTGTTGTCTATCGCGACGGGAAAGTTGCCAACCCGGGTAGCTAAATGAGCTCCTTGTGGCATACAACACAGCTCTCTCTAAAAGTTCGATCACCTCCTCGTTGATACAACGCTATTTTGTAGGTTCAGAAACTGCTGTGCAGTGGGAAGGGAGTTGAAGCATGATCTACTGGCAGTCTAGTACCAGCGGTCTGGTCTCTGTGTCTTCTTCTTTGCTGAGCTGTTGAGGCATCGTATTTGATTGCTAAGCTTTACGTAGGAACGACTATACGAAGTGACCTATGAGCGTTGCGGGCGTCAGGTAAGACTACACCAGTGTCCCTGATATCACTCTCGCTTCTATTTGCGACGGCTAGGTAATACAAATCCTCGTCGTATTCTCGTCTCCCCACACAGCTGTATCGGTCGCTTCTCGCCAACCCTTTCGATGGTCGTGCATCTTGGGTATCTGTAGTGATTTGTACTCATGCCTGAACTGCTTCCTTCTGTTTCCTGGCCTCTTCCTCCTCTGGTGTCCTGGTAATGAGTTGCAGCGCATGGATACCGCCTTCTTTGGCGAGTTCTTCCTTCATCAAGGAGTTGATCATGCGGTGGCGTGCAAGTTGCATCTTGCCTTTGAACTCTGGTGAGGTGATGAAAACCCTATGCGGGTCAGGATTATGGCTTCACAAGGTGTAAAAGCGTGAACCTATAATTACCGGAAGTGCGTCTCTCTGCTGGTGACTCCTTGCATGGCTTTGTGATGCGCATGCTTATGTGAGTCATTGAAGATCTCGAGCGAAGTTGGCTTCAAAGCTTCTGTAATCTTATGAATGTCAGAAAGCACTTTTGAACACTCGACTGACGTGTCGCGTATTTGATGTCTGACATACTTTGGTCCGCAGAGCATCTTCCATTGGGGTCATGGACTGAGCCATGGCTGACATGAAACGCCTTGCAGCGAGGCCGGTACTTGGAACGAACATGCACGAGAGTATCTCCTAGTCGAGCGGTCCGTTAAGAAGAACCAATGAGAATACTGGAGCGTAGTGGTGGAAGTTTTGGGTTGTGTCGGCCCTAGAAATCATGCCGAGGCACGCGCCAAGGCGAAATCGGAAGGCGTCGCGTCATGATTCCGAAAGTTTGATGCGCGGTCAGACGAGCCATTGCAGCCATTGCAGCCATTGAAGCCATGCAACGACCAGATGACCGTGTATGAGGCTTGATTGACGACTATAAGAGCATTTGTAATTCTCCAAGCAGCGCTTGAGGAGGCAATTCTGGTGCTTCGGGCCGGAATCCAAGTGATATCATTAACATGACTCGGCCCTGAACACAGCACATCTCCCACCGATTTGCCGTACTCCGAAGGCTCGAAACCTGCATCAATTGCGCTGATCCGGGACATCTCTCTGCCGCGATGTGGGCGCGTAATCTCTTCGCTCGCACCCTCACACGACACAAAATATCCTTGTCGACATACACCAGCCATTGCTGCCAACCTTTCGCACACACTCCCTTGTATACCGTGAGAATGGCATCCACGCTACCCCGCCTACCCGTCTTCGAAGCCATCAAGAAACACGATGCACAGAGCACCGCTGTAGTCCACTCCTTGTCTGGGCGATCCTTCACGTACGGGGAGCTTGTAAACGATGTCGCTGCTGCAAAGGACAAGCTGCAACGGAATTGCGGTGAGCAGAGCGCAGAGGGCCAACGGATATCCTTTCTGGTGGAAAACGGATACGACTATGTAGGTGCGCATTCCTCTGGCCTTGTGTGCAGCGGCGACGACGACGACGAGGAGGAGCAGAAGAAGCTAATGTGCACATAGTGACGCTGCTGTCCATCCTGGCCGCACACGCCATCGCCGTACCGCTATCGCCAACCTTCCCAGCTCACGAGCTGCGTTACATCATCGACCAGAGCGAGTCGCTTATGCTTCTCTCGTCTGAGAAGTTCCAAAGCCAAGCCGACGATGTGCTCAAAGAGGGCATGGAGACCAAGCCCATCAACTACAAGCAGGAGAAGATAATGATGGGCAAGACCGACGACTACGTCACGCTCGAGGAGCCCACAAGTGACAAGGGCGGCATGATGCTCTACACGTCTGGCACAACAAACAGGCCGAAAGGCGTTGTACTGCCTCAGGACGTCTTGACGGCTCAGTCGCGATCGCTGCTGGAAGCGTGGAACTACAGCAAAGACGACGTGCTGTTGCATGTCCTTCCCTTGCACCACATCCACGGCACTGTCAATGCGCTGCTTACGCCTCTCTTCGCTGGTAGCACTATCGAGTTCCAGTTTCCCTTCAACGCAACCGCTGTCTGGGATCGTCTGGCAGCTCCCTTCCTGCCGAATCCTGATCCAGCCAAGAAGCCCATTACCTTTCTTACCGTCGTCCCAACCATATACACGCGCCTGCTCGCATCGCATCCTACTCTCTCGCCCCAACTCCAAGCCGCGACCAAGACCGCCCTCCACCCGTCCAACATGCGCCTGAACATCTCAGGGTCCGCTGCCCTACCCACGCCGGTCAAGTCTGCATGGACGGAGCTCAGTGGAGGCAACGTGCTGCTAGAGCGATATGGCATGACCGAAGTAGGTATGGCGCTTTCGTGTGGACTAGATTTCACAGATCGCGTCGACGGCTCTGTAGGCTGGCCGCTTCCTTCGGTGCAAGCGCGTTTGGTAGACACCGAGACTGGCGAGGTTATACAAGTGGGTGAAGAAGTCGATCCTGTGACAGAACGTGAACGCCAGGGTGAAATTCAACTGCGCGGTCCGACCATCTTCAGAGAGTACTGGAAGAACCCCGAAGCCACGTCTAAAGAGTTCACAGAGGACGCGGACGGACAAGGCAAATGGTTCAAGACTGGCGACGTCGCTGTCCGGAGGAATGTTGGCGGAGCGGGCAAGAGTGACCAAGCCTGGGCTAAAGGCCCTCTCTACTTTATCCACGGACGTAAATCAGCGGACATCATCAAGACTGGTGGCGAGAAGGTTTCTGCCTTGGAAATCGAACGCGAGATGCTTTCCCTTCCCCAAGTCGACGAAGTTGCCGTCGTTGGCCTCCCATCAGAGGCTTGGGGTCAGAAAGTTGCTGCAGTAGTAGTGCTTTCTGAGCAAGGGAAGACCGCCGGCAAGGGCGGCAAAGCGTGGTCTGCATTGGATATGAGGCGGGCGCTGAAGGAAATACTCGCAAATTACAAAATCCCGCAAGAGATGAAGGTTGTGGACACGATCCCAAGGAACGCGATGGGCAAGATCAATAAGAAACAGCTTGTCAAGCAAATCTGGGGTGAGGCTCTGGAGGGAACGAAAGAGAACGGTGCGGTGCAGGTACCTAATGGAAGTGTATAGTTATGTATATGTAGCAATTATGTGACATCTTCAGCCACCACAAAACCGTCTAATCAGTTGAAGGTTAATCGACCCATTATGCGCAAAACGGGTTAACATGAGAGTTATGCATTTTTCATTCGCTTTTTAGCTGCATAATATGACGCTTGCCAATAGCTATGACGCTGCGCGTGGCTAGTGCCCAGCTGCAGGCTCAAATCGTGAACGCGTTGTTGCTCCTTCTACCATCAATGTCGCGTTCCCACCATGACCGACCCTGCGCCTCCACTTCCACCTTTTCTTGCACTCCCTCGCGAACTGCGAAACCTCATCTACTCATATGTGAAAGCTGAGGACGATCCTGTATGGCGTTTCACCGGGCTATTCGCTCCATGTTGCTTTCATTACCGTGTCCACAACGCGCCCAATCTCAGCTTGCTCCATACCCATCCTCGCTTGCGAGAAGAGTATCTTGAAACCATCGAAAAGGATGGAGTTTCTATGACAATTTCCGATGAAGATGTTCTTCAAAGCGATCTCGTTGTTGATGCACCACCAGGTCAACGAATATCGCCAATATACCAAAGACTCCATACGTTGCCCTTGGACACACTGTTTGCCCGATTCGTCAAACATGTCACGATCCTCATCGAAACTGCTCCTGGAGATCCTGATGAGTATGACGGAGTGAAAAAAGGGTGGACTAATACAGAACGTTTGATTTGCGTGCTGCTGCAGAGGGGCTCACATCTATCGACACTGCGGATTGGTATCCAGTGTCGTGCCACTACTCGACTGCAGCATCACAACAACACATATCCACGATTCGAAACTGGCTATTTTTTGATCTCCCCACCACCCTGCTTGGAAGTGTTGCAACTTGTGCAGCGAGCCGAGGGGTACCGTCTGGAACAGGTGCAGCCATTGCCTGGTCAGCCTCGACCTCAGCATGGTCTCGTGAAGCATGGCTGCTATTTGTACATTAGGGGCGGCGCAAATAACGACTCTCATTTCTGGAAACCTTCCGACGTCCTTGATCATTTTAAGCTGCAACCTTACACGATTGGTAATTGGAATACACCGCTGCCGCCTTCGATCCTCGGGCATCAAATAAAGCAATGGAGAGAAAAGCGCGGTCACGAAGAAGCTGTAGTCTGGTTCTAGAGTCTCTTTAGGACTGACCATTACTCTCTTTTTGGATGACCGGAACATCAATTCGATCATGCCAGCTATCCGACGACTCGAAGTACATGAACGCTTGGCAGCCTGCTTCCATCCTCAAAGCACATCTCCACAACTGCCCTACCATCCTTGTACCCGCAACTGAACAGTGACTCCAGTACACACCGATTCGCGTTCATCGCTTCGTGTACGACAAAAGCAACGAAGTGTATTCTCCGATTGGCTCACGATGCAGCTTACTTTACGCCCTGGCGTGTACCACACGAATCCTTATCTACCTCCACCTGTCGTTCTCTACTCGTTTGTGTACTCTTGTGTTTCTTCGTCGGCATCATCGATTGCCGTCAATATCATCGTAATCTTCTGAACCACCTTCGCTCTCGAAAAATGGCCAACGACAACCTAGCGCCGCATCTCCTCACTATACCACGCGAACTTCGAAATAACGTATACACATACCTTTACCATGAGGTCAGTCTGTGGTGGGATTGGGGCAAAGGGCAAGACCGTTGCAAGGGTCACGTCGTCAACCAAGTCCCTGTACGATTCCACAATGCACCCTGCAGCAATGTCATTCGCGCACACTCTCGATTATGCCACGAATACATCGAATCTGCGCCTATGAAAGATCTCTCGGCTACAATTGAAGTGTATCCCTCGATATACACAAATGTGAGCACCGACAAAGATGTTGACCTTGGCGTTCTCTCGAAACGAGTAACTAGTGCCTTCAAAAACCTTCGAAACATCACAATTTTTCTCACTTATATCGACGCTTTATCAAGGAGCTATGTACCCGGTGCTGAGATGTGGGCTAGCATCGAAAGACTCATCGGAGCAATCAAACATGAAGCTCCGCACTTATCAAATGTTCGGGTGGCATTCAAACACAACTCAGGTCCTGAACTGGCCCGCCCCCAACAACAGTGTGATACCTTCGCTACCCCTGATTTCCTACCTGGGCCACCGGACAGTCTGGTCGGGTTTCCGTTAGTACAGCGTGCAGAAGGACACCACATACTATGCCAAAGACGCGGATCATCAACTAGGAACACGGTACTCAAGTATGGCGCATATGTTTTCAGTTCGGCATATGCTAAACCCGCTTACATAACATCGAAAGAAATCGCGGAAAAGTGGAATGTTGGGTTTGATGGACCAGTATGGAGGGAGAAGCGAGGCAAGGAAGATGCAAAAGAGTGGTTTTAATCTTTGGTCTGCGGCTCCTTGTCTATTGATACGAAGATTGAACAGGGACATAATGTAGCTTGGGCTCTTTGGCAAGAGCCCAAAGTGGGACGCTGCCGGCACAGAATTGGATTCTGTGTGGTCTGTACGATCGCTAGCTGGTAATCTTTGTCTTCTAGGACACCATCTGCTATCATCTTGAACTCACGAGTCGCTTCCAAGGTCACGACTGCATGCCATCTCTCTCACTCGTTGCTCTTCCCTAGCATTGAGGCGGTGTCGGCTACAGCGGTGTGGCTCTTGATAATCCTTCGAAGCACTTCGAAGGCCACACCTTCTTCAACGGCTCAGAATATCTAGTTGCGCTGAAACACGCTGTATATCAGATTGCCACCTTTATGTATGGTGTAGACCGTGAGGAGACAAAGAGGTACGCTTAGAACGAAGATGAGATCGGTGCATGTTGGCTGCGAACGGAGCGTTCGGATGTCGTGCTTACTAGAGTCAATGCGGACAAGTTTTGGGGACCGACGGAGTACCTTGAGAGCATGTATGGGGGGTAGGCGCGAACATGGCGGATGAAGATGTAGGCTGAGTGTGAAGTGCTTGCGGTACAGCAAGGTCGGACAGCTTTACTTTCGGCGCCCACAATCATTTCCCGATGGTTCAATCATCAGTCCCAGGTACAGAGACGCACTTTCGAGATCCTACCATTGGCTAGTTCGTAGTTTTCTACGGGCACATCTGTGGTATTCTGCTGGGAAGACATTATACTGTCACTTTGGGCACCTACAATCACCTGCTCGTTTGTCTTACCTATTACAGTGATTCTGTGCTTAGAGATCTATGACATGACAATACTCAGCTCAAGTTCCTCCCTACTTCTTTCACTAGCCACGACAGGAGGTTCTGTCACTTCAACGCCGTGTCGCCAGCCGTCACTGCTACGGCTTCTGTTGTCAATCAAGCTCAATGGCCTATAACCACATGAGTGGGATACGACTTCGATACGTAATTATGATGACCCACCTCACAGGTCTAGAGAGTTCATCGCGATGCTCCGCGCGAACACGCCCCACCTCCACATTACCCGGCTGAACGGTGTATATGAAGAGCAACATCAACGACTTGGCATTACCAGCCGGCAGTCAGTTTTGGATCCTCTTCATATGCGCATCGGATACATTGAAGCGAAGAGTCCTCAGCTGTTCTCCCGGAACGCGATGTGTACCTCATGATAGTTTGTGTTCCTTCAAAGGTCTCTTACCACTCACAATCTCAATATTGAGAATTCTGCATCAGCAAAGAGGACACAAGTCTTCGCGAAACTATGAAATCACATCTCTTCCTTCTCCAGGCTGTCTTTGTAGAAGCAGCGATTCGCTTTGGATGTAGCAGCGTTTCCATCCAGCGCCTCGATCCACTTGTGGAGCCTGGTCGCGTACCTTCCTCTCATGTTAGTACCACTAAAACACAATTGACGACAAGCTTACAGAATCTCGAAGGTACATCAGATCGTTGGTAAGCTCGATGTATTTTTGCATCTTAGGAATCCCCATTAACGCCTGCGCAGGTGGCAATGCTTTCAATGCTACGATGACTGGTGATATCGGCGAACAGGGAAGCTGTACGACATGCGCGTACACCGAAGGCAGGATATGATCATTCAACCCGTTCCGATCGTCAAACCTGACATGTCTGTAGATTTTTCCAATTACTGGACAGCCGTGATGTATTTCAAACATCAAAACGGGTCGTATAAGCGCGTGCCCATCTACCCGAACGCTCAACTAGGTATGCTGACTTTACTCATGTCGATACGTAGCCTAATCTTGTTTAATCCAGGATATGAAGGTCAAAATGCAGACCACATCAAGGGAGGTATGACGATATACTATACTCAAAAAGACTTCAACAGTTCCGACCTCAGGAATCCAGTGAGGGCTTTCCCTCCGGTAAGGAACATAGTCCTGTTTGTTTTCGAACAGGTCTCTAACTGGGATAAGGGCTTTCGTATGACTGTTGGCAATCCGTCGACGACCACAATCAACGGCACTAAGAAAGGTTTGGCATACACATGCCTGCAAACCGTCCTCACTAGAGGCTACGAGACTCCTGACTTCCCGAAAGAGCCATGTCCTGCCGGTATAATGGCTATTCAGGTAAGAGAAGATCTCAGCAGATGTTGTAATCAGTTTACTAACCACAAGACAGTAAGTGTATCCAGTATCTTGACATGCCGCGCACTTCGAAGTTGCAAGATTTTTGCCTAGAGAAAATCCCTGCTCTTCGCATAAGACTTACTAACCGCGTCTTTCTCGTTTAGCCACTTTCCCTCTTGCTGGAATGGAGTTGACCTTGACGCCCCCGACCACCAGTCCCATATGTTCTCTACCACACGGGGTGGTTTCCGCCCAGCTGATCCTTGCCCCGCTTCGCACCCCATCAAGATGCCGCAGCTAGCATATGAAACGATGTGGAATACGACTGCTTTCGCTGATATGTGGCCAACCGATGGTTCGCAGCCATTCGTATGGAGCTACTCCGATAGTAGAGGCTACGGCACTCATGCTGACTACGTGTTTGGATGGAAAGGAGACAGCTTGCAGCGGGTGATGAACGACAGCTGCATGTTCCATCACTGTGGAAGTCCAGGCATGCAAGGTGTGCTGAAGACGCAGACTGTCGAAGAGATGAATGCTTGCGCGGTTGAAAGCTCCGTCGATGAAGATGTGGAGGGATGGCTGGATCATCTCCCCGGGTACGAGATGGAGGCTTGAGTCGGAGCTTGTTCGTAGCGCTTTGTCCTTACCTACATTTACTAGCTAGTTTTGAAAAATAATGTTTGAGCACTTCTGGGCGTTTGTACATCCGAGGATGCGTTGTGTTCGCTGGTGAAAGTAGCTCGAGCGACACGTCAGCCTCAGTTCGGACGAGTTTGCTCCCGCATGTCCCTGGCTCAATGCCGCGTATCGCGCTCTTTCCTTCTCTCATCACTCCGCAACCACCCACGAACCCCATCAGACTCTGTCGGGTTTGTCGGCATACATGACCTTTATAAGCCTTATTTGATACGTCACCATCATATGCTATATCCCGTATCTTCGTGTAGATTAACAGCAACATACCTATCACTTGTACAGTCCATGATTGGTGACTGCTGGTTAATATGACCATCATAAGCACCGTCGTGACAAGTGCCGCCGGCAAATGACGAGCGGTCTCTATCACCATTCCTGACCTTTTCGTGTAGATTGCATCCGAAGAAACACCCTTACACGGCAGTAAAGAGCTGGGACAGCAGTATCAAGCATATTGAACAGAATGCACCCGGTCTTGGCACAGCATCTGGGCTACTGATGGTAGCGTATCAGTCATTGACAGATGCCGTTGCCAATGGGCTCCCCATACGAAAGACTTCTCAAGGATTGATGGTTGATGAGACACAGGAATGAAGGATCACGCGCACTTCCCCCAAAGCTCGGTAAGTGACGGCGACGGAACCCAAATCTCTGCTCGCCAGATCTATATAAAGCTTCAGATACTATACTACCCATTATGGGCGATGTAAAGCATTACCCATTGCAAATCCGCCATCATGGTATCCTTCACCATCCTCACAACTGCTTTGCTAGTTTCTCTTCCCACTGCCTTTGCAGCGCCTAGAGGCGTCACATCTCTCATTAACCACGAAACTGTAGGGAAGCAACTCGAAGCCCGTCAAGGAGGTTACTACTCTTTCTGGTCTGAGGGAGGCGGCTCATTCCGTTGCAGCCAACAAGGCGGCGGCAAGTACACGTGTAACTGGTCAGGCCAGGCCGGCGGTGGCTTCGTAGCTGGTACAGGCTTCAAGCCCGGAGGTTCAAGGTTAGATTGGCAAACAAATTTCGCAACTTTGAGGACTGTACTGACAAACAATGCTAGGGCCGTAAAATACGCAGGTACATACGATGCCAAAGGACCCGGTTACCTCGCCCTGTACGGTTGGACGCGCAATCCCCTCATCGAATACTACATCATCGAATCATATGACATCCTTGCACCCGGTGAACCTTGGACGCGCAAAGGCAACTTCACTTTCGAAGAAGGCACCTACGAGCTCTACACCAGTCAGCGCGTAAACAAGCCGTCAATCGAAGGTACCCGCACCTTCACACAGTTCTGGTCAGTGAGAACAGAGAAGAGGGTTGGAGGTACTATTACTACGCAGAAGCATTTTGATGCATGGAGTAAGGCGGGGATGAGACTTGGTGGTCACGATTATATGATCCTTTGTACGGAAGGTTTCGCGAATGGGACCCTACTGCCGAGTGGAAGTAGTACCATCACAGTAAGCTAGTTAGTGGCGATTGCAGCTGCCGCGACTTGCAAGAAAGCCGGAGAAAAAAGGTGTATCAAACATATACCCTAAAGGTGTAGTTGGTCACCGCCAATAGTAAGAGAATAAGTCAATACATACCGCACATCTTTAATCAGGTGCAACCGTTGGGGAATTACTTGAAAATATTTGAGCCGGGGTAAAGCACATTGCTGCACATGCTGTGACGTCGGGAACTGCATCGGAAAGGCAGTAGGTAATCGATCCAGGTTCCGGTCACTGCTACATATCACGAGTTTCCTTGCGGAAAGGACACAAGAAGGATAGCGGAAACTTAAGCTGCATGGAACTAGAGGCGAGGGGAAGAACGGCTGGCGAACACAGATACCCTCGCGCTATGACGCTACACATTGTGAATTCCCAAATAACGATCTTTACAGTTCAGACTTATTAGAAATGCACATGGAAAAACATGTGAGCTTTGCGTGCTAACAGAGGAAACCACAATCTGTCTTGCGAAAATCTGTATGCATTTTGATGAATTCGACATGGATGATTGGCGATAAGGCATGGGATCGGGCGTATACGCCTGTCAGCAACCATGCGTCATGGGTAGATATCAATAACAGATGAGGCTTCCGTAGTCCGTTCTGTAAAGCGTTCTTCGCCCGAAATATCCTCTTCAATTGTTGATTTCCTACTGGCGCCATGACAGGCACAGTTCTCATTACTGGCTCGAACGGCTCGCTGGCTCTGCCAGCATACTCATCCTTTAATCTGGTTCTCACCGTCCGAGACGATTTTGAAGAAGACGTGAACTCAACAAAACTTCGTCTTCTTGTGGAACAACACACTGATGTGCAAGTATCTATACGGCAACTCGATCTCTCATCGCTGGAGAACGTCCGTATATTCAGCAAAGCGCTGCTTCTTGAGATTTAGAGTAAAAAGCTGCCACTCATCCGCACGATCATCTGTAACGCGATGACCTGGAACCTGGCCGGTGGGCCCCAGTATTTCAAGGGTGGGTACGAAATATCGATTGCTGTGAATCAACTTGCGCACTCTTCTTTCTCGTGCGAGCTTCTCAGCGCTATGGATCCGGTGCATGGTCGCATCATCTTTTCAGATAGTGGCGCACATTGGCCCGAGAAAGCTAGTTTCTCCAAGGGATTTCCAACTCAAGTGCCATAAGACCCAGAGCTACTGGTCCATCCCAAAGCAGACAAAGAAGGCGAGGAGATGGGACGAGGTTTTCAGAGATATGCTGTGAGCAAACTGGTTCCTATTATGGTCATGTACGAACTCAATCGTCGTCTCAAGACCGTAAGTACCTCATTAAGATAACTCCAGACGTACCCACGTTAACCGTCAATCTAGAAAAGGGACACTGAGTCCATTAGGGCAATAGCGGTTGATCCCCTCGATCTGATCAATTCGCGGGCTTTCCATCAGTCACATGTCCCACGGATTATCCAGATAGTAACTACAGTTGTGACTTGGATGCTGCCGTTGCTCAGCTACTTTGACCCTCGGTTAAAGACAGTCGAGCAGGCTGCAATCCCCTTTGTTGATGTGGCAGTAGCAGATAAATTTGCAGGACAAGAGGGTTACTTTGAAGGAGACAAGAAAGTCGAGAGCTCGCCGGACAGCTTGGACATAAACATGCAACAGGCGCTGTGGCGCAAGAGCTTCTAGTGGTGTAAGTTGAACAAGAAAGATTTGATGGTTGACGTATGAGGGGAAGGGCGAGCTAGTGAAATCGGGCGCTCTTTCGTGTTACGCGGAGTTCTCGCCGGAAACGTCCGGGAGCTTCAATCGCTCAGCTTTCCCTCACATAGCTCCCATACCGAAGAAACTTTAGACCCTTCTACTAAAAGCATCTCGAATCTATTCCCCTATCAAGGCAAGCTATATCGTTGTGTGCCGACATACGGTGCTGGTCCATCCATGATTCAAGGCCTCCCTGTACTACTTACATCGGCCCGCAACATCCAACTCACGCCAGTACCGCTCAAAGTGCCGCGAGAATGCGTGGCTTACATGCATAGGTGAGATGAGCAGGCCTTGTCCTCGTTCTCGTTTAGAAGCGCCGTTCAGCTCGTATCCCAATACATGAGGCCATGTCAAACGCTTACGCAGCCACTGCAGGGCGACATCATGCGCCAAATCACTTGTGGCACACTCAGGGTTTAGGTGCACGAGCGAACAGATCTACAAAGCCTGTCAGCGACACATTCACAGCCAAATTTCTCGGTTGCAGCTTGGCGAAGCTTATTCCTTGATTTCGTGAGGCATTTGTTGGCGCCACAAAGCTTAGTGGAGCTTAGCCACGCAATCAGCCCATGCATCATGCAAGGGTCTACATGCTTCATTGCAGACATGTTACGACGAACCCTGCTCATAAGCCAATCAAACGACGGAATGAACGGCCGCGAACAAGCTGAGCCACCACAGCTGCGGCTGTTTCCATCTACCACATCGTCCAGACTCGCGTCCGGGGCTGGCTCAAGAGATAGTAATGTCGGTGAGGCGGTGCATACAGGCCGCCGAACCAATCCTATGCCTGACAACTGGCAGACGTTGAAACATCGGTATGCATGCCTCAGGGTCAGGGCTCAATGTGTGTGACCAACGAGGGCGGATGACGAGGGTAGACAAAGCGCTATGACGGAAGCTGTGTCTCTGAAGTCATTAACCTCGGTGAGTAGACCAAACCTGCTGTTTCGTACCGGAATTGATATAAAGAGCCTTAGACGTCTGCGACCAATTCCCTTCATCTTCCACTGCACCTTGAACCGCACATCTGAAACACTTACATCACACATATACCCGTCGCCGTCAGACTCCAGAGCTCTTAGTTCTCGTTCTCGTTCTCCAAGTTCAAAACAGCTGCTTCGGTAGGTGTTCTACGCTTGCTGCTAGCTATGCAACTAACACTCTGTATAGCACTATTTTCCCACAAACACCATCACGATGCCTGCCAGTGTTGCCTCCTCCGTCTCGACTATCATCAAGCCCTCACCAGCCCCGAAGTGCGGTGAGTCGTGCGATTGCTGTGGTTGCGACGAGTCCTGCTGGTGCACCGTCATGTAAACTGGAGGACAATTCATACCCGATACGAACATCACGATCACCACCTTGGAGGATAATGGAGCACTATCAGTAAAGGGCAGTTTCAGTAGGCAGTCTTAACCAAATCCTCCAAATATACCCGCCGCTACCACCTCCCGGCCCAAACAAAACTATGATGCACTTAAATCATTCTTGCATTGGTGTTTTTACCAATTTTGTCTAGACACCTTCCCATCTGACTATAGGTTCTTTCATATGCTCTTCCCGTTATCAACTGGATGGCAACAGCCGGATGACCATGGTTCGCTTGAGCACCGGCGTACGCAAAAGTGACGTAATTCCTCTATCACAAAACCGTACCTGGTAAACATCACAGACATGAAAACAGACCCATTGGCCCTAGAATTTCTTGCAAACTTACAGCTTCTCAGTCTCCGAACGCTCAAGTCGTCTCCTCAGTTACTTAAATAGCATAGGCAAACGTTCAAGATGCCTCCGTATGTTGCCCGCAATGCTCTCCTACGAACCTCACAGGCGCTCTCGCGTCTATCAAAACCAGCACTTCGATTCGCTCACACGCAGCGCAGGACTTTGCCCGACTTCTCGCTTGAAGGCAAGGTAGCTGTCGGTAAGCAATATGGAGGCAGTCTCTTTGCAAACTATGCTAATCTCGTTTAGTGACTGGGTGAGTGGTCTTTGCCGTCTCCTGGGAGACTACAGAGCACGGCTGAGACGAAGCTAAAGTATTAAATAGTGCTTCTCAAGGCCTCGGTCAACAGATCCTCGCCGCATTCGCCCTCTCAGGCGCCCATGGAGCCATAGTGGATCTCAAACAAGAAGGCGCCGACAAATCTGCCAAGGCTCTGATCGAGGAGGCTGAGACTCAGGGTCTACCTCCGCCAAAGGTGCATGGTTACGAGTGCGACACTTCTTCCGAAGAAGGTGTAAAGTCTACTTGGGACAAGATCATCCAAGAGTTCGGCACAGTCGACATCCTTGTCACCAACGCTGGGATCACTGGCGGCGCACCAGCAGAGGACTACCCTTTCGAGGACTTCAAGCGCATGATTGACGTCAATCTGACCGGAACTTTCCTCTTCTCGCGCACAGCAGGGAAGTGGTGGATTGAAAACCAAGTCGACGGCCGCATCCTGATCGTCTCGTCTATGTCTGGTTCCATCGTGAACCGCCCCCAAAAGCAGTCAGCATACAACGCCTCCAAGGCTGCATCCGCCCATCTCATGAAATCCCTGGCATCTGAATGGGCGCCCCATGGTATCCGCGTCAACGCGCTAAGCCCGGGGTATATCCAGACAGAGGCAAACGAGGGCGAAGAAATGGAGAAGCTGAGTAAAGAATGGCTTAAGGATATTCCGATGAAGAGAATTGCCAAGCCTGAAGAATTTCGGGGTGCGGCAGTTTGGCTGGTCAGTGATGCTAGTAGCTACGTTACGGGCAGCGAGATTATCGTGGATGGTGGATATACAATCTGGTGATGATACTTCCAATATGGTTTTGCACGAAGAAATTTGAAAGTAGCCATTGATGTACGGTGTTTGATACCATCTCGGAGACCGATATGCTATTGGGGTCCTGCTCATTTTCGTACGACCCACTGCGGTAGATTACTCCTTCTGTACTTCTCGTTGTCATATTGCACCGCTACTGGTGCAGCCGGCGCGGAAACTGGCGTATCTTCAGAGTCACTGGCGCCTGATTTACCCTTTCTCATATTTTTGTCCCTCTTCAAGCCCAAGATGATGGCTCCAACAACGGCCAGAGCACCGGCCATACTGCCGATGACGGTACCTGCGATTGCACCGGGACTGGTGCCGCGCTTAACACCATCGTTGACTTGCGGGTTACTTTCGATTGACATCATGGGCTCGGCTGAACGCGTCGTACTGCTCAAGATGCTTGTGGACGCTGCTTCTGTGTTGCAGTTAAAGAGGACGATGGCGACGATATACCCTCTGACAGAGGCATGCTTCTGCATTATCCCCCGCGATACATTGCGTACAAGTCACTTACCTGTCGGTCTCTAGAGCCATTACCAAGGAACAAAAGGAAAGCTAAATATGTGACAACCAAATAACGCGAAGTACCATGTAGACTATATGGTTCAGTGTACATGTTCGTTGAATATCTATTTCTATGTACACAATCCGTCCGTCGGCTCTCGGTTTTCTCAGCAGTATTTCTGTTTCGTTGCCCAGTCACACATAACTTTTCCAACACAGCTGCAACAAGCACACACCTATCACACACCGCTCTCGTTAGCTTCGCATTCTTTGTCACCAATCGTACTCAACTTTACCTTCTTTTGCTTCACTGCATTGTCATTTCCATCTATGCATGTCAAGGTCTGCGCGTTCCACCGAAACTTGTTGTAGCACGCGTTTGCGTTGATGACAGCGGCGCAATCATCGCTTCGCGCGACTTCGGCAGTACACTCTGGATACGTTTGGGCGGCAACCGAGGTGACAAGAGACATCAAAGCGGTGATAATCAACTTCATGGTGGGTTTGTGATGATTGAACTCTCGCTGTGCAAAAGCTGCTGATGGATGGTATTGCTCTGCTCTGCTTGATGATGCGAGTAAAGTTGACTGATACCTAGGAACGCGGACTCATATGTCCGATCGCAGACTGCGCTGGATAGTCATAGTACTATATTCTGTAACCTCATAAACCCGATGGTACCTTGAATACACAGAGGTCATCGTCATAGACGTGGTCAGATGGCACAATTGTAGATAGTCGGGCGGATAGTCCCGAGTCTTCCATACGTTCGCTCTTCGTCCCAGACCAAGCCCGGAATGCATGCTTCACGAATCTCTTCCCATTCGAAGGCTTCTGACGAACATGTCCGCTCATGCAGAGACGTTTTTCAATTCCCCTTGGCAGGCAAGCGCGCATTCGCTGCGCGATATTAGCTTACATTACCTTGGCATTCGGCTCTTCACATCAGCCCTCAAGACGACGGCAGTTTTCAATATCTTCCTCATCAAGACACTGCGCATGTGCTATCTATGAAAGATGCAGTACGGAATGCGCTGCCATATCACTCAAAGAGATCATCTTCAGCACCAACACAGAAGAGAACAGGGTGCAAATACCATGAGGCTACAACCCATCATCAGTGCCTTCGGGCTGCTTGCTATCGCAAATGCAGGACTGTTACGCTTCGGATGCGCACAGTTGACCGTTCAGCGACTCGACCCATTGGTCAACCCAGGAGCTAATCCGTCGCCGCATCTTCATCAGATCATCGGTGGTGTAAGAAACTCCTACGGCGAGACATATGTACAGTTGTTGATGAAACCAGAACTCATTCAACGTGACGATGGACCCTACCAAAGGTCATGATCTAGCGGCGCAGTCAACTTGCACTACCTGCGAGTTTACCGAAGACCTAAGTCAGTGTTACATCGCCTTTTCTGGTTTGGCCCAACGCTAATGAGACACTTATAGGCAACTATTGGACCGCAGTAGTGTATTTCAAAGCAAAAAACGGTACTTTCAAACGCGTCCCTCAACGAGCGCAACAAGGCATGGAGGGTACGAATGGCGGCATGGTACATACCCTCCCCCATGATTATATCACTCGCTGTCTAAAATTCATCTAGGTCGTATATTATATGACGGACGCCCTCTTCAGCACTTCGCAAACTACAAAAGTAACAGCTTTCAAGCCAGGTTTCCGCATGCTAATTGGCGACGTCTCGTACCGTACACGCGAAGCAGCTCGCGACTTTCGACAATTAACCTATATATGTATGCAGAATGAGGGTACTCGGGAGCCAGAAACGCTCGAATTTCCTAAGCAGCCGTGCCCTGCGGGTATCATGATTAACCACAGATTTCCAACCGTTAAGTAAACACTAAGAAGGCGTGTTTGGCAGGTTTATTGACTTCCTACAGTGCTGGGATGGTGTAAACCTCGATTCACCAAACCACCGTGAGCACGTTTCATACCCAGCAACTGGCACGTTTGAGAATGGCGGCGCATGTCCATCAACGCACCCCATTCGTATTCCTCAAATCCTGCTTGAGACTGTGTGGGACACGAAGCAGTTCAACAACAAGGCAGACTGGCCCACTGACGGCAGTCAGCCATTTTTGTGGTCTAGTGGCGATGCGACCGGGTTTTCGACCCATGCGGACTACCTCTTCGGCTGGAAGGACAACTCGCTACAGAAAGCCATGGATGGGAACAACTACGTGTCAGCTCCAACGCTTAAGAAGCAGAACATCGCTACACAAAACAGGTGTAATGTCAAGGACATGGTCGGCGAGAATTTTGATGGCTGGCTCACAGCATTGCCGGGTGGTATGCAGGTGAATTGAAGGGCGGTTTCCTGAACGTTGATCTTATGTTGTTGAGCTGTCACACCCCTGGGATGGCGACAACCACGATCCATGCGTTCATTTCACTCGTGGAACTCTTGGCGTATCCATCGGAATGTAGAGGAACGCAGCAACAAATGGGATCCCGCCGTCCATTGGAGCTCTGCATTTGTAGCAAGCGAATCGACTCTTTCGTTCAGCGTAGTACATAGTGGGGAGGCCTACATGACATGGGTCCTAATTCTTAACAGCTTTCCTTTTCGTCTATATTATGATCACAAAGAAGGCTATCGAAGCTCCGTGAGCAACAAACACATACTCAAGTGTCTACGTGTCGCATTGAAGACGTCTGCGTATGTTCCCGCTTCATTAGATGCTGCGAAGAGGACGAGGCCTAGAATCCACGACATAGTCTTAAAATACTTTGAAGTGCTCGCGGGGTGTTCGACAGCAATGGTCCTTCATCATCAACTACGTTGGATCGAAAGGTTGCGGTATCATTGCCACAGCCCCGGGAACTTTGCCATGCCCTCTCCACGTACCAGCACGTCATGAGCTACCAGTTAAGGATTGTTTGGACTGTTATTACCCAGTCAGTTGAATAGCGAGACTTGTTCTAATGAACTTCGCCTCGTCGTGGTCTGTGGAAGTCAAATTCCCAATGACGTCTGTCGAGATTACGCAGGAGCACGATACTTAGAGTGGGCATATGGTCTTCTCGAAAAGAAACAGGCATCTGCTGACTATGTGGGTCCTGGAGTTCAGTTATATGATGCGCTGGCAACATCCTACTAATTAGCAAGAGCACAGTCGGTAGACGCAACTTTGTCTTCATCGTTGACCTGGCCTCAAAAAGGCGGGCGGTTGCGGTATTGGAAGGATCTGCTTGGAAAGATCAGACACTTTGTAAGCGCTTCAGAGGTACATTTGATCGTAATTAGGGGGCCGAATAGATTTGCTCGAGCGCGATTCTAGTCAATGCTGACGTATTAAGTTTAGATGGCAGATAATATGTCCCCATTCCTCAGACAATGCCATCTAAGTAACAGCCTACGTGTGCGTAACCCGTGTACGCAATCACGTCAGCACAACCCTATGCCATTGCATAGTCAACACTACAATGTCTGTGCCTGTACTCAAGAGTCGGCAACCACTCGTGACATACTGTAGCGTACTCACGAAGCCAACTTCATGACACTGAGTTCTGCGCACCTCGATTGACCGCAAAGGCGCGTCGAGTTCTCACCCCAGTGACCAGAGCCAGTGATAGTTATTCGACCGCGGCTCTGTGTGAGATGGCATCCAGTACAGCCAAAGTACAATCGTCTGCTTGTGTCCCTAGAACTAACCCACCACAGTTAGAGATAAGTCTGACTACCTAAGCAGCTCTGGACGTTCTTGGGTCAGCTTATACTCAAGGACCGGTTCGTTTGTTCTACCATACACTATCAACATGATCTGATTAACCTCATGCCGCTATGCAGTAGCCTTCACAGACGCGCCTGTCATGCACCGTCCCGAACAGACACCTCGGCAGCCCTATCAACAGGTACTGTCAGCAACTTCGACTCCTTCTTGATACCTTCATCACCATCCAACCTTTTCACAACCACGATGATCATAAGATCCTTTTTTGGAAGTGGTTTGAGATCCCAACCCAGAATTTCCGGTCTCTTGAGTGCATATGAGATTGAGAAACTCCACTTTGCGCTTTCGATCACCGAAGTGTGCACCACATGATCGTCCAAAAAGACTTGGAGCAGAGTCTCTGACGCAGGCTCATATAAGGTTCCGTCCATGCTCAGAGAAAGTTCGTTGTTAACGTTATTAGAGTCTCCCAAAGATTTGACAACGGCTGTTACAGATTCGATGATGTGCTTGTCTTCAGTTGGCAATGGAAGTGCATGGGCAATAATGTCGGTGGGTAGAGCGGGCGTGAGGGGTGGAGGTATACGCTTCTTTGTAGCGCTTTCGAAAGCGTACGCATACTCTAGTAGTTTGGTGTCTTTGTATGCTTTGCCAGCAAAAGTGATGTTCACAGGCATCTTCTTCTCACTCATAACACCCATCGGTACACTCACAGTAGGTACACCAAGATGCCTGATGGCGCGGTTGCCGTTGGAGTACTTGACACCGTTCTGGAGACTATGCGTCGTGCTGTCAATATCGAATTCGAGATCTGCAAGACCGACATCGCCCTGCGCTGGGAACGCAACAACATCGAGTTCATTCTTGTCCATCCAGTCTTCCAGATCACGTTTTCTTTGAGCTTCAAGGGCTTTTAGAGCTTGCTCCATGCCTTGGATGTCATGTATACTTCCATTCTGCACCATATTGGGTAGACCGGGGTAATCAATCCAGTTCCTTACTTCGAGGAAGCGGTCAGGTTTGTAGTCGGGTGGTTTTGGGAACAGCATTGACGGATCTTTGATGTCGGCTAAACAATTGATATTGGGGTCATTGTTGTCTTCGAGGAAAGCGTTCCAAGCCTGAGCGATGAGAATACCTCGCTCGAGGAGATTCCAGTTTGCAGGCCGACCATCGACGTTGTTGGCCTCACCCGATACTGAGTCATTCTCGTAGTTCGTTATCAGAGGGAAGTCGGTGTAAACAATCTCTGCTCCCAAAGAGCCAAGATCTTTGGCTGTCTGTTCCCATAATGCGATCACTTCCGATGAGACGTGAGTGTGTTTTGCATGCGGATCCAAATCTTTTTGACCAACGTATATTTTTGGCACACCGATTCTCTTCCCCCGTAACGCATCGGTGTTGCGCAGATCTGTGTAGTTGATTGAAGGCGGTTGAGGTATTTGAACGTGTCTCTGTTCGCGTATGAAATCTCCGGTTGTGTCTTCGTCAGGCGTAGCGATAACATTCAGTATCTCCAACATGTCATCGACCGATCGCGCATAAGGCGTGGGCACATCGCATGTGATATATAACGGCCACAGTCCACGACAGCTGAGCAGTCCCTTTGATGGGGTATAGCAGACAATCGCATTGTTTGACGCCGGACTTCGACCGCTGCTGACAGTTTCGCTGCCCATACCAAAAGCTGCCATGCTTGAAGCTACAGAAGTTGCGGCGCCATTCGATGAACCAGAGGAGAAGGCTCCAGTAAGATACTTGGAGTTGTAAGGTGATTCCGCACGACCATACATACCTCTTTGCATACCACCTGCAGCCATCGGTGGCATGTTAGTCTTTCCAATCAAGATTGCCCCGGCAGCCCGAAGCTTCTCCGCAATAGCAGAATCGCCGCTTGACATGACGCCTTTGAGAGCAGGGGAGCCATCAGTGACTGTCATGCCAGCCACTTTGTAGCTGTCCTTGATTGTGTACGGTATGCCTTCTAGTGGACGGGGTTTCAGTCCCTGTGCTCGACGTGCATCCGATGCTGCTGCATCCTGGAGAACGTTCTCGTTGAGGACTGTGAAAGCATTCAAACCTTGGATGGTGTCATACTGTGCAATGCGATTCAGGCAGCTGATGACGATGTCAACACTGGTGACTTGTTGTTTGTCGAAGGCTTTCCGGTAGTCATCGATACTGGCTTCGACGATGCTGAAACCATCTCCCTCTAGCCTCATATCCCAGAGCTTCTGCAATCTCGCATCTCGAAGATCCTAAAAGTCAATTAGTCAGTGTTGTGCTGTCAGCAGTTCCGAACATACATCATTGCCATCCATCTCTAAGGCGCGCCTTTGGATGCTATAGGTACTAAGCGAGAATACCACTTTGAAATAGGGTGTTGAATTGGTGCTTGAGCGACGATGGCACCGTTGTTAGCAGCTCAATTTTAGGTCACCCACGGTGGGAGTAAGTAAGGTTGGTTTGGTGAACGTAATCGTGCCCAGGAGATAGTCACTTCCCCACTTCTGGATGATAGTCGGTTGGACTTGCCCCGTACAGCTAGTTCATGTAGGATGCAGGTATTCTTTGTACCCGATCCGTGACCGGGCTGCATCACTTCTAGTGCATGCAACGAGTATATTTTATGTCTGAGTGTTCAAACAAGGGTGCATTGTCTTCGTGCTCGAAACGCAGAAAACGCCATGAACTAGCAAGGCTAAACGCTGCCTGCAGATGTCCAACTTCAAACTAAACAAGCACTCGAATACATGTGTATGGTATCGATCGTCTTCACAAGTACCTCGCACCACCATGATGGGCCCTTTATGCCGTACTCGCCCAGAGTGCCTTGAACCTCGTACTGCCAGCAACCAAACCGCAGGCGCCCATCCAACCCAGGTTCCAGCCCGGCAGACCACCAGTGGCGCTGCTGAAATGTAGCGCCATGGGCAACCACGCACTCGCGATGACAAAGTCGGTCCACCACCGGTTGTCAAACTTGTTATCTTCTTCTTCCTGGTATTCTGCTACTGCCCGGCCATCAGCGACCATCTGCTTCCTAGTCACCCTCCTGCGACTCTCGAGCTGCCACTCGCGCATCAAGCGAAGGAAGTCGCATGACACGCCACCCAGCCAACAGCGGTAGGCGTACAGGTATAGACGCGCAGTTTTGGAGTCGCCGCGGTTCAGGGTGGATATGAAGCGGGGTCCGATGACGCCTGAGTCAGCGAGGAGGGAGATGTTCTCTAGCGCTTGGTAGGAGAAGTAGCTGCTCGCCTGCAGCATGGCGATTCTATGCAGAACGACATCTGTGCCAGCCTTGGGGCCTGAGGCTAGCGAGCGCAGCCACGCGTATAGCGGGAAGAGGCCGAACAGTCTCAGCGTTGTGCGCGCCTTGGAGATGAGGACTGCGAGCGCAGCGATGGGCGGCACGGTGCCATTGTTCACGAGTGTGGCCGCGGAGATCTTGGTGTCGTCGCAGGCCGGGCGGATGAGGGACAGCAGCTTGGTGGCAAAGCCGGAGACGGAGGGCGACTTGGTCTGCACGTACGCGAGGATGTAGAGGGTGTAGTTGAATGTGGAGAGGAATGCGGAGAGGCCGCCTGGGGAAGCTAGGAGTCTGCCCTACATTAGCTTGTTGCCATGACCCTCGTCGCGACAGAATAACGAGACACTCACTTGTTCAGCCTCAGGATTGTCTGGTCAACCTTCTTCACGCCTGCGAGCAAGTCGGTCCTGTCAATATCCCTCGGATCCGCACTGGGGGCGGCATCCGCTATCTTATCCACCACCTCCTTGACATCAGGTGTGTCGGCCACATTGGGCGCTTCAGGTTGGATTGTCTTCTCGTTTTGGTCAGACATGGCGATTTTGGGTCGGATAGGTAATGTTGAGCATGCAGAATGCCAGGAAATCTGGGTAGAATAAGGTAAAGGGCGTGTTCGCGGGTTGTGCTTCTCCGCACGCAAGCCACGCATGGGGACCTCATTGCCGCTGTCCCCGTGAGCCGAGGCATTGGCCCCAGCGACTTTCCAGCAACCTTGACATCGCCCCAGTCATCATCCCCAGACACCTACATCTTTTTCTTCGAGTGCATTCCGCTCAATCGCTGCGTCTTCCAAGTCAGATGTGGGCCAAGAACAAAAAGTGCGTCATAGGTCGGACGAGAGGTGTGATTCACTACCATTGGGTCACTATACTTGATGGTATGCCAAACGCAATCGAATACTCAAGCCTTCACTATACACAATCATTGTCAAACGCCCTCAACAAAACTGCGCATACTTCGCCGCTGCACATCTTCTACGTCAAGCCTCCTAATCACATCCTCAATCTCTTCCCAAGCTGCCTCCTTTCACCCGATAGAGGGCCGCTATCGGGTACAGGGTGCCAGCTCGCAAGATGTAAGCAAACGTCAAGAGGGAAAGAACATTGGCGACAAAAGAGAGCGTGCTATCTCGGCAGTCACATGTGCTCAGCCTTGTCATGTAAAAACATGGTAGGAGCATACCCAGGCAAACTTCTGGCGTTCCTGGCTCTACCAAACCTGGGACAGACTCAGTGTTTCAACAGTATCTGAAGTGGTATTGGTGTTATGTAAGACATTGTGAGAAATGAGGTTACAAAGCTATTGTGCTGGCCGTGTCGCTCAACGTGAAGCGACAACGATGAACTCCTACAGTGTTAGCGCAACACTACGCAAACATGATATTCACTTGTTGGCTGCCAACGGACACTCCAGGCACTGTATGTACAAATTGTTAACCTGAGATTCGCAGTTCGTTTTTGCACCCCACTTTCAGCTATGGCAACTCCACAGACACAGGGCACTAAACAGGCAGCGCCTGCTCCTGATTCTTTAAGCCCACCAGAGGCGGCCATCAAGCGGACTAAAAAGTTTGTACTCAACTCTCTTGCAGTCAAGAAGATGGGATACCACTTCGAGATTCCCGCGATCATCGCCAAAACGCAGATGAAGACCGGTCAGCCCTTCAATGCAGGCATGGCACTCGGCATGACGCACTATTACATCGCCCCTCTGATTTCAACACATTTGGAGAATGCCGTTGAGTTCCGGAACAGAGTTCCAGAAGCCTTAATATGGGCGACCGGGTTCGTGGAAGCGATCGATCGGTACATCGCACATCTACGTCTTATGGATGGTTGTTCTGAGGAGTTTCCGAATGACATGACCGTTGATCGCAAGCGTCGACGGCTACGGCGCAAGTATATGGAGCGCTACACCTACCTCGTCGAAAATGTTTACAAGGACCATGTCCGCGAGCAGCTTTGCAATGTCTTCCAATCCTGGGATCAGGGGCGAACGCAGCTCTTCAACAAAGGCGTCGATAAAGCGCTCTCGGGAATACAGTGGGTTGTCTATCCGAAACAAAATGTTGTCTTGAACGCGGGCGAGGATGGATGGGCGATATGGCTGCGGGGGAAGTGCGAAGAGCTGGGCATGCTTGAAGCGAGGGCAGGTAGAAAAGTACTTGCAGAAGTGTAGGTCCTGTAGCACGACATGCGTCTATGTTTTGTGTGCTGTCTTTGATAGTAAACAAAAAGACTTGGAATTGTAAATGCAACTAGCACAAGAAGAAACACAGCAGGAAAAAAAAGGAAGTTTGGGTATTCACTGTATCTGCCATCTGGAGGTACCAAGTGCTAACCCATTAGCTGGAGATCTTGCTGCGAACATGGGGTTGCTAGGTAGAAGCGAGGGCTAGGCTGCATAAACAGCTGCAAATTGGTGGATTGCAGGTGGAGTGGTGGAGTGAAGAAGTGACTAGGGACCGTTGGCGAGATTGGAGCGGGCACCAAAGGGTCCACCCGCCAAGGCGCTGCTGGGCGACTACTCGAAACACGCGCTCGAAACCCGTCGCATAGCCCTCTCCTCAACCTCAGCGCTTCTTATAGTCCAACGCCCGAGGCCTGAGTGTCTGTCATTCCTACACATCTGCCACCCCTCCCGGTCACATCGCATCGCAACAATGGCAGGCCGGTTTGTGCGAGCTTCCAAGTATCGTGAGTGTTGATGTCCAACTGCAGCCCAGCTTACCATGCTAACAAGATGCACCAGGCCACGTCTTTGGCAAGGGCACCAAGAAGGTACAGTTTGCATGCCGTCTGGCGATGCGTCGGCGTGTGCTTACCGTCTCGTAGGAGCAATGCTACGACAACCTCCGCATCTCCAAGAATGCTTGGGATACCAACCTGATCAAGGTCAGCTCATCTGCACACGCGACCTCGTCGGACATGCGCTCACCTTCTCCAGGCCAACCCCGAATACATCTCCGTCAACTGGGAAGCGAGCGGCGGTGGCGCCTTTGCTGTTATCCCCATCAATGAGCGCGGCCGAGCTCCCGACCAGCTTCCTCTCTTCCGCGGCCACACTGCTGCCGTCCTCGACACCGACTGGTATGGGCGCGCACGGCATGGGATGCAAGGGATACGGCGCTAATGGCTCGCAGGTCTCCCTTCAACGACTCGCTCATCTCTTCAGCCTCGGACGACGGCAAAGTCGGCATCTGGAAGGTCCCCGAAAACTTCACCCTATGGACCGACGCTGACGAGCCTGCTGACGTCGCTCCTGTCGCCAAGCTGAGCGGCCACATGAGGTACCCCGTTGCGCTCCAGTCTGCATTCGCATCTAACACTGCCGTAGGAAGGTTGGCCACGTCCTCTTCAACACCGCCGCCGAGAACGTCCTCGCTAGTGCATCTGGCGACTACACGGTAAAGCTCTGGGACGTCGAGGCCGGTCTGCCGCAACTCACTCTCAAGCACAACGACATTGTCCAATCGCTGTCATGGAGCGCCGATGGATCCCTCCTCGTCACCACGAGCCGTGACAAGAAGCTGCGCGTATGGGATGTGCGACAGGAGAAGCCCGCCCAGGAAGTTCCTGGCCACCCCGGTGCCAAGAACAGCCGCGCCGTATGGATGGGTGAGACCGACCGCATCGCGACTACTGGTTTCTCGCGCATGAGCGACCGTCAGCTTGGTCTGTGGGACCCGCGCAACCCCAAGGAGCCCATTGGCGGCTTCCAGATCCTTGACTCCATCTCTGGTGTATGCATGCCCTTCTGGGACGACGGTACACAGTGTCTGTACCTTGCTGGCAAGGGGTGCGTACATGATCCCAATCTAGTAGCCACTTGACTAACACGCGCAGTGACGGTAACATCCGATACTACGAATACGAAAACGACAAGTTCGAATACCTCTCCGAATACAAGTCTGGCGACCCACAACGTGGTATCGCCTTCCTTCCCAAGCGAGGTATCAACCTGCACGAGAACGAGGTCCTTCGCTGCTTCAAGACCGTCAACGATGCCTACGTCGAGCCCGTGTCCTTTATCGTACCCCGCCGCTCCGAGATGTTCCAGAGCGACATCTACCCTCCCACAACTGGTCTCAAGCCTGGTGTCTCAGCAGCTGAGTGGTTCGGTGGTAAGACCGCAGCGCCTCCCAAGATCTCGCTGGAGAGCGTGTATGAAGGTGAGGCCCCCAAGGAGGTGGAGAACGATTACAAGCCCTCCGAGCCCGCGACCAGCCAGCCTTCCCCGGTCAAGGCCGAGCCTCCCAAGAGTAAGCCTGCGCCAGAGCCTGTTCCTACAACATTAGCTTCTCGTGGGCCGCCCCCTTCTATGAGGGACAACAAGGACTCCATGGCATCAGCAGCTTCCAAGTTTGCAGACAAGGACGAGACTTCCGACAATGAGAGCGCATCAAGCTTTGAGGAAATCCCGAAGCCAACGGAGCGCCGCACCTTCACTGCTGCCCGTCAAGAAGAGAAGACAAAGGGCCCTGCCATTACCAAGGAGCCCGAGAGCGCGAAGACTACCCCGACACCCACCCCAGCGCCTTCCCAGGCTAGGTCTGCCCCGCCCGCCGAGCCTACTCCTACGCCCGCCGCTTCTGCCCCAGCCTCCACACCTAGCGCCGGTGGTCCTGCCTCTGCCCTTCGCGATGCGCTAGGCGACATCAAGTCTCAGCTCGAGCAGCAAAACAGGGTCATGGAACAGCAAAACAGAGTCATGTCGGACCAGTCTGATCAAATCGCACTTCTGCTGCGTGAAGTTTCAACACTCAAGGCCAAGGCTGCAACGTCAGAACCTTCCGACCGCGAGAAGGATGAGCGCATCAGGCAGTTGGAGCTCGAGCTTGAGGAAGCTAGGTCTTGAACATCAAGATCTCAGCTTTCACATCCTTCGTGCTGACAATCTCAGGAAGTTGAACGAGGATTACGTGAATTTAATCACTCGCGAATATGTCCACAGAACATCGTTTCTTGGATAAGATCTCACGGGCACAATCTGCGTTATCCGGATAGTAGAGCTGTTAGTGTCGAGTGAGGGTCCGTGTATGATGATTGGGGCTGTTTTGTGTATGCGTATATTTGTCTGTCTGTCGAACTTGCTTTCGTTAGCAAGGTGTTTGGGTTAGCGGCATTGTATGGCACAAAATTCATTACTTCTGGTTTAGCGATTGATCCCCTGTATGTTTCCCGCCTTATGCTGACAAAGGCGCAATATTAGACTATGCAAGCCAAGGCTACGATCGAGGCTGAGGCTGAGCAATCTGCCCGCATGCTTACCTTGACACAAACACCATCGACCTTCGGATTACACAAGCTACCATTATCACTCGAGGAGTGGTCATCGCGATCAGCTTCCTTCGCCCTGTTTCACCAGAGCACATGCACTATGAGCAAAGCCATATCTTCAGCCAACGCAAAGTCGGATCACTACCGCCACCATCCTCTCAGTCTCACACGGGACCAATTTCGCCTCATTAAGATCAGTCCTGGCAGACTGAACGAAGGTATTCTTTGCCAAGTTCGACACTTCGACAGAGCCGGAAAGGACGCGTATGGATCGTACACTGCGCTATCGTATACTTGGGGTGAAGTGGAGGCTGTAGGTCCAATCTATATGCAAACCGTTGGCGCGAACGAGAATAACTTTCCAGCGCCGTTCACTGTCACGCAGAACCTAGCGGATATTCTGCGCCACATAATTGTTGCAAGGGAGACTGATCCAGGTGACGCAAGATGGAAAGGTTGGTGGTGGATTGATGCATTGTGCATCATCCAGACTGAGAACGACCCCGAAAAAGACAGACAGATAAAGCTTATGCCGGCAACCTACAGCGAAGCGGGGGAGGTGTACGCGTGGATTGGGCGGGGTACCGAACGGACAAACACAGCAATAGACTTCATGGACCGAAGATCCCGCGATGCAGAGTTAGCAGAGCTGTCATCTGCATCTATCTACAGATGGAACCAGTTCCCCGATCTTCCCTCATGCATTGGGGAAGTTTTCGCGCGGCCGTACTGGAGAAGACTGTGGATAATACAAGAGTTGTCTATGTCCTCGAAGAAAACCACGATAGCTTGTGGACACTTTGAAACCTCACTACAAGCGCTCTATGACTACGCTGAGGATGTAGACAGTATGGATCCCGAGGAGCTAGCTTCTGAGCCTCTGCAAATAGCTCGTGAACAAGTAAGAGAGACAGGGGCTGTCATAGAGCTTGTAATGACGTATCGTAGACGAGGCGCAGGTATGTACCTTGCAGACTTGATTGATCGCTCCCGCGACTCCGTATGTGGTATGGACAAAAAGGACTATATCCGGGCCCTCTTGGGTTTAGTGGGACGTGGTCGAGGTCTCCACATCGATGCTTCACAGCATCGATGTCCGTGTTCGATCATCATGGCTGCGATGCAAGCAATGACTCAAGATTTCAAATCTCAAGACTCTCGAGATGCGTTGTTTGAGAGGGGGTATCAGAAAGACATCCGCGAAATTGGTGCATTCATTGCTACTACCCTAAATCACACGGAAACGTATTGTGATGCTTATCAGAAAGCACTGTCTACGTGTCGTGGGATGGCGCTTCACATGTCACTTCAGGACTATCGCGCGTGAGAAGTCTATCAGCCTTCCGAAGCCGCCAACACTAGAGATCAACGGCGGATAGGTGTCGATACAATCGAGAGCACAATTCTCCATAGGTTAGAAGCGGAAGCATGTGCTGGTCGGATGTCTCAGACGTAATCGCTTGGATGTTTGTGAAATGGTGACGACCGAGAGTGGGCCGACGAGCACAGGCCGCAGATTTGACTCAGCTTCATCTCTCGCCTCAACCTGCAATCAACCACCACTGTCACTGTATCTGCATGGACCTGATCATCGCATTGCACTTATGTGTTCTCATTTTCGCCTTCATACCCAATGCAAATCTCGTTCACTCCTTTCAGATTCGAGTCTTCTATGGTCCTAGCCTTTCTCTTCCGCGCAACGACAGAACCCATCTGAAGTACTTCAGCGTGCTCAAAGTTACGTCTAGCAACTCTGATACGTCCAGACACCTGTAATATCTCATTTCTCTCATGGATCGATAAGTCTGTCTATATGCTCCGGCAGTACGTTGACTGACTTCCGGATTGGACCAATTACGTCCACAACACCTGGCGCCTGTCCATAATGCCAATCTTGTACTACCTAGATGGTTCGTTGATATCCATGATCCGCATGTCGATTAAGCTGCACGGCTACCTAAGAGGTGCATGTACGGAGTCGGTGCATATTTCACGCACAGTTTGCACAGAGACGCTTCTTGCTCCGCAAGCCGAGCTGGAGATGAACTACCACAGGCAATATTGCAGTATCCAGAAAATGCTAGGAGCATGGTGCAACAGCTCCAAGTATCACTCGTTTGGTCAACCTGCTCTTTTCACGCATGTATTTGAGCCGCGTCATCAGAGTCCCTGAATTGCAACATACACAGACTATTATTTGTCTATATCTGACCTTCTAGTGGCGGTGAGCGTTTGCGATCGTTTTTCAGGGTCTACTCCGGCCCATTATAGCGAGCCTCACAGTTCACCAGTGCGTATACACATATGAAAATATTTCTGCCTAGCGCGTCTAGATTCAACATCCTCAACTATTACTCTTGAACAGAGCAGAAGAGAAACTAACATTTACTACTACATCAACCAGCTGCGAGTTACACAAGTAACAGGTAGTTATGGAACATGTCAAAGATGTTGATCGACAGCAGAGCAGGTTTGTGATAAGGGCGAGCCTTCTTGGTTGAAAGCTTACAAGATATAGTGTGACTCAGACTGTGTCGGCTTTATCGACTCCAGTTACTGACACTTCGTCTCTATCAGAGCTTTCAGAAACCCCCTCTTCGGAGGTGGGCAGTGTGAGCTTTGGAGGCTCAGGTGTTGCAGACGTGGATGAAGACTCTGCAGGCGAGTACCGAAGCGACAACAACAACACATACGATGACCAGAGGGAGGCCGAAGTAAGTTCTGAGACATCTCAATCTTCACTTGCTGACATTACCACAGCGCACTCTGAAGCATACTAAAATCGCATGCGCAAAGGATCGCCTTGGAGGCACTATCAGCGACAATGTGTATGCTTGTCCACGCTGCAAATCCCATATGTCTAAGAAGTATTCTACAGAGGTCCGCAATTCATTCATATTCCATAGATGTATACTGCTAACGTACCAGCAGCGTCACATCAAAGACTCCTGCTGGAAAGTCTGCGACGAGTGCTGCGAATCCAACAATGCTACGTGTGACGCCTTCTACGTCCAAGACGCATGCAAACATTGTGTAAAGCAGGGATTGAAATGCACCAAACATACCGAACCAATGTCAGATTGTGTCCCTGAGTTGCTCACAGGTGTACATCCGCGGCCATACAAGTCAACTCCAAGGGCTACTCGTGCCGGTACAACTTCGAAGCGAGATAGAGGCAAACGCAAAGCCACCCAGTCACCAAGCGCGAGCCCAAACTCCAAACCTTTCGTCAAACGCTCAGCAGCTGTTGCTGACAGGGAAGAGAGGCGAGCAATCGTCGAACCAGATGATAACGCCGTACGTCCAGATCCATTGGATAAGCCGCAGTTCACTGCAGACGAGAAGGCCCGGGAACGGAAACGTGCTGAGGACAACGTTCCGGTCACTGGCGATCATGTTCAGAATTACCAAGATTTACGATATTACGTTCCAATCGCACCGCCATCTCGACAAACAATCATGCCCCAGCGCAGGCAACAAGGTCAAAGGCTGTCACAGTCGTCGTTGCCTTCGCGCATGCTACGCTTGACGCCCGGTCAGCAACACGATGGTCGCGATGTCGTGACTGTCGATGAAGCTCTACGTCGTTGGCCACAAACACACAATAGTGCCGGTCGTATGTTTTATATCGTGGACGGGAATGGAGAGGTCTTGAGTCAGTCCATGATCGAGGGTAACGAGCTCCTCCAGAACGTACGCCGTCAACAAGCTCGTATTGAAGTATGGGCAGCTCGGTACGACGACGCATTTCGCGTAAACCAGGTGCCTCCACCAGTTGATCCAGTATTCCCACCACAGAACGCTCGTCGCACTAGTTTCAACGAGGCACACCCCCCGGTGTCTCGCTTGAACCGCTTCCGCCCTGTCCAATCAGCCAACTTCGAGATGTATGAAGACGCTGCTCGTCGAAAGCTGCAATCAAAAGACTTTGTTGCTAGTGCGCCAGGATCTCGTATGCCGTCTCGTCAGTCATCGCCTCAACCGTCCCCACATCTAGGCGCGCCGGCACGTCTGCCGTCATCTGAGCAGCCTCGAGGAATAAATCTGGTGCCTCATACTACGAAGGGATACGTTGGTCGGGAGATCACTCAGCCCATCTCCCTGCAACTCTCGACGCGTATGATAGCTGACGAGAACGATCCTGTTCTAAGGCTTCGCATCCACAGCAACACATATGATATCAACAACACCCCAATCTTCTCCATCCTCACGATTCGCGCATCACGAAATTTCGGCCCTCATCTAGACGCCTATTGTCGACAGCGAAACAAACAGTACGGGGTAGATTGGGCGTTCATCTACCGATATGCTCTGGGTGGGCCTTGGGATGTGCAACGCGAACGTTATATCAAGATTGACTACGACATGACTCCAAACGACGTACAAGACACCGAGCGCCCCGAGATTAAACTCCGTGACATGGACACTCTCATGGTCATGAAAGCAAAGTCCCCTACGGCAGTCATGGTCGAGAGTAGTCATGATGGAATCGAGATTCCACAATCGCCTATCGGCTCACAAGTCTCTGAAGAACAAGTCGATATCATCAACGGAGAGACTTCGGTTTATCAGAACGCCGGCACCATCGCGAACTGGCACCGCCTTGTTGATACTAAGATGGTGGAGTTACGTGGTGAGATTGTCGGCCTCAGTCAGGAAAATCAGCTTCAGAAGACAGTTATAGCGCAGCAAACGGAGATGCTCCATGATTTGGTCAAGCGCAACAATGATCTGATACAGGGTAACTATGGCCGTGTAGCTTGCCGTGTTGGACACGTTCTCCCTTCTACTGCTCAATACACCGACAGTCTCGGTACTGCCTCTCAACGTGGTCCAGTAGTCCAGCATAGCCCTTTTCTAGATCGCCTAGAAGCTGTTCGCCAACCTACCGAGCATATCGCATTGAAGAAACCAAACCAGCAATATCGCTTCCCAACATCTGCTCATGGAATGCAAGGTCGTTATCCTATGTATCATAGTGGCGCACCCAAGACATCACCAGATCTCCAGCAAAGCGGTGTACCTAAGATGCATCCTGCGCAGTTTGCTGTCCATGGTTCAACTCCTCTACTTCAAGGTCCCAATGGCGGTGATGATGGCTGGAATATGGACAAAGCTGCATGAATTGCTCGGAGCGGACTGAGTGGCAATATGGCTTCTCGTGTTCCCATCACTGGGGCTGGGAGCAAGCTCAAGACCCACTCTCGATGATGTACTTCACACCTCCTCATCTAAGAGATGTGAAGCGCTAGTGTTATTTGCAGGAGGGTTTGAAGTCCGGTTGCCCATCTCTACATCCTGAACCTTGTGGACGGCAGCGTCTGCACCTCCAGCACTACCGCCACTACGACGCATATGCTGCAACACGACATTCAGCAACGGTCATAGCTACTCTCTGTGGAGACGTGTAGTGTAGATGGTAGGGCGCACCCATTGATACTTCATCATGGAGGTCGGGGGACAAGGTATCTTAGTTGCGCTGCAAACACGTAACGACGCACTTGTCTTCCATGAGCAAGGCGTTTACGATGGTGTTTCTCAACTAAAACACGTTCCAAGAGGCATGATGACTTCTCGTGACATTACAACAGTGCTATGCTAACGCTAAACTGACAAAAATATCCATAATCTTAATGAGCCGTGCCGCTGTACACCTCAAGCCACACTCTCAGCCCAAAACGCCCAGTGTTGTGCCACGAAGTGCGGTATGGCCTTAGTCGCTAGCATACCCATTCGCTTTCTCACACTTGACATGTACCAAATCCGTCTTGCCCTCCCCGTCGACAACAAGCGCTGTCAGCTTCCCTCCACTAACGCACCCCGTATCGAGACCATAAGAGTACTCATGTATATTGAGGCCCTTCTTCCTGTTATGCCCATAAACCACCGTGGCTCTGCCCTCTTGCTTTATTTTTTCCTGACGGTGATTCCAGAACTTTTCCCACGGTGTGCCCGCATGTTTGCTACTCGGGATTCTCGTCTTAAGATCGATAGTGCGCATGTTCATAACATGAAACGGGTCTTGATGTTCGAGAGGCGTGTCGGGGACGAGGCCGGCGTGTACGGTTACGAGGTTGCCCAGGGTCGGGACGGTGCCGACGCGGAGGATGACGGGACATTGTTGGAGATATTCGATTTCCTTCCTTGTGAACTGTTTTGCTAATTTACGCAGCTTGTAGTCGCCGTGCGATTGGCTGACCTGGTCTACGAAATCCACTTTTGCATCGGGAGAATCGTCGGGGCTGAATGTGAGGACATGACGATCTTGCGCTTCGGCAATGGAGAGCAACAGTTTGTCTTCCCAGTTACCGCGTACGCAGGAAGCGCCGATCTTCTGGGCGAGCTTGATGACGCCTGGCGAATCGGGGCCTTTGGCTATCATATCGCCAGTCAGCACGAGGTGGTCGTGCTTATGGTTGAAGTCGATCTTCTTGAGAAGATGCTCCAGTTCCTTCCTGCAGCCATGGACATCGCCAACGAAGACAAGTCTGCTATGCTTCTTAGGCAGGTGCTGCTCATCCATGTCGCTGACCTGTATCATGCCTTTGAATTCTGGTCGCACATTGCTGCCGTAAACCATAGTTGGTACGTTGTCCATGGCGTGTATCTCCATCTTGTGTTCCGTCCGCTTGGGACCCAGGTATGTAAACCAACTGATTATGAAGAGAATAGCGATTACAAGATATGTGCCACTATGGCGCTTTATCCGCCGCGGGATTCGATCGGTTGTGCGTGTGATTGCCGCCTGAAACTTGGGCGGAATCAGGAAATCGTCGTCGCGGGCGTAGAAACCGTCTTCTTCGTCTGACACGTCAAGGTCGTCACGATAGTCTGGTATCTGCTCGATGAGGGGTCGTGGCCGGTTTTGCGCATGCGCATAGGGGTGATCACGATACGACGTCATCGCAATACGTGGATCGAGGGAGACTTTTCAAACTGCCTGCGTCTCTCAGGATCCTTCTCACAGCGTATAGTGCAGATTTCGAGTATGGCGGTGTATAATGCGAAAGTGGTGAAAGCGCTATGGCACTCCTTTCTTTTATGCTGGCCGAAGAGTCATTTCCGCGTGGTGTTTGTTGCTCAGATCCTTCCTGAGATGACGATTGAGGACTCAAAGGGGCAGTGTCGACGCAGAAGTATGGTGAAGTGCGTCCGAATCTCTGCGACGCACGACTACGTGGGCGAAAAGCCCTCATAATAAGGCCGCTGCTGTTTCGCGTTTCTCGAAGACCATCTAGCGTTCCTGGCTGACCCCAGCGTCGATCCTAGACACGTGCCGTACTACCGGCACCCAGACTTGGCAGAAATGTGGGCCTACATTTAGGGGTACACGCGTAACCCACGTATGCCAATAAGCTACTCTACGGTAATAAGCCACTTCACGGGATTATCGTGAAAGACACGAGACGAGCTAGGCTAGCGTTACTCACCCTGTGGTTTGAGTAGTACGCAGGACCGGACACATGACGATATGTTGCCTGCCTCTTCTTCAAGCTTAGCGTGTCTGACTAGGCAGTCGCGACTTCTGGAAGGATTCCTTTATGCCTTGACAATCAACATGTTCCAATTTCATCTCCAAGTCACACTTGCTTTTTGTCTCAGGCTTGACAATGCTGCGCTCTAAGAGACCAAAGGAACCCAACCCCCTCAAGATAATTATCTTTGGTGAGGAGCTTGTCGGCAAGACATGTTTTATTGACATGGTACGCAACCCTTTCGTCAACATCCTGTACAAGCATCGTTTCTTCAATGTCAAGATCACCAATTCCAGCTGCAGTTCCTCGAAGGCAAGCACTTTATCAGTCATGGTCCCGTCGACTCCGAACCACTTTCAAGAACCATCTCGTATGCAAACGAGACCTGGAGCTTTTCTTTCATAGATTTGAACCTCAACAGCGACATCTCTCCCAGATACCGCGAAGTCTTGAATACTTATATAGCCAGCGCGGATGGGGTTGTTCTGTTATACGATGTTACGTCTCTGTTTTCCTTTGATCACCTTATCCAACACACGTATCTGCAGATCTGGCAGTGTCGCAACACCGTCTTCTTCAAGGATGGCGCAGAAGGGAGGATGCAAGGATTAAAGAAGAGGTTCGGGTGCGTGGTAGTCGGTAATAAGAAGGACATCATTGACAGGGACGAAGGGAAGAGGCAAGTGAAGAAGGAAATGGCAGACCAGTGGGCTTCGAGCCAGGGTTTCCGTCATATCGAAATCAGTTCAAATGAAAGGAAAGAGGTTGAGGATGCTGTACAGGCCCTGGTGGATAGTATGCAGAGGGCACGGAGAATGGATGCGAGAGATATTAGAGACAGCAAGAGCGACGTGAAGGGGTGGAGCAAGAAGATTGGGAAACATGTCATCAATGGGTAGTTCAAAGCTTTCGCAGAAGAGTACTATCAGATCTTTCATCAAGCATACTTCGGACCAGAGGAGCTACACGATTTCAAATACCACTGCAGGACCATGACGTAGCATCGGGCTTATCTCCGCACACGCCAATACATCATCCAAACCACGTCCCATCATGTCCTCACCATTCCTATTACGTTCCAATTGTACCTTTTGAGCTCCTCATAGACATACAGATACAAGAGTATTCAGCGAAGATGTCTACTTCCAGCAACGGAACGTCCCCGTTAACTCTCATATCAGCAACGCCATCACCGTTTGCACGCATGAACCGCATCGCGCTCACTCTAAAAGGCATACCTTTTGAACTTCAAAACGAGATACCCTGGCAAAGTGCAACAGAAACACCCAAATACAACCCTTTGGAGAAATTACCCATCTTACTTTTCCCTGATGGCCGACCACCCGTATACGATAGTGCACACATTCAGGAGTACATCGTGCGCAAGTACGCCGACAAGGGACCAAAACTAATCACCGACGACGTCGACCTTGACTTGCAAATTCGACAGATCGTCGTCCTCAGCGAGGGATGTATGGACGCCATTGTGATAGCTCGATTCGAAGGCCGACGCGAAAAAGAAAAGCAGTCTCAGCTTTGGCTCGGCAGGCAGAATCGCAAAATTGACGGTGCGATGCGAGCTTTTGATGAAATGATACGGAGTACAAAAGAGAAAGGGAAGGTCTATCTTGTTGGCGATGAGTTGACCATTGCCGATATTGCGGTTGTGTGCACTGCTGGATTTATCGAATTCGCCGAGATGAGGCCTGGATGGAAGAGTAAATATGAGGTATTGGCGCAGTGGTTTGAGGAATTAGACCAGAGGAAGGTGTTTGCAGAAACGAGGCCTATAATGTTCAACTTGAGCGAAACTATAGTATAGTAGATAACATCGTCTTTGTAAGATTTATAAGCGTTGACAGTTCTTGATCACACCTTATTTTCTAGATGGCTCATCTCCCGGTGGACTATTGTCTTCGTTCGTGAGCTCAATCATACTTTCCGTACCAATCTCCTCGTTCTGTAGCTGAAATGGGTACCAGATATAGAAGCTGATCATGACCAGAAGCATCAGAGCACCATCGAAAACATATACCGGCCACTCGTTCAAGAACAGGTAGCTATCGTGCCCGGCAATGAACTCGACTAGCCGGAAGATGTTACGAATAGAGATGATTACAGAAGTGCCATACAACATCCAAAGCACACTCTGCCAAGGGACATGAACATGTTGACCAGAATTGCGGAGATGAAGCGAGAACTTGCGGTGGAAAAGTATACAGCACCACATGAAACCTGCAAAAATAAGAACTTGTAACCCCAAACCCGTTACAATGACACCGTTGCCAGCATTCACCAGCTTTGGTTTGGGTAGAAATCCTGCTCCGGTCGACTGTATATTGAGGCAGAGAAGATCGCCTGCAACGAAGATCCGTGTGCACCATCGAGGGGAGAGGTAGGAGAATCGTTCGCCGTGGGTAGCGCGTACCACGCGCGAGTATACCATGTACAACGTCCCGGCGAACAGGCACGGTGGAAGGAGTAGGAATATTGCTTGTAGGAGGAAAGGAATGAGGGAGCCTGTATGGTAGGTTGCTATTGCGCGGCATGCATAGCCAATGGGCTCACCTATAGAGAAGTCAGTTCAGTGATGTCTAGACGTGTCACATTCGACAGTAGATCAGTTCGTACAGAAGCCGCCAGTGATGAAGGGTATAGTATACCACGTCCGATACCTGTGCATTCGGTAGGCATGCGCCAGGGTTAAAACGAAGAATAGAACACCAAAAGTAACAGCTGCCGCGAAATTAGGCACATATTTCCAGAGGTATGCACCTTTGTAAGTTTCAAGGACAGGCATGATCGGATGCTGCGCCAGACAAAGAGATAGAAGTGAAAAAGTAATGTACAGCACCAAGCTTTATCCGGGGGTTGAAAAAACAGGTGAATAGTATGAGAGAGAACACTTCAAGTAAGGGAAGCCAAAGTGTACTTGCGTGAGATGAATACGTTCACCCAAGCGTTTCCGTGCCCTCTTGCTTCTATATCTGATTCAGCCAAGAGCTTGCCTTCTGATGGCGATTCTGCTCGGATACGCACAAGGCGAAATTGTACAGCAATTGACGCCTAGCCGCATGGCTTGAGAGTAGGTGGCTAACCGAAGTCAGTGGAGTTTGCGAGCTGGTATTCATACTTCGTCCGTGCAAATATCCCGTTGCGATCAGGATGGGCCACCGTAGTCATCAGATCCAGTATGTTGCCGTTGGGTTTGTAGGGGAGATGGGTTGGAGGGCCTTGCGCTTACCCAAAGAAGTCGACACGCGTGTTACGTCACCCGAAACATCAGGCCTCCAGCACCGCCAAGTCTCACTGGCCGTCCAGGCTTTCAACCGCTGCGAATATGTAATACGCGTGTTATCCTGGTCTTTCGCAGCCATGGGACTAAGATGCTTCGGCGCAGTCATAGGAAGTCGAGAGGCGGATGCTCGGAGTGGTACGTTCTCGGTATTCCTTTTCCGCTTCAACAATGCCCCCTCCACATTCCTCACTTGACTGATACGTGACTGTAGTAAACGACGGCATGTAAAAGTGCGCATTACTCTCCGAGTCTTGTTGTATTATACTGATCGAAGCTTCGTTATCTCTAGTGCGACGAGAACCGCCCCAAATGCAGGCTATGCACTGTTTCCGACCGGGAGTGCAGCTTCTCATCTCCTTCGACTCTAGATACACGTTCTCGATCTGTGGGTCCAGGAATTCAGTATGGCCGTACTATTGCGATGACGCGAAGCAAAGCCCCTTCAAAACCTTCTATGCTCTGCGCTGGGCAGTCGACAGTCGATGAATCTATCGATGATGGTCATGTCTACCAAGAAGAACCTGTCAATGTGGGTCACATGGAGCTCCTCATACACGCAATGCTCAACGAAGAGATGTACAACTTTGCGATCGGGTTTGAGAAGTTTCATCGCGCTGGTCTCGCCCTAGGTATGGAGACGGCTTTGAAGGCACCATATCTTATGCACCAAATTCTAGCTTTCTCCTCCTGCCATTTGGCACATGCGAACCCGCACTGTTCAGCCTATTACCGGAATCAGGCTGTAACTTTGCAGACACGCGCTGTTTCGATTTTCAATACGACTAGAGCCGAAGTGAACCAGCTGAATTGCGTACCGATGCTACTCTTCTCGTCCATGCTGGGTCAGCATCTACTGGCGGAGATACTCGCAGTACAGCCCTCAACCGACATGGAGGTATTCATTACGCACTATATTCAGTGTATAGAGATGCACAGAGGAATCTACACCATTGCTACGTCCGCGTGGTCACTGCTGATGAAATCGGAACTCGAGCCTATACTGTCCATGAGCAAGAAGTTCACTTCGCGGCAGTCCGAAGGCGATGACTGTTCAACGGTCGTCAGTCTTATTGAAAATACGGATGGTATGAGCGCAGAGGAAAAACATGCTTGTCGAATTGCAGTCCACTACCTGCAAGTCGGGCTCGATGCAGTACGAAGGGACGAAGATTCGCCAATCAGTCAGTACCAGATGATCTGCGAATGGACTATGTTGATCCCTCCGGGATTCACCAGACTCTTGGCCGCGAAGCAGCCCGTGGCATTGGTAGTGCTTGCACACTACGCAATCTTACTACACTTTGGCAGGCGTCTATGGCAGGTTGGCGATGCGGGACTTCATATATTGGCAATCATTGACAAGTATCTCGGATCTAAATGGGATGCTTGGTTGTCATACCCACGGGCAAGAATTACCAGTCCAGTCTTGCGGTAGGTTTACGTTCGCCCGCAAGGCTGAAGTGTCGCACGCCACCGTGGTACAAGGCGACCAATTGTGCCCGAATCGATGCTTCATCCGCCTTCCTCTTGTCTCCAGCTTCTTAGCCTGATAAACTGTTATTGTTTCCGTATGCGAACCTATGATGGTGCTCCAATTTACAGGGCGTAAGTAAGCTGTGCTTCGCCAAGACGTATATCCACGGGAACTCCCACCAACCATCTACAAGCATGTGCCAAACCCTCTCACCAGGCCCAAGAATGGATCCTTAATGGACAATAGCGATCAGCAGACATATGGCATATCTTTCGATGGACCATATGTGCAGCACGGTCACCGATAACACCCTCGGTTTGCTTACACTGCGGAATTCTTAAATCGCTTCCAGGACTGTCTCAATCCTTTCTTTGAGTCTCTGATCATCTTGAAGCTCCAGTATAGATAGGTCATCTAATCATTCTACTTTCAAGCATCTGGTACCACTGTTCTAAGATCGTGAGTCTGAGGTTGACTTCCCGACTCGGATAAGGCTCTGAGACGCCACCAGCACGTGCTTCACCTACAACCGCATGAGTGGATGTGCGGAAGGAAGGCAAATACCGGTCAGACCAGTTCTAGGGAAAGATGCGCATGATGTGATTCGAGAGAAGTGTGAGGGTACATTGAAGTTGTTGAAGGAATGGGAGGGCGCTGCTACCAACACGGACTACGATCAAGAAGTAGTCTCACTGGTATCTAGATACCGCCCCTTTTTTGTGAGTCTCCTTCTCATTCGCTCTCATATCATTTGCCCAAAATGACACCTGGTGATAGTATGAAGCTTTCATCCTGATGATGATTGAGTTCTGCGTCTTGAGTTAGGCCATCGGCGATGCTTGAGCTGGTGGAAATCTGACAGCGCATAGGATATGGTGAAGTAGGTAGTGCTCGCAAACCATCACCAGGTTACAGTATTGTAAAACTTGGCTGTCTAGTGCGTAAACTATATCCTACTGAACTGCCCTGTGCAAACAAGTTCTGGATCAATTCTTCAAGCGTCTGAGTCTGGGACAGTGTTGCCATGGCTGCACGCACCCAATCCTCTCCGCAGTTCTCTGACTAATCTCATTCGTCCATCCTCTCAGCCTAGCCATTATATTCATCCGGGCTGACATCGTTATGGTGAATTCACTAACCGCATGAAAGTTGGGGCCTTGAAACCGACATCCGAGTTAGAATTCGCTGCCTGTCCTCACGCGTGAATGGACCTGCAGCTTGCACAGTGACTACCTGGGTATGCAGAACCTTGGAAGGATGCATTAATTCAAAGGTGCCTAGGTAGAGGAGGAACTCGGAGTATAGGGCCGTCATGCTTCCTGCGGACATTCGACATTACTCACGAATGACACCATTTATGAGGCGTTACCGGTTGCAGTACCTAGGTAGCTTCCCCAGTTCCTGCGCATACTAATAACGCCATACAGAACACGGGAATTTGACAGCTGCAGCACGCCTAATCTCCGTGTACCAAGTCAAACGTCTAGGCAACGATCGCCCAACCAAGAATCCGGGACCTGGTACATTCATAGTATAATCAACCCACCACTCATACCCTTTCTAATGCCCAATGTAACGCTGGAAATGGCATTTTGTCCAAATGCCAGCCCTACAACATGTCGTGTATGGCACAGAAGGAGCAGCACGCAATAGTGGGGCCATGACAGGACGATTTGTGGCTTGTGATCTCAAACTTTAAACTCTGCTTTCTGGCCATACAAGACACTGTTCGTCCACATCCGAGTCAGGAACGCGCCATGCCCCACCGCCACCATTCTGTTTTCTCGCGTCAAACGGTTGGTGATCCCCACTTTCCACATCCTTCAGCTCATACGACTCATTCTGGATAACGGCCCCGGTGGGGCCTCCAGCGGTTCCCTCCTGTCCGTTGTTGCTATTGCTTTTCCCGCTACCATGGCCATAGCTTTTCATGATGCTGCGTTCACGACTATGGTACTGATACGAGCCATTATGCGTACGATGTCTCTGCGCTTTGCTGAAGAGGGCTTTGGTGGCGGGAGTAGAGGCACAGAGGATGCCCACGTTAATTTCGACCATACTCCATACGTTGATGGGAACGCTGTCGAAAAAAGGATCCTCAGATTCCGTGTAAACGCCAATTGAGTACAGGCGCACGATCGATGCAATGCAGCTGAACGTACCGAGGCTGAAGATGATCACAAGGGCGAATTTCTCTCGTCTCGGGCGCTGGACTTTGAGCAGTGTAGTTATAGGAAGAAGCAGAATCCAGATATCGGCAATGATATTTACAGCGCTCGTTGCTTGAAATATTGTTAGGAAGTGACTAGATAATAGACAGATGCACCTACTGTAGAAGAACGCTGTCGTGTTGATACATTGGCCTGAAATCTGCCCGGCCAAGTCCCACATCTTATGTAGTGGAACACACTGTGCCAGACATACAATTACGCAGACGACACCGAAGGTTACTAGGAAGTAGATTGTGCCTTTGCAAAGGTACTCGAATCTTTTCTCGACGGCTGTAGAACTGATCAGCAATGTCTTCTTGTCAAAAGGAACGAGACTGACCGATGCGTAAGTAGAAGAACAAAATCGAGATTTTGATAGCATTGATGATGAGATAGTAGACTATCTCTATCGCAAGTGTTGTTTGAATTTGGTTCAACATCTGCTGGAGCTCCAGAACCTCGCCACTAAAGCCCATACCGTTATCGCGCAAAATGAAAATGGCGACAAGATAGGCGACTGTGAACAGCTGCTGGAGTTAATATTTGAGTGGAGGATAGGCGTGTTGACTTACGAGCGCGAATACCATAGCATAATCATCTTTGCCTGTATGCTGCACGATGAAGGTACGGGTGTAGAGTCGGAGAGCGACACATATAACTGATAACGATTAATACAAAGACGAGCTCAATTGCCTGATCTTTGCTTACTTGAAAGTATCGTTAGAGCTGTAGAAACTCCTACGCAAATGTCTTGGGTTACCTGCCCCATTGTGGTGTGGATCGGGTGTCAATCAAACAAAAAAAGCAAGAACATTGATGCAATGCAACACATCTGTGACTCCTCGAGGCCACGGCCTGTTAAAAGGATATGAGACATTCCAGTGGCTCGTCTGTGTCAGAACTTACCCGCCTTCAGTATACACAAGCGTCGGTAGGTCACATAAAGTTTGTAGATGGAGGCCCTACCAGCAGCTCCCGACATTAACGAGCTTGCGACATGCGAATCCATGCAAGAGCACGGCTCAAACGCAGGACGAACGGAACATCTATACGCGTAAGTGATAGATCATATTTCGGTGGCTATCCACTATACTAAGCGATGCTATAGCCGTAGAGTCGGGGCGGGGATAAGCGAGCCAGCCGTCGATGTGGCGTAGGACCAAGGATCTGGACAGCGGACAATGTTGCAATGCAGTTAGTGACAGGCCAACAAAACAGATGTCTGGCCAATAAACATCCACCAGGATCAGGAGAGATCGAGAGTAGTGAAGGGCTTTTTGAAGTGGATGTGGCTTTGCTGTTGTACTGTGTTGTGTAGGCTACGAGACAAAGCTGGGGCCGAACTCATCGGTGCAGCAGGAGCCCGCCAGATATCTGCAAATACATGATAGTGTCCGCGGATATCTACCTATGAATCTTGTCACGTTGTAGATGGAAGAACTTTACGGTCTTTCCGCATTGTCATGCCAACCTCCATCTCTTTGCGAACTCTATCCCTTCCGCCAGTGTGCCCACTCTTGCGTCGATAACGTATCCTTGCTCCGCGAATCTGATGCATTCATCATAGAGATCTTTAAGCGGAACGGAAAATGTCTCTATGAACTCGTTCTCTTCGAGCTCCGGCTGTGGGTTTTGGTTCTCCGGCCGAGACATGTCTACCGTGACGTGGATCATTCTGAGGTTGGTATTGCAGAAACCTGGATCTAGATAGATGTTAGTATGTGAAGTAGAGACAGTCAGCAGTGTTTGTCATTTGGTGGACATTATGGTGAAGGGCGAGCGCTACATGCGCTTCCTACGTAGCGGTATGACGAGGACACCACCATGGACAGGACACAAGATCCGGTGGATAGCGAATGCGACTCTAAGGCTTTACTTACCATTAAACATGATTGGAGTAGTTCGAAACTGAATTCAGAGACATAGAATTAGCCCAAGTTGCGTCTGCAAAAGAAGAGCTTGCATACGGTCTTGTCTGACACGAGTTCCCCAATGTACCCCGTCTCTTCCTTCAGCTCGCGGATGGCGCAGGTTTCCGGGCTTTCATCGGGATCCATCAAGCCAGCTGGAACTTCTATGACGGTCGCATTGACTGGTGGGCGCCATTGCTTTTGGAGGATGATCCGAGGCTCATCGTTTGGTTTCGCCGGGTCTTGAAGAATTGCTGCAACACCGACGCCATCGATGTCGGATCCCTTGGGTCGAGTGAGACGCTCCCCAGACTCCCATGTGCGCTCAACACCTTTGGGGTCAGTGTAGGTGATTCTAGTGATTGTCAGTCAACTTTTGACGCAGAGTGGGGGTGTTTTCCTTGTTCTTCTAGCTCAAGCGCGAATGCCTTTTGTGCTTCTAAACTCATGAGATTGTCTAACGACCCAAGAAAATCCGAGCACGTGCGGGGTGCGACATTAGCTAAATACTTACTTCACAAGCGTTGCCCATTTGGCGTCTTTATTGTCCAGGGGCTCAGTCTTGATCACCTTGGAGTTGTCGGACGATTCGTCTTTCGAGGCCATGATAGTGGTATGATTCGGAGTAAACTAGGCTGCTTGCCAGTATCGCGTTAAATAGTATTGAAGCTACGCGAGGAGCGCTCTTTGAAAGGGTGACCGCTGGACAGGACGTGTATGACGCCATACATCGTCGCGAGCTGCCAAGACCCACACCCAACATCTTCAATATCCATCTGTCAAGATTCTCCAGGAGCGCGATCCAATTACGTTGCTTACCAGAGGATCACAGATGCCAAAAGTCTTTTCTGAAAGACAGCCTGTTGAGCATTCCTAATTGTTTTCGCAGACAGTGGGAGGTCAGGTCGGAAATAGGCGCGCTCTTTGCTTGGCCTCGTACCTAAGACGGAACTTGACTATCGCAAAGCTCGAGCAGGCCTGGACACTTGCTTTCTAGATCTCAATACTCACCATATGCATCGCACAATAAGCTGCTCTAAGTCTCTGACAAGGTAGGAAGCAAGTACGAGTGGAATCTTGGCATTACTGCGACAAGAGAGAGCGGAGGCTTGGGCATGACCTACATTACGATGGGACCGATGCTCCCTATGACACCATCACACAGAGCCTCTCGAGACGATGCAGCCGCGGACTGGAAGTTACAATCGATAGCGCGACGAGATGTCCACAATTGGTCCTTGGCTAGCCACAAGCGACACCCTCAAAAACTGCAATCTCCTATCTAGCACTTTATCCCTTTTCGCATGACGGGATAAGATGAGTTCTGGTTCCTAAGGCACACACTATAGGCATGGCGGCGTCGCCGGCGCGAAAAAAAGTACGAGGTGGGCAACTACCGTGGAGCCGCCCAACTTGAGGGCCCGCCAAGCCAATGCTGAACCCTTTTTCGCCAACGGTTGCCGTACGAGATTGAAGGTTTCTAAAACCTCAACGCTGCGCAATCGCCACGGTCCGCCCAGTTCTACAACTGTGTGCTATTTCGTGCTCGTTGTCCGTTGGGAGTTGCAGACCGCATCGAATCGGAAGTCGGCAACCGCATGCTTACTGCCACATCGTACTCGCTATACCGCAGAGCAAGGTTCTGATCCTCTACATGCATCAGTCGTGACAAAAGCTACCACGCCGCTGAAGGAGTCAGAAGCGAGTAACGAAACGTTTCGTTTCCACGGACATTGGCCCATTGCATCCCGGTGCGACAGGTTTTACTCCTGTCACGCATCTTTCAGAGCAAGCGTGGGATTCACTGCAGCAGCGCCCTGCATCTGCTGCTCGCTTACATCTTTGGCACACACCTTGGGTGTTCGAGGTCTTCACGTCAACGAGACCGTTGAACAGACCATGCTGATCTCGAGAAAGTGGAGGTACGGAATCGATAATCACTCTACAATTGTTGCCGAGCTCCGGGAAATTACAACAAGCGGAGGGACTCCGGGAGATGGCCATCGCATGGCGAGAAAGCGAGAAAAGGATGCCGTGCGTGGGTGTCAGGCTCGCTGTGCTGAAAAAAGCATGTGCAGTGGCCAGTTCCTCAGCCGCCATGTCCAACTGGGGGTCCCTCTCCCCTGCCAAGCATGCGAGAGTGGGGCCTAATGGGCCGCCTGAATAGCCGCCATTCCTGTTCCTCTCACTATCCCAACTCGCCGTCAGGGGCTCGTCGGGACGAGAGGCGAATCATGCCTTCGTGAACCGTCAACACGACACGGGCTCAATGCCTGATGCGCCACAACTGTGCCGTCACAGGCTCTGGCTGCTTGAATGCCGTCACTGCCGACCCAATCGCCATGGCCTGCCTCTCAAGCGCTGCGCGCTGTACTCTGCGCTGCGCAGTACAAGAGGATATGCCTTCATCAGCAAAATGACCTGGTCATTACGCTGTACGAGCGGCCAGACTGACATCGATACGAATTTTCGGAGGGCACTGACACGAGTGCAGGGCTGATACTGCATGGGCATGCCGGGTCACCACGCCTTCAAACAAAACCACAACTAAATTCGTTAGTCCACCTGAATCAGCCTTCCGTTTATGGCACCGTGCTTACTTTGATTGGTCTGGAGACTCGCTTGACGGGCGGGCGTTAGGACCTAGGCTGTCGCCTCCGCTTTTAGATCTTAACCATGCGTGCCGACGTCGTATGGGTAGCGCCATACTACTGAGGCAGTCAGCGCGCGCCTGTGGAAGCTACGCTCTTTTACTCTTCATCCCCCGCGGCTCTGCTCGTCTTGCTTCGCTCCTCCAAGGACTCGCAACCCCAGTCATTCTCTATTGTGTATCTTGTATACACGTCCTTTCGTTCATAATATCGACCTGTACTGCGCCTTCCGAATTAGGATAGCATCTGCTTTTACCCGACACTCATTCCGCTAGAACAATACATACGACAATAATCAGTACTCGGATCGATCGGAGCATCTTCAACCGACCCTAATTGTAACGACTACATATACTCGACACACGATAGATCTAGCTCAAGAACACTATCCGCCACAATGTCGAACTGGTTTGGAAACCTGCAGTTGGCATACAAATATGTGTATGTTTTCCATGGACAATGGCAGTCCAAGACTAATCTTAAAAAGCATTGTATTCTTGTCGCTGTTGGCTCTTACTATCCTCGCTGGATTCATCAAAGTGATGTACAACCGTCAAAAGTAAGTGACCATGTCGACATAAACGCTACGTGAACTAACGATAGGAAGGTTGAAGAAGGCGAAGCAAACTGAGCTGGAGGCCGGACCCAAGGAGGACACTGTTGAACTGAACCAGCGTGAGAAGGATGAGGGTGATCTGTTCGGTATTCGTGCCATCGAGGCTGGTTTCTACGCTGGTGTTGCTCAATCGCGACCTACGTCAAGAGCAGGATCTGTCATGGGCGACAACCCAACGATGAGCACCAGCACCTTGGTCGGAGGAAGCGTCAACTCGCCACTCATGAAGGGACAATCTGCCAACAACAGCATGCTTAGTCTGAATCTTAACGCCAACAAGGAACCCAACGCAAAACGAGTTTCCCCGCCCACAATGAAGCTCCGTCCCTCCGAGGCCGAGCTTAGTGGAAGACGCAACCACAACGGCGCTGTCGACATGTCTCTCCAAGTTCCTCCTTCCCCTGGTCACCCGCGTGGTCCCCCTTCTCCTACTTTTGGCGGCTCTGACAGCGATAGCGAGGGTTTTACATCTCCACGATCCATGTCACCCGCCGACCTGAACCGCCAGCAACACGCTCCGGCTCTCACAGTCTCACACCACACAGGAGATGACGGCATCAGGTCGCAGCAGGGATCTTACCACAATTCGCCTGGCCAGTCACCAACGCCGCTGTCGCCTCACAACCCGCCTACGGCCAAGCTGCCATCTATCCCTGGCCACGCTTTGAGGAAAGAGTCGCGCTCCCCATCGCCCGAGTACGATTACCCTCGCGTGCAAGTCCACGAGCCGAGTAGGTAACACGATCTCCTGGTGCGTTGTTTGTTGTACTTTTAGCATTTAGTAGATATATATCGGGCCATCCCTAACTTTCTTGCAAGATTCTGAACCCTCATCGCCTGCTCGTACCCAAATTCAACTACAGGCACGAACCTACTCGCCACACCATGAACGAGACGGAAGCGAAGCGAGCAGCATCTACAGCAGCGGCAATCGGCTAAGCACTTTCCAAGCATACCAAGCTTCTCAGGAGGACGCGCCAAAACCAGATTCGTACGATCAAGCTTGGCAAAAGCAGCAGACACGGCGCTCAGCCTCGGCCGCGTCAACAGTCGAATCTGGCCACACCTCAATCCTTGCATCGACTGACGACGAGGCGGAACGCCGTCCCAGCCACGCAAGCACTCTGCTTGCTCCGGGCCAGGGAGGAAAGGACACGCGACTGAGCGAGTTCTACGAGGCATACTACCGCAATTCACACATGGGCTCAACCCAGCCTGTCGATGTCAAGAAACAATATGCTGAAAGGCAGTCAACCATCATGGAGGTCGATACACCCATGGCGTCGCCCATGTTTCCCCACAACCAGAACCCTGGCGCTGCCTTTTAGACTGGCTCATTCCCAAACGACCCAAGTTGAGCGTCATGTCGAGGACGCTCAACAGTGCGATCTTGTGAATAGCTGTACATATTTGTACATACAAACAGGCCTTTCTCCTTTCCCGTAGGAGCAAGCCTTTATCGACGAGGCGTTTGGTTCGGGCTTGGACTTGCACCCGTGCATATTATTTTTTGGCCTTTTTCCTTTCTACCTTTCCTTCACCTGGGCGGATTATCTCGGACGCGCTGACGACAAAACAATGGCTTATATAGTTGGACGATGGATCGGACTCGCGCACGCAGGGGCAAACAAAAAGGCAGAGGGTTTACTACGACGAGACGCATGTTTCTTGCATCAATGCCACATAGCTACTACACCACATCATTGACTAGCTTTATTCGTAATTTCTATTAGACAGTACCCTTGGGTACGTGGCGCTACTCATGCAGCGTCTTAAATACATACAGCTCGAAAGAGACGATTTTTAAATTCCAAATGATTGAATTTTGGGCGAAATGAAAGGGTGGTCAGAGCGACAGATGACCAGCAGCTAAACGTTGTGGATGTGTGACTGAAGAGTTTACAGATGTGGTAGCTCGGAGCCGAGCATGTGGAAATATGCAGGTACAGCGAGCTGTTGACCCACCAGAAACGGCGCCTCGCGACAGGAGGAAGATGCTGCAAAGTACCGAATTCCCGAAGGACGGGCAGACAGTCGTTGGAGGAATGAGATGATGTTCACGCCATGTCGCGCAGGCGGCGACGGTACCCCTGGCAGAACATGGCATGGCGGTGAGGGCGATCCCTGCCACCAATCTCGCGGCTTAAGATCGTGAGGTCGCCACTCGGATTTGTCTCCAAGACTGCGTGCTTGCCCTGCTGGACCCTGGATCTACAGGAGTCTTGACGTCCCGTGGAGTTTATTTCTACTCTCTTTAGCCGTGTGACGTTTCGGCGAGGCTGAGTGAGCGCCATCTCCACACTCGTCCACGCTGCCTACATCTTGATCGCATTCGCATCAACCCCTCGCTACACGCGCAAACAAACAACCAGCACTCGATTGGGTCTCCCAACAGACGCCCAGCAGCCGCAACCATGCTCACAATGTACTCTGGCACCAAGCTTGCAGAGCTGCCGCCTGGAGTTTCTGCATCGCCGTCTCCACAGCTGCGACAGCGAACCACGTCGACGCAGTCGGTACCCACGACCGAATCCACACACACAAACGACTACCGCGAAGAGAGGCGGCGCGTGCACCATGAGGCCGACATCGTCATCGTTGGCGCCGGTATTCTTGGATGCGCAGCGGCTGTCGCTTTCGGCAACCAGGGCAGGAGCGTCATATTGCTCGAGAAGAGCCTAAAGGAGCCTGATAGGATTGTAGGCGAGCTGCTGCAACCTGGTGGCGTCAATGCCTTGGAGAAGTTGGGCATGAGGGGTACGGCTACCCGTTCCCTGTCAAGGTCGAGAATGCATCGCTGACATGGTACCACAGATTGCCTCGACGACATTGACGCCATTCCCTGCTACGGTTACCAGATCCTCTACGGCAAGGAAGAGGTCCACATCCCTTACCCGGACAACCTGCTCACATCTGCGCCCTCGAAAGCACCCGAAGGACGATCCTTCCACCACGGCCGCTTCATCTCCAAGCTACGTGCAAAGGCCAAGGCCACGCCCAATGTCACTGTTGTTGAAACAACCGTCGAATCCATGGTCAAGAGTGACTACACAAACCAGGTCGTGGGCGTATCATCCAAGACGGCCGGAGAGCAAGACTACTACTTTGGTGCCGTCACCCTCGTGGCAGATGGTTACGCCTCCAAGTTCCGCAAAGAATTCATCCCTCACCAGCCCCAAGTACGCAGCAAGTTCTGGGGCCTCGAGATGATCGACGCCCAACTCCCCATGCCAAACCATGGTCACGTCATCCTCGCAGACGCACCTCCAATCCTCATCTACCAAATCGGCACCCACGAAACCCGCATCCTCGTCGACATACCCGACAATCTGCCCTCAGCCAGCCCCAAGAACGGAGGTGTCAAGAACCACATGCTCAACGTTGCGCTGCCCCAACTCCCAGAATGCGTCCAACCCGCCTTCCGCAAAGCAATCGAAGCCGGTAAACTGCGCTCAATGCCAAACAGCTTCCTACCTCCTTCGACGCAAAGGCAGGCCGGACTCATCATCCTGGGTGATGCCATGAACATGCGACATCCCCTCACTGGTGGCGGCATGACTGTTGCGTTCAATGACGTAGTCCTCCTCTCCAACCTCCTCTCGCCCGCCAACGTACCCACATTAGAGGATACACCCGCCGTCTTGTCCGCCATGTCCACCTTCCACTGGCAGCGTAAGAACGGATCTTCCGTCATCAACATTTTGGCCATGGCTCTCTACAGCCTCTTCGCCGCCAACAACCAATACCTAGAGCTGATCAAGAAGGGTTGCTTCAAGTACTTCCTCCGCGGCGGCAAGAGTGTCAGTGAGCCTTGTGGTATGCTCGCTGGTCTCATCACCCATCCCTGGATGTTGGTGTGGCACTTCTTTTACGTCGCCTTCTATGCCATCTGGGTTCGGTTGCAGGAGGTGCCAATCTACAAAGCACCATACACGCTGTGCGTTGAGAGTGCTATGGTTGTTTGGACAGCCATCTGTGTCATTGGTCCGTATCTTGTTGCTGAGGTCAAGATATAGGTATACGATAAAAGAAGACTGATACGGGTAATGTATATACGTTTCATCAGCCTCTGTTCACGGGGCTTGTACATAGGGCATTGGGTTGGCGTTTCTCGGATAATTCGTGTCGACAAAGAAAATCCTTCAATTTGGGAGGTTGATATATATTATAGTTAATACGTAATTATGACACAAATAGTCTCACGCTACATACTCTTGGTTCCCTCATTTTGCGTGTCGAATTGCCTCTCTCTCACCCTCTCTATCTCACTCCATGTTTCGTCCATTGTGAGCCTTTGTCTTCTCTGCTTCCCTACGATGAAGACGTTGTTACATTCAAAAGAGATGGCACCCAGTCTTGAAGCGCTGGTTGGTACATACCGTTCCCCGCTAATGCCGGAGTGAAAAGTGGTCGCGGATTCCAAGCTATCTTGTAGTAGAGCCACGCCGTCGTTACACCCGTCGAACTGGGATCCGTCAAGGGAAACGAGGTAGTTTGATCAGCCTTTCTCGCTACACCATAAGCTGTGTAAGGCCAGTTCTTTTGTAACTGCTGTAGATAATGCGTTGGTATTGCGTCTCCAGATGTACGAGTACTTGGCGACCACCCCCCTGGCACACTTGTAGGCAGGCTGACTATTCCAGTAGCCTGGTTCATTCCACTTGTGCTCCTGAAGCGGCTCGAAAGCGTCAAGATGGCTGATACCCTACCCAATCCATTGTCGTGGTCGACCGGTACATTCGTTGACCTGAGCCAGACTAGGAACGAGAAGAGGAGGTCGTAGAGGTTCGGAGTTGCCGTGTTGCAGAAGTCATGGATCTTCAATTTAAGTTGTCTGCTAGGTTGATTGATATCTTCAATATCGACGCCAGCTTGCTCCAGACACTCATAGCACTGCATCACATTGTCTTTCTCAACTTTTCCGTCGCTCGAAATGATGCTATGTCAGAAATGTTAGAGATGGCGAACTCTTGGTGAACGAAGGAGCGCGGACGCTTACTCTTTGTACGTATCCCCTCTGCCGTTGCAAAGACAGCGTTGGTATATCTCGCTCCGTCCGTCATCGGCGTTGGGATCCTTCATACTTCCCGTCATGTTGTAGCAGTATGCGAAATCTGTAAGCATCGAGTTACAGGAAAGAGTAGCCCAACACGCGACTTTGGGATCTACACTAGGTATCTGAGCCAGCATGCCGGCTGTGTTGACTAGCATGCTCTTTTGTGAGCATGAGCGCCAAGGCAATGAAGCGTGTTTTTGAATTGAAGATTGTGTGGCGGAGCCCTCGACAGAGTTTCCGTCCGCAGAAACAACCGGTTGAGATTCCACTAGAGTACAGTTGGTTCTACAAGCTGCAAATAGCAGTAGGCCTAGCAGCAGGAGTTCCATGGATATTGCGATAGCTTGGAGTACCAGAACTTGCGTCTAAGACGAAGTGGCGAGTGGACGAAAGTGAAAGATCTTCGTACGCAAGGAATGTCAAGAGTCAAATTGCGGCGTCACCTAAGGCGGAACTTGTGTTCTTCTAGTCTGCTGATGAAGCATGTTTCTCGGAGTCGCAAGACTAAAGATGAGCTTCGTTGTTTGCACGCAACGTTTGTGTCTGTCGTTGGTGCACATCTTACCATCATGATGGATGCCATTCTCTTCAATTCTACTTTGCATCTCTGAGCGTTTATCGCCGTAAGGAGTATGGTGTTATTGTGGAGCTCAGTAAACAAACGCGCCTGCTTCGCAGGATCGCGTTCTTATGATTATCACACATGCGAAAGGCACATCCAACTTACACCACTGCATGAGGCTCATTCTATACTAAAATCGGGTGCATGCTTAGGATAATACCGAATAAGTGTGATATTATGTAGATAGATAGGTGCTAGATAATGAACAAGGGTGGAAGACGATGACAAAGTCAGAAATGAGATGGCACACTAGCGCTCATCCTTATCCATCATGTAAAACAACGATAAGCGGATACGAAGAAGCAGTGAGATGAACACGATATGTAATAGAAGGGGTGGCAGTGCATGAAGAGTCGCCACAGCTTGAGTGCAACGTTACGAGCTGACGATTGTGGCAAGCGCTGAAGCAACGCCGCGCGGTAAAAAGCGAATAGATACAAAGAAATGAACTGTAAAAATGATCACGACGCGCATAATACTAGAATGATTAGAGATGGAGGGATGAAAGAAGTCCGTGAAGCAAGGGGAGAAACCGCGCGCAGATATCGTAAACCGCATGAACAGCTGAGAAACGCGGCGATGAATCAAAGAGAAGAAGACATGGCGACGGAATCTTAAACATGGCGGTCTCTTTCTTGATTAGAAAATCTCCAAACCTTCAAATTCAACACAAAGATCTCGATCTCCTCTATTCAGTCCTGCAGCGTGTCTCCGGTCCCACATGGAGATGCCAAAGTTTGCAGGTCGGCTCGCATAAACGCCAACGCGTACGGCTTTGTCTTCCACACCCCAGAAGAACCAGGTGACCTCTCTCAGCTTCTTCCAACCTGACAGTTCATCCTCGTATGAGACCCACAGCGCGTAGCCGATGCGCTCAATCTTGACGCGCAAGTCCATGCGTCGTTGTTGATGGGGTGGGAGTGCGCTCAATGACCAGTCTGCACCTACGCCATTTGCGACCACACAACTGGCATGACACGCGTTGCTGGAAAACTCAAGCCCAACTTTGGCCCACTTGGATGCTGGCGCAGGAGCAACATACGGTGGTGGAGGGCCACGCTCTAACTGGGGCCTGGTATCTGACTCCTCTGCTGGGCTTTGTGAAGTTGTGGTGTTGTACCTCTCAACATCGTCAATACTGGAGGTTTGCGAGAGTGACATGGCGGAACTCGGGGCCGCGCTATCATTCAAACATATGCTCGCAACATTTGGGACCTCAAGTGTCGTTGTCGCGTTTGCTGTTGCTACCGGCATTTGCCCTGGCGGTGTGCCCGCGAATATGACCAGTCCTCCCTGATCCCATTCGAGCTCCCAGTCTGCTGAAACTGTGACTTCTGCTACTATAAAAGGGTTGCGCAGAGCGGTGTAGAGAATTGGAGCCGTCGATATATCCCCTGATGGTGGTTTCCTCCATAGATCGGTGTTTGGAGGCGCGGTCAGGGTGAAGGCATCCAGCCACTCTGGTACGACATTGTCTTGGATGTTGAGGGGTGTGAAGGACGAGCTGGCGGGTGGCATGGCCTCGGTGATGCGCTCGATGCGCTCGCGGTCGGTAAGCGGAGATCAGCGCTCGGCGTCGGTCTGCTTTGTTCTACGAGTGGTTTTCGATGGCGTATGTATATGTAGTAGATCTCCGTAGCTCCGGCAAGATGCCGAGTCGTGTTGAGTGTTGTCTAGCTCTGTGTGACCAAGCTCGGAAGGTCATTCGCTTTGGCAAAAGCAAGGATCCGGCTTACGTCTGACTTCGGCAGGATGTCAAATAACCAGAGATCTGCAAGAGGGATCGTGAGAGGCGCCTGCGCGAGACTCGTCAAGGAAGCCTATCGCACGGTCAGCACGAAGCCGTTTCATACCCCCTAAGCGACCTATACGACGCCCGTTCCTTAACGCCTCAGCAGCTGAGGCGTGAACAACACACATGCTGCCACATTAATGTTACGCGCGCTTCTGATGCTTACCTGGCTGTCGCAGCTTGGTAGAGAAGAGAAGATGGTTGCTTTTTGTTCGGCTCAGCCTGGAGTTCCGGCGCAAGCTACGTTGCTTGAATCGTGGTCCGGTACACGTCAGAAGGGACGACAGAAATCCCGTGAGACCTACTTCCACGCTGCTTGAAGTTATATAGCCCGTATGGTGCAGTGCTTGGCTTCCCGCCTAGTTACAAGTGGATGTTCATCCAAGCTGAGATGTTCCGCCACCGCAGAAAGTCCAGCAGCTATGCATCATTGCCATCGCGAACCAAGGACGGGGATCGTCCTTTTGCTAGTATCGCCTTGCGTTCGGTCCCTGCGAAGCCCAGGGAAGGGAAGAAGGAGCATTTGTTGAAGGTACAAAAGTCTCCGATGCGGCAAGGTGAGGTGGCCAGAAGCTATTTCCCAGCCCCGCGCTTTGCCGACTTGGAGCGTCGACAATGCTCTCCCGTCTGAACACGCCGAGGAAACGCAGGAAATGGTCAATTCGAGCTCCCTGCAGCGCAATCCTTCGAACATACTGGCCGATGTCGAGTTCGTGTTTCGGGAGCAAGATGCAAGTGTTCGTGGCAAGGCAAGGGCGATGTGCTGGAAGGTTTCACGACAGAAACTATGTTCTGCATGCCCCCTGGTAGATTCATGAACGCTCGGTGTCATTGGGCTTTCCTGGCATACGTAATCGAAGTAGCTGCAAGACCTGCTGAGAAGATGGCAAGTGCAAATATGAGCGCATCACAACCACAACGAGTACGAAAACAAAACAACGTGGGAGGTAGTGGTGGTGGCTGATCGTAGCACGCCCTACTTGCTGCATATGCGACCTGCATTTGACTATGGTTTTCCAATACCGTTACGTTGTTCTTTGTGTGTTATCATCAAATGTTCAAGTTGAGGAGATAAGCGCAACGTGCAGTGGTTGTGTTGTCACTCAAAGCCAGCTCACGACATGCTCTTGGGCAGCATCACTTGTGCAAGGCGCTGCTGTGCGGGACGTGGTGTGTCCACGAAGCAGTTATCCGTCGATGCGTTGTCCGTCAGTGGAGCGCCCCATTTAGTCGGCGTTCCCCAGTCTCGCAAACACTGTATAGGGCGTTTTCAGTATCGACCAATCTTCCTCGGTAGTTGCATGCCATGCATAGCGCAGTAGACACTGAATGAACTAGCGATCGTGAGATCACGAACAGCGATACCGTTCACGATCGATATACCACGATGCAGTTGGCTAGCCAAAGCTGACACTTTCGAGCACGGCATAAAAGCATCCATGATGGTTTACCCTCTCGGCTAGAGAGAAATTGCCGGTGCGTTTATCGGTGGCCATGTTGGCCGCCGTACAACGCAAGCAAGCATAGATGCTGGATCCCGAGAAGCTTAGGCTTGCTGAAGACAATAGTCAGCAGGGGAGTGCATCATCGGCGTCTTCTTCATAGCAAAGACAAGATCGTGTCTCCGCACATTGCTGCGGTGGACTTGACAGTTCATAAGATGCTGCAATGGTGTTCTATGGCACAGCCTTTGGGGAAGCAAGCTCCCGTCACTGTGCGGCTAAATAAATGCGGTTGAAACTGGATATTGGTCTGGCTGTGCAGTATCAATCTTCTAGGAGATTTAGCTCCAACTGTGAGATCAAGCACCTCTTGAGATCTTGAGCTTATGCAAGGTGTTCTTAGCAAGAATAGTGGTTAGAATTCCAAGTCTTCGGTTTGTATGCACTCATGTACTGGCAGATGTATCTTGCAGAGCATGAGATCTGCTCTTCGAACAAGATCCCAGTTCAATCGCGTCTAACAGGTTAAGCTTGGTACAGTGCAGGTCCGGTAGTAGACCATTTGTTTGATCAAGATTTGTAGTGACGAACGGCACTTTCTGTGGCGAGCTCTCTTGACAGCCAGCTTTTCTAGTATCTGCGGGCTATATTTCGTTGCATGCTGATCAGGGAAGACAAGTGCTCGAACCCCTGCGGCAGCCGCGGAGAACCAGGAAGAACAGGAAGAAACTTGAGAGATTTATGTGTTCATGAAGTCGCGAAAGCGGAAATAGTTCGATTGTGACGAGAAGGTCACATTGCGTCTCCACTTCCACAGGATCATCAGTCGTCCTATCACTGAGAGTTTGACGATTCCAGGTTCTATGATGTTCATAACCGGTCGCCAATGGCCGACTAGGTCAAATCATGGTACTATCGATTCGCCGAACTTGCCTTTCAGTGATCTAGCATTTGTCACATCATCTCGACCAGAAGGCGATCAACAATTATCGAAACATCTAGAGCCGGCCATTAGGAAATGACGTGTAAAGAGGGATGGTGCGGCTCGTAGTAGACATGATAGTATAGTAGAAAATCTCGGCCTGCACGAGATCCGGTGTGGGATAAGGTTTGTATTAGTGGATGACATGTGACTTACGGCCTAGAGAACCACAGAACTGGGTATCCGGTATGTGCCGAAAAGCTTCCGAGCCATCATTGGTTAGTCCTGCGAATTATGTAGTGAGGCGGCTAATGCAGGTTTCGCGACCTCATACCTGCTCCAGCGTGGCCTGCCAGAGATGACTTTCGTGGTTGCTGCTACTATCAAGGCCAGGTTATAGCTGCATATCTCGATATTGAGGCGAACATCCAGACCGAAACTTTGAAAATCCTGTTATTTGGTCGATCTTTACTTACACAGCTGCCGCAATCGTACGATCCATGGAGGGATGGAACCCGGAATGGTGAGGAGGGACGATCGGCATGCAGGGTTCAGGCCCGGAGAACCCCAAGAAAGTGGAGCGCAGACCAGCCGTTTGTAGTAACTGACCGCGGCTTGGGATAGTGGTCGAAGTCTCGTGAATAGCAATACTGAATCCAAAATTTACCAACCAACAGAATATAGAACCCAGGTGCGATAGGCGCTGATACGGCAAGGGACGGATAATAATTGCAGAGTGACCGTGCGCCAGAGTGTAACGATTAGTCGAAGTGGGGAATGCCATGGGTGTGTTGAACATCTCCCGAGCAAGATGAAATGGTAATTCCCGATGCTAAAGATTGGGTACTTGAAGGCGATGAAACGTGATCCTGGTGGTAGACTGTTCAACCCTACCGATATGTTCAAAAACTGCTCAGGCCTTTCGATAGACACTGATGCGACGAGGAAGTGCATCTGATGAAGCGTAGAGCCGTAGGCCTCGGTTCGCAAGGAAAGTGTCGAATGAAGTTTCCGGACGTAACTCGAGTTCCTTCAAAGCCTGCTGGAAATGCGGAGAGTGGTTTGGGCGAACGGCCTTCTGATATGAGTCCCAGCCCTGAAGTTCAATAACGAGGTATCCACCCGTTCGCAACGACGAGGCGCACTTCTCAAAGAACGCAACTAGACCAGTGTCTCGATGTTGGAGGTGGATCCATTTAATGACGGATAATGCCAGGATCACATCATATGACTCCTCGACGTCGTGGGCTGAGGGTACGGCCCAATCTGCAGAGAAGAAGGTTACACGCGGCCAAGCAGCTGATACAGTGGATGCGCTATGCGCAGCCTTGTTCTGCGGTTCAATCCGGTATCCATGAGTGAGCACGGCGGATATAGGAAAGTAGTCGACAACGGGTGCCGAGCCACTCGTGGGGGGTTTCGCACGGGAAGCACGCAGGGCCAGGAGCTTCTCGGCCTGAGCAATCAGCTTGGGATCGATATCGATGCCCGTAACGGATGCCGCTTGAAAATCGAATGCTGCAAGTTGATCAATATCGACAAGACGTGGTAATAGTCGGTTGCAGGAGCTAGCAGGGGTATCCTTCCTACACTTACATAGTTGGATTGAGACGCTGCCAGCATTACAGCCGATGTCCAAACAGTGCTTGGCGGCAAAGATTCCGGGGATCAGCGTAGCCAGGATTTTTAGACGTGGGTCAAGTAGGTGAGTCGCAGAGGCAGGCAGTTTTGACACCCCACTATAATCTGCAGGCGAGTCAGCACGAGTCGAAGCAAGGCAGCAATTGCCGAGTAGACGCCGCTTTGAGAACATGTCAGGACGCCAACAGCCCGTCTTGGTGAGATCGGTTCGCACCTACCCTTGTAGTTGCCAAACTCAGTAGCCATGACGGCTCCGTCGAGGCTGCGTGTCGATCGCGACTAGGGAGTTTCTTGGTGGCCCTGTGGTGGATGAGTGGCGACGTGATTCATGCGCCGTCGAGCAGCAGCGTGGTGTGTATTCTGGAGGGGGGACGGGCGGTGAAAGATGTGCGAGGTGGGAGGTGAGTGGTCAGCAGGTTGGGAAGTCGCGTAAAACTCAGAGACGGCAGGTGCTCGGGCAGACGATTGGCTGCCACACGTGCCAGGTTGAACAATTGGCGGACCTGTTCACCGAAGGCAATGTTGCGATGGGAGGTGAGGGGTAGGGAAAGGAGGAGTGTGTCAAAGCAGACATGCGCCCGCTCGAGGTAGCACACAGCGGACGCGGCTAGGCTAGGGGGCAGCGCAGGTACGCTGGATCCGTGCGGGCAGCAATATCAGAGTTGGAGCCTACCTGAATGAGTAGGGGAGGCAATAGGAGGAGCGGCGCTAGCATTTCCAAATAGGTGCCGTCTGCCAGGGTGCCATTGCAACTCTGTTACTCAGGCGATGAGCGCTCCGAGGTTTGCAAATAGACGTCATTTAGATCAACTTCATCTGCACTGCCAATCGACTTTGCACTCCAAGCCTTTGTCTAGACGATGCACAGAGTCTGGTTGATTATGGCTGGGTCGGTGGTTATTATGCCTGACACTGTATATTATCAGTCTGCATGGTAGCAGCGACCGTTGCAACTGCCGCATACCATGCTCAAGTCACCCGCTGAACAACACACACCCCATGACGCTTCTCCCAATCTCCTGCCACTCTCTTCAAACCGTTGCGCCGCAAGCGAACCGCCGTGATTCGCGTCGCAGCCATGGAAGCGATGTATGTGTGTCTTAATGTCTGCTGTTAACGACAACGGTCGCCCACCTCGGGCAAGCGCAAGCCACCGACATCGTTTGGGCGGCCGTGCCCGTTGACTATCGAGTCCGATAGCCAGGTGCGGAGGCAATGTCTCATGTCACTGATTGATAGGCGCATGAGACGGCAGCCGTCTTCCAAAAGCCCGGTAGCCGTCCTGACTGGGTTCACCACCACCAGAGTTTGGGCCACCTATAGCTCATCCAGCATGGCAGCAGACCCCACCCGCTCCAAGTGGGTGCGCGGAGACGGACAAGAAAGGCGTCGCAGGGCAGATCGCTTTTAGCCGCAATCCTCCAGCCTCGCCATTGGCCTGCGCCCGCTCTGACAGATGGGCCCGTCAAGCCTTTCCCAGGTTCGTGCTGCAGCCACTCCTTCACTCTATCTGGACCCTCGCCGAATGTGAAAGCGTCTGCCGCTCGCGATGCTACCCTCCGCTCGCCAGCGCCCATGGACCGAGTTACGTGATATCTGGCATATTGCTCCATATTGGCTGCCGCCCGGTCACAGTGTGCAACACCCTGGTCTGTCTTGATTCGAAACAGACGTGCCTGCGAAACCGGGACGCCGTTGTTTGTCTCTCTTTTACCCGGCCGCCAGCCTATTCGGTGACGCCCCACGAAAATACTGCGAAGCCAGTTCGGAGCTAGACACGAGTCCTGAGCCAGTCGCGTCCCAAAGTCTCCAGCTGCATGGGCTGCGAACGCGGTGAGAAGACAGAGTGGACTGCCGCAGAGACCACATGCACCGACTAGCTCACCTAAACCCTAGACCATGAGGAACATACATGACTACTTTCTCCACACAATCACCTGCTTGTACTGTACATAGTGCCCATCTCCCGGCCTTCATATCGCTTGCACCAACCCAAGTCAGAAACCTGGGGACTAGCAGCTGCCCGCCAAGCTCGGATCCACGCACTCATCGCTGCACTTATCGCTGTCCTGGTCAAAATTTATGCTCCGAACCGGCTACTCTTGACGGTTGGCGTGAGGCTTGCGAGTGAACAGGGTGCTGCGGGCCCACCCCCGTCTGCATCCTTTCCTCTTCCCGGGCGCCCGTTGTTTTAAGGCGTCAGAGCGCCTCCACTTCAACGTCGCCATTGCTGAATCCAAGCATCCGACCGTCGATCTGGCTGCTGGCGATCCAGATACGTACAGGGTCGCCTACAAGGGACATTAAACTATAAACTACCAACGCCGCCACACTCGAGGCAGTGCCCCCATTCCTGACGTCTTGTCCAACACTGCACCACTCCCTGCTGCTCCCAATTTGAAAAGAGCCTCCGAACTGAACACAAACATCATCCCAATGCGGCTTCGTGCATCGTGTCCTGGCCCGGCCAAATAATAATACACGCATGTCCCAACCACCTCCACCTCCTCCGCCGCCGTCGCTCCCTCTGACAACAACTTCTCGTCCTGCTCCAGATATGACTGAGACCCAGAAACTTCCCATCTTCTCGCCCCCTGGCTTCCTCGACTATTCTCACCGCCGACTTCCCCCGCTAGAGATCCCACCAGACGCTGTACCACCCCGGTCCGATCACCAGTTCCGCTCACCCATCAACCAACTGCCCTCGATTCATGCTGGATTGCCTCCGCGACAAGACTACCCCCAGCCGCCCTCCGTACATAGGTCAGCAGCTCCTGTTGAGAAGCTGCTACAACATTCAAACCCCTACACCCCACCCAGATCGGACCCTCCATATTCGCCTCAGCAATATGGCCCTTCCATCTCACCACGTTCCGAGTTTGACAGCAGAGGACCGCGGAGATTGACAGAACACCGCTATCCTTACGAGGAACCCCGGCACTACCATCATAGTCAACACCACGAGCAGCCATACTCATCTCTCACATCCCCAGTAGAGGCCTCGCAGCAAAGGTCATATCCTCCACTGCCGTCACCTGGGTATACACCGAGCTATGCATCGAGTAGTACTCCATTCCGCGGATCCGTAGGTTCCCGCCAGCATTCACAATCACATCGAGGCTCCATAGCAGCCCCAATCAGTGCCATAGCGTATTCGGAGCCACCTGCAACGGCCCCTCCACCTCAAAAACAGCATCGAGCAATTCCATTACCAGGTTCGATACCACAGCCGGTGTACAACGAGCAGCTGTAAGGATACTTCCACACTGACCAAGTAAGCGATCTCCCACTGACGCATACAGAAACTTGAACTATGAACTTCGTGTGCGGCAACAACCCATCGCCGCGCGAGCATGTGGGTTCGGAGAACGTGACCGAAGGGTAATTGACCCACCGCCAATCATCCAGCTCCTTGTAACAGATCCAAAAACCGGTGCTGCAGAGCAAGAAGAACTGCGTTACTCGCTCAACGTGGTTCATTGCACACTCTGGAATGCCGAGGGGACGAACGAAGAGACAGCACTCATACAGCCCGACCGGCGAACGACGCGGCGATTAATGGGTCAGCTCGTGGCATCGCCATCAGTAGCAAAGGATGAGCATGATGCCGAAGGTTGCTTCTTCTGCTTTCCAGACCTTTCGTGTCGTACACATGGCAAATACCGACTTCGATTCGTCCTAATGCGCATCGATCCGATGAACCTCCACGTGGGAGGCTTTTCGCCAATACTTACCGAAGTCTTGAGCGACGTCTTCACCGTCTATACGGCCAAGGACTTTCCTGGCATGAGGCCAAGCAGTGCTCTTACCCGAGCATTGAAGTTACAAGGATGCAACATCCAAGTAAAGAAAGGCAATGAGAAAGCACTGGCGCGTAAACGACTTACCGCAAGTCAAGAGCACGACAATAAAGAGGAGGATGAGCTGAAGCGGAGGCGCAGGGAATAACTATCTGAACATAACCTCTACGGCATTTACTTTTCTCACAAGCATCAACTACAGCGGACGGCGTGGGCTGCTACCTGGGTTATCTGGAGCATTTTTCGCAGATACCGACTTGCATCTTGACGACATGATGAACCAACAACATTCCCTCGGACGATCTACATCTTAATTTTCTAGCTGGTGGCGACGAGACTGTTTGCATGGCGTTCGCGCAATACAAGAGGGGTCGGAAGACTCGGTGCGGCGGCTATATTGTAATGCATTTGATATTCGATGGAAAGGAGCACGATACCATTTCTGATAGCTCATATTTGCAAATAACACAAAGAGACGCTAGCTAGGCTAGCAGCATTATACCTCATCAATGAAGCTGTGAGGTCAAGATTCGCCGAAGGATGATGGTCGCCAGGCAAGCCTCACGCCTCGAGGACGCTAATGCGGGGATCAGCCCCGCTAGATGGTCCATGCGTCGATTTTCTTTCCAACTTAACGCGTGCAAAATCTCAGCTTTCCTTCCCTCCCTCCCCTTCCCCATAACCGATTGAGGCACCAAAAGCAAAACATCATGAAATACGTGCTTGTGTCTGGCGGCGTCATCAGCGGCGTGGGGAAGGTAAGCTGCAGGTTGCCGCGCCTTTGATCACCACTAATGCGTATACACAGGGTATCATAGGTAAGCTCTCGTGACGTGCGCAAGAAATCTCACGCAAGTTCGAGTCTGCAGGGCTTTTGTGGTCTATGCAGAGCACTTCATCCTCTCTAGGATCATGGCTCTCAGAGCTTTGCCGAACTGCACGACTGCACAGCAACTTATGCACAGGAATATTCATACTATGTACTGCTGCTAATTGACGCGTCACAGCCTCGTCTACGGGCCTCTTGCTCAAGACGATCGGTCTCAAGATAAGTGCAGCGAACTGACGCGCTCTGCCGACCATACTGACGTCTTAGCACGTTTCGTCAATCAAGGTCGACCCGTACCTCAATGTAGACGCAGGGACTATGAACCCGAAGGAGTAGGCTTCGCCAGCACGATTGCTATATCTAAACTAAACTATCTGTAGGCATGGCGAAGTGTTCGTCCTCTCCGACGGCGGCGAAGTTGACCTCGATCTCGGTAACTACGAGCGCTACCTCAACATCACCCTCACACGCGACAACAACATCACCACCGGCAAGATCTACCAGCACGTCATCGAACGCGAGCGCAAGGGCGACTATCTGGGTAAAACTGTTCAAGTCGTCCCACACATCACCGATGCGATTCAGGACTGGATCGAGAAAGTCGCGCGGATACCCGTCGATGACTCAGGCGAAGAGCCTGACGTCTGCATAATCGAGTTGGGAGGTACTGTGGGTGATATTGAGAGCATGCCCTTCATCGAGGCTATGAGCCAGCTCAGAAGACGCGCGGGCAAGAACAACTTTATGCAGATTCACGTCTCGTATGTGCCTGTTATTCACGGCGAGCAGAAGACGAAGCCTACGCAACAGGCCATCAAGGCGGTGAGGAGTAATGGTCTGATCCCGGATCTGGTGCGTACATTTTCGCTAAGCAACTTCAAGACCTTTGTGTTGGCGATTAGCTGGCGCATCTGTCCTTGGAGTGCACTGTCACCTGTGTTGTGAGTAAACGATTGACTGTTCTAGATTGCCTGCCGTTGCGAACGCGAACTCGAAGCCTCTGCGGTCGAGAAGATTGCCCACTTCTGCCAGGTCGAAAACGAACAAGTCCTGGTTGTGCGTGACATGCCGTCCATCTACCAAGTACCCATGCTTCTCGAGCAACAGAGATTGATCCCCATGGTCCGCCAGTTCCTTGCTCTTGAGCAGACCTCTATCTCGCCCTCAATGCTGCAGAAGGGCAACCATATCTGGGCGCAATGGCAGTCGCTTACAGGCCACGACAGTCGCTTTCACGACCCGGTGACGATTGCACTGGTCGGAAAGTACGTTGAACTCCAGGACTCGTATTTGTCAGTCGTCAAGTCGTTGGAACACGCCACGATGCGATGCAGGAGGAAACTGGACATTCGCTGGGTTGATTCAGATCACCTGGAGCCTAAGTGTCAAAAGACCGACCCTGAAAAGTACCACAAGGCTTGGCATGAGGTTGTCAAGGCATCTGGTATCCTTGTGCCTGGCGGTTTCGGTCAGCGTGCCACAGAGGGTATGATCTCGGCAGCTACTTGGGCGCGTGAGCACAAGAAGCCATATCTTGGTGTCTGTCTAGGCATGCAAATCGCCGTTATTGAGTACGCTCGCAACGTTTGTGGTATCAAGGACGCAACTTCCGAGGAGTTCAACGGCGATGCCCAGAACAAGCTCATCATGTTCATGCCGGAGGTTGACAAGACGACCATGGGCGCATCGATGCGTCTGGGTCTCCGACCGACTCTCTTCCAGCCGGGTAGCGAGTGGTCTAAGCTCCGCGCTCTATACGCTGGCAAGGAAGAGATTCTTGAACGTCACCGCCACCGCTACGAAGTCAATCCCGACTACATCGAGACGCTCGAAAAGGGTGGCTTGAGCTTCGTCGGTAAAGACGACGCTGGTGTACGTATGGAGGTTATTGAAATCAAGGACCACCCCTGGTTCGTTGGTGTCCAATTCCACCCGGAATACCTCTCCCGCGTCTTGGACCCAAGCAGGCCTTACTTGGGCTTCGTCGCTGCCAGTGCCGGTATGCTTGAAGAGATCACTCGTGACTATCAGAGTGGTGCGGCGAACGGCCTCAGTGCGGAAGGTATCGCCAACGGTGTAAATGACATGAAGATCAATGGCGATGCGAGCTTTTAGATGCAACCTCGCATTTGTCTGTCATCAGGCCAGGTACCACTCTGCTGAGCAGGTATATCAGCAGCCACGGAGAACCGGAAGAACGTAACTGGAGTAGTGATCAGCTGGGCTTGGATGATTTGCTTTTGGAGTTGAGAAACTTGGATTCAATGGAAAGGCTTATGTAGTTACGGAAGAAGCAGTAACTGGCGATAGACGATATTGACGTGGCATATGCATATGATACCTAGGAAGTAAAAGAGGCAACATTCTAAATGTAGACCATCATTACCAATGAAATGCTACAATCTCATTGACGTAGGCAATGCGCTCCGATGTGAAGGAAAAAGCAAATCTTACATGGTGGGTCCAAAGCAACTTTCAAGCGGGTGTGCAACTATAGATCCGGGTAAGAGGCTCTCTGGAGACTAAGCTTTCTCTGCTCATTGTGTGTACTGACTGTCACAACTGATTCCTAGAGATATGGATCCGGATGCATGATATCTTCCTCTCACATCAGTATGCTTGCGGGGCCTGACCAAGTCGTCAGAACACCTGGGCAGATACAGATAAACGTCTCAACAGCTGAATTATGCTAGTGAGACTTAGCAAAATTGCTTTTGTTAAGTCCAGAGCGAGGGTAGAACGATATTCTTTCAGCTCACCACCAAGGTAGAAGTTGTTTATATGCAGTTTTGGATCTCGCATAATTTGTCCGCGTGCGACGATATTGACGCTGCTATCGGCCTTACCCATCTCCAACTCGTCGTTAATAGTATTGATATAGCGAGGCTCCCTTTCAGCATGGCATTTAGTTCGAAGTTGTTGGTGTTGCTGAGGGGGTGAGCTGTGAAAGAGCAGCTGACCGGCGTCATTGTCAAGCTCCTCCAATCAGAGCACAAGTAATCACCACGCTAGGATTGTAAAGAAATTCGTCTCCTCTTCCTCCAAAATTCTCAAGCTGCATACAGTGTCGGAGTAACTCCTCTACTTTCCAATAAGTTTGCATACGATACATCAGGCCATCCTACTCCGCATTGAGGAGTGACGCATTATGAGAATGTTTGCGAAAGCATGCACACAATACTTGAAAGCTTCTTTTATGTTTACAATTAAGATTTCAGAACACTACCTGTTCTACAATCCGAGTACTTGAGGATTCACGGTTCTGTCTCAAGGTAAAGGTACTTTCTCATTTGTTGTTCTGTTTGGGAAGCTTTCCAGAGTCCATAAATGTATTTCCTCTTTCTCGACGCGTGATTCTCAGCCCTTGCTGGTTGTCAATGTATTGCTGTTTGGTACCGCCGCCGCTTCCTCTATCGATGGTGCTTCTATACTCTTGTTGTCTGTATGCGAACTGCTATCGCGCACGATGTGCGCTTGGCTACCACTGTCGTTGTCGCGTGGCTGGAGCGCCGTCGTAATGAAGCGACCGTTCTTTGTTGTGCCAGCACCTGAATTCATTTCGTATCCGCGTGTGTGGTATGCATTCGTCTTTGTGGTGCTCTTGGAGCTGAAAAGGTTCGGTACGCATCGCGTCGCTAGGGCTTTGAGCGCGGGACCGCAGGCAGTCATGATCGCGACGTTAACTTCGATGCCGGAGAGGGTAATGGAAACTTTGTACGTGGGGTCGTTGGAGGTGCTCGATGGGTATCAAAAGTCACAGAAAACTTTGAACCGAACAACGCCGAGAATGGCTACGATCCAGCCGACAGAGAGTACGGCGCCGACAGTGAATTTCTGGCGGAGTGCCATGCGCAAGTTCCACATCATGGCTACGGGTACGAGCAGTATGAGAACATCTGTCAGAATCGCGAGGCCGGCAGTGACGAGAGAAAAGGCGGCCATGTTGTAGCACTGATAATTCGGGTTGACGACCTTGCCGTTCATAGTCTGGTCCGTGTAGTAGTGGTTCCAGTACATGTGAATAGGCACACATTGTGTCAAAGCGGCGAAGAAGACGGATAACATATGGCCCATGTTGAACCACCAGAGGCTATGCAAACTCCAATAAACCAGAGTTCTTTGGTCACCCAGTCTTCTCAAAAAGACTAGTACCGATGCTTTCACAAGACAAAGGATGGGGTTGTATAGGAGCTGCTGAGCCATGTTCCACTTGTCCGCCTCGACGAGTTGATCGATTGTGGGTGTAGCGATATTCCAGATGTGATGTCTCTGGTTCGTCAACACGGCGAACTTCAGAAAAACGCCCGCTTGCGCAACTGCTAATGCCCATGCCATACATATGAGGCCATCATCTAAGTATCTTGTCAGCTATATGTTCCATAGCCTCATGGCTTTCGAGCGGCTTACTCCAATGGAATTGTTTGATTAGAAACCGGTGGTACAGTCGTACACCCACAAGAAGAGTATTGATAGACGCAAAGACAATGGTAATAGCGAAAATAGCAGGCTGCTTTGAATCTGAAGGTAAATTCATGACTGCCGTGTCGTTTTGACAAGTGTGTAGATCGGGGTACAAAAGGAGAGATTATGATCAAGTTGAACCAGCCGACCGCATCAACATATAACGATGTTTTTGTGGACTCGATACCATGAAGCGTGACTTGCAATACCAATGCCACGGCGGCACGAGTGAAATGAATCACCGGGATGTCACACGCATCCTACATCGTTTCCGCGGCTCAGGTACCTAGGTAGGTATGCATTGATTCGGTTTGGTTGACGAAGAGTATTGTGCCTCAAGTATGCAGATCACTCCTTTGCTTCGAGTGCGAGCCGTGTTGTTGTCTAACGCAGCGTGACTTCTTGCTAACAAAATCCTTGCTGCCGAGCCTCAGGGGTTCTAAGGTTCTGTTGCAGCGACATACTGTAGCATGTTAAGTTGGAAATTAGAAGCCTCAAAAGCTGTCTTCTCAAGCGCTCTTTCGTTAGACGCGTAACACATGTTTTTAGCAATGGGACCTCATTGACGGCTTTGGCGCAAAGATACACCGATTCCGGAAGTTTTTAGCTGTTGATCGACGCCTCGGACCTCATCCGAAGCCAACGCTATTCCATTTGGGTTATCGAACAGCGGGTCAGCTCCCCGGCCCTCCCGTGCCGCACGCCTGCGTCAAGCACTGGCTTATTAGTTCGCAAGACAGTCAGACTAATTTGCAACCCACATTGTCGACGGCGGGGACAATAGCTCAGGGAAATATGATAGAATAAGGTCCTGAATGATACGAAACCACGACAGAGAGGAAACAAATGAATCGGATTTAGACTGACAAACCTAGGGAACCTTACGAACAGTTGTTCGCATCTCCAGGTGGTGACGGTTGACGCCAAATCCTTTTAATAACCCCCACCTTGCTTATAGTGGGTCTCTTCCTTATGTTCAGGATCTTGGATTCGCTGATGCCGATGGATCTTACTTTCACGTTGCCTCTTTGATCCTATCGAGCAGCCATGCCGTTTCCCCGAGCCTTCTCACATTATACAGAACCTTCGACCGCCTCTTGGATGCATGCAAGCGAGCCGTGGCAGTAGAGCCAAGCACTGTGTCCAAGTTTCTTTCGTAGCGATTTCTGATCACATTGGTCAGTGGACAATCACAAACCCACACGGAGATTGTCGAAGCCCTGATCAACGGTTCGTCTACGCAGTGAGTGAAATCTCGCCACCTGAATCTGGAGGGGTTTCCGAGAAGTTCGCGACCACCCATGTCTGACCCTCGAGCAATTTGTTCTGACGAGAGGGCAGCGCTTTCTGAATCCATGCGTCACCTTGCGTTAAGACATGGTTTCGAGGATACATACGCTTGTTCGCTCATCTTTAGGGCTGTGCCTTTTACACATTGTGAAGACGGTTCATAACGCCGGCATAGACAAGAGGCACCACGGGCCGTTACCCAAATCTAGGTCAGACCCCACAAAACCCGCAGAATCCGCACGTTTGCTGTGAGGCGAAACATGAATCGTGTACTACTATCGAGGTCAGTTATGATCGAGCGAGATTTCGGCAGTCAATCCAGTGGGCGGAGACGGCATACGACTCTTAATTTGTCTTCTTCAAATAGCCTCATTCTCTCGCTTTCTTTTTCCATCCTCTAGGCTCTCGGAGACTTCTTGTTTCTTCATTGCGGCTCGATACCCGCAACCATGGTTTCCTCGTTTGTTAGCGCGCTCCTTGTAGCATCCGCTGCAGCCAGATTCGCGCCTCGCTCCGCAGAACCTCCCATGCGTCTTGCCGATCGCCAGTCGGGCAATTTTGCACGCATCGAGCAGACAGCTGACGGTACCCTTCCTCGCTTCGACTGGGAACAGTCGTCCCTGACGGACACGACCATCGAGCAAGCCCTGGCCTCAGTACCAGCTGATTTGAAGTCTCTTTTCCAATTCGCTTCGCACAACATTGCTAGCGACGTCGTGCTTGACACAGACAACACCTTCAACGGCCGCGAATGCAAAGTCTTCCCTGGCGACGAAGATTGGCCAGCGGAGGCAAGCTGGTCAGCACTCAATGATGTCACCAATGGTGCTCTGATGAAGCCTCTTCCACAGGCACACATCTGTTACAACAGTACTTTGGGTGGCATCGACCGGAGCGCTTGCGATGCTATGACCAAGTCATGGACGGATCCATTCTCACAGTACGTCAAACATGGCATACCACCTTCAAGTAATTGTTGACTGATATATACGACCAGGTTGGATGACCCCATTGAGATGCTGAGTCCATTGTACCAAGGAAGTACATGCCAACCGCCTCAGATATACAACAGCAAACAGTGTACCCAAGGAGGCTACTCTCTCTACGTCGTCAATGCTTCGACTACTGCCCAGATTCAGCTGGCACTCAACTTTGCTCGAAACACGGGCGTCCGATTCGTCGTTCGTAACACCGGTCATGGTTAGTAATGTCCCTGTATGAGATGCATGTGAGACGGGTACTGACTTCGTATACCCACTCTCAGATTTTGCCGTATGTTCTTCGCCTTCAAGTTGTCGATGTTTTGCTGACAGTATCTAGGGGAAGAGTGGTGGTGCTGGCTCCCTTAGTGTATGGACTCATGGCCTGACAGACATCGCGTTCATTGAGAATTACGAGTCGGATGACTACTCTGGTCCTGCTATCAAAGCTGGCTCGGGCGCTCAAGGCTTTGAGCTTTACGCGGCTGCGAGAGACTTCGGTGGTACTATCATGGGAGGAGAATGTCAGTATCTGCTCCCTACGATACTTGTGTGAGATAAACACTGACTTTTTGTTTTCATCTAGGTCCTACTGTCGGCGCGATGGGCGGATGGATCCAAGGTGGTGGCCACTCGCCTCTATCGGGATCCCTTGGCATCGGCGCTGACCATGTGCTTTCCATGGAGGTCGTCATGGCAGATGGTCGCTATGTGACTGCTGATAAGAAAAACAACCCTGAGCTTTTCTGGTCACTACGTGGTGGTGGAGGTCTGACCTTCGGTGTTGTAACTTCTGTCACCGTCAAGATGCACCCGGATCAACCTATCGCTTCCGCCAACTGGCTCGTCACCACAGGCAAGAATGTCAGCACCGACGCCTTCAAGCAAGGACTAAAGGCATACATGAAGTACTTTCCACAGAACGCTGACAACAATACTTACGCGTATTGGAAGGTATTTCCATCGCCAGACTCGATCATGATGGACATGTCGCCGTTTTTCGCTCCCGGAAAAACTGTTGAAGAGGCCAAAGCTCTTGTTGACCCTTGGGTAAAGGATATGGCTGCGCTCGGGATCTTCGTCGAACCCAAATGGACACAGTATAACGGATTCTACGATGCCTACAATGGCTCTTTCCCTGTGGAAGGTGTCAATAGCAATGGCGTCGCCACTACCTCGCGTATGATTCCTCGTTCCAACTGGGCAAACGAATCTATCTTTGATGAGACTTTCGAAGCTCTCTGGGGGGCGGTTGATGAAGGTATGGCGCTGATTGGCTACAACATGGCACCATCTTGGGAAAAGGGTGGACGCCCTGATAATTCTGTCAACCCGGCTTGGCGCAACATGCTTGGTTTTATTATCACCGGTACTGTTCTCAACATGACAAATCCAGCTGCGGAGATTATCGAGGAGCGCCTCAACATGACCTACGGCGTCATGCAAAAGTGGCGCGACATCACGCCCGGCTCCGGATCCTACCTTTCGGAGGGAGATCGTCTTGAACCTAATTTCCAGTGGTCGTTCTGGGGTAGCTTTTATCCGCGTCTCCTGAAAGCGAAGCGCAAGTTTGACCCGTTCAACCTTTTCTGGGCCACAGGTGCAGTGGGAAGCGAGTTTTTCAACGTACGCAGTGTCGATGGGTTGCCAAATGAAAATGGAAAGCTCTGTGTTAACCCGAAGCCGATACTTTACCAGGCGGAAGGCCCTGACTGGGTCCCAGAGTAGATGGATAGTGTTATAGATACCAAGCAGGCTTCAGAGGCGAAACCCGTCTAGACTGTCTGGTCAAGTAAGCAGAATTCAGAGAGCTTGCATTCATCGAGTCTCGACCCGTTGCATCGTGCCTGTTGCGTTGTTGGTCATTCTTGAACTGCATGGGCAATAATCCAGTCAACAATACCATGCATTTATTGGGTATCATCACCGCGTCTCTGTGCCACATGTACGCTTGCCTGAACGCCTGTAGCTTCTTCCCAGTGCGCCATGTAAATGCCTTGCCTCTACTTCCATATCTCTTTTGAGACCCGTCCACCTAAACTTGTTTTACGAACGCTGTCGTGGCATTAAGTTCTGTTCTTGGAAACGCTGAGAAGTGGAAGAGACTTACTAGCATCAATTTGCACAACCTGTGGTAGCGCTAGCCGGACCTTGTTCCTGTATAACGCTGGCTGTGACCTTTGCAGTGGGTTACCCTCAAAGTAGACTGTCTCTAATTCTTCCTTATCCCTCAGCTCCTTCTCGATTTCGTTGAAGTCACTCAACTTGCAGTTGCTCGCCCAGAACTCCGTGAGGTGTTTGAGGCCCTTCAACCCGGTGAGGTGTTCGATCGGGTTCGCGCTGATGTCGATGACGTTTAGATTGACGTTGTTCTCCAGGCCTGATATCTCGGTGAGGAGATTGTGCGAGATGTGCAGCTCTTCGAGATTGACGAGCTTTTCCAGGCCCGTTATCGAGCGCAGACGATTCGACTGTATGCTGAGAATCTTGAGGTTGGTGAGACTATCCAGACCTTTGATCTCAGTGATCTTGTTCTTGCCCAGCCACAACTCTTCCAGCCCCGTCAGCGTCTCCAGTCCTTCAATCTCTCGCACTCTGTTTGCGCCAAGCTCGATCTGTCGCAGATTCGATAGCCCGTCGAGATTCTCTATTTTGCTGATCTTGTTCTGCACAAAGTATAGGTCCTTCAACTTGGTCATATGGTTCAGCCGTTTGATATGCTTGATTTTGTTGAAGGAAAGGTCGAGCGACGTGAGTTCGGTAAAGGCATCGAGCCCTTTGAGATGCGCTATCAGGTTGTCATAGAGATCGACTTCTGTGAGAGTGGGTGCGACGTCTTCGGGTATCGCGATGCTTTCTATGCGGTTTTGGCGCAAGCAAAGACGCTGTGACATTAGGCAAAATCATTCACGACGCAGACGATAGCATACCTTCATCTGCTTGAACCGCTCCAACCGTAACGCCGACATGTCTGAAATCTTGGAGTGGACAATCTCTATGTCATCCTCGTCTTCCGGCGTATCATCGAGCAAATCCTCATCTGCGGCCAGCTGTTCCGGGGGCGGGCCCTCATCGTCTGATACTTCCGGGTCGCTCACGACCTGTGCATGTGGATCTCTAGGCTCGTCGCCGATAGTCATCTTGTCTATGCGCAGCTTCCCGTCCCAGCCGCTGCTGTCTCGTGGTTTGTGCCCATCTTTGTCGTCATCGCGTGTTTCGTTCGCGTCGACCGTGGCCGCGGGGTCGCGTTCGTCGTGCGGGGCAGAGTTTGGCTCAGTCATTGCGCGCAGGCTGTCGGTATCTGACGAGGCGACTGCAATATCTTCTTAATACACGTGGAAATCTTGATATGCAGATTTGATGTCTAGGCAGCCGCGTGTCCAGCCGTGATCTGGGGGGTGGTGGAAGTTACGTCGTTTGACAATTAATCGCAGACTAAGCAAGGGTCCAGCGGGATGACGATCGTGGACGATCGAAACACCAACATTCCACCACCGCCGTCGACGTGTAAGCTAGACATTACAGCTACACTCTGGAGACAGCCACACTCATTTCACATGAGCTTTGATTCATCATGACTGACTAGAAACAGGATCCATTCGAGTTGCCTATTCCCTAAGTGATCCAGCCCATGTTGTCGTTACAGGCATCACTTTCGCATACCAACCTGCAAGCTTAGAAAGAGCTGTGCGCCTCTAAGCTGAGTAAAGAGAAGCTGGTGTGGTATAACTGTTCCGCCAATCCTGATTTCATTGGGGATATTTTGAAAGGCGAAGAGCATATGCACTCCTTGAACACGTCGGCATGCCTCAATGGAGGACCTTTTGGACGCACACGATACCACCTTTATTTGAATCTCCATAACAGGATCTCGTCTACTATAATGCGGGGGTATGTGACTGCTGGTTGCTCTTTGTAATGTCGTGGCCGAGCATTGGGACCAGATCACCTTGGTGTTGAGAAAAGGCCCACAGCTGTGGTACTTGAGCGTCCGTCAACGCTTTTCCGAGCATCGTGACCCCAGCCTACAGTACAAAGATGTAGAGACATAGGTTTTTCTTATAATTTTTCCCCTATCTTACCAACCAGCATTCTTGGTCCAACGGTAGGATAATTGCCTTCCAAGCAATTGGCTCGGGTTCGACTCCCGGAGGATGCAAAATATCCTTCTCTACAATTGTGAGATGTTTTTTTCTATATTTTTTTGCTGCAATCTACAACAAGAACAAAGCCTCAACTGGCGGACGCTCGACTCGAGACAAGTACATGATATTCGAGACTAAGGCTTACAGGATAGTGCTGCCACGCATAAACTCCCGGCGGTCCCCGTCTCAACACCGTTAGGGAATTGCAAATAAGGCGTTAAGCCACAATCGACTGATAGATCTGTTATCATAGGCATTCTTGTATATCTGGGTGCTCTTCGTCCTTACCGTCTCAGTGCTGCGTACCCCCCTCTGCCTCTTCGCGCGCTTTAGTTGTTTCCAGCATTGACCTGTGGGTAAAGTAGGAATTTCGATACGAGACGCCATCTGTCTACACACATACACGATCCGCGACCACTCGTTCACGACTCGCAGTAGCAAGGCGCAGGGTTCCACCAATGATAGCCGTGATGGTGACGCACGCCAGGGACGTTTGCAGACGCGGCGTTCCAGAAAGCAGGCGCGTAAACACGTTGATGACGTAGGTAGCGTACCTTGCAGCGCGCGAACAACACACCGTTTATACATACCCAAGTATCTGCGACCGAATTGGCCAGTGGCAATCTACAATACGCAATAATCTCTACTAGAGACGATCTGGCTCATTGTATACCGTTTCCAATCTTTCCACAATAATTTCCATAAAAGCAATGTCACTACGAGCTCTATCCCGCGCACCGCGCCAGGTCTGTCTAGCAGCGAGGAGACAGTATGCGACCAACTATGATCAGCGCACCAAAGAAACACTGAAGGTATCTTCGCGATTGACGTGGTGAGTAGTCGAGATCCCATCACAAACTCTCATCGCGCCGCAACTTGCATCACAACACCCGCTGGCCAACCCGCTGGACAACCCACTGGACACGCCTTCCTACTCTACCTACCTTCAAACGACACACACCGTGCTGACTTACCCAAGGCTCACCACAACCGCCGCCGTCGGTGCCGCGGCCCTCTACTACACCACCAGCTCCTCACCCTCCCCGGCTTCCTCACCCTCTCCAGCCTCCTCCACTTCTCCCAGCCCCCCGGATCACAGTAAATCCACTCGGCCGGGACACCGACACGAATCCGCCTACGCCTCCGACGTCCCCAAGCCCGTTGAAGACCGCCATGGCGACAGCGTCAACAAACACAGCATCGCGGCGCACAAGAACCAGAACAAAGTTCGCGAGGGCAAATTCTCAGGCAAGGAATTTGACAATCATGTGCAAACACATTCACCGGGGAAGCCTGAAGGTGATTTCGAGAAGCGGTAGCATGGTTTCGGAGGGACAAGGTAGGTGACAATCGGTTGAACCGAGGTTGAACGTAGTAGAGCACAGCGAATGCTACATATCCAAATGATCTAGCCACGTCTGGAATCGTCATTCTGCAGTCCCACTAAGTCCCAAGTCCCGCCGCCGCCAGCGCCGCAAAGAATTTTATCGAATAAGCCGAGTCTACGTATTCCAGAAATTTGGTAACCTTCTTCCCATCCTCGGTGAAATGCAAAATTAATGCGTATTCGTTTGCGTATGGTCCAATGTCAGTATCGGCCGTACTTGTCGCATGCATGATACATGTGTGCGCGTCCGCATCATGCACCGCTGTGTGGACGGTAACCTAGGACGACGTTAGCCGCCTGCAAGTCTCCCAGGCAATACACCGTGTGCTTTACAGTGAAGTTCCTGAAGCATGGCAGTATTTGCTTTAGGCGTTCGCGGTATTCGTCATTGCTCATACTTGGTCGCCCCATGGATGCAGGAATGACTTGTTGTTTACAGTCTGGCGCTCGAAAAGCTAGTATCTTCTCCATGTCCCATGCATTGTATGCATCGAGCACGGTCTGCGTCGTTGCCTTTTGGGTAGCGAGAGTGGACATTGTACCTAAGTCGGATGATCAGGGAAGCAAGATGTAAACAGTGTTACAAGTAGTGGATTGCTGTGCTGCATTACTTTATATACACCTTGAAGCTTGCGTGGGATCATGGCGCGTATCGTGAATGTACCTGCCGGATTGGTCGCAACAAGCTATCGAGAAGCGGGGTCGACAGACGGGTGGTGGTAGACGGGTGGTGGTGTAGTAGTGGCTGCGCCGCAATCTCCAATCTCGCATGTTGTTCTAGAACCCGTCAATACGTAAAAGAGATGGATAGTACGGAAGATAAAGAGATATAGTAGGTGTCATTAGTGGGATGCAGCGCGAGATATAGGAGAATTGTTTCGATAGCTCCAAGTCTTGAAGCTGTGGATTTGCGAACAATTGTCTCGAGGCGTATTGCCGCTCCATTGCGGGAAGCAGAACAAGATACAGGCACGAATCCAGCATGCGAATATATACAAGACAGGACGACTTTTTTAGTGTACCGGCACACGAGGCGCGCCGGATTTGACCGCTACAATTCTCAAAGCAACATTTTCTAGAGCAATTTTGAGTTTTGCTCGATGCTCCTCATGGAACTTGGCAGCTGGATAATTACGATGCTTGGCGAAATAGTCGGTGGAAAGGACAATCAATGCTTGTCTCTCCTATGACTGACTGTCGTCAACTTGTGCCCCATCAATGCACTACATGTACAACACCAAGGCTTGCTCACAGTTGTTCAGTGCGTGGTATCTCTGCAAACACTTTTATGAACCTTGTACATAAGTGAACTTAGCCTTCAGAGAGCTTGTTCTAGTTTGAATAACCTCATATTTTGGCAGACCACGACTATACTTCTAATGCACGGAACGAGCATGAAGACCTCCTGATTCTGCACAAGCTGCCCACAGATCCTCAATCTGCCCATTGGATCCAAACTCTAAGATGTAGTATCTATTGTCATACTTGCTCTTTTCTCTTCGTAGACAGCCGGCAACAATTTCTCCGTGTAATGTACGGCGATTCGAGACCGCGGGATATTGCACTCCGAAAGTCAACATTATGCAAGAAGCATTTGTAGCATGCACGACACTGCGATAAGATCTCATATCCATTCATTGAAACCTGTCATAATTCCATACAAGTCGGCAAAATGCTCATCGGTCTCCTCGACTCGGGCCTGCCATAGGTCCTCAAGAAGTGGCCTCTAGGGAAACAATCCTCAACCCTCTCGAAACTATATCTAACCAGACTCCTAACCACATGTCCTCTGCTAACATGACCTCTTCCCACTCTGACCGTTTGCACATTGGTCTTGACCCATAGTACTGGCAGTGCGACAGCCACACCAGCCTCAAGAGATGCTTCGTCAGATGCCAGACTCGAAGCGATGCTTGCCCTGAAACTGTCGTGGGACATAGCTTTGCTCTTCCGCCAGTGATGACCGCGTCCGTTTCCTCCAGAAACATAGAAATCGTCATCTTCCGAGTCGTCGCTGCAGTTTGAGGATAGTCTGCGGGCTTTCCACTTCCAGTCTTGCGGTGCTTCTACTAGACTATCGTCGTCTGCGAGGCTTGTGAAGAGTTTCTTGAGTAGAGGGAGGTTGACGGCGACGATGGCGAATTGCACCTCAAGTGAGGCGATGATGACCATTTTACCTAGAATCCAAGAGGTATCAACGGGCTCACCGGACTGGTCACCGAGTTGGAGTAGGGGAATCAGGCGGAAGGTTGCGATGATGACGGATATGCTACCGAATGCGATAACGCTGAGGACGGCGACCTTGCGACGCAAAGGCAATTGGCAGTTCCAGATGGTAGAAATGGGCAGAATGAGGATATACAGATCCAAGGCGATGTTCTAAGAGGTTTCAGGTTAGCTGGGGGGATTCGAGAATATAACAAGAAAAGGGTGCTTACCAATAAGCATGGTCCAATGAGGACGATAAGTTTGTGCATACAGTAGGCGTCTGCGTGCGTGCCTGGATGCAGGATTTCGTCAAAAGGCAAGCACTGAATGCAAGCAAGAAGCCTGGTTATGCTACATTAGTCTTGTACGGGTGTGAGGCAAATACAAGAGGATGACTAACATATTGCACGCCCATACAATAGTGTTCAAACCCACGCCAGCGTAGACGGCGTACCGGAAGGCGGTAGTATCGGGTGATAACCGGAGGTAGAAGAAGAGAAAAGCGGATTTAATGACCCAGTGAACAGAGTAGTAGATTATCTCCTCGACAAAAAGCCACTGATGCAATCCGTCAGTACAGCACTCTTACTGAATCGTCTCGGACATGGACATACCTTGACAATCTCGAATTGCTGAATGGTATTAAGAACGTCCATATGTCTGCATATATCTGTTAGCCTTAGCTTCTCGGTTTGAAGTAGCTGTGGTTCTTACAATCCGCATCCCCAGTACAAAAACATATGCAAAACACCTTGCTGAGCGAGACTGAAGATGAAGACCACCACAGCGAAGTAGTCATCCCATCCCCAAATCCTCGATACAATGTAGCGACAGTAGAATCTCAAGAAAGTCGAAGTGGTGCCCAAAAAGAAGGTAACGTAGGCCACGGCATAAGCCAGCGGCTGCAAATTAGTAGCCAGCGCCATAGTCGAAGCAAATGGCGACGTGAATCAATCACGAGAAGGAGTGGAAGTTGGGCAGCTCAGCTCACACCTCAACCATCGCAATAATGCATGGCTCTCGCAAGTATCTTAAACCCCTTCGCTCCTGTCATTCATGCACTGCTTTTTCCCGACATATACATCGAAACAGGCATACGAGCTAGTCTCATCGCCGGGAGCCAGTTTTCGGACTATACTCCTATGCATGTGCCACCTGCGTCTTACGGGTGAGAATGTTCATGGTAAAAATCGTTGATGACTTTGGTCGACATAAACAAAACCGTTGTTTCGGTGTGGCTGGCGGGCGAGTACCTACTTCAAAGCATTGCCGGTGTTTGCTTTTTTGCTCGAGAAGACCCGTAGAGTAAAATACTGCACGGCATATGTCTGATGTGGAGCTCTGACGAATACTCCACGTTTTCGGCGACAACGTTGCAGCGACCGGAAGCTTGAGTCTGGACACCCGACAATGATGCCATAATTTCAGTATAAGGCCATGGAATGCATTCCCCCACTGATGTGCCGACATTGATGTTCTTGGTTGTAAACCTTGCGACAATATTGGAATACTGTTGAGCCGAGCAAGCCCGTAGCTTTCCCATTCAAAGTCTACCACAGGAGGTACCGCATTTGTCACTCAATTGCCTTCGCCAAGGCGATCGATTTCTTATGCCAGATGTTGTAACAAAGTTGCTGGCAGGGCTACGGATTTGGCGCAGAACAAGCAACGTACGATCAACGGAGCGCGCCACTCAGAGACACCCGCCTGTCTCCACTCTGGTCCAGAGAAACCAATGAGGTTGTGTTTTAGCACAGATTGCCAAAACTCCGTCTGTTAGCTCCAACTCCGAAGCTCTTTTGGGGGTGATATGGAGACAATCGTCTTCCCAAATAGCTAAAACAGAAAACAAAATAGTCGTGATTGGTGCGGCGAAGTCGTAGTGCCAGTAGTTCCCGCCCCTAGGCCCCCTTTCGTTAGCACTAGGCTGAGTTGGTGAGCTGCAGAAGCTATATGCAGTCGATGCGCCCGCTATGTGAAGCTTCAGAAAGTATGCGAAACAGTTTCCAGACGCGTGCATCATCAGAGTTTCTCACCTATATCTGGCTCGTCAGGAGCCGCATAGCAGTGCATGCACACCACCGGAGTCGCATACATGTCCTGCTGGTTCAGCACCATTGCTGAACACGGGGCGAATTATACCAAGGAATCTCTACTACAGAGCGAACGCAGGGCGACATGCCCAACTGTCATCCTGCACGGCATGGCTAGAATAGAGTTTGTTCAGCCAGAAGACTCGGGAAGGATTCACCTGTGTCCCGGAACGATTTGCGAAGGAGGAAATGGAAGCATTGTGCAGAACTTGTAAGACACCACCTTTGAGCAAAGGAGATTTGACTAATGTCAAGGGGCATCCTCGTTGGCTATGCACATGTCAACCTTTTGTGCCACTAGAAAGTGTAAATACTACCACTATTTTGAAAGCCGTTCGAGAAGGTCGTACGGTGACGAAAACGTCTATTTTGGCCACCTCGCATGTGCGACTTGAGGCTGGTCGGATGAGATTAGTACGCAACGGTCGGTTGATCGTTGGCTCGTATTCTCCGGATATTGTGAGGGCGAATCTTATTTCTGGGAATCGTTCGGCAATGGCGCGCTTTGCGGGGAGCCTCTTGCGTCGAAGTATATTACTACACCACCACAGCGGTGATGACGATTAGCGTGTAGGCGCACACCAAGGATGGCGACTCGTGACTCTGTGGACATGGATGCCATCGCATGAAGCTGCAAGATCGGCAGACGTGCGACGGGCCGCCCTGCACAGCGCTTGCCACTGTGGAACACGACAGGCTCTGACATGTGACAGCAAGAGCAACGACTCCAGCGCGCCGATGCTGCGACGACGATGGCCATGACGGTTATGTTGAGAGTCGGCTGGTGACTCTTGCGCATCGATGAAAGGATAATGCCGGCGCACTCAATATTGGACCAGCATATGGCGGCAGAAGCGCATCGGGTCTTACGGCTGATGTTGGTTGTGATAGGCCAGGGCGACTTCGCGTCCCCGTACCATGGCGCCTAAGTTCCTAGCCGTGAGTCAACCTGCAAGCTTGTGGCCGCACGAACGGTCGCATGGCCTGGGAGTCGGTCGCCTTTGAAAGTTTGGCGAAGACGAGGTTATGCAGGGCTCGAAGCGTAATTGTCTAGAGTCTAGAGGCAAAGCAGAATGCAAATGTTCGCTGTGGGCTCTGGTTAATGTGCCTTTGATCAAGATGCTTGGCTGTCATTTCCCTGTGTGACGCGCCTGCGCCGCGATGCAGTGGAGGATGTGATTGGGCAAATGAATGATGAATAGTCCTCCCTTGGAGATGTGCAGCGTGGAGTGAGGGTATTGTATATGGGCCTGGCCATGCACTCTCTGGCTAGGGCGATTGCAGGCTAGGGGCGAAATGGCATGGTTATTGGGGGTCCCCCATAAAGAGGCCCCTGTCGTCGAGTGTGGCAGCTCTTGCACAGCCCCGATACAGCTCGCAGAATGCCATCGTTGTGAGCGCATTGCCTCTACCACAAAATACAAAGGCTACATTGCAATCGCCGTCGCCGTCGCGCCAACGAACGTGTGAGGGAAGCCGTGCTGCTCAAGTGAACTGGCGGTTGTTGTGGAGCTTTGGCGCTCATGACGGTGAAAGACGGCGTCTCATTTCCGTCCACCTTAGCGAACCAGCCTCATCCCAAGCAGCGTATCCAAGCTTCGCTCCCGGTCGCCCTCGCTCTCTCCCTCGGACTCCCTCGACGATAGCGACTGCCCCAGCTGCGAGACAAGGCGATCGCTCCTTCCATCTTGCGCATCAATCCAAGCAATCGCGACCGGGCCACGCCATTGCCAGCCAGCCATCCACCGCTCCCACCCACGAGCGAGTTCCACCACGCGACGACCCAAGGAGCCCTCTGATCCGACCCAAGCCTATCACTACACGTCAAACTCACCTGCGCGTTGTGCGTCTGACTTACTCGACGCGCAGCCATGAGCACCGAGCCGACGCAGCTCTCTGCTGACGCAACCCGCCCGTCTACCGACAGGGCAGTAGGGTCGTCGGAGCAGGCCAACGGCACCGGTATGTTTTGGATCTATCATCATCACCAACACCAACACCACAACCACCGCCGCCATCACCCACCATCGCTCTCCAAGACTTGATTACTAACACAATGCAGCTGCCATGCAAAACGCCATTGCCACCAACTCCTTCGCTCCAGGTCAATCCTCGTCGCAAGGCCCGTCGTCTGCCCCTGCTGAAGGCGATTCGAACCAAAAGCGCACCCTCTTGAACGTCCCCCAGTCCGCGTCGCAATCCAACGAGACCCCCAACACCGGCCTTAGCGGCGCAACTGCAGCAGACGCCGAAAGTATTGGGCGAGGCTCCAAGCACTCGAAGCGCAGCTTCATGGGCAAGCGACGAGCTGGCAGCACGGCGAGCAGCAAACGCTCTCACCCGCGTGCTGCACCCTCGGAAAAGAACGAACAACCGCCCCCGGTGCCTGCCACAGCGAACCGTCCAGCATCGACACGGAGTAAGACGAAGAAGTCTGGGGGTCTGTTGTCCTGCCTGCCGTGCTTTGCACCAAAGGAATCCCGAGACGACTCTACGCCTTTGGAAAATGTCAAGCAAGCCCAGAAGGTACCCGCCGGCCGCACGTCTCAGTCAACTCCTATTAAGAAGCAGGAGCCTACTGTTGCTGAGTCCAGCAACACGGACTCAAAAGACCCGCTTGATGAGAAGAATGGAACCGAGACATCAGGAGCAGGTCTTGCTGAGAAACCCACCCACAACGATGGCACAACCGAACAGCCAGCAGTGGAAACGACGCCCCCGGTCATCACAAGAAGCCCATCCCAGAAGCAGCAAACAGAAGCAGTGTCCCCGCCCCAGCCCGGTACTCTACAGACTGGCCATCCCCAGATAAGCATCACAAACCCTACGCCCACCGCTACTCCGGTACTTCCTCGGCCATCAGCAGAGCAGGAGCGCATAATACAGGACCAGACCGAAGAGCAGAAGCAGATCGACAACGACATTGAGATGAAGGATGTGCCGCTATCGACCAATGATGTTCATCAAGAGGGAGAGGAGAAGGATGCAGAGGCTGAAGCTGAGCATCCCAAGGTTGATCTACCTCCACCCCCGCCGCTCGCCGAGAGGCAGGTTGCAGTGCAACACCAGACTACGGATGTAGCTGAGGCGGCCGAGCCACAAAAGTATCTTTTGGGGCCCATTGCACCTAGGTTCCAAGGGAAGAAGTGCTTGGTTCTCGATCTGGACGAGACTTTGGTCCACAGCAGCTTTAAGGTATGTGTGATACATAGAGCGTTTGCTTCTGTTTACTAATGCGGCACCAGATTCTGCATCAAGCCGACTTCACCATCCCTGTTGAGATCGAAGGACAATACCACAACGTCTATGTCATCAAGCGACCTGGCGTCGACCAGTTCATGAAGAGAGTGGGCGAGCTCTACGAGGTCGTTGTGTTCACTGCGTCTGTATCAAAGGTAAGCTTGGTCTAAAATCTTGCTAATACATAATGTGTGCTGACCATTACAGTACGGTGACCCACTTCTCGACCAGCTTGACATCCACGGTGTTGTCCATCACCGACTATTCCGCGAAAGTTGCTACAACCATCAGGGCAACTATGTCAAAGTATGTTTACTTATATCATCTTACGTCTCAATCCCTAACACATTGTAGGACCTTTCACAGATCGGTCGCGATCTCAAGGACACCATCATCATCGACAACTCGCCCACGTCGTACATCTTCCACCCGCAACACGCCGTTCCTATCAGCAGCTGGTTCTCTGACGCACACGACAACGAGCTTCTCGACCTGATACCCGTGCTTGAGGATCTGGCTGGCCAGCAGGTCAGCGATGTCAGTCTGGTGCTTGATGTTGCTTTGTAAGCATGAATTGAGACGACAGTGATGAGAGAACACCCTTGCGCATGCCCTTTCACCGCGCCGACATAATCACTTTTCTTCAAGTCGAAGCCGTAGGAGCGCTGCTCTTGCAGCTTCGAACCTGTACTTTGTAATCAGTTGTAATCTGCATCAAGAGGCGGTCTGAGAGGGGCAGATATGAGACTAGTGGTTTAGGATCATCTTGCAGCTTCAGACTCTGCGTGTTTGATTTCCACTGCCGCGAGCATGGCTTCGGCGCAATGTGCTTCGATACCCACCCCCGCCAGCACCCGAGCTGCAATGAGTCACATTCCTCTTTTACGCAACAAAACCGGAGGACATTGGCGCAGAATGGCGTCGATTTGGCTGGAGAGGCCACGAAAATAAGCAGTAATATTGGCACATACCCCTTTCTACATATGCGACGCGCCAGACTCTTTGGGGTCGCGTTGCACTTACCATCAATACCATTTCCTTTGTACATTTGTGTGCTTTCTTGTTGGTTTTGCATTGCTGGCTGGAACATGCATGGTTTGTTCATACCCACGACTGGAGCGTGTATTAGTGCTGCTCGTCGTTCGGCTCGGTTCCTTCTTCGCTCATGTATGTCCACGGGTCTGTCTTGACAGTCTGGCAGGAGTGCTAGCCAACTGGTAACTAGATAGTCAATACCACTTCCCATGGTCAGACCACGATCTAGAATCCCTCAAGAAGCTCTAGATGTAGACCGTGCCGTCCAATGTCTTTCCTATCAGTAGTGTCACATGCACACATGACGTTGACAGACCAACAGAACGCCTGTCTTGGCATTCACATGTCGAATTTACATGACTCGCATGACCACTCACCTTGCGTCCCGACCAAAGCGTCCCAAATACACTCCGCATTACGTCTTCGCCACGCTGGAAGGGTCCAACGTAAGAAGCTTGTCCAGCCTCTACCAGCAGCGCTGCGCCCTGTGTCTTTGCTTCGTCCACATAGCCTCGCTGTGACGATCCTTCATTCTCGCTAAAGGCTCATTCCGCTCGCGATTGTTGCAAGTTGGCTTCGCCTTAGATGGCTCGGTGACACTACGCCCACACCTGAATCTTTCTTTGCTCGACATAACTCGTCATGGAGAGATATAGTCAGTTCCGCGACAAAGGTGCGTTTAATGATACTCCTCCGCGATTCTTGGAGAGTTCAATGTGTTCTTACGTCCCCTTCCCACGACGCCTTGTCTAATTCTGCCCTTCGCCGTCGATTCCGACGTACAAACGTGTGATATGTTTCCCACAAAAAAAGTAACTATTTAGCTAACAGTAGACCTACAGGCACGGCGATAGCGCCATTCCTTCCCGTTCCTACCCCGCCAGTCGGCATCATCTGGTCACCAATATACCTCTTCCTCTTCTGCGTGCGCGCACCCTTTGTCGTGGCTTTCTCACTGTTATACTTCGTAATATTGGAATGGCTTCCTATTGGGAGGAGGCTGAAGTATGCGGTGCTATGGCTGATGCTAGGCATCCCTGGTGTGTGGTGGGTGGATTTGCAGGTTGATGGTGTTAAGAGAGGGTACGTCAAAACGTCGATTGCAGCTGAATCGTGGTGGAAGTCAGATAGAAGTCATGCCTGGAGGTCGAATACCCTGAGTCGCTGCTAACTCATCAGACAGACAACTACACTCTGCGAAAAACAACCTCCCCAAACCTGGCACGATCATCGCGTCCTCCTTCACATCACCCCTCGATCCGCTCTACCTCGCCGGTATCTTCCAACCGATTTTCACTCGCTCATATTCAGACCACCGAAAAGTCGAACGCATAACGCTTCTGGGCGCCATCCTTCACGCATTCTCCCCGCCCGTCCTTTCTCCACCCGACTCCTCCAAACTCGTCTCACTCAAACAGCTCACCGACGAGAACCCGAACAGAATAATTTGCATATTTCCCGAGACTACTACAACAAACGGCAGAGGTATCCTCCCGCTATGCCCCAGTCTGCTGAGTGCAGATGGCAAGACGAAGATCTACCCTGTTAATCTTCGGTACACGCCCCAAGATGTCACAACTCCCGTTCCCGGTGGATATGCATCGTGGTTCTGGGGCCTACTCAGCAAGCCGTCACATCAAATGCGAGTACGCATCGCTTCGCGTGTATACAACAGTAGCAGCCAGGACCAGCCCTCTCGTCCTACATCGAGTTCGAAGCAAACACCGATCAAGGCATCAGGCTACGATGCAAATATCTTCGATCAACCTGACTTTAGAAACGGAGTCAGTGGCAAGCACGGGGAGGCTGGTGATGGCATGGATGTTGATGTTGGCGGCGCTGTGAACGACATTGATGGTTTTGTTAGCGAAGATGAACAGAAGGTCCTCGAAAGGGTCGCGGAGGACTTGGCGAGGTTGGGCAGAGTCAAGAGGGTGGGGTTAGGCGTTGAGGATAAGGTTGAATTTTTGAAAGTTTGGGGCAGGAGGAAACGATAGATGAGGGAGGAGGTAGTGGATCACGGAAAGGACAGGTCGGATGGGTGGTTGAGACAGGAAGATCGCTGAGTAAGAAGTTTCAGAGCTGATAGCACTAAGTCAGCTATCGCTAGTATGCAATATCAATATGATATCACTATGAACTTTCAAAATGACCACATCTAGCTTCCTCTGTCTTCTCTTACGTTCTTCGTTCCGACTTCCTGTTTCTGGGTACGAAGGTGCTTCGTCCTGGCGCATGGAGATGTCTATTGCAAGTCCAATCGAAGAGACTACGAGATGGGTTATCGATCTATGTTCGATAAGGCTTCGTACATCGAGGTTGGCATACACGAAACCATGCATGGAGTCGAGATGGCACGGCGTTGCTCGCGATATGCCAGCTAACCGAAGTTAGCATGTGGCTACAGGGATGGCGGTTTCCTCTGTTTACCGTCCGAGCGCAGGCCCAAACAATCGATATCCGACCTCCGCAACAGCAACGTCAACGACAACGACGACGCGCTTGTGCTTTCGGCCGCGCCAGGGTATGCTTTACTGATATCCTTTGTCCGCTAGACGTAGGTAGACAAGATTCGATTATGGACGCTGCCAACGAAAACACTGTACGTATGCCCCCATCCCTTGCCCGGCGCAAGTCTGACTTCGCGACCATTGCATAGGGTACCACGAAGCGCTCAGGCATTAAACCACCCTCGACCTTTTCCAACATCACCTCATCGCCGACTCGCGCCCTCGGCGAATTGCACGAAGCCGGTGCCAACGCGCGAAGTGGAATGCCGATACCTACAGCGAAACACAAGCCCTCCGGCTGTACACTGCCCCTCTCCATACCAGTAGCACCGGACAGGTCGCTAACTACACCAGTACCGGAGCCTGCTTTCAAGCAACGGAAGACTCTTGCAGAGCAGGCTGGCGAGCCCATTTCTCGACTAAAGCCCCCGCCGTCTAAGATATCGAGTGGGATCAAAAGCATTGTACCGCGTGGACTCGCCGCGTCCACATCGCGTGCCACTACGAAACCGACAGTGAGACATCCTGCAGCCTCTACTCTCAGTGGCAGTGTGGGCGGAGCGCCTAAGGCTTCCGGGACTGTGAGACCCAAGTCGGCCTATGGCCATGGAAGCCATGCTAGGAGCAAGTCCTATCAGCAAGGGCCGCGCCCTGCGACAGCAATGCTAAACCGAGATGACGATGACGACAGTGAGCAAGCAGAGCGCAAAGGTGTGCAACCATTTCTTATCTCTACAAACCCCTCCACCAGTGCAAGAGTGCCTGGTGGGATGCCTTCTTATCTGAAGAAGCGCACAATCTCCCTCAATATATCCCAACACAGGATCGCTGGTACCTCAGGTCCACGAGCGGTTTCTTCTCCTTCCCACTTCCGCTCCGTCACTCCGGTCATCGAAGAGCCTGCCGATACAGACTGCGACGACATCTGCACAGCGGTTGGCGCACTCACATTGGGCGCGGCCAAGGCAGACGTGCGTGACAGTCAAATTGGACGTGGTATGACTTCTGACTACGGGACAAACCCTTTTCTCAAGCCAAAGATACCTCCATCTCAACTTCCCCAGCGTACGCCGACAATGGCTCGGCAGCAACAAGTAGACCCGTCGCCGCTCCGGCCTCCATCTAATACACCGCGGAAATCAGCACAAAAGCCCTTTCTGAATCGCTTCACTAACGATCGATGTCCAGATTTCTACAATGAACGCATGGAGGCTATGGAACGAGACTTCCGCATGTTCAAGGAGAAGATGGAGACAGATGTGCGACAGGCTACTGACTACAAGGAATCGATTCAGCAGCTTCAAAGTCGCGGTAGGTCAAGGATAACGCTCTTCCATCTCGGCCCGTGGACGTCATTATGCTAATATTGTTCCCAACAGTCACGGAACTCGAAACTATTCGCGCCCGTCTGGAAATCGTAAACAAGGGCCTAGAGTCGGAGCTCGACGATACACGAAGCTGCCTCAAGTCAGTAAAGATGGAACTCGAGATGATGCAGCAGAAACACACATACGAAGTTGAAGATGTGCGGCGGAGACTACGCATTGAGGTCGAGGATCTGGAGTCGCGGCATCGGAAAGACACAGACCGAATGGAGAGAGAACGAGATGAGGTCGAGAGGAAGACACGCCTCGAGCTCGAAGGACGAATCGACAAACTGCTGAAAGAACACGACGAAGAACTTGCCGGCTTGCGGAAGAAACTGGACGCCGACACGGAAACAGAGCGAAGCAGGCGCGTACAAGAAGCACAAAAGATCGAGGAGGAGTATGGTTCAAAGCTTAGAGCAGCTGCGATGGAAGCAGACGCAAAACACCGTGAGGCTCAATTGGTCCAGGGCGAACTCACCAATGTCAAGTCCGAGCTTGACCGAGAGAGGATGCTCAAGAGTAGCCTTCAAGTTCAACTCACAGAAGCAACAAGCAACAACCTTACATTGGACGCAGCGAACAAGGCGATGAAGGAGAAGATCGACTTCCTCGAGTCCGACAGCCAGGCCCAGTCGCAAGCTTTCAATGACCTTCACAAACGAATGCAAGATGCGATTGAAGCTGCTGAAAGAGCGCAAGACAAGCTTCGTCAAGAGGAAACACTACGCCGAAAACTTTTCAACCAGGTGCAGGAACTCAAGGGCAACATCAGAGTTATGTGTCGTGTGCGACCCGCTCATGAAACCGAACGCAATCCGGCGCAAATCTCGTTCCCGGACAATGATACCGACAGCAAAGAAGTGGCAGTGCTTGGCCCAAGCAAGCAAAGCGCAACTGGCAAGGACATTACATCCGCCTATGCGTACTCATTTGACCGTGTATTTGGCCCAGCGTCACAGAACAGCGAAGTTTTCGAGGAGATCAGTCAGCTTGTACAAAGCGCTCTTGATGGATACAATGTCTGCATCTTCTGCTATGGTCAAACAGGAGCTGGAAAAACACATACCATGTCGTCAGCTGACGGTATGATCCCCCGTGCCACAGCCCAGATCTGGGATGAAGCGCAGCGATTGCAAGAGAAGGGTTGGAAATACGAGATGGAAGGCTCTTTCCTCGAAGTTTACAACGAGACGTACAATGATCTGCTCGGCCGCTCAGAGGATCTAGACAAGAAGAAGGTCGAGGTGCGACATGACGCGGCGAAAAAGCAAACGAACCTTGACGGTGCAGTCAGTGTGAAGCTCGACGGGCCAGGTCGCGTGGAGGAAATCTTAGCGACCGCCGACAAGAATAGGACTGTCGCTGCCACCAAGGCCAACATGCGTTCCAGTCGAAGTCACTCTGTCTTCATTCTGAAGCTTGTCGGTATCAATGAGATTACTGGTGAAAGGAGCGAAGGCACGCTCAATTTGGTCGATCTTGCTGGCTCAGAGCGACTTGAACACTCTAAAGCTGAAGGTGCACGCCTCAAGGAGACACAAAACATCAACAAGAGTTTGAGCTGTCTGGGAGATGTCATCAACGCTCTTGGATCGGCAAAGGAAGGCACACATGTGCCATACAGAAACTCGAAGGTATGTTACACAGTTTCGATCTGGAGTAACTCTTGTACTAACATTTTCATAGCTCACATACCTCCTCCAATACTCGTTGGGTGGCAATTCAAAAACGCTCATGTTCGTCATGGTCAGCCCGCTACAAGCACATCTTCAAGAGACAATTACGAGTCTCAAATTTGCAACTAAGGTTTACAACACGCACATCGGAACGGCGAAGAAGCAGACCAAGACGTCGTAGACTTGGTTGTCAAGACGTAGATTGACTTTGGGTCCTGCGACACTTGTGTGCTACAGGATGGGCGTTCGGTTGTTCTGGATAGGACGAGGTGTTTGCGTATATATCCTCTTGTATGCACGAGCAGTGGCCTTTGAAGTGTTCGAGGTCAGTATTGATTTGCTTGGTGTATATAGCCATGGTTTGGAGTCCAGGATTTATCTGAACAGGGCAAAGTCGTGTGGCGCACAGTCAACATGCCGGCGTTCAGGATTTTCTTTTGGTAGCAATGTGAAGAACGATGAACGAAGCATATTCATTCTTGATCTTACTTCTAGTGATATAATGAGAGGAGAAGAGACAGCAAAACTAGGTGGTGTTGCCATGACATGAAAGTTCGTTAGATGGCTTAACATCCATCTCTTAGCGCTCCTCTCATCTCTTTGAATTCAGAACCCCCCCATACCTGCACACTTATTTCCAAAATCGACACCGGAATGTCGCACAACTTCAGTGTGTGCAGTGTCCGGCGTTCGACTTGGACGCCTAACTCCTAACAAATGGGATGCATATGCCTCCATGAGATCATGGTATCTCTCTCTTTTTCTACTCGAAGATTTTGCTGAACTTACCATCGCATATAGAGCCTACAGACCGCGCAGGGTATCCCATGGCTCTCCAGATTGTGCGCTTACCAAGTAGGCATTTGTCTCACAAGGTGTTCGTTCTGAGATTCCGTAGCTTCGAAATCAAACCTCAGCTGTTTCATGTGGAGAGCAAAGCTTGGAAGAAACCACGAAATGAGGTTAGTGAAAGCATGATGATGATGATGAACACCACCGTTGGAAAAAAGCGGCGATTAGAACAGCAGATGCTGTGGGGTATCAATATCGTGTTATCGTTGCTACATAGCCTCATACCACATTGCTGTCAACAATCACTCACAAATCAACGCAAACTCTTCATGTACTCTTGTTAATCTCAGCCCCTTCCGGGCGGCCTCCAGTCGAACAAGTCGCCGGCCTCCGTACTCCATGGTCCAACATCGTTGTCCACTACAGGACTCGGTAATTCAACCTCTACCCCAGCCAGCGGTGATACATTGGTTTCCACCTGCAGGCTTTGCGTCCTCTTGAACTTCCGTCTAGGATCCGTTCGCTTGATCAATGCATCTAACCCACTGCTTTTCTTCTTCTTTGGTTCCCCAGTCACGGCAGTCACGGTCGGTTCGTCCACGAGATCTGTAGCATCGCTTGGGGTTTTTGCTAGGTTGCGCTTCTCCCAATCGTCTGCTGCACTGGGTATCGGTGCATCGTTCTCACTTCTGACACGTCTGAAGTTTCTGCTCGGCGACTTTCCTGCACTGGTGATGTTTGAGCCGTCTTCAATGGGATCCGCGAGAACCTTGGCCAGGTTGTTCGGTTTTTGGAGAAGAGATGCTAGTTCGGTTGTGCTCATCATGGGGCCTTTCTTGTTTGCCCGAAGGGGATGTGGCGGCAGAGCTACGGGCTCATTATGAGGGGGTAAAGCAGAGTCTTCCTCTATCGTGGTGGATGAGGTGGGTTGCTTCTTGGTCCGCTTTGGTGGCCGCTTGGGGATGCCGCCGGTTGAAAGGGGGACTTTGCGAGGCGAAGTTGAAGACGTACGTGATCGTGCTTCTGAGGCTTCGGTATGCACTGGCGACACATCTCTCGATACTGGTATCAGTGGATCGAGCGTGGGTATGGGAGGCGATGGGACTTTGTGTGTTGGCGCGGGCTTTTCTACAATGCTGTTTCGTGACTGCGCTTTCCGGACAGTTTCCTTTGATAGGGGTGATTTTGGTCTCGCAGTCGTGGGCTTAAGTGATGATTCAGTGGATATCTTCTTCATCTTTTTGGTGATGGCCGGTTTAGACTGGGGAACGTTCTCTGGAAGAGAAGAAGATATGATCTGAGGTTGTGGAGGAGACGAGGGTACTAATAGTCGCTGATCCATGAAGCCATGTATGACTTCTGGATCTTCTAGGACACTCAACGATGGCAGTGATGGGGACTTGGAGACCCTCGCTCTTTTTAACGCAACATCGTCACTATCTTCAGCATCTGTCCTTCTTCGCTTGTCTTTGGATATCCGTCTGGACACTTCAGAGACAAGTTCTTGTGGTGGAGGATTACTGTTTTGCGACACTGCAGGCGATGGTTCCTTGCTTATTATGCGTGATGTTGGCCGAACCCTGGCTTTGAAGCTGGTCGCTCTGGCCTCGCCCCCAGCTCTTACTGTCTGTTGGGGCAAAGACTGACAAAGCAACTTTCCGCGCTTTACACCTGTAGACAACCGGAGCGATTTGACTTTGCGATTAGGAGGAGGCGAAGGCTGCGCTGGAGGTGTAGGGTCTTTGGATGGCTCCTTTATCGGTTGGACCGCAAAATCGACGTTCATGAGGCGATTCGAGGCGCTCACTGGGGGCGAGGATGGTGGGGCCCGTTGCTTTGGAGTCTCTAAAGCCTTTGCGCTTGGTATTGGCACCTTACCTTTAGGTATCTTTGGAGTTTGTACGGATGATTGCTGAGATATACTGGGTTGCGGAGCTGGAGTATGAACTACGCCAGATTGTGCCCTCGCCCTACGAAGTTTTGGTGGTGTGCTTGGGAGCGTTACGTCTGATAAATACGCCGAATGAGGGTCGGACTCGGGTTCTATCGTAATGACGGTCGCTGTCGGCGGCACAAACTTAGCAGGTTTTCGGGCATTCTTCGCTTCCGGCTGTCTTGGAGGTATGGCCGAGTCTCTCTTTGCTACAGGGCTTTCTTCTTGAGCCGGGCTGGACTCCCTCCGGTTGGAGATTGGCTGGACCGTCTTCTGCCTCTTCGGCGCGCTTTCCTCAATCTGTTCATTCTCTTTTTCCTTCCGAGCCTCGTACGGGGACTTCATAGGTTGGGCCTTCCCGATTGGCCCTTTCGGCGTTCCAAGCAGGGTATTGAGTGATTTATGGCGCAGTTGGGATGCGCTTCGCTGGGCATTGGCCGGTGCTACCGATGACGGTCTTTGGAACGGTTTCGGTTGGGAAGGAACGGTCGGGCGGGGTGGGGGCTGCTCTTTGGTCTTCTTCTCGAGTAGTTGTGTCAGGTCTGTATGTGTGATGCCCATGGGCTCGGCGACCTCTACCAGCGCGCCGTTGTTCAAAGTGAGTTCATCGCCTTCCTGCATTTGGTTGCTGTCCTTGTGGTATGTATCGCCCAGAAAGTTTCTTGCTTGGTCGTACACCATGACTCGGCTGTTGAACGTGTGGAACTTGAGATATCCATCCTGCCATCGTTTTTGCTTTCGTTTTACGTCTTGTGTGTACAGGCACCGAAATTCGGCGACCGGCGCGCTATTTTGGGAGGCGGTGATGGCTGCGATGGTCGACGCATATTGCGTGCTACGGGGGGCTGTCATGGCGTATCGATTCGGTTGAGACGCGTCGTCTTGTGCGCGGGCGACATGGAGGCGGGGTCGTGCCGGAGGGTGAAGGCCAGAGAGGTGACGGTGACGCGCCTCGGTGGGATAAACCGCGCCTGCTGTTCCGCGCGAGCACGTGGTTTAGCGTCACACACTACGGAAGCGGCTACCCAGCCCTAGGACCCTTGAGCTTTCACCGGAAACATACCAGGGGTATCCGTATCCAGTCTTTTCCACTTCAGTCATGACACGTCTTCGTGCTCGGCAGCCCAATGCTGAGTGGCCTTGCATCACCATGCCGTCTGATCCACGGTCCTTCTCGGTGCCGAGCTGAGGAAACCAAATGCGGGCACCAGGTACAGCCACAATTCGCTTCTTGTTGCTGCGACTTAGCTCTAGCAAACTAAGCTTCTCCGCGACGACTTTTACAATCCACCTTTAGACTAGAAACTGGTCTAAGCGGGCAGCGAGTTGTTGCGACAACTGGTGCGGGGCCATCCATGACCCCTGCTCACCTTCACCTCAATTACCACACGGCTTTGAGCACAGCCACCGCTAGTGGACGCGCGAGCATTACTTACTGCCTGCTGCCCATTACTTGGGTTATTCTGTCCTCTTCTTACTTCAGACCTACCTCGCACACAATTGCTGCCTTCACGTCGCAAGATGCAGCGCATGCAGAGGATTACGGGGCGTTTCCTCACCAGGACGCCCAATGAAGCCGATGTCGAATCCATGTTGAAGGACTTTAACGACTCCAAGACTATGTTGGAAAAGGTACGTCTGATGTGGCTTGTCATCTCACATTGTTCGGTCCTATGAACTAGTGGGGCCATCCCTAATCCCATCAAGTCCTACACCAGCCATCCACGTCAATGGACGCAATGCATCCTATTTATCCAGCACAGCAATCGGCTCTTCACTTGGTTGCCGAGTTTTGGACTAACTCGTCGCCCAGCTCGAAGCGTCAGCAAAGCAATGGCGGGACGCGTGGACCAACATCCTCAACCATCAACTCACTTCGGTCGAGCTACTATACACCATTTTCAAACCACTCGGCGGCGAAGGCTCCAACAGCACCCATGTACATGCCGAAACTCCTTCTGCCGTCCTGGAGCGTGTCCACGCCCTCCATGAAGCCTTTTCGGAACTGAAGACGGATATGATGGAGGAGGTCAAAGACATCGACAGGAAACTGGTCATACCGGCAAAGCTCGCTCGAGATGCATTGAAGCCCATGGAGAAGGCTATCAAGAAGCGGGAAGATGCGAAGGTCAGACAGCCTCCGAGTCGCGCTATCGGATGTACTGACAAAGCAATAATAGGTCGATTATGAGCGCTACAAGAGCCGCTGCGAAGCCCTCCAGGCCAAGAAGACGCGTTCGGAGCGCGAAAACAGCGCTCTCGCCAAACACGAAGTCGATCTCGAGCGCTCTACCCACGCATACCAGCTTGCTGACGAGAATCTACGAGAACGTCTACCACGTCTGAACGCCGCGACCTTCTCAATCCTACCGCACCTCCTAGCGAACCAGATCGTCCTACAGAACAACTTGATTGGGAACTTGTATACTGTACTGCACCAGTACTCTCACGAGCAAGGATACCCCGACCCACCACCTGAGCCGGAAGAAGTCATACCATTATGGGACTCAAACTTCACACCACTGCGCCAGGAGATGGAGACAAGCTTGGGCTTGCTCAAGACCGGCAAGGCAGTCCACATGCCGATGCGACTACCGGACAAGGGAGATACACTGACAGGCCTAGGCATTAGAAATAAGGTCATGCCTGGTAGGAGAGCCAGCAGCAACGACAGTGTGCCTACCATCACCGGAGGCGGACGACCTGCGCGACCATCCCAGACCCTTTCGTCCACTTCCGAAAGCGGTCCACCTATAAGTCTCTCTAGCAAGCCTTCATACAGCTCTCTTAGCGCCTCAAAGCCAAAGATAGGTGGCTCACCCCATCTGAGCGCTGGTCAGGACATGTATGGCCGCCGTGCCTCCTCCACCTCCCAGGCTTCCTCGTACTCAAATGGAACAAATGGTGATTCCTACTTTAACAAAACCCCTGCCTCGAATGGATCGACTCCAAGCGGTTATCCCTCATCGCCTAACCCAGCAGCAGGGAAGAAAAAGCCGCCTCCACCGCCCCCTAAGAAGATTGGATCGTTTCAGTCTGAGTACGTGACGGCCATGTATGATTTCGACAGTCTTACTCCTGGCGACTTAAACTTCAGAGAGGGCGACCGTATTCGCGTGGTGAAGAAGACTGAAAGCTCGCAAGACTGGTGGGAGGGCGAGATACACGGACAAAAGGGCAGCTTTCCCGCCAACTACTGCAAATGAGTTGGGCCGGCTTTGGGCGATGTGCGAGTGTAGGGGACAGAAGAACTTCAATGATATCCAAAACTGCATTAGAAGGTGGTGTTATGGCGTTTCAGCAGTTTTGTTGGTTCCACAAACCAGATGCAGGACGACTAAGGTGGACTCAAGTTAAGGCAGAATGAACAGCTCTTGTGTCTTGATGCAGATTGCGCATGGATTCGTGCTCCAACAGCAATAGGATGCCAGCTTGCAACACTTCCCGATAGTGTAGTTATGGTGTAATGTCAGCCATCTCAGACTGAGAGTCGACGCGAGTGACATGTCAAAGCAGACCGCGTCTCTCCTTATGGTGGTAGTAGTAGTGGTGGTGGTGGTGGCTTGGTACCTGTCCGCAGATATAAATAGTGCGCACGAATCTGCTCACCAATCAAGCTCTCAAGCTGCATCTCCATTGCCATACCAAGACTCAGCCTCGGGAGCAGTCTAGCCCCCGTCTTCAGCCCCCACATTCTAGTGCGTAGCTCCCGCGCGCCATCGAGAAGGCGGAGTTGATGCCTGCCGGTGTCATGATGCGCCTGCCTCGTGCGCGGTGTGCCTGCATATGTGAGCCTCGTGCTACAGCCGCAGCAGGCTTGCCGGCGTCAAGCATCATATAGAGCCCTGCGCTGCATTTCATCCCTCATGAGACTATCTGAACAATCGCTGATGTGCAGTATGAACGAGAAGACGACTGAACAGACTGTACGTACTGCATGATGACGTTGGAACAGTCTGGACGAAAGCTTACAGGTAACAGAGCAGCGCATTGAGACCACCCTTCTCCTCTCGTCCGATTCCACCTCCCTCCACGGCTGCAAACTCCAGCAACCCCACAGCACGTGAACTCGTGCATCAAAATGGTCATATCGACCCCAACCAGGGTCACGCTTTGGCGAGCGGGCAGCCTGTGCTGGACTCAGTCACAACCATACCGCTAACGCCGGAAGACTCTCTTCCCACCATAAGCGGCAGGAACAACGAGGCATACCTCGCCAACGATGACCCTCGCCAGTTCCTGAAACAGGATCTCGACCTCTCGCGCCTCAATCGCATACATGGACACCTATGGATGGCAGGCCGGCCGATGCGCGCTAGACCGTTGCACAGATACAGGATGCTGGGCATGGAAGTGCTAGGCACACAACAGATGGACCTACATTTGTTGAAATATTCAAACAAACTGCTAGTCAAGCCGCTGTCAGAGTGGATGCTCAGCTATGACTTTTGGAGAGAGCACATCTGCCAACCAGGCGATGCTGATTTTAACAACAATGTCAAGAGAGAAGAAGGCTGGCTGTGGAAGAGTGCCGCAGGGTTTCTGGTGAGCTATGTATGGCTCATCACTACACCACTCGACTTGAAGATTGCACACGAATGCACGCTCCTACCAAGTTTCATAACTTGGCACTGGTGGAAAGACTTTGTGAGGGATTTCATGCACCATGTGGATATCAACACGCTACATCAGGTGAATAAGCGGTATCAGTTCGGCGATCTGAGGTTAGGAAGAATCAACAGCACCTATCGGATACGGTATGCACATACGCACTTTGTTAGAGGATATCTGTAAGTACATCCTTGCCGATGGGAACAAGTTGCCATAGAGGCTTTGATAGGGTATATTGGCTAACAATTTCGCATAGCTACGGATACAATCGCTACGTGATCTTCTTCCAGCGAAACTTCTCTTGGATCCTTATCGTATTCGTCTTCTTCAGTCTCGTCCTTTCCGCTATGCAAGTCGGTTCAGGCCTCAAAGAACTCGAAGATAACTATGCATTCCTTCGCGCCAGTTACGTTTTCGTTGTGTTTAGCATGGTACGTATCAAATCATCGATGATACACAAGAGAAAGTAGCTGACCCTCTATGCAGATTTCCGTAGTTGCTGTGCTTGCATTTGTGACTATCGTCTTTATCGGCATCTTTCTCTTCAACATGGTAAAAGCGATTGCGCACGCGGCAAGTGAACCAAAGAAGAGGACAAAAGCAGCCGAGCAGAAGCAAGAGGCGGGTAAGAATGTATGATAAGCGTTTTCGTGCACTATGCATCGATGCTGGCGTTTTGTTCCTTGATACCCAATGTCTTTTAGATCTAAACTCTAACTTATGTAAACACTGACTAGCTATCCTCATCCTGCCTGTTTTCCTTGCCTCTTTCTAAAGCCGCAGGCTTCACGTCTTGCCCTCGCTTAGAAAGCCACGACATCACAGCATAATATCCCAAACCTAACCCCGCGGCCACCACCGACCCAGCCGATGGAGCAATCATAGCCACCCTCATAGTCCTGCTGAACCCCCTCTTCTCCGCGTCGTTTGCGATCACAAGTGCTGACCAAAGCCCCGCACAACTATTACACAAAGCTGGCATCAAGATCCTTTTCATCATCCATTTGTAGTTCCTCTGGTATTTCCACCATAGACACAAACAACCTAATACGCCTGTGCTGCAGGCCAAGGCAGAGAGATAGAGTAAAGGAGGAAGTTGTACGATTTCGGGTTCTGTATCAACATAATGTCCTGGGCAATCCGAATATTCTGGATATTCTATGCATCCTGTGTATTCGTCTTTTGCCCTGGGTTGCGGGAAGGCTGCTGGGAGGATGATGTAGCCTGCGAAGAGGGTCGAGACGAATACTAGCGCAAGGAAGCTGTGGGTAGAAGGAACTGATTCGGAATGGTCAGGCATATTTGTGTAGCGGGGTCGTTCTGTTGTGGTATGCGCGTTGGGTTCTCTCGTGGGAGGTTGGCGTTAGTGTTACGTCATCGCTCCGGCGCGCTATGATGGCGCGCGCTGCGTGATCTCTACTGAACCGTCTCGATCCTCATTGCATCAACGGCCGATCGTCTTCCCGTCTGATATCTGTCTCAACACTCACGGAAGATAAGTGGTAGCGAACACAATCGCTGAAGAAAGCCTGCAGAAACTGAGGCTGCTTTGAAGAAGAGGTGAGCGTAGCCGCGAAAGCGCGACTTGATCGCGACGCGAGGTAAGTTTCACACTATCCAGCCATTCCATAATAAATTAAAAGAAGCAAAAGAAGCAGCCCCGTTCGGATTCAGATATTCTACAGAACGCTGTAGCAACGAAGAAGAAGAATCTCAAGCATAACGTAATGGCCGTCGAGAAACCCAGTGCAACGTCCTCGCATGCAGGCCGTATTATTTCTCTTGCGGCACAACATGATACTAGCTCCCATGAACTGCGAATTTACATTGTATAGGCAGGTAGGTAAACGCCCTGTTGGGCTGCGCCGCGATCCTTCGCCTCGGCCTTCCCTTTACCGTTCAACAAAGATCCTTGCGTTAACATATACACCCATGTCGTTCTGTACCAACTCTGTGACTGCAGGTCCCGGCATGCAGACAAACTGATTATTTCCGCGCAAATTGCCAAGCGAGCAGTAAGGTGTGGTACGATTACAGCAACCAGGTACAGTCGCTATGTAGATGGCGAGACGGACCCGATACATGTCCGTCTCACGAGCTTGTATAGACCCAAGCGATGCTCTCGATTCTTAGAAACCACAAGACTAACTTTGTCTGATTTCCTCTCTCGATTCCTGTTGTTATTGATTACTTCATGGTATATTTGTTTGTTCTCCTCAATCATGGCGAACGGCGTTGCTCCAGAGTCTGTAATTGTATGTCCCAAGTACTTTACTCTACTTTTTTCCGTCTACTAATGCACCTGAAAAGCCCATCGAGGGTACTCTTCTGGCTCTCGCGATGCTTGTGGCGTCTGGTCGGCTGGTTCCCCGCTTTCTGCAACGACAATATCCCACTGTCAGCGATAGCCTTCTCATAGCATCTATCCTAGATGCCATCGGGCTCTTCGTCACCGACTATCTGACATACATATGGGGAGGCATGTCGGACGATGTACCAGAGCCATCGACAGCTCGTGTGATTGCGCTTAAGAAGGTAAACCGGCAGCTTGGTAGCATGGATCAGACGGAACAATTGACACTTATAGGTACAATTCGCCGGAAATGCATTCTACGACACCGGTATCTACTGGCCAAAGCTGGCCATCCTCGCGCTGTACTTCAGACTCATTCCGCCAACGATGCCGTGGTTGCGAAAAGCACTCTATGCGGTAACCTTGTTTACCGGTACTGCCATGATATCGACGTTCTTTCTTGACACTTTCTGGTGCGGGCGCCAGGTCTCTCAGAATTGGTCTCCTGATGAAGGAGCATGCAACACCTTCAGTTCAAAAGAAGTTTTTCGGATCGATTGGAGCCTCAATGTCACATCAGATCTGTTCAGTACGCCGCAGCATACCATTCACGAAGCACTTTGAACACTAACTTCGGAATGATAGTTTTTGCTTTGCCATTTCCGCTTCTTCGCTCACTGCAGCTTCGCCGCCGCCAGATCTGGGGCCTTGTTGCAACGTTCTCACTCGGTGCCGTTACCATAGCCATGAGTATGGTCCGCTTTGCAACGATAGAGGTCATATATGCTTGGACCAACGTCTGTAGGTTGATGCAATCTATCACATTACGACCCAAAATGACGTTTGTCTAGATGTCCTTTCCATGGCTGAGATGGCTGTCGCGATCATGGTGGTTTCGTTACCGTCGATGAGATCCTTCCTGCGACGTGGCACCCTATTTTCCTCCAACAAGAAGTCGCGTTCTTCCGAGTCTCGTACCTATGGACACCAAACACCAGCATCAGGTTCGCACAACTTCTTGCGACCTTCCAGAAGAGGCAAGCACAGCGTTCGTGTACACACCGATGAAGACTCAGGCAGCGAAGTGGAGCTTAATACCATGGCAAGGAAGGATGTGATCTACGAGACTCATCGCGTTAGTGTACAGTTCTCGAAATCGCAGGACGAAGAGCACGACAGCTCTGCAAAGTACCCGTGAGAACGGTTCAGGGGGTTGGGTGTTTGCAGTAGAGCTGTAGTTAGAACCATCCAAGGCAACAAGATTTAAGGGATCGGGCTAGGTCCATTTGTACAAGTTTTAGCAGCCGGACCATCTCAACATTAGACATATGGATGGATCCTGTGCCGTCGAGCAGGCCGCTTGCATCGAGCCGGAAGGATCGCACCTCATTCCGCTGACAGCGGTCCGCACAAGCCACCGAGCGCCACGTCTGATGGAAGACTCCTCCAACCGAGCTGCAACTGTATATCACTCCGTGAACCCAAGAGTCCTCACGCACCTCAGAAAATACTTGTTACCTGTGCCGCAATCCTGCCGTTACTCTGTGGGTCGGCATTGGCCGACGGCTTCGCCTGTGGGAGGCCTCGTTTGGCAAATTTCACCCACCGGTTCGCCTAACCGAACAGGGGATGACACCTTCAATGCTTGATCTTGCTTGTTGCTAACAGCCAAAAGCTGCGCGAAAGCAACAACGACGTAGGATTTGCATATACTTGATCGACGTGGAACAATCTACTACGCCAAATGGAACATGAATGATATGAAACCGGATGCGATCCGCCTAAAAAGCCCTTCCCGCTATCGACCAAACCCACCAAGACGGTACAGCCGTCGAGGCACAAGGGTTGTAGTTGGGATCAGTCCATCTAACACGGCTCCTGAAGCGCCTCGATTACAGGCAGTTTTCCGCGCGCATGCATGCAGGGCGAACGAGCCAATATGCATCTTGACAGTCCAGGACTGATGTCCGGTAACAGTTTCGCATGATAGGCGGCACAACTGTACGCCCAGAGATGTCTCCAGTAGCTATGGCATGATGTATGTTCGGCAAAATATAGTACCCTGCATGGAATGGAATGTGGTTCATATACATACGCCTTGCAATTCTCTAATCAAGCGAGCGAACCACTCTTCGTTGGCTTTATCCTTTGTTTCGCAAGTGTTCTGTCACACTACAGCAGCGAAGATGGCACACTACATTGACGGAAAAGACTGCATGGTAAGCCGATGTCATAGGAAACACTACTACATGATTTACTGGAAGATCACAATGCTGACAAGTCGTAATGTAACAGATCTCGGAATGGATCCTCCTGATTTTCGCATACCTATTTGTTGCTGCGCGCATGTACACGCGTTTGTTTCGTCTCCATTCGAAGTTGGACGCGTCGGACTACCTATTGATTGCATCTGCGCTGGTTGCTTTGGGACTGATCATCTGCGATACGCTCACATACAAGATGGGCGTTTTGGACAATTATGAGACGTCAGAGAAGCTTTCAAAGGTAGTTCGACATTAGTTTTATCGTACTTCATACTCGGCTAACCCGCTCCGCAGATCTCTTTCGCCTCGAATTACTTCTACGATGTCGGTATGGGTTTCCCGAAACTCAGCATGCTAGCCTTCTACTGGGCGTTCTTCAACCTGTCCGGTCACCCGGGACTGCGCAAGATGCTCTTTGGTATCACGGCCTTTGTCATCGCGAGTTACCTCACTATCCTCTTCGACGACACCTTCTTCTGCGGCACACCTGTATCTGTGCAATGGTCTCAAGAAGAAGGCGCATGTTCTGTCTTCTATGCGCCAGAGCCGTTCATTCTGAACTTCACTTTGAACCTGGCTTGCTATCTTGTGGTTTACGCTGTTCCTGTGGTGCTTTTGGCGAAGGGTATACTCAGGTCGTCGACCGGTGTGGGCCTTACTTTCGCGTTGGGAGCGCTTACTATTGCCTCTGGTATCGTGCGCTTCGTCTGCCTCAAGGTTGGGACAGGACAGGAAAACCTTGTTTGTAAGTCCACCACTTTAGCATCACGCCTCGTGTACGCTACATTCAAGCTAACGTGTTCACTCATAGATCCTTTGAGTATGGTAGAGATGACTCTCTCAATCATCGTCGTTGCGCTCCCGGGACTGAAGCCGCTTGTCAGACAAACAAAAGTATAGAAACCAGATAATCAGTAGTTGGTGTTGGAATAGTACGTATATGATCAAGACGGGTAGAGCTGAACATAAAATGCTATATGACTTGTATATTCAATCATAATGAAGATTCAGATGTGTCAAATGGTTGTCCCAGCTGCAAAGTGCATCACATCTTGATTGTCTGGGTAAGGCTGTTGTTTAAGCTCTTGTTAGCGGGTCGAGTGTAAGACACCCTCCAGCTAGCGCGGTGAGGTTTGCAGCCTCGCGATGCGTGCGGCAGACGTTTAGTTGGTCCTCGTGCCACGCGCAATCCCAAAGAAGAGGACTCCGCCTTGCCAGGGTCACCCACGACATAGCGAGCATTACAATTCCACTACCTGATCTTTAGGATCTCGTAAATCAGGGCTGTGGCAAACACAATCCAGTCGCGGAGGTCTACGAAGTGATTAGTTCCAGTGGTGAATTTTCAGACGAGAATTTTCGCGGTTTAGCCCGCACTTCGATATCGATATGTCGCCAGAACAAACTGGCAGATGCGTTGTTTGCTCTGGACTTAGGAAGAAGACTTTGATTCTGGTCGGGGGGTGTATGCGGGCTGGCAATATCTTCACGGTGTTATACACAAGGGAAACGCTATTCGTGTTACGGCTGAAAGGCGATGAGTGTCTTTTCCTAGGTCAAGCCATGTCGACGGCATTATGCACGGTGGGCTTGTGAAGGATCCCGAACAAGGAAAACGATAAGAGCAGCAATCCGGTCTTATGCAAACGAGCGGCGATAGCCTCTTCTTCACGTGCGGGCGCTAGCTCTTCAATGGAAGCTTCGCCCCCGCGTCTCTCCACACTCCAATCTCCACTATTCGGAAGCACGAAACCTACAACAAAGCAGCGCGTGCGGTGGGCGATTTCTCGGCGAAGTATACGCCGATCATCATTGCAGCACTCTTCCACGGTGTTCTTTTAATCTATCGCGTTCTTGTCGCGTCGCTAACAACCCTGGCCCTTAATATGGAAAGCGGAACATCAACGCGGAGACGTCATGGGATCTCGCGCGGAATGAAAAGGACAGAACGCAAGAAACTGAATCATGGATATATAATTTGGGATGGTAACGCAGTACGACGTGGCATTTGCATACAGTCAAAACGCTGAAACTTCCACTACCACATAATCTGATCGCCCGGCATCGCTTCACCTCGACGCACAGGAACCCGATCGATTGCAATATGAGATTCCTCTCCCTGCTATCACCAGCCCTCCTGGCAGCGACTGTGTATGCCGCCGAAGACGCCTCATCCTCATCCTCCACACCTCCAGCCGCAGCCTCTCCAGCGGCTGACGAGCCAACTCCTGTAGGCGCACTCTGGACCGCACAATGGGACAGCAACACCCTGAAACCTTATACCCAACACTGCCGCAACAAAAACACCTACAATGCCAAGATCTACAAGCTCAATGAGCTATATCCTGATCTAAAAGAGCAAGCACCCCAACTCAAAGTCTTTTACAACAAGCAACTTTACGCCGGCTCCTGGGCGGGCATCGACGTCCACGGTACCGGGCGTGAACTCATCAAGATGAATATGGCAGACATGCCGTACAAAGTACGAGAGTGGCTCAAGCGCGAGTCGCTACAACGACACTACAGCGTCCAGGACGATATGGTTTTCTTTGCACCAGGAGCGATTTACCCGATACTGCCTTTGTGGGTTGACGATGCTGACGAGGGTGGAGAGGAGTGTGAAGGTGTTTTTGATGGTTTGGAGAACTACTCGAACGAACCGAAGGACGGAGCTGTGATTGGGAAGATCAGTCATACGAACACGGGGGATAAGGAAGTGAAGTTCACAGTCGAGGCGTTGAAGGTGAAGGCTAAAGACGGAAGAGATGAGCTGTGAAACATTACTTGACGTTCACTTTCTATACTCCTACTACTCTCAAGAATCTATGTTACTATATCATTTACAATTTTCATGCTTTGTTACCATCGCATCACTATCGAGCATCATTAAATTACTTTTTCGATACCAAATACCATATGTGCCACTCGATTTCTCAAGTCGCTGCAAGCTAATTTCTTTTACCTGACTGTCTCAAACACCAGTTCTTAGGTCTTGCTTAGCGAAGCCTTAGTTCTTTAGGTCAAACTCGCGCTTAGACCTAGTCTCGGCCTTAGACTTCTTTCCGCTTTTGTCCTTCTTGCTCTTGCCTTTCTTGACCGATGCTTCATGGTAGTGGAAGTCGATGGGCGTATCCATGTTGCCGAAGTGAAACTGGAATTGTGGCTGAAGTATATGAGGATGTTGCAGCCAGAACAATGTCGGGTGGAGGCTGAGCTGGCAATTGGTTCTGGTACAAACAGAGCAAAAAGCAGCACAACAGCGGTCCATCATGTGCACCGATCTCCGCTCTACCACTAGTGAGCAATCAATGGAAATTGACAAGCCTCTGTATCTGATCTGCAGCTAGTGACCCCATGAAATTAGTATTCTCAGTTTTTCACCCCTGTGTGTAAGTACATAGAGTTTCATGTTCTCATACATGTTAGGACATACGAATAAATTGTTACTGACGACAGCGCTCTCGTCCCGGATCGGACGAAAATAGCATCTAACATATGCTTCAATGATTACCAAAGCTCTCACTCGATGCGTTCATCTGCAGAAGGTTTCCGATCAACATAATCCCCATGAGCATATGCGTCAATAGTATGCTTCGCAAAGCTTCTCGCCGGAATGCCTTCAGCAAACATGATATCCAGTTCCTCATAAGTCCGTCCCTTTGTCTCCGGGAGCCGGAAAAAAGTCCAGATGAAGAAGATAGATGCACCTCCTCCCCAGAAGAAACCAGTCTTGCCCTTCCAATCTCCCGCAGTAGGGTTTAACATGTACGGGTTGATGACGTTGGTCACAATCTGGGCGATGTAGTATGTGATGCGAGCCAGACACACACTCTTGCTCCGAAGACGTGTCGATGAGACTTCTCCAACGATGGCATAGCAGATCGGACCTACGGTCATGTAGTACCAGAAAAGCCAGATGAGCATCATGGCAGCTTGAGCATAGTTTCCGCCAGAGGAGTCACCAGCGCCCACGCTAATGAAACCGACGATGAATAAGATGGTCGCTAAACCACCAAGTCCCCACAGATAGAGCTTTCGACGACCAACATAGCTCATGAGGATCCAGGATATGAGAGTGCCAACGGATGCCATGCCGAGACCACCAACCGACATCTTGAATGAGATCGAGTTTGGGACGCCGGCTTGGACGAAGAAGTAGGTCTGATTGTCGTTGTTTGGCGTCAGTATCTGTCTCACATGGAATTCACACAGTAATACTTACTGGCGTGCCTCCCATTACCGAACCGCAGATAGGCTGTGCTGCGAAGACCATGCACGCGATCTCAGTACGACGGCGATCGATGCCCTTGAAGCATTGAATATATGACGTATTCTCCTCGAGGGACTTCTCCAGTTCATTCGTGCGGACCATCATGGCTACCTTTTGCTTAGTGAGGTGTCGTTGCGAAGAGGAAGAAAGCCGCGCGATCATCTTCTCAGCCATTTCGAGGTTTCCTGTACGAACGTGGTACCACGGCGACTCAGGTGCCATCCAGAGAATTGCAAAAAGAGGCATGGGCCATGCCCATTGAATGGCAAAGGGTATACGGTACGCCCACTGCGTGGTATTACCAGAGAACGCTGACTGCACACCAGCAGAGATGAGCTGACCAAAAGCCCAGCAGAGATTGACGTATACTGTGAGGTAGCCTCGCAAAGCTAGAGGGCAGACCTCGCTGGCGTAGGCAGGTGCCATGGTAGCAAAAACACCCCAGGGTATGCCGCAAAGGAACTGGCCAACGAGGAGGACGGGGGCGTTGGGCGCGAAGAAAGATATGAAGATCAAAGCACATATGGCTGCGAGCGATACCAGCAAGACCGGACGATAACCGAACCGATGGATAGAGTAGCCATTGGCGAAGGCTCCGATGATCGTGCCTACACTAACAGCATTGCTGAGTCCATTCTGCCACGATGCCGTTATCTCATACGTTCCAGTACGATCATTGAACTCCCCATACTTGCGCGAGAACGATGGCTGTGCAAAGAAAGAACTCATCAAGACGATGTCGTATCCTTCCATGATGATGCAGGTGGATAACAACACCGACCAGAGCACAGCTTTAGGATATTTCCGCATGGCCTGGACTAATGTCATCTCGTGCTCTTCGTCCGCAGCCGCTCTGGCCTGGTCGAAGACCTCGTGCTGTTCCATGGTTGCAGCCTTTTCGTCCATGTCTGCCATGATGGATTGGGATCGGTATGTGCTCCAACGATATTGAAGAAGTGGAAAGATCTTGAGGTAGAAAGAACAAAGATGAACGTAGAGAGCTTTATGTTGTAGGTAATATTAGTGGAATCAAAGACATGACTATAGTATACATAGTTGGGCATCTTCTCGAAGCTAACCAATCGATCATGCATGGAACATGGCTGCTACCCCAGGTTTTCTCCACCGGAACACGAATACCCCATGGGGTTTGTGCTGTACTAACTTTAATCCTGGTCCAGCCCAGTTCCGGTGGAGATGATCCTAGGCGCGGCATTTTCCATCAGCACACGTGCGGGGCCCGGACACTCTACCGGTAGCGTAGATCCTTCACTAATCACCCCGACGGAGAAGCACCATGTGTTCCGGAATCTGATATACCGAGGGACCCGAGTTGCGGCTATCGCGAGGCATAAAACGTGATACTACTATCATTGGTGCTCAGCAAAGATTTGCTTGAAATGACAGAGGTGTTGCAGAGATCATGATATGACAAGCGGAAGCTGTCAAGAGTGAGATTTGAAGAACTGCCATCTCAGCAAGACAAGAAGAGGTATACAGAATCTGTGAACTCCGCATGGCTTATGCCGCGAAACATTTCTCATTGCGCCTTTGCGAGAAGATGCAGTAGGCTTATATAAGACCTTTCGATGCCCCACGTATAACATACATCTTTGGCAACTGATGGAGAACTGTAGTCGGAACCTGACGCATGCTCAGTGTCTTTGGCTAACAAAGATATTCCTTCTCTTGCAATACGCATCGGGGCTGCTTCATGTTCAAGGCTGCCGACATTGGCGATGTAAGCCGACATCTTATGCCCCATCCGCACATATGTTTGGACTAGCTCATCGTCTAATGGCCGATCAAGGTGGAGGAATGATGGCTCTGGCTCTTCGTCAGATTCGGAGGCGATAGCTTCGACGGCTTCAGGAAGTTGCATGCAGATACAAAAGGCCCAGAGTACGAGAGTCGCAATATAGACTGCATATGGCTCGAGGAGACTGCTACAGCTGTACCTGCGGATGTGCCAGAACAGAGCTCCACAGTGTACCAAGCAAAGTCTGGCTTTGCAGTGATCTCGAATGACCCACTGTAGAACTTGAATACGAGCTGTAGCAGATGACTGGCTCTCCCTATCGCTCTGGATGTTTGCTATTGACGCAGAGCCCGAAGCAAACTTTTGTATAGCGCTAGTCGGAGCCAGAATGATTAGACGAGCTAGATGCAGCTGGAGAATAGTGTGGTGCTCGAAACCCGAGTGGCGAGCGACCTTGCTATTCGCAGGCCAGTGTAGAACATCTAAGCAATCGCAAGCGCTGTTGCGCCACTTAGTTGCCAACCGCGTTGTCGGTAACCAATCTTGCTGTACGGGTGACATGACGTTACGTCGTTGTGGTATGGATGTTGGTGTCCACGAGTTGAGTTGGATTCTATCCCTAGCCAAAATATCGACAGTGTGTCGGTAGATGGTAGTGACAAGCAATCCCATGCTAAACTCTCCGAGGCCAGTTGGTAGCCGCTTCTCAACATACATCATCTCCAAGGCCTCTGTAAGCGTAATATCAGGATTACTTTTTGGGTTTTGTTGGATCAAGGCTGGATGCTCCCATACGTCTTCATGACATGGCAGAGCTGTAGCGATGTCTTCAATTCGAAGCAGAGGTTTGGCTTGAAACTCGTAAACGAACAGAGTATCAACAGTCTGCTACAATTAGCCTCTTATCGTTCGTGACAAATAAGAACGAGTTACCCATATCATCATCCCAGTGCGGATTTTCGACTCTTTCACCTGCCATTCAACATGAAGATCATCGTGGTCAAAATTAGTTGTCGTTTTGAAGTTGTAAGGTCTCTTCGACTGGACGAGCAATTGAAGTGAGTGGCAAGCTTCGACTAAATAGTGTCGTTCTACCAAGGCGCGTTCAATGAGAGCCTTTCTGCCAGAGTGAAGCATGCAAGCGATGTTCAGGATACCGGCCTGTAGGACAGATATACTAGGGATGATGTCAAACTGAGCTGGACAGCTAGGTACGTAATCGACGTCCTTGTCACCTAGTGCAACCTGCAATTCTATACCATACTTGCAACGCGTAAGGATTGCGCCTAGTAGGTCGAAAAGTTGTTCACTCAGTCGTACATGCTGTGATAGCTGCAAGTATCTCGAGCCGACGACCGAGACGGCGAGCAATAAGAGCCAGCTCTTAGAAGCATCGAGGGCGAAAGAAGACCGCCTCAAGAATGGGAAAATGGGATGGAAGCATTCGAAGTATTGACGAACGGACACGGCCACTTGTTCATGCGTAGGTAAGCTCGACGGGTTTACTTCGATGAGGGACTTGCGACTTTCAGTAGCGATGCCTTCTATCAGAGATTGGTATGCTGCCAACGGACAAAGGGAGGATCTGTTCAAGGTTTGAACTGGCGTAATAGCAACATTGGCTTCCTCTTCTTCCAAATCTATGGTTTCCTCTGAGCAGATTGAATGTTGGCCTTTGCCACCAAATGGGGCCCTGGCACCAGTTCCGTCAACGTAATATCTGTTTTCCGAGATTGATGCAGATCTTTCCAAGGTGACTTCTCTTGGTGCATTTTCCGTGTTGAAGTCAGTCGTGTTTAGATGCGGCGAGGGCTGGACTGTAGGAATCGCTGGAGCTGACGGCGTTGTGGTAGCGATAGAACAGGACCATTGCTCCGCATTACCATGAGCATTTTCTCCAATGTTTGCAAGCAGCGCATCTAAGTCGATCGGGCCAGGCGAAAGCCAATTGGTGTCTGACAGACTCAAGCCAGGCAGGCCAAATGCGTCAGGGCTGACCATGGTATTGACGCTAGTGCTCCACGTCCACGCGCTCAAAGAGGACTCTGGTATTGCATCATTGAAGTTGGTTATCATGAGCTCGCCGTTGCTTGCGCGATTGGTATCATCGGGTTCTAGACTGCTACTATTGAAGGTGTTTATTGAATCATTTGTGCCAGGAGCAACCGTCCTATTTCGTGCGGCGCGGAGTGGCGGGTACTGGCAGTTGTAACCGCGTTGTGAGCACCTTCGACATTTCTGACCGCGCGAGCATTTGACCCGGTCTGCAGCGCATCGAAAGCATGCACGTGATCCGGCAAGTTGAGACGTGGTGTTGCTGTGGTCATCGTGTGCGGCGATGTGGCGGCTAAGGACATCACGGCGTGAGAAGGACTTGTGGCAGGAAGGACAGGGGTACGGTCGTTCGCGCGTGTGGATCCTCATGTGTCGTACGAGGTGCTCTTGTTTGCCAAAACATCGACCGCAGATGCCGCATGTTGCAATCGGCCGCTCTTGTGCATCTGGAGATGGCATTGCCTGGAGAAGTAGAAGCAGGTCCTATACGGAGAGGCTGGGAATATATGCCCAGGCAGTTTGGATCCAGTCGGGCAAAGACAGGCCATCCCAGTCATCATCGTGCCAGCCAAGATAGATGCGGGACAAGGCAGAGCGACTACAGCAAGCGTTACCTAGGTAGAATCGGAGCAAAGAGATGGTTGGTGTGGTTGGCAGTCGTCACGAGCTTAAGGCGGGGCTTAGCGCACGGGCTTACGTCCTTGAAGCATCAAAAGCATCCTTATATAGGACATTCACCAAATCAACCAAATTTAGTAGATCTTCAGGATTAGTTGCTATGGTTTTGGCTGGTACTGGATATCGGTCCCGCTTCATACCCGCTGGAACACTGGCATGACCTCTAACGGACTGTCCACCTCAATATCCTTTCCACCATTCCAAGTTTGCTCACCCCAAAAGTCCTTCCACTTCTGTCCACTAGGCAGAGATGGCAGATAAACCTTTGTCTTGACCTGACTCTTAGCCAGAATCGGGCAGACCAAATACTTATCCCCATACATGTACTGTTCCTCGACCTCCCAACACTTGCCATCTTCTGGAAACTCGTAGAAAAGAGCTCTCATGACTGGCGATCCCTTCTTATGAGCCTCCTCCATAAGTCTCCGTGTGTACTCACGTAAATTTTCGCGAACACCCATATACTTCTTGCAGATCTCGTATACAGCTGGGCCGTACGACCACACCTCGTTGTCCGCACCACTACGGCAAGACGGGCTATCCTTGGTCTTGGGCTGCCGTGGTTCTCGATCCCCATGTAATCGCATCACCGGACAGAACGTACCCCATTGGAACCACCGGACAAAAAGCTCGCGAAACGCTTCGTCATCTGGATTCCCGCCGTGGAAACCTCCTATGTCCGTTGTCCACCACGGCACACCAGACAGACCCATATTGAGTCCTGCAGCGAGCTGGTTACGGAAGCTCGACCATGATGATGAGATGTCGCCACTCCAAACGAGGGCACCGTACCGCTGGCTACCAGCCCATGCACATCGAACCAAGTTGACAATGTTCTTTTGGCCTTCCTTCTCCATACCCTCATAGAATGCGCGGGAGTATTCTCGGGGGTAGATATTACCAATCGCTACATTTGGACCCAGATGGTAGCGGTAGAGATCGAAGTCATAATGTCGATATTCTGGCTCTGCCTCGTCCAACCAAAATACTTTGATACCTTTCTTGTAGTAATTCTGCTTCGCTTTTTTCCACACATAGTCCCGTGCCGCAGGGTTTGTCGGATCGAAATGAATTGTTTGACCCTGGAAAGTCATGGCTGTGCGCACACCACGTTCAGTTCGAATGAGCAAGCCTTTTTCTACCATCTCCTCGTGATTTTCTGATCGTCGGTCTACGGTTGGCCAGATGGATACCATGAGCTCAATTTTAAGTTCCTCCAGTTCTTTGACCATGGCTTCAGGGTCAGGCCAGTACTTTTCGTCGAATTTCCAGTCCCCCTGCATGGGCCAATGGAAGAAGTCTATCACAATAAGGTCGATTGGGAGGTTTCGTTTCCGGTACTCTCGTGCAACTTGAAGGAGCTCTTCTTGGGTTTGGTAGCGGAGTTTGCATTGCCAGAAACCGAGACCGTATTCTGGCATCATGGGTACCTGAATAGTACGACATTAACCACTAAATCTTTAGCAGCGTGTGAGCTGAGCCTCACCTTTCCAGTTGCATCAGCATACGACTCAACAATCTGCGCAGGTGTATCACCAGCCACAACCCAGTAGTCCAGGACCTTGGTCGATGAAGCCTCAAAACTCATGACGTTCTTTCCGAATACCACATTGCCAATGGATGGATTATTCCACAAGAGGCCGTATCCGAGCGAAGAAACAGCAAAAGGTACGCTAGCCTGGGAGTTTCGGTGCGCCAGCTCCAGTTGGGTGCCCTTGATATCAAGATAAGGTTGCTGGTATTGACCCATGCCGTATATTTTCTCCTTGGGATCAAGGCTCTCGAACCGAGCAGTGAGGTGATAGTCGCCACCCAGGATAGGTTTGAACTCCCGGGCCTCGACTTCTAGAGCGCTGCATTTGGGATCGATGATGTCGCGGCGGTGACGGGCATATTCTTCCAAGAGGGCTTTGCCGCTGGTGTTTGATATTGTGATCTTGCCTCGCTTGGTAATGGTTGCTTTGACAAGGCCGTTCGTCAAGGTAGCTGACTCGTCGTTGCTGGCAATGTCAATTTTGGCAGTGATGTTGGGCTGTTGTAGGAGTGCCCAGTCTTCCTGCGGCATGGTATGCATCTTGGTGGCGCGAACGCGAACTGCGTTTTGACCCCAAGGCTCGATCCATAGTTGCTCGGCATCGTATGTGTAGACAAGGCGGTTGTCTTTAGACGCGAACATGATGGGTGTCTTGCATAAAGTTTACGGATCTGTAAGAGCGCCTCAAGCCTAGAGGGGCAGAAGGCTGTCTTTTACATTGTAGCTGCTTCATACACTCGAGGTCGAATGCACCAAAGCTGCGGTTACTCAGAATCGGGAAAGCCGCCATCTGCAATCCTCCGGTGGTACACATCTTGGGTGAGGTCATGCTACACCCACTGTGTGTGGAAGTAGGTGGAGAATGGGCTTCTCCATCGGTGTCTCCACCGGGACACGCGCCCGTGTGCTAGCTATGGAGATGTCGATCTAGCGGGGTCAGCCTTGGCACGACGGGCGCCTTGCTATCGACGCACGTTGTGCTTACTCGATCGGACAAAGCATTTCGCATTGTGCTTAAGGCTCCACCTATTATATTGTCTTAAAGTCAACCTTACTTCCGCCAATAGGTTTGAACGAATTCATGAGCCCAGTCAATTACCCCAGCTTTCCAATCTCCTAGCGACTCCTCGACGAGCCCCTCCCACTCTCTCGCTGCTTCATCTTCGTTTTTGGCCCCACCCACACCCTTTCCCAGCCACATACGCTCTTGGACCTTCCTCACGCTGCCCTCCCTCTCAATCTTGATATCTGGGATATTCGCCCCTTGCATGAGAGCAAACAAGTTGAGTATGAGGTTCGAAGACTTGCGCAGCGTGGACCAAGCCGTGTATGAGTATTCTTTGAAGATAAGATAGTTCGGGTGCTGCACGCCACCCATACCTTCAATCATCTCACGGCAAAGCTTCATAGCTGGTGCAAAGGGTTTCGGGTCTCGCCCAAGGATATAGCCGAAGTCGACGTGGAAGAAAGCGCCCGATGGAGCAAGCAAGAGGTTGTCAAGGTGACGATCGCCAACCCCAAGGAGGTATGTTATCACACAGTATCCGGCGCAAGACTTGATGTAGGTATCCATAGCGTCCTTGCGTACCCCGAGGGGAGCGCTGTCGTCAGGATTGTTGGCGCGTAGGTAGGCGAGTAGGGAACCTTTGTGTTTTTGGCACGCTGCTGCTATGCTCATCGATGGGACAAATTGGAAAGCGCCAGCAGAGGTAGAGGTAGCTAAGATACGGTATGGTGTTAGCTTTAGATCGAGATTCTCTTTGCGAAGGAGGCGGTCCATCAACGTGATGATCTGAATGACGAGTTGATCTTGACGTAGATCATCCCCAGTCTTGAAGATTATGGGATATGGATTCGATGTCGTGGTTTTGAAGGAGAGGACCATGGGCAGTAAAGACGACTTCAAGACGTTGCAGTCTTCTGTCGATATACCAGTGATGAAGACTGATGGGTCCAGAGGTAGAGGTAATGGATCGAAGTTAGTAAGCTCGTTCTTTGGGTCAGCGATTGCCTTCTTGAGACGAGCAAGCTTTGCAGCTCGGTCACCTCCACCGAAGCGCACGTCTTTTGAAATCTTGGCCAGAATGGTGAGAAGTTCGCCTTGTCGTTGAAACGTCTTGCGTATCTCAACACCTTCAGGGGTCTTCTCCAGCTCGACCATAAAGTCGTACTCGACCTTGGCGAAGAGTTCACGATGTTCTGGTTCTTGATCGGTGCTGAAGTCGCTGATCTCCACCATGAGATACCAATGCAGGAAGTTGCCCAATGTAAAGCTGTTGGCTGCACGAGTAACTAGGAAGCGCGCTAATGACGAGTCATCACCTTCGCCTGGTGCCTCGTACTTGAGCGCTTGCACTAGTTGAAGGAGGTAGAGCTGGAGCTCTTCGTCGTCTGCCTTCTTCAGTCGCTCCACAGCGTAGCTTCGCACTACAGGATGGTCGAAGTGAGGTCCGAGAAGTTCGAGTGCGTCGTCGACATCTATCTCTGCCCATTTATCGAGTAAAGGTGCAGCCTGTCGCGCTTCTCGCGGGTTCTTCCAGTTGACGCACTTGACAAACTTGGTCAGAGCTCGCTTGTCTCGTAGCAAGAAGTATCTGAACTTCCAGATATCGTCACGCTCGTGCGATGTGATCTCTTCGAGTGGTCCCTTGGAAAGCAGCAGGTTGAGCTTATCTCGAACGTGCACGTTGGGCTTGCGGTCACGGTCAAGTGAATCGGTCTGCTGGCTGCGCATCAGCTCGCGATGCTTGTCCTCGGCGGGGTTGACCCTTCGACCGACTTCAGGATCGTAAATCTTGATAAGCCGACCTGCATCTGCATCACCATATCCGATCCCATCAATGTTGATGCCCGGACCGAAGGACACTTCAGGTGGAGGTCGCAGCCTTACGTCGGCTTCGGCAGGTAATCGCAAGTCCGAAACGGGGGGCGGTGGGTACTCGACATCGGAGAAGACGATGGCGTGGTCGAAGCGGGGGAGCTCGATGTCGAGATAAAAGAGTTCCTGGTCCTGGCTATCTGTGGAGCCATTCGTGCCGTTCGTCTTGCTCTGCCGATTCAGAGCTGCTGCCTCGGCTTTGAGCGACTCTTTCCGTATTTGCATCATCTTCTTGTATACCAGAGCGTCGAGCCAGTTATTAGTTGGCAGGTCGCCCATCTCTTGCTTCTTCAGCAAGCCTTCCAGCCTTTCCATCTCAGCGACTTGCTCGTCCATGGTATTCTCAACCACCTCGGCTTTTCTACTTGTTCGCGCCGGTGGTATTACCCATGGCGTTGTAGTGTTGGTCAGGCCATCGGCTGCCTTGAAGCGGTGTATCCGGCAGCGTTGCCTACCCTTGTGCAGCGTGTTGTCGTTGTCGAAGAGGGGTATCGTCGTGCCACCAAAGGGCACGGCGTGGAGATTCGAGTCGGTGTCTTCGGCAGGCGACAGATCCCATACTGTGATGGCTATCTGGGCTGAGGCGGGGAGGTTCGCATACGTGACGGGTAGCTGGAGCCATTCGTTCCACATGCGCGCGTTCTTGAAGGACTTGTAGGCGGTCTGAACGGGGACGGTGAGGGGCTTGCTATCTGCCCATACTTGGGCAGTGACGTACAGCTCGAAGTGTGGGCTACCACCTCTACATCAGCACTCTACTCTCTCTCTCTCTCTCTCTCTCACCTGGTGAAGGGTGACCCACTTGATATTGGAAGCTCGGTGCCTTAGGTCCGGTCGCTTGAGCAAAATCGAGTAGGGTATGGGCTTTTGGTTACCATCGAGACGATCTCTAGACATGTACTTAGCACTGCTCGAGTTCTCGTACAGGGAGGCATACATGCGAACATGGACCGACAGCTCGGTCAGGTCAAGAGACGTCGCGAAGTTGAAGGCTTCCATGGTGCGCGGTGGGGGAGCTGGTGGCTACGGCATGCCATAGATGTGAGGCATGTGGAAGTCTGACAGCCTACCAGCACATGACAGGATTCGATGCGGCCTAGCAGGAACACCAGTTCATGGCGTCTCTGGGCGGGGTGAAGGAGAGACAGTTGATGAAGCCGAGCGGGTCAGAAGCTCCACAAGCCGACGCGCATGCAGGGGTCCGCGAATCGCAGCTGCGCTTTCGCGTGCTGCTAGGCTTGGCTGACGAACGCGGTCGCACTTGCCTCAAACAAAGTCGCGCTAAGCGGCCGCCTCTGCACATGGGGCAACCGCGTCCCAGGCACAGGTCAACGCCCGCATCACGACCATCCAAACGCATACCCCTCCTCGCCCACCCTCTCTCCCAGCTCGCTTTTTCTTGGGGCGGGATGGCGCGTCTCAATACCCACCCCTCTGCTACGCCACAAACACGCGCTTCCACCGTCGACTCTCTGTACCGCGACCCCTCCGTAGCGCCCCGAACCGACGGCAATGCGCGCACTTCGTCCTATTCGGTCCTCAGCCCGACACGCTCAATGAACTCGGACAAAGAGAATGAGCAGCCCGACACACGCGACAACACCCCGCGGCGAGGCAAGGCCAGCGGCCTGCGGAGCGCGTCGGTGCGTATGCCGACACCCGACTCTGGCTCAACATCTGGAAACGGCGGTAAGAGGAGGAGAATCGACAACTACAACATGGCCGACTCGCAAAGTCACGAGCATGTACACGGCAACCAAGATGAGGAGCAGGAAGACGACGACGACGACGACGACGACGACGACGACGACGACGAACAAGCGGAAACGCCCTCACAGCTGCCCGAGCCAGACGAGGAAGGCGATCTCAAGTTTTACAACCCCAATCAAGATCCAGAGGCGCGAAGGAGGCTACGTGCAAACATGCGCGAACACCAACGCATGCTAGATGGTGAGTCCAGCATATTGTTGCACATGGGATGAACATCACTGACCATCGCAGATAATCGCGATGATCTCGTCAAATCACACGACAGTGGACTGCTCGATGCTCTCAAGACACAAAACAGTTTGTTCGGCAAAGTGCGACAAACAGCCGATGCTACTGTCGACTCTCGCTTCTTGGTTAACGCCAGTGACCTCGCAGGCAAGAAGCTCAACAACAGTTTGGGCAACTCTGGCGTGGGCGTTGATCTCGATCAGTTCATCTCCAAGTGCATTTACTTCATGAAATCTGGCGGCCACATTGCAGGCGAGGAAGACGCACCAGCAGTACCCGTCGGCGACAACGACGATGAAGACCCAGATGGCCTTGACTGGGCATTACTCGGCCGACAAGCATGTTTCCCCTGCAACAAGCGACCGCCAACGTCAAGTTTCCTACTTGGTCCCTTGTCAGTACAAAAGCGCGTTCGTGCAACCCAACGAAGAGCCCGGTCTCAACGACAACCGGTCGGTCCGGCAACTCGACCAGAAGAGATTCTGAACGAGGACACGCAGCAGAGCAATAAAGACACTCAACTGACCTTGGTCAAAGCCATCAGGAAACACTTGGTAGATCATATCACCGCCGTGGAACCTTTGGTTGAACAAGAACTCGAGGAAATACAAGGCGAACTCACGGACGAAGATCAATTTGCTGCTCTGAGACGCCATAGATTAGCAATGACGGTTGAAGGAACATCCGCAGTTAGTCTACTAGACTTCGCTATCAATCCCCACGACTTTGCGCAGACGGTAGAGAATCTCTTCTATATTAGTTTCTTAGTGAGGGAGGGCAATGCCGCCATTATCAAAGATGCCCACGGGCTTCCGCTCCTGCGTAAGTCTGCAAGTCACACTGGGTTATACATTTGCTAACTACTACCAGAACCTGCAGACCCGAGCGCTGTCTCGGAACACCGAGAGAGGGACGTCCAAAAGCATCAAGCCATCTTCAGCATCGACTTCCCTACGTGGCGAATGTTCATTGAAGCATACGATATCACGACACCGCTCATTCCACAACGTCAAGTGGAAGATTCAACCGTCGCCACCAGCGGTTGGTACACCGGATAAGTCCTGGTCGCATAGTATCTTTTAGTGTTCGTTTTGCTTCCACACTCTATCTTCCATTCGTACAGATACCACATGCTCTTCCAAGTGGGCTAAGTTTCGGTATCTTCTCCTTTCCCTACCACCCGTCTCTACGTCATCTTTTTCTAAGCGGCGTTCGAATAAGTCAGTCATAGACACGATGTATGATCGAGGGTGATACCCATGACGCAAACTTTAGTTTTCTCATCTTTTTTGCCGTGCTTCGGCGGCATCTCTATTTACTCCAAATTCTCGCACATGATACCCAAGATTTTTGTTGGATGTTCAAGAGGCGTCAGTAGTTGAATTTGACTTGGCGCTTTTCGCATTCCCTGTATGGAACTTAAAAGATGAAACTAAAACCAAAAGTTAAGCTTATTATGCTTTCCATCTCGACAGTCGGTCATGTCACGGCAAACGCATGTTGGGCTCCAGAATCTGCTCGAGGCTATACCTCACCGCCCACACTCGTCCCAGTACCAACCTCCGCCTACTCGTCTTAACCCCTCGGCCGATAGCCCCAGAACGTGGGCATAAAGCTCCGGCTATATTCATATTCACCGTCACCCTTGTGAGAACATACGATCCTAACCCACCACCGTCCATTCCGAGAGGTCGCCGTTCTCGGCTACCCTTGAGCCCTTTCAATACCATGATGCAGCATCTTCACGTGTCATCTTCTGATCCGCGTCCATGGTATTATCCATCCGTCCAACCAGCTCAAATTTGTCAGTTTGACTAGCGCATAAGGAGGACTTGGTAGACGTTTGAAGGTGCGTTCTTGGACGCGTCACTGCACTTGATATCACCAATTTTCGACTATGGACAGCGTGCCGTGTGATTTTCTTGATTGCGATCCTTCAATGATATTTCGGGGCCAAGTTTTCTGCTTGGACTTTCGATGGCTCCACACGTGCACACAGAAGACTTCTTGATGTACTGAGTCCATGACCAATTTTCAGATGTCGGGGACTTAGTGGTTCGCAGAGTTGCCATCGTTTGGCGTAGCCAACGTTCACTCCTTCCACTGCCGCGTATGTTCCAGCCTAACGTGCCCACCAATACCTGAATATCAGGCCACTATACTTTGGCAAGGTGGGACTGTTGATCCGATCCCTTCGTAATGAGACTCTGGCCGCAATCACCACCGGACTTGAGATATTTAACATAGGTAGCTGTCAGCAGTATTAGCTCCAGGCGCTTACTCTTTTTTGTGTATGCCTAACTGGTGGATGTCAACAGCCGCAGACAGGGAACCGACGTGTCAGCCTCATAAAAGCATTCGTGGACAGGCAAGGCTTTTCGAGTACACCCAGCAGTCCCGAGCTTCCCAAGCTCGAGCAGTTTTGATGCACATTTCCCAAATAGGCAGGTGATGATCGACAGGATTAGCATACCGGTGGTTGGGTTCCCGTCTTGTAATTTTACGCCGGCCCAGACTCAAGTCAGCAGAGGAGTTTAGTAATTTCCTTGGCTTCACTATGCCTGTTTCGTGCTCAGGAAGTCGGCAGCCGTTGCTCAGGATGACTGTACACTTCGTAGGGCTATTAGGTTGTGATGACACGCGGGCTCGGCCCGAGTTGACGTTTTTCCAGGGCCCGCATTTGTTGTGGTAGTACCTGTAGCCCAGAGCTTATCTGGCACGCCAACGCAAACGTTGTTCTAAGGTTGGTGGAACTTAGGGATAAGGGGGCACAGGGTGTTGGTTCTTGCGTCTACCTTGGCAATATTCCGGACGAATAGATGTCGCGATGCTTGGCATCTATCAACTCCAAGTCGCAAATGTTCCAGACGGGATGTTCCAGCATCAGCTGACGCCTTATCTGCCTAAATTCACTGTACAGCCTTTGGAGGTTTCAGCCCTGTCACCTCCGTATGTCTGCAACGTAATCGAGCGATGCGATGCCGTAAGCACAAAGTTGGGCATTGTTGAGGTTGCAAACGCCTGTTCGGCTGGTCATGGCACGTGATGCGGAACCCTTGGTCAATAGCGCGCCCCTTAGCTTGCCAAGTCTTCAACGTTCACGCCAGCCTCATCTTACGAAATTCTCCGTTGTACGCATGCGGTCGTTGTACGTATGCTTGATCGACAAGCTGCCTTGAGTTTCACAGACTTGAAGTCTTCGCGACTGCGGTGAGAAGGATGACGTGGATCTCGCTTCCCCGGATCTTCGCAAGTATCACCCCGAGGAAAATCGGAATCCTTCAACACCGCCGTCACATCACCGTCACTTTTCACTTGCATGATGGAATAAACTCACATATATGCTCACTAGCCACTCTTCAAACACGGCGATGTTTTAGCCCAGGCACCTGTTCGCAGACCTCTCCTAGGGGCCTTTGAAACGCGGTGAGTACACGACGAATAGCAAACATCGGTCACTCTCCGGACACGGTGCACAGGCAGCCGTTGAGTGCCGCTGCCACCAAGTCTGAATCAGAACGGCAGATGAAACGCTATGATACCGCAGTTCGGCCGTAGCTTCACCCATTCTCTTGGAAATCTACTTCAGGTTTGAGGCCCAACACGAGACCCCAGGCCATCGGGTTCGTGATAATCGATCAGACCAATCGGCCATTTCAAGGCAACTCCCGGACTTCACGCACGCTGCTCGATAGGAACGATGATCTACGTCTTACGGACGATGTGTCCAAGTTATGCCGACGTGTCCTTGATTACCTTTACTTTCGGTGCGATCTGGCCTGTTTGAGGAGTATCAAGAGTGGAAAAGGGAGCTTAGACTTTCATTCAAGCCTCAACTCCAGGTGGGATCGACAGAAGTGCGGTCACACCCGCAACGGCCGAAAGTGCGAGAGCCGAACGGTTGTGGATATAGAACGGGGCGTTAGCCACGGTTCTAGGTTGTTAGTTCTTCAGTCGTTCCTTCATCGCTAGTTCTGTCCGTTCACGATCCACTTGTGTGGTGACTCGTGTCGCCATTCCTTCCTTCATTGTTCTTCTCTCGTCATGGACATCATGATGTCGGAAACATATTCCAACAGGCTTTCATCTGCCCTGAAAGATCCGCATCCTATGGTGGAGCTGGCTCCACCACCAAACGCTCATCCAGTCTCAGCACCACATCCCATATACCCACCCTTTCCAGATGAGACACCCGGCAAGAGGCCATCAGTGCCTTCTGTTTTGGGTCGTCACTCCAGACCGATGACCGCGGAGACCGCCAGACGTTCGAGACGCGAATCATACAACCTCATTGGAAGCACCTTCCTCATTACGAACGATGGGAGAACGCTCAAGCTTCCCATGCCCTCGAATTCCAAAGCCGACCCTCTGAACTGGAACAGATGGAAGACAGGCGGAGCATTGTTCTCTGTAGCCCTTTTCTCTGTTGTTTGTCTAACTGCAGCACAAGCTGCGTCCGTCGTACTTGACGACATCCAAAGAGATTTCGCACACGAGGTACGTTCAATTCTACTCACTGGGGTAAGCGTCGCTGACATGTTGCATTTAGGATATACCCGCATGGCTACTCAAAGCCTTAGTAACAGCACCTACCTTATTCATGGGCTTAGGATGCTTTTTGTGGGTGCCGGTATCCATTGGTCTAGGCCGCCGGCCTACAATGTTGATCGCGACACTTGTCGTACTGCTCGCTATGCTATGGGCTGGCGAGGCAGGATCATTCCGTTCGCTCGTAGGCGCAGTCTGCTTCCTTGGTCTCGGCGAGGGGCTTGCGTTGTCCCTGGTAAGTAGTGTTTCAAGACGACTACGATCTCATTCGCTAACAACCCTAGGCTTTCCTGATGGTCATTGACCTTACCTACATCAACCAGAGATCGGCAGCAGTAGCACTCATGTGGTGCATGGCAGGATGCTTTGGCACTTCTGGCGTTGCACTGGTACCTGTGTTAGCAGACCACGGAAACAACTGGCGAAATTTCTATCATTACTGGACCATCCCCGTTGTCGTCTCGCTCGCTGTCACCTTCGCTCTCTATCCCGAAACATACTTCAAAAGGCCAACTGTAGCTTTCAATGGACTTATCCTATTGCAAAGTGCTACCGAGAAGTTGACGGTCTACGAAGATCGCGAGAAGGACTCCGAGATATATCGCGATCTGCCCGAGTACCCCTTGCGCACTGGCTTTGCAGGCTTTCGTGACAAGGCCGGTCTATCGCGCTCACCCTTTGCATCATGGGCTTCGGCGGGTCGTTGCATCATCCAAATGGCTTACTGTGCTGCCAACCCACTTATCTTCTGGGTCTTCGTTGCCTCTGCCTTCAACTCGGCAAGCATGATCTTCATCGGCGCAACGTACGCGCGCATTCTTATCGCACCGCCTTATAATATGTCGCCGAGTGTTGTTGGCACTGTCAATGTCGCATCGGGATTCGGAGCCCTATGTGGTCTGCCCATATTTGCTTTGCTCTTCTGCAAGGTGTTGAAACGCCTCTCAAGCCGCAATCGAGGGGTATTAGAGGCGGAGCACTATCTTGTCGGCTACATCCTACCCGTCATCACCGGCGCGCTCAGCTCAGTGCTCTATGGTCTTGCTGTTCACTTTCGTTGGCAACCTGCTGCCATGTACTTCGCGTACGGTATAAACGGCTTCTCCTTCATAACACTCATGATCGCAAACACACTCTGGGTCACCGAAGCCTTCCCGCGATGGGCTGCACCCGCTATCGCTGTTGTTGGTGGAGGATGCTACATCCTCTCCTTTGCCATGAGCTTTGCGCTTGTGCCTTGGATCGACGCTCACGGATACATGTGGATTGGTATTGAACTCATGATCTTCCAGGTCTTGGGTGGGCTGGTTGCTATGCCAGTAGCCTTTTGGGGTAAGAGTACGCGACAGGCCATCGCTGGCAGGTGGTCTGAAGACCGGAGTGGTGCGCTTCGTCCGCTCTAGGATTTGTACATGGCATCCTTGATGCTGGTAGTAATTAGTTGCAGGGTTATGCTTCTAGAGCAGTGGTCATCGGCTTCACTCTATCTAGAGCATTATACTCTGGATGT